CCACAGCTACATGCTGGGCCGTCCACTGGCAGATACATGCCTTACCCCCTGCATGGCCTTCCTGCACCATTAAATAGAGTTTCAGCAAATAATGATCACTCAGCACATCCTAGTGTTTATTACTAGATATTATTCCCTCAATGAAATTTGATTTGGAGCTCGTTATTGAAGCTTGAAGTTATGAACGGTGCGGAACACTGGACTTTCATTCGCTTTGCACGCTGTCGGACTGTGAATATCATTGTGTATTGGCCGAGGTGCCGCGCGTGACATAGTGTGACGAAATTGTGCATTTCTATTGTGTTTTCGACACCTCAACTTCCAGTGCTGCCGCTGCAACAAGCTCGCAACAAAATTAAAAAATTCTTGTTGGGCCTAATGCACAGAGACCTAAAGTATACACTACAGTAGATCCGATACGAATATGTGTTGTTGTTGTGTTGCTATTCAGCAATAAGTGTAAATTGTGCATTTCCCGTCGAATGATAGTACAGGTTCACTCCTCTCCCATATGAATCGTTGTCGACAATTGCTGAAATAGCTCAGCTTGTCCCCGATCTACGACCGAGATTTTTGACAAACAATAAATCCATTGACTCGTTGTAGCAGGAGGCCTCGGGCGTCTTCTCAACAGGGCAATACATGTTTGAGAGAAATTGGTAAGATTCAATGGCCTTGTCAGCTAGCTGATTGAACATAAATATGCATACCATACCTTTTAAAGACAAAGTTTATGTCTGTCAAAAGGTCTCGTGGACGACATAGTTCGACTGAATACAGTGAAAAACCTGCAGGGAAGGCAGACCGAGGAAATTCATACAGTGAGTCTGTGTAATATTGACACTACCAATCTGGAGCGACACTCCAATTGGGGATCTTGTCAATATCAAGACCAAGACTGTTGTTCAAAATGTCGCAAGGAGTTTATGCAAGTCTCGAAAACCGAAACCGGGGTTTTCAGCCCAACTCATAGCCTATAATGATGCCCAACACAAATGGACTCGCTTGACCTCCTACTAGTATGCACATCAAATATATAAATAAAGTTATTATGTAAATTTAGGTCAACTCAACCGTGACCTGGGTCCCTGCAGGACTCAGGGTACTACTCTTGGCTTGCTCCTGCTGCAGAGCCCTTTAAAGCATTTCATCTTGAGGTATATTCCTTTCAACTGTCTTCATACACAGTCAACTCAGATGCTGTATAGGTTTGTAACAGAGCATATCTCCCGTTGTGCATTGGCCTGCATCGTTTCTACTTTTCTCTGCATACTTTTTGTGACCATTCATCCATTTTCCCACTTGGGAGGATCGTCGGCTTTCCTTGTGTTGAGTTTGAAAGAGCTCGTATTTTCTGTCCAAGAGGATCTGGCCCAGCAGCTTGAAGTAACTATCATAAACATCACGGGTGCCCTAGCAGGTATTGGTATATCGACCTTCGCAAAATACCTTGCAACTATTCCACAAGAGGGATTGGTGACATCGTGTCTCATACCAGCTGTATTCCTCGTGATAATCAGCTCTTTCAGTTTGTCTTCCGCTGCATGCCATATAGACACAGCTAACAATCTATTCTAGTGGTGCCGAAGTCCGGTTTGGTTTGGTTCTTAGGCCTCTAAATGCGAACACCGAACTGGACCATCGGTTGCGTTCAGGCAAGGAGGACGAACGCTGGACCGGACACTGATGAACACGTTCACAAGCGTTCGGTTCGAGTTCAGAACGCATTCGAACACTCGAACACTACATATAAATTGACAAAAATTGCAAGAAATACATGAACAGTAAATGAGTAGCTAAATTTCGTCCATGGCAGGGTGTTCGTGAGCAGCAGCAAACTCAGCTTGAACCGTTGCGGAAATATGGCCTTGACGGTACCCACTTTTCAACAGCTGTAGGGCCTCAAATGTTGTTGGCAACAACTGATTACGGCGCGTGGTCCCAGTGATGCCGCCACTCGAAAACGCTCGTTCAGATGCGATGGCAGAGCCTTGAATAGCGAGGTAATCCTTTGCAATGCGAGAGATGGTGGGATATTGAATGGAATGGTGCTAAAGGCATTTTAAGTCAACTTGCAAGGAAACACGATGCGAAAAAACTCATGCCCCACCACGCCACTATATTCTCAACATCTTCTAATGGGGCAGCAAGGTACTCGTCGAGCTCCTGGTGAGGTCTTCGATTTGCGGTGTCATTTGCGACACGAGTTTTGACAGCATCGCACATCCAGCTATGGCCGTATGACCCCTGGCGAGCAAGCAAGGAAGGAGCCACAGCAGCTGGCTCTGCAGTGGCGGGTGAGACATTGCAATGATAATATTTGTCGAAAACCTTCCGCAAGCTTCTCATGCCCTCGTCAAAGTCGCGAGGCTCCCATTTACCCTTCGCGTATGCCACCTTATAGTTAGGATCGAGCACTACATTGTACATTAGATAGGGCATCATAATAAATAAAATACATACCGAGGCAAACAAAATAAACATCAGTTTCGTCGATTTTGTGGTACCATTTGCGAATATTGTCGAGGCCAGAGTTGATCGCGGATGAAAAGTCGTCAAACTTTGATGAACCAGCCATGTTTTGCCGGTACACCAGGTTCAGATGTCCATGAGTCGAACGTGATCGAAATTTTGCTATCAACTTCCTTAAGCTTCTCCTTCACACGTTGAACGGCAAGCTGCGCCCGTTCAAGAATTTTGTCTTGAGTTTTTGTGCGATGAGGAATGTCCCTGTCTGAAAGGGAAGGCCAGAGGTATTGAAGCAGCCGACGAAAGGGTCCCTTGCCAACGAGTTGGAACGCCTATCTATGGCATGAATATCCTAAGTCACAATTACAAAAAAAAAAACACTCACCTCGTCCTCAGACACGATAAGCTCGACAATGTAATCCATTAGACCAGTTGTGGTGAATTCAGGAATTTTAGCCGTAAGGGAGGCATCTAATGTTTGCTGTGCTTCGTCAGTTGCTTTGCAGTTAGGAGGTATCGCCTGATCATGCATCTTGATACCTCGTTTGTTGCAGCGGTTGCGGTATATTGGAAAGTGACACTTCGCGTTTCGAGCGATATGGGTGCGGCGAGTCGAAACACTGCCTTTGAAAAAGCAGTGATTGATGGGTACATCATTGGCTCTTAAATTGACATTAGTTATGCGTGTGACATTCAAAGTAAAAGTAAAAACGTACCTGCAGATCTCGCACCACCAGCTGTCTTCGGGTTCTTGGGTGTGCGGATTGATGTGTCCCTTCTCCTGAGTAAATACTACCTTCAAATCCCCACTGCACTCCTCTTTCTTCTTATGCTTGCGATTCTCACGATCCTTGTCTCCAAATACCTTGGTCCGCTCGTAAGCTTCTTCGGCCTCTTCTTCATCATCTGAGCAATCTTCTAGTGCAGGGGGTTCGTCGTCATCATCATCGTGGGACCCACGTTGCACTCACTTGGGTGCGGGCTGTCCTTGGGGAGGCACTGGAGCCACTCATTTGGCAGCTTTGGCTGGAGCTGTGTTGCCAGCATTGCGGATTTTTTCTGTCGGTTTAACGGCTCAGCCTGAGCGAGACACAAAGGCAGTTAGCTTGCCATTGGATGCAGGAGGCGGAGGTGGAGCAAGCATGGGGGTGTCATCGTTGGGATCATTGTACCAATCGATGGCGCTAGCGTCTTTGAGTTGGCCATTGGATCCAAGTGCGCAAGACATTCTCGCAGCCAGAAGGGTGAATATTGTACCTGTAGTAGCTCATTTATACCAAAATTTGTGGTTAGAGATTAGAAAAATGCGACGCACCTTGAACATATTGTTGCCATGCAATGACTGCAACAGTTGATTGATGTTGAAGCAAAAGCAAGTACCTGAACGAGCATCCCAAAGATATGTTCTGAACATAGATTAAATTATAATCCTAATAACGATTAACATAGGGCTTACCAAAACATTGAATAGATCACAGAGGAAGTCAGATGTCACTAACAGAAATGCATTCAGTCTTTTGGTCGTGAAGTAAGAGCCGTTCTGGAGATCAATGCTCCCAGAACTGCCAATGGCCATATGAGTTTGTTGCCAGGTGATCAGAAAAAATATTAGGATAGATGGATAGCAATAAGCTGAGGACCTCAAGCGGATCATAGACAGAAGGAAAGAACCGTTCGAACACGTTCGAACGGGTCCAGACGGGTTCACAAATCTGAGGCATCAGCCGAACGCTGAACCTAATAATAGGTTCGGTTCTTACTGTAGGCTGAACCTCGGACCAAACGGACAGTCCGGTTCGGAAGGGTTCGCGTTCGAACCGAAGTTCCGAACCGGACTCCGGCATCACTAATCTATTCTGAAAGCTGGTTGGGCAAAAAGCCATCTTCTTCCTCGTCTTCATTTATCTGCCCAGATATCGTGCTTTGTGTCCATATGGCTGTTGACCAACAATATTGGAATAACCTCTGTATGTTACTGTGCCCTTCCCCTTACATGTATTTTGACAATCACTCAGGCTGTCCTCTCAGACTCGGGCAATTTCTTATGGATCACCGTGACAGCTGTGTCCATTTGCTTGTTTTCTAGCATGTTGATCTTACATTGGTCCTCGACTCATCTTATCAAAGAAGTTGCATCGACATTGAGAATCATCCACCGATGCTTATCTGTGTGCATGGATAATCCATTCACTTATCCATCCTCCCAGAAAATTGCCAAATTGAAAGGTTTACACACAGAATTGGTCCACCAGTCTGTGACACTGAATGAGATGTACTGTCAAGCAGCTTTTGAACTCCGTATTGGTTGCGTTAGCGGTGAGCATCCTGTTCACATGCCCATTTTCCAAATATTTTGACATACCATGCTAGTTAAGTCTTTAAAGCCTCTCCTGGGCATGGTTGAACACTTGTGGCGAGAATTATCCTGGGGGATGGTTCCTTGGCCAGGTCAAAATGACTGGTCTAATCAATCAGATTGTGCTTCATTTTCCTCCTTCGAGGCTTCAGTAATAGAGCTTGGAAGAACCATTATGACATCAATTAAAACAGTGGAAGATCTGGTGCTTGGCGTGTATACGCATGCTTCCCTATGGCACAGGCCGTTGCGTGCAGAGAGAGATGCAGTTACTGCAGCTGCCATCAATCTCAATCTCGCATGGTACACTGCAAAAAGTGAGTTGTGTAACACTATTCAAACATGGAGCGAAGAACCGAGTTCCCCATCTGGCTCCATCGTTCCTTCCCATCTACATCATCAATGCCTGTTCACGATGTCATTGTTACAGGCAAGTGATTCTATCCGGGAATGATTATGAGCTGAATGCTCCAATAATGGAGCCAGATGGCCTACGACACAAGCCACATACTGCAAGTAGCTCAGAACATTGCTGCACACCATGAAGCTTCTCGACTTCACTTCTGGCACCTGCGATTGACATGGCAGTGGCTTGGTGTTGCACCTCGAACTTTCATAATGGAGGAATACGGGGCACCTATAGGCCATGATGCTTCTGAAGAAGAGACAACTCTATCAGCTGAGGAAGTTCAACAAGGCATTGCTTTTGTTGATTGACAGGATGAGATAACGAGTCAAGAGGTTTCCTATTCTCATGCCATCAGAAAAATACCCACTATCCCACAGTTATCATTGAAATCCATCTCACAATACTTGTCGCTGACACTGCAACACCTCCAGAACCATCCTGTCATACTTCAGCTTCAACTAGGAGCATCAAGGATAATCCGCAGCACGCAACATTCCAGACATTTGCAGCATGCGGCGAAGAATGCCATTGGGGTGGCCATGTTAAGTTTTCCAGCTTTCCTTCCTTCTCACTCAGCAGGTTTGTTTATTCGCATCCCCAGTCAAGTGTAAATTGTCATGAATTCAATGTTAGGTTTTCAGTGGTTTAGGTGGATCCATGGCCAATGGATGATTATTAACTATGTATGGGTCCTTGAAACCAATACTGGAGCGACCTGGCGTGTCGGTTACTTGCGTCTCGTAAATCCTGTTTAATCAAAAACTGCGACATCATGTTCATCCATTTGATAGTCAGGGACCATTCTAGGAGCTATCTATGCTTATATTATGCGCCTGCGATACCATCATTTTTACGTGCTAACTTCATTTGCATAGACATGGGTTATCTGCGGGAGGAATCCTATTGGCATAGTGGTAATGGTTACAGTGAGCAGTCTTGATATATTGACAGAACCCTGCATCTCCTGACTAATGTCTCCAGTTGTTTGATATACCCATTATGTGGCTTGTCATGAAAAGTAGGACTCCGTCCTTGGGTGTTGTCACGTAATGTCTCTGCCAAACCCCTATGCACGATGCTAATCGTCACCTAGGTCTGTTATGATCCCTCCTGTCGTGCTATATCAATACTTGACTCCGGGTTCAGGAGTGTCTACACAAGGTATCGATGTTTTACTTGTGGGTCTGGTATGAATATATCTCACGATTGTGCAGACTTAGCTTGGATGAGGGGTTCAATGATTGCTTTTGGCATCATCGCTGCATTGGTAATGAATGGTCTTGTTTTTCCTCAGTACAGCCAGGTATGGCAATGTTGTTCAAGATCGTCCTCATTTGCTAATGTCCAGAAGGTGTTGTTTCTGAATCAGACCAGTAGGACATTGAGATTGCTCAGCCAATTATACCTTCTCCTCGTACAGTATGTTACCCCCTGTTTATGATGGGCTCCTCCTTAACCAATTCTAGGGGGATGTTCCAGAGTATATACACATTTACGCTGCAGGACAAACAAGAGTCATTGAAGTTAGAACTTCAAATTCGCAATGCACTCCATTGATCATCATCGCTGCTGACTATCATGAATGACGAACTCAGTCTAGTGCCAGTAGGCTTGAATACCCAGTTCAATTTATTTTTACAACTGTTTCATTCACAGAAACCAATGTGCCACTACCACGAAGTTGTCCTCAAAATACAGAAGATTCTTGACTTAATGACTGGTCTTAGAAAGATACGGGAAAATATACCCCACAAGGAGACTATCGCGTCAGTCCTGAAAGAACGGAAGGAATTTGTATGTACCGACAAACTCGGCTGCTAAACTGCATCAGACGCCCTTGTCAGGTATCCTGTATCTGCATCTCGCTGTTTGCGAGTCAGCACGTCTTTCAAGCTCGACAACCTCTACCGCAGTTCCTCCCATCTGCGAGACAAGCACTTGAAACACTTGAATTGAAAATAGAAGCCTCCTTCATCAGGAAATTCTCACATTCCTTGATCTCCTTAATCAGCTTAACCTACTTATCTCAAAACTTGTTTGCTCTCTCTCACATTATTTACCTGGCATATTATATTTCTCTAGTGTGAAGCATAATAAAACATATATATCAATATACCTCAACATTTCCTTTCTGAATATATTCAAGTTGAAATGTTGGACAAGTAGATCCACCTTTCAACAAGACACTTAAGTGTATTAAGTCTGTTTAAGGACAAATAAAGTAATGTGAGAATTTCCTGATGGCCTTGCAACGGGGTATTGATGCGGATGTGTCGGTTAAGGGCATCTCCCTGGCGTACTCAGTTGCGGAAGGTGAAGTCATGAAGGACATGGTGGATACCATAGAAGATTTATTGGAGCTGTGCCGCCAGCTATTCAGTGCATCGGTGTGGTTGACCCATACCTGGCCAGAAACGACTGTTTACAATGCTGATGAATGACCTGAAACACCTGGTGAAGGATGGTTTAGTACAGTGGGATGCATGTAGAAAGGATAATCCATTTAGAGACCTTGTCATATAGCATAGATGTAATTTCAAGGGTAATAGTAGCTAGAGTCATCGTGTACCATCATACTAAATGTAACAAGGAGAACTATTTTATTGTGACGTCACGCAGTTTACGCGTTGTTATTCGACCAAACAACACGATGTCAATAAATCCAAGTGACACGTCTCCTTCTCTTCTCTACACCAAACGCTACCATGTCTAACGTCTGCTGTCTATTTTCCAATCACCTGGCCACTTTGGGTGACCATTCGCACCAACACGCTATCCAGGCCACCATCGAGCTCATCGCTGCTTCCAGCCACAACATCCATCCTAACTGGATGAATAACTAACCCTAATGTTTATTGACTACGGGGAGAATATACTTCTACTTGCATGAACCACAAACAATGCGGCATTGTTCTGGGGTTGGACCGCGTTATGACGGTGGTCTTCCATGTGCGCCTCAGGCGTTTGCCCGCTTGCTGCTGATTTCTTCTGCGATGAACTCTTTTGTAACCACCTCCATCGCCTCTTCGGAACGCACTCGTAACCGACCACGGAATCACCTCTATTCACGCATACGCACAAACCTGCGCATGTGCTGCCTCGTGAACCCTTTGCGGTCATGTTTGGACATCACGCACAGAAAGCTAACAACTTTCATACGTCCGGCATGGTTGCGACAAAAGGGAAGGCGGTACCGGAAATGCGTCGGTTCAAGTCGTGGGCAGAGGTTGAACCACGGAACGTGTGCTAGAGAGGCGTCGCGGGATTTCATTTGGTGACCTTCAAGAGAAGGAGCAGATCACGCACCGGTCCGCATTCTGTGGTTAACTGCCAGTGGCGTACATCCTGGGTCACGCACAGATTTCTGTAGAGATCAATTTGCCCAGGGCCGCTTTGGGAAGACCAGTTATCTTGACTTGCGCCTTTGCCCTCACCTCTTGTGGTTCATATTCTTCAGCAAGTCAACGCACATGATTCCCGTAGCCCCGAGTCTTTGACTCTTCCCTCGTTGTGGGTGGTCTCACTGGGATCACCTGCTCCTCACCTCCGGCGTCTTATGATTTGCTCGCCGTGAGCAATGTTTGTTTTCTCTGTCGTCCTTTGGAACGGGAAAGTGTACATGGCTTTAAAGCGTCGGCGCGCGCAGCAAACACCATATCCTGGCTTCGCGGTGATTTGCGACATGGAGCCTGGTCTGGAGTGCACTTGGTCGCGAATATGGTACGGACGGGAAAAGGATACTGAAGACTGTCTCGGCTAGTGCATTGTGGGTGCAACTTTGCTGTCGTCCCTGCAGCTTTGGCTCCCCTACCCTACATGCCAGAGGCATGCTACGGAGTTACCGCGTATGATTAGCTTATCCCATACTTTAACGCTTTCTGTGATCATCTTTATGATGCTGCTGACCGTTGTCATTCTGAAGGTTCAGGTTATGTTTCAGACCATTCGCTCGAAGTTGACTTATGTCGGCGGGATCATCGCCAAGACCTGATCTGTCGAATGCGCTTCTGCTTTTTCAACCATCCTTCGATTCGCCGGTCTGTTTCTCGTATCCATGTTCGGTCCGCCCTGTGGGTTACTTGGGATCCCTATTCGCAGGTTCAACTGGTTCAATCCTGTCTTCTTTTGTCTTCAATCATGGGTTTGGCTCTCACCCCAAGTCTACTGTCATTCCGCTGCATTACTCCTGCTTTGGGAGGGGCAATAGAGACTTATTCTCGAGTTCAGCAGTGATGGGACGGCTTTGTGGCGTGCATGTTCCTTTCCCGGATGACAGGATTACACACAAGACAGGTAGATCTGGAGGGATCATGTTGATGATGGGTGAAGGCCTCATGGAGGCTGTGGTTGCCTTGGTTTACCGCGACCGGCGTACGGGCAAGAAGGTGATTGGGAAGTTGCCGGGAGTGTGTTCCAGATCTCGAGCGACGGCTGAATGGTCAATGACTTATTCCGGACTGGATGTGACTTCCGTGACGCACGTCGTAGAGACGGTGATGGGCGGTGTGCGAGTGTGGATGGACGGTCCGAGTTGTGCAAACGACAAGGATAGTTCAATAAGTGGCTAAGTAAAAGTACGTGTGGCCACCCTTCTGACACGGTGCGTGGCGGTTGGGATTGGTCCGAGCGGGGAAAGCTTTTTGCTTCGAAAGCGGATGAGTCCAGCCCTTTACGGGCGCTGTAGGTTGGCGGCAGTGAGGGCAAATGGTGAAGGCTGATAACCTCGTGACCCATGGAGTCCAACAATTTTTTGCGTACCCGTCTTCGTGACGGTTTTCTTGTCTGTTTTCATTTGCAACATTCAGCCCACCGCTATAATCTGGGTGTACATACAATCAGATTATACCACAGTTTTGAACACATGCCCATAAATTTGAAACAGTCAAACTGAGGAAGTATGAGATTATTGTACTAGGCTACAAAGATGTTGTAGATCATCATATGGCATACCCATACACCACTATATCACCGCTGTGACTGTTGCGAGACAACCTGTGAACCTTGTCCTTCTCGCAGGAATCAATATTGTGTGACCGTGTGGGAACTTGCGCTGGGGTAGGTGGGGTGACAGTCATGTGTATAATAGGAAAGCCCTTGGTGGAGGTAAGATCAACCGTCGGACAGGAAGGGGAGACGGAGACAGTCAGGTCGTTGTCCGAACTCTCCTTGCTCCGGGGAAATCTCGAGAACGAGTGGCAGGGGTAACGATCGTTGTGGCGACGGATACGCACGATGACAAGCAAGAGTATGCCGAGGAAGGTGACCATGACCATGAGGGTAAATATGATCATGACAATGGTACCTTGAACTTTGTAAACCTGTATTCTGTATATTTGATGCGCGGGTGCTTACCAAGGCTGAGTGAAACAGACATGAATGAACAACAGATCGTTCTCAGCAAGAGTAATAAAATGAGCTAAGTAACCGTTTCTGCGCAAAGGAAAGTATGCAGGACGAGTGAGAGATTAGTTGTAAAGTGGATTGTTCATTGAAGGCGACCGAATAAGTACGATGTACATAGGGGATTTGGTCTAATTCAGAATCTCACGCTGTTGACCTTTATTTGGAACTGGCTGGCAATGTACTAGTCCTTGGTAGTACATAGTGACAACAGCACGGACGCGTTCATCTACTTAATTATTTTTTATTTCTAGATACCACTCGTCTCTTCAGAGTCGACGGGCTCAGCCCAGCGGAAACGTCCTCACTAATGGACATAGTATTTGGCAGGAAGAAAGGACGGCCCCGCCAGTCCTCGGTTACAGGTCGTGATCTCTCTGAGCATTCTATTCCCTATGACAAGCTTGCTCCTGCCTCTCTGGTCCCAATGCCCGTTGGAACCGTGTCTCAAGGCCTGCGGGGTACACTTTCAAATCCAGTCATTTCAGCTCCTCTCACAAATCCCACTCTCACTCACAATGGGACCGAGATGAATTACAGTCACTTCACTGCTTACCAGCGCAGCAGACTCGAACGAGATCGGGTCAACTCTTCTCGTCCAGATTCTAGCGTCAGTGCAGCAGACTCCTCCACCCTTTACAATGATTCTGTGGTTTCGTTCACCACCGGAAAGCGACCCAAGACGCCCACTCATAAACTTCGCAGAAGTGAAGCATCTGGTTCATCTGGCCGACGTAGTCCAAATGGTGCCGATTTTGGCTCGATTCCTCTCCCATCTTCACCGGCCTTATCTTACTCTTCTCTTCGACCTGGCTCCTCTATGCCTTTTTCGTCAGAAGCCGAGCGCACCTCTCGCTTCTCGAGTTCCGATACTCACTCCAGCCATCTATCGCATTTCTTCCATAAACCTCATTCGAACCAGGAAGAATTCGTCCTTCCCCGACCAGAGAGAGACGAGGATATCGAAGCTCTCTTTGAACACGTATCAGCGACTCGCGACCTCCCTCCGGTGAACAAGCTCACCATTGAACAGAAATGGCAGTTGGTATATGGTGCAGAACAATTACGATGGCAGGAGGAAAAGACTCGAGAGGAACAGGCTCGGAAGCAGGGTGATTCAAGTGCAGCAGGCTCTCTTGGCGAGGGAACACCAGATTGGTACATTAGAAAGTTCCTCGACAACACCATTACTGCGAAACAGGCTTCAAGTGTCTGGGTATCCTTAAAGAGTCACGAAACGAGGTAGGAGGCCAATCCTTACGTTGTAATCGCTGATAACCTTGGTGTTTAGTTGGCTTGAACGCTTCATTGAGCTGCAGGGGGCATCTGTATTGGCGCAGGCGCTAATGCACATAAGCCGTAAAGGTGCCAAGAGGTATTATCGTTGTTCTAAATCCAGGTCCATCTACTAAAGTTTCTCACAGGCTCCAATCTGACACCCTTCTCGAGGGTGAGATCGCCAAGTGTTTGAAGATTATTTTCAACAGTGCTGTATGTTTCTTTTTCATTTGCTCGTCATAGTTCATTGGGCTCAGATCCTTGCGGGTGCTTTAGTCCAGAGTGCGCGATGCTATAAAGTTGAATGGTGTTGTCACTCAAATCGCGTCTTCTCTCAATTCACCTCATCTGCCAAATCGCAAAGTGATTTGCGAAGTTCTCCTCTCTATCATTTACAACGGTACAGACCCTCTTTCATTAGTATTTCCAGCTTTAGAAGCCCTTAGTGGCGCCAATGGCGAGACCCACGGATATTACGATTATTGGTTCAGGTCTCTTGAGAGCGCGCTCTTGGGCAGGGGCAAGATGGGGAGTCTGGTCGGAGCTAGCGAGGAAGTTCGCAAAGGCGCTGGACATGACAATTCCCTCGCAGATTATGCAGTAAGCATGCTTCACCTGCGTTTTAGCTAGAATATTAATTTGTCTCTAGTCAACCAATCTTTTCGTGATTGTTCATATCATAGACGCCATAGAAGACTTGGATGTACGGTTGCACCATCGCTCGTTAATGGACTCTGCTGGTCTTCAGCGTATCATCGCTCTATGTCACGAGATTGGTACTGAGCCTATGGAAGCACAGCTCGCGGAACTGCAGGAAATGCTAGATGAGGATGAACAACGACTGCGGGAGCGGTACGACCAGAAAATACTTCGCGACCTCAATAGCGCTGAAGATATTTGGAATGCCCTTCGTCACAAAACGGAGAGCACAGGTGCCAAGGAGTACTTCCTCTCTATGATGCGGCATCTACTACTTATCCGGGAGGAAGGCCCTGATATGATGCGCCTTTATCAGCTATTGGACTCACTAGTCACGGACGTGGTTATGGACGGGAAACTTGCCACCGCGGAGAAGAGACTTGGACACACTGTTCAACGGATTATTGGCCAGCTCAACGATGCTCAGCGATATCAGGATGCCATTCAAGAGGCTGCTGAAGCTCGTTCTCAGGCTCTGCGCTTAAAGCTTGAGAAGGAGGCCCTTGAAGAGGAGATGGCGCAAGGTTCAGACGGCCTCGTCGGTCATCTTAAGGCACAGGTCGCTCTCCTTGAGCAGAAACTTGGCTCCCACCGGGAAACCACGAAGCGTCTTCAAGGACAACTTGAGACGCAGAAGGCCGGGTATGAGGAACAAATCGCTCAACTGGAAGCTCAAATCATGGAACTGTTCAGAATGCTAAGGGAGGTTGGCAAGGGCTACGAGAAAATCCTTGACTCTAGTTCTGGGACCATGGACCGGAAGACCTTGATAGAGACCCTGAACAAGCATCTCGAACGAACCAAAACCATCAGCATCCTTGAAGGGCGTGGTAAGAAAACGAAAGGCAACAAGCAGGAGGATGCTGAAAATGACGAAGACGACCAATTAGATGATGACGCCACTCCTCGGAAGTCAGATGTCCAACGGGGCGCTAATGGCGGATCGCAACATTCCAAGGCCGCCCGGATATCCGGGGTCCCTAACGGTCACGAGTCGCAATTCATGGATGCTGACGAGGCAGACGAACGAGCACAAATCAACCATCAACTTGTAGCGAATGCCAAATTTGTACGATCTTTTCATTAGCAATGCTTGTAAATGCTCATTGGTGTTGTACAGTTATCGCCTGAAGATGGTGCTGTCGCTAGTCCCCGGAGTATTAACCGCTCACCTAGGCGTACAAACCGTCTGATATCAGGCGATGCCACACCATCACTACCCCGTTCACATCGCGCTAATAATCTTCTCGCGCCTCGGTATGACAACACATTTGATTACAGTGATAACGAATCGTCGCTACGTGAAGACCATGATGCGGAGAGCGAATTTGGTCAATCCACACGCAGTGAATTTACCGCTTTGACCGATGATACCCAACCTACATCTGTCAGCTCGGACAGCTCTTCAGAAGCGACCCGTGGGCCCATTGCTGTGTCCTTCACTGAACAACTTGCTAGAAAACTGCAATCCCGGGGTCGAATACCACCTGTTTCGGAGGATAGTCCAACACCATCTCTGCTTGCTTCCCTCGTCGAAGAATCTGATGTTACGGCAGCACCACCACCGCCGCCGCCACCACCGGTACCACCGAAAGATGATCATGAATCAACCCCGCTAGCTCCTCCTCCTCCTCCGCCTCCTCCGCCACCACCACCACCACCCCCTGGATATCTTCCTCCTATTCCAACTTTTTCCAGTGCCCCGCCGCCGCCACCTCCGCCGCCGCCCTCTTTCCTGAAGGGTGCTACTTCTAACCCAAGTTCTGCATGTAGTTCAGCTCGAGCATCCATGTTCCTCAGTGCAAATCTCAATGTCCTACTTTCTGCTCGCAAAGATATGCCATTTACGCCTAGTGCCAAGATGAAGCAGTTACAGTGGGACAAGCTCCCGCAACAGCAAGTCGGCAAGACCCTTTGGAAAGACGAAGAACCTGAGAAAGAAAAAGAAATGCTCGCTAAATTACAATCTGACGGAGTGTGGATGGAAATGGAAGAAGACTTCAAAGCCAAGCAGTTGATGATCAATCTCATGGGTGTGTTCTCTTCATTTTTTTTGTCATTTTAGTTGACACTTTCTTCCGGGAAAGCTCGGCAGAGGCAAGCTGAGTTGAAGAGTGTCCTTGACCCACAGACGAAGAAACGAGTTGGTGAGTTTTTGGAGCGCCAGAAGATCTTGGAAATACCACTTAAAATCCTCTTTTCCAGAGATACTTATACAGCGGGTGAAGAAGATGGAACCTGAGGAAATTGCACGCCGCATACAGCAGTTCGACCAGGAGATGTGCTCTGAAAACTTCTTGAGCGAACTCAAAGGCGTCCTTCCTACCCCAGAACAGGTGCGATACCTACCAAATGCTTAGGTCTTGGTGGTTAAGTCATGTTTAGATTGGCAAACTCAATGTATACCGTAACGCTGAACCTGAGGAACTGGCTGGATTACACCCTTCTGACCGGCTCATGGTCAAACTTATACAGATTGACCGTCTTGGTCCCCGCATAGAGGGTATGCTTTACAAGTGCAAGTTCGAGGAACAGTGGCTGCTCCTGGACGAGGTATTGTAGTTATTCATTGAGCATTTTAAGCTATTCACCGTCATTACATAGGGTGCAAGGAAGGTGAGCGAAGCAGGAGATGCTTTATTGCATGCCAAGCACTTCAAGGAGGTTCTGAATGTAGGTCCTGAGCTCAAAGTCTTGTTTTTGCCTAAAATAGCTTTTCAGCTTATACTCATGATTGGCAATTACATGAATGGCACAGGGATTAAGGGAGGCGCCTTTGGTTTCAGAGTGAGTAGTATTAACAAGGTAAATCTCTCTTTTTTATTCTCTCGACTTGGCTTAATGTCACTACAGCTTGTTGACACTAAATCGGTCAACAACACCACACTACTCCACTTCCTTGAGCGGACAATTCATAAACATTTTCTAAGCATGGAAGAGTTTTTAGACGAGCTCGCCAAACCTGCAGAGGCTTACCGAGGTTTGCTCCTGCTGTACAACAAGCCTATATCAACTGACATAACTCATCAGTGAATACTCAGGATATCAGAAAGGATCTTGCTGAACTTCGCGATGGTTTGAGACGTATTCGCCAAGAATTGAATGACCATCACACCGACCTAGCACAAAATGACGGGTTCAGCAACCAGATGTGGACCTTCGTCGGAAAGGCAACGTCGAGGCTAGAATATCTCGTCGATGATGTAAATCACGCGGAAACCACGTTCACGGAAGTGGTCAAGTATTATGGCGAGGATGAAAAGAACATTACATCACCGGAATTTTTTGCGGTTTTCAAAACCTTTGTCACTTCTTACAAGGTCAGTGGTCCCGACACGTTGGTACAATGAGGTTACCTAACGTTTTACAGAAATGTAAGATGGAGAACCAAAGCGCTGCTGAGGAGAAGGCTGCGGTTGAGAAGCGGAAGCAAGCTATGGCAGAGACAAGGCAATTGCGCCAGAACGCCAAGGATGCTAGCATACGAGAGGAAGATGAGTCGGTTCTGGATAATTTACTGGAGAAGCTGCGCAGTGGAGACACAGTTACACGTCGCGCAAGAAGGGCTCGTCAGAAACCAGATGCTAAACCTCTCATACTTCCACTCGACACTACCGACGTCGCGCGAGATATGCTGGCTGCTCTTCAAGCCGATGGCTTCGGGACGTCTTCACCTACTATCCCTTCTGCGCCACGACGGCGGACGCGAAGAAGGACTGACCTTGGTGGTGCTGACTCACAATCTGCCCTGTCTCCTACAGTAAGCTTACCAGATCTACCCAGCCCAGACGTAAGAGTGGACTCGAATTTTTCGGACGTGACATAATTCTTTCGCCCGCCTTCTTTAGATGTTTCTTTATCTGTATCGTATCTCTTTGCTTTTAAAAGTCTCGCCACACATCTTACTGATGAAGGACCGTTTGTTTGTCAATGTTCGACCATTGGATCCGATCAAGTTCGACTTTCAGAATTCCAAGTTCTGAACCATTCTCTTTATAACTCTACATTGACTCTATATACATACTTCATATATAACATACCCTTCGAACATGATACCTTCCGCTAGACGTATGTTTTTCTCTCTGCTGCTTCTCGCCTCGCCCCTCGTGCATGCCACCCAGTCCGACAACACGACTCTAGGAATTGAAGTTATCCGCGCTCATTTCCAGGGTGCTGGTCTGGTGCCATACTTGTTGGCGAACTTCACTCCTACTGCGCTTCTGACCGCAACGTATACCGGCGGCGGTATCGTGACCCCGGGTCAACTTCTTCCAAAGTCTCGTAGGTGAATTGTGTTCACCGTAGGATTTTGTTCATCCCCGTGCCAGGGACGCAGACTGCCCCAAACCTTACCATCACACCCGCCAATATGACAACATTGTTAAATGAGAAATACACTCTTGTGATGGTGGATGCCTGGGCTCCGGGACATACTGACCCGCGGGGTCAGATCTGTCACTGGGTTGTCAATGGTGTAATCGTACAAGGTACGGATATGCTCCTTATTGCATCTGTGTTTTGAAGGTTGACGTTGTGTACAGATCACTCTGTATTAACACACGCAGGCGTGGTGGTAGAACAATACAGGGGTCCAAATCCACCGTCCGGGAGTGGACCACACTGGTTACTATTGTCTTCTTCCTTTAAAGAAAACACTAGTTCTGATATCCTCCAGTTATGCTGTCTTACTCTACGCTCAGCAGTTTCTAACCGTCCCTCCGCTGCAGAAGTTCCATACCCAAAACAATGATCCAGGATTTTTCCACCTCGCGGATTATGTTAAGGTGTGGTCGCTTTTCTCGTTGTAGATCTATCATTAACAGGACGCCTATAAGGCCTCGAACATTGGACCTCTAATTGCCGTATGTGTTCTGCGAGGAATACATTTTCTGTCACTAATTATTTGATCAAGGGAACCTACTTCACGGTCGAGGAAGGGGTGGCTACCTTCACGCCCTCTCCTACATCTCCTATTATGACATCTACTCTCCTAGCTTCAGGATCTAGTGGTCCGTCCGCATCAGCTGCTGGTTCAGTAGCTCAGCACAATGGTGCACTCTCTTCATCAAGTAATTACTTAACCATCTTCCTTGCGCCCTTCTTGTGGCTTCTAGCGTTATAGTTACTTTTACTTCACTCAGTCGTTGTGTACAAATCATATGAATCATAAATTATCATGAGTAAGACAGGATATCCAAGCTGATGGGTCTTAAAGCAACGCGGCCACTAGCTTCCAAACCTTTCTCTCGCCTGTAGGGTATTCGGATGAGTACCAAGGCACCATGTCGTATATTGATTTTGGCCGAAAGTGACTACACTCACCGCATCCTGTGCCATGTGCACATAACCAGCATAACCATCAGTATACTTTCCCAACTCCCTGCCTTTGCTAGCACCTAAGCCTACCCCTTGTGCATAAATGTTTGTTTGGCTGAAGTCGCACGATTCATCAGCGCTTGGCCATAGATAATTAATGCATACATACATTGGATCCACCCTGCCTTCGCCATCGGTGCCTAGCCCAGAACCTTCCTTCCAACCCATTATTTTCAGGAGTTTATTGCCGACATTTGCTTCATCCTGTCCAGGATTGACTACTGGGGGGGGTGAAGGGGGAGGAGGCGGGCCTTCAACGTGCCGTCTCTTCTTACCGATTGTACTGACAATGTTGTCGGGTAAAGGTACGTCAGGCTGGTTATGCATAATACGTCGTTCTGATGCTCGATCACGATATTTGGGCTGTTCAGGAGCCTTGTCAGCAGTCTGACGAGCAGCTACAGCTTTTTCCCGTGCAACGTCTCTCAGATTAGCGTCCTTGAAATTCTTCTGTATAACAAGAAGGATAGATTGCAATGAGAGAAACCGTCAGCCCACTCTGACAATATTGCATTTGTAAGAGGCGCGCCTTGTGGAGATCGGACTCTTTATTGTGACGCTTCAATTGATCAAGACTCTTGAACTGCCGGGCGCAAAGCAAGCATGTCATGGCAGTAGTATCAGAGAACTCGAATTCGATTTCAACAGGTTCCGGAGAAGGTGCTTTGGATGGTGTTGTTGCAACCATAGTCGGCGTCACAACAGCCGGGGAATTGGCCTGTAGAACCTGAATGATCAGCTACTTGTTCTTGGTATTACAACACATCTGCAAACCGGCGCATGGGCATTCGGGCCATCCTTCAGTTCTTCTTGAACTTGATTCCATTTCTGGATATTGCTGACGGTCTGATACGAAGACCGAAAATCATTTTTTCTGACAACTCCTACATGCGCGAACGAACCTTTTTGCTTGTGATGAGCGGAGCGACCATCTTCGACGCTGTCACTGCCACCAAACAAATGTCAATTACCATGCTCAAATAATTGAAGAGAACATATGGAAGAACCTTTGTTGTCTTCAGCGGAAGTTCCTGGCTCGGCGTCATCTTCATCATCGGCGAAGTCTTCGGCAGAAAAACCCAGTGATAACTGTCCCGGAGCCTTTGAAGTCGATACATTAAGCTTACTTCCAAGGGCACCTCTGTTAAAATTGAGTGTGACAGGTTTATCTGAGATAGGCAATACTGAAGGCGCAAGAGGCTTGTGCAAGGCATCATCTAGTTCCCTGCTTAATTAGTGAGAGAAAGAAAATTTTGTTGGCGCACCTTTTTTCTTCTTTTCCTTCTTCTCTTTGACGGGCCCAGTTGAGGGTTGGACCTGGGGTTGCGCAGGTTCTTCCACTTTGAACTCCAACACAGCAACCATGGCAGAGTCATCCCAATACTTTACAAATGCGCCTTCAACTCCACCCAGGTTCATGGACGACGGAATTGCAGTTTCATCGCGCAGCATATGATCAACTGGTTGGAATGAGTATTGATGAGCAAAGGAAGCGGCGACTGGCTTGTCGGAGATTCGAAAGCCTGAAGGGTGAATATGAGGAGACATGCTAGTAGCCAACACTGAAGCTGCAGACTGTAGAAGAAACCGATCAGAAACCAATGTTGAACCACTCTTCGTCACGTTACCTGATTGTCGATAAACTCAACAAATGCAAATCCGAAGCTGGCCAATGTGACCCTATCTTTAATGAGGATAATGCGTTTCATGCCTTTAGCTCCGTTTTTCCCGGGGCCTGCTGAATTCATCATGGCCTGAGCAATTGCTTGCGGCCCCGACAGCGGATCTAGACCACGGAAGAGTAGCACTGGCCCTTGAGTATTGCCAATGTCACGCGTGCCATCGTTCATGTTCTGGCGACCACGAGCTTTGTCAGGCAAAGCACTTTGCGAGTAGTCGATCTTGACCCGTCGACCATTGTGGGGAATGCCGGTCTCAAGGGCCTTATAGAATGTAGCTGTCGCTGAAGCGCCGTGCGAAGCGGGTGGAGGCACCTGAATAAACGGGAATATGGGATCCACAAATGCACGGGCATGTTCAACACTCGCGAACTGGGCAAAGCCGAAGCCCTTTGAGATACCTTCAAAAATTCAACGGCCACAAACGTCAATGCACGGCATGAATATGAATACGAATGGGCAAGTGCCTGTTGATCTGTCTCTTATAATGGTGACCGTTTCAATGTTGCATCCATTGTTGGACAGGTATGCCTGCAGCTAAAGTATAGCATAGATTCAGCTCGGTACTCGAAGATATGTAAAGTGCGTCGACAAACATCCGCCTCAGAAAAGTCAGGATCCAGTCCTAGGAAGATGACGTGGGGACTGGGCTCGCTAGGGACTAGGCGCTTTTTTCCTTGAAAGCCTTTCTGGTGCCTGTCGTCTTGAGAATGATCGTATGCAAAGTCCTGTGGTCTGCCATGAGAATGTTGATTGTAGGAATTCTCGTAGGTGTGTTCTTGGTAGGCAAGGCTCGCGTCGTATCCCTAATGGACACGAATGAGAAAAGGAATAAGTTTGACAGAAAGACCACGCACGCCATTGTTGAATTTCCTACGCTTCCCATCCCCGTAGTCATCATCCCTTCCTCTACCTCCTTTGTCAGCAGTCCATGCCCCACTGTCGCCCCAGTTGTCCTTCCCTTGATCCCAGTCACGGTTATAAGCCATGGAATAAAGAGTTAACACAAATTCCCTTAAAGGATGATGAAAGTCAAGAAGCAAAAGATATTCATGAGGAACTACACAGAGACACTGCCAATAAGCGCAGCCAAACAAGCCACAACAACATCACTCCCTCAATAGTACGACCATGGCAGTACCTAGTGAGCAGTTCGTAATTTAACAATGCTCGAAGATATATTGACAACTTGTAAACGAATAAAGGTTTTTTGAAGGTTTGGATGTATTCTTGAACTCAAGCCCCATTTTCTAAAACGTCCTTTAGGTTGATCCCGCAATTGAAAGATGGAACCGCATGGTCAGTCGGGTTCAACCGTGTGCCTTTGTCTTACTGAAATTTCCTCTGTTTCTAGCGTGAAGATGCGTATAAGCACTTCAGATTTACTCCACGGACAACGTGGGTCACGATGTGTGGGTTCGTACTCGTGCCAGGAGCGATATATTACCTGGCAAGCAAAACACACGTACGCTGCCTCATTTACATTCATTGCAGGATTCTGATGTGGTTATTACAGTTGAAATGGAAGTGGGCAGGCAAGAGAAAAGGGGAGGCATTGACACAGGCGTGATTTTCGATCATATATCGCACTCCCTGCATAGTGCCTACTATGACTTAGATATATCCCATCCACTGTCTCTATTTCTATTGAGACCAGCGTGTTTCAGAATCTCTTACATAATTCTATGGCCACCTTGCAACCACCACTGATAACTGCACTAAGCAGTGCATGCGCAGGAGCTCGCTGAGAGTAATGCTCAACAGCAGTGTCCAAGTGTTCCAACTCGTCATCTCTAAATTCTTTGATAACGTCCCTCAGAAGTGGGATGCTTGGATGGGATGATGGCAACAGCTCAAAGTCTTTCAGTTGGCTGAATTCGCTGGAGCGTAAGACTTGAGGGCATAACAGCTAAAAACAGGGACAAACTCATCGTAGTGCTCTCCTATGACAGTCTCTACTGCCTCTGTGCAAGCCATCGCTGCTTCTTTGCCCATAAGGGCCGTTGCCACTCCGAGTGCATAACCAGCAGCTTTGGCGACGTCGGACAACAACGTTGGTCGTACCTCATGTTGTAGCTGTAATTTGTCCATCACTTCTAAATGTAGTTTTTCTTGGTCCCACATTTCCTTCCGCCAGAATAAGTTGATTGAGCCTGGTTGGACTGCTGTTTGAAATGCTCACCTGAATCAAGGGCCCAACTCGCGGGTCGCGGCCAAGGACAGCGAATTGTCCTCGATAAATCCAATTAGCCGCAATCTCACCAGCATGATCCACGCGCAGCGCTCTATCCAGAATTTCCCGTTGCTTTGGGGAAATGTCGGGGGACGTAGAAACCCCAGGCTCCTGGCCCTTTGAGGGGTTCGTGTAAAAATTAGATGCTTTGCATGTGATAGTTCTTGTCAAGGGCCGTAGAGCATTTGCGGCCTGGAAACGACAGACTGCCAACATTTGTAGCCTAGGAGCAAAGAGTTGTTACTTTCCACGGTCCGTGAAATGGCCAAAAAGGGAACAAGCGAACTTCAAATTCGTCTTTCAAGTTGACCATCGTAGCTATTGTTATATTCGTGCAATCGAAATGACCTCGAAGTACGCGTTTATATAACGACTATGCCTTAATTTGCTGCATGATTTCATACAGGTTTACCCCTTCGCAAGCTGTTGATATGTCTAAGGAGAAGGACTGGTCGATGAACCTCGGTATCTTCATTCATGGCTCATCGTGAAACGCGCCTGATTTTTCATCATAGGGATGCTTGACTGGGATAACACGAGCATCGTATTCACCAAGCGCAGCCTGGTCGAGTTCCTCAAGTAAGTAGCCTGTCAAACGTCTTACCGATACCTGCGATGCTCAGGATCCATCCAGATACACAGGGACCACTGTTGATCCTGGGTTCAGCAATATTCAAAAGCTGCCTCGTGAGTAATTGAAAATATCTCCCTTAACGAGAAGTGCTCATTTGATGCACAGGATATGCCAAATTTGGCAAGCTAACGAGCACCGAGGAGGACCCGCCTGGTGATTCTGGCATTTGTGACCTAGTTTTTGGTCTTTGACAAAGTTGGAATAAACAGAGACAGCCACGAGTCCCACAATTTCTTTATCCGAAAGCAACAGACTTCTTGCAGAAGAATTCACGGACGATGCATTATCCACTGCGCCCCCACCGCCAACCGCGACACAGGTGCAGTGACATTCAGATGCTTTCTTCTCCAATTTAACATCGAGCATTGAGCCTGTTCAAACTAGTTCTCCGGGCGACCCGGATGACTTCAAGCCTACGAGGTATTGTAGCCTCAACGGTTTTGTTATGCAAACTAATGAGGTTAACTAGACGCGTAAGAACGCAGCCAGGCGGTCATGACTCTATTGGCAATTTGTTCGGCAGTGAACTACCCCAGGCTCAATTTATTCCCACTCGCAAGTAGGTGTCGTTTGCTTCGCTGTCTACTCTCCACCTATCCCAGCTATAGGGTGCGACAACGTCCAGGAGGAGAAGACAATATCGAAGGTGTAAGCATGCGCCACAATTCGGTTCAACTTGAGTTATTGATTTCGTGGTAGCTTTTCTAGAGGGTGAATGCTTTGTATGGAAATACCAGGGCGAAATCGAGAAGTACCGAAGCTGTTTTGTTGTCCAACAACTTGTGGCCATTACTACCATATCGTTGTTCCTTTATCTTTATTGTGAATGCACATGCACTGTTGTGTTAATGAGCAGGAATCGAGAAAAAAAAAAAAAAAAAAAAAAACATGGTAGCGGCGAGGTTCGAACTCGCGCGGACTTTCGCCCATTGGGATTCAGATCAGTTCTTAAATCCAACGCCTTAGACCAACTCGGCCACGCTACCAATCACCTGATTGCAAACTGTGATCATGTTAATCAGCACAATGTTTAAAACGTGACAGATATATGGGGGGATAGCTGCTCAAGCTATGCTATAACGCTAGAGACGACGCTATTCCTTATCATTATAATGTCCTTTCCAAAGACACAAAGCGAATGGCGAACTGCGTTAGATGCACTTCCTTCTACCCCAAAGAAAATACCTGCTTTCTTCTTTGGGCACGGGTCCCCGATGCTCATTGCCAGGCAGGTCACAAACTCATTCATGTCAAGTACCATGGGTCCGGAGGGTGACCTCGCAAATTTTTTGCGTGATTTCGGACCAGCTTTGAGGGCCAAGTACAAGCCGAATGGCATTGTCGTATTCAGCGCTCATTGGGAAACGATAGGGGAACGTCATGGTAAGGATTACAGTGTACTCCCAAGGAACCCTTAGCTGACATCAGGTCTGGCAGTGACGGACTACGGAGATAGGAATCCTTTACTCATGGACTACTTCGGGTTTGAGCCTTATTATTATCAACAAGCATTTGAATCCAAAGGCAACCACGCTTTGGCTGAGCGTATTGTTCTGTTGTACAAAAAGGTCTCTCACCAGAAATTTATTCACTTTCCTCATACCAGTTCTAAAATGTCTTTAGGCAGGTCAAGAAGGCAAGCTCTCCGGCATTCATGAGAGCCGTGGATGGGATGGCCGGACTTCTCCACCACGTCAAGGCCCGGGATTCGATCATGGGGTCTTTGTTCCTTTCAAGCTTATGTTCGGGGACGAGGTCGACGATGTGCCTATCGTTCAAGTATCCATAGAAAGGTCTGGTGATCCAGAAAAGAATTGGGCAGTCGGAAAAGCCTTATCAAAACTCAGGTTTGTACTATCTGGGTCTCCTCTTTATATTCGCACCTTCTAGTACTAAGATCTGACATCTACGACATCTCTCACTCATAGAGAAGAGGGGATCCTCATTTTAGCAGGTGGTCTGACTGTTCACAATCTTCATGATAGAAAGCAATTTTCAGAGAAGTCAGCGTCACTCAATGTGACGATGTTCGATCAGGCAATAACAGTGGCTGCATCCAAGTCCCAGGTTTATACTGCATACTCATCTTTTTCTTCAAAATTGCTCATTTTTATCCTTGACAGCTCTATGAACGGAAGCAATCACTATTCGATCTCATGAAGCACGATGGCTTCGCACAGGCTCACCCCTCTGTTGAGCATTTTGTCCCGCTGTACGTCGCAGCAGGTGCAGGTGAGGAGGGAGGCGTTCAGGTCGTCAGTGCCATTTACTCTGCTCCGACCATTGCATTCGGCATTTGATCATATGCAGAAGAATGTACTTTACACTAGAAGCTACGTTACATCGAACAAGATGAACATTCACATTATAACCGGTGTATGGAATGAAACACAGCAATAAGAAATCAAACACAGATTCCCGGGAAGCAATACGATGAGAAGAAAGGATGAAGTTCAGGTCATAAATTGATGCATTTCTCAACTTCGAGGGCATTCTGGTACGTCAATGAGTCTCCTGCGATATTATAATGCACTGACACGTGCTTCAAGTTGCATTGTTGTGCAAGATCACTGCCAGTGGTAAGTGAAGTGCTCACCGAACGAGTCCCTTTCATACAAGTAGTCTACGCACAGACAACTCTTGATGATCTCTTTCTTTAGACTTTGGGTTTCACGTCGCAGATAGCTCGGGTACGTCTTGATATTAATATCCAAATTATATTTCTTGCAATTTGGCCATCAGATTACTCATAATTGATACCTCGAGTTCGTGATCTCGAGCAATAACCGCACGTTCTGGCTAAATCTGGTTATCCGCTTCTGACTCCCACTAACTTCAGAAGTCAAGCCGAACTCTGATGCTGTTGGGTATGACAACACCATGGATCACACGCTCATTCCACTTGCCCCTGACCAATAGTGTAGCGTCCGCGATTCACGCTATCACTGAATTGGCCTAGATCTAACGGAACGGACCATCGTTTTTCAAATATTTCAAATCGATTTCAAACATTGGTTTATTCCGCAGTTTCGCGATATTTTGCCATGGAGCCATCAATTGTTGCCTATCAGCAAGGATCGGGAATTCGAAGGCGGCTGCTTTAAGCTGGAGGCCCGAGGGCATTAATATTGTGGCTCAGCGTTCAACGTTCAGCGGCGGAGTCAACTGCGTTACTCACAAGATTGCATTCGGTCTCTGATCTTATATATCTGTTTTGTACTGGAAGCTGGACCAGGATGAGCTTTCCAAACTATTCGATATAATGAACTCAGATCAAACACAAGCAACTCGAAAGCAACGAAAATACAGGGAATACCATTACGACAATATTGAAACAAAAGAAAGGCATAGAGTTCATCAAAGCCGGATATCTCCAGCAAAAGACCATATTCTGATGTCTCCATCATCACTACCAGAGATAATTTTGTCCTCACCAAGGCCCAAACATGTTACAGCGCCACGATGTCCGACCAATGTAGCTGTACATCGGCCCTCCTCGCGGTTCCACACCTAAAGCAGATATTTAAATTTCAATGTGTATGATTATTCAAGAACAAGACGGACCTTGATAGTACGGTCATGACTCCCACTGATTAACCGCAGCTTATCACTCGCTACCGCCCAAACACCTTCAATATGGCCGAATAGAGTCTGGGTGGCTTTTGCCGTATCAATGTCCCAAACCTTGATAGTGTTATCAAGGCTTCCAGAAATGAGCACCGGCCTCTTAGCACGTTTCCGACTGCTACCTGCCAGCACTTCCCTAGTGACACGATCAAGGCTCTTGATGTCCTCCATACTCTCGTTATTAGCATCGTGTGTGATAACCGTGCAAACTTCGAAGGAGTTCATCGGGTTTCCAACTCGGGCGACATGGGCCATGTTATTGTCCGCGATGCGCTGCTCTTGGCGGCTGACGCCTTCATCACACCGCTCGTCTACCTCCAGTAGTTTCAAGCTCTGCACTTGTCCCACGTGTCCCGTGAACTGGCGCACGCATGTCCGCCGTGCAAGGTCCCATAGGCGAATGGTCCCATCATCTGAGGCCGAAAACAATAGCGTGCCTTGACATATCCTTGGCTCGCTACCCGATCCGCAGCCCATCTCAACATCCACCGGATCTTCAGACCCCCATAGCCGCACGGAATTGACCCAGTCACGGTGCCCACGAAGCGTGAACGCTTCGCCCGTGCGGAAGTTCCATACCTTTACAGTGGTATCCACACTCCCGCTAGCAAGTACGTTGGAGTCGAAGTTGAGACAAACGACACCCTCCGTATGTCCCTCAAGCGTACGTATGCACTCTCCACTTCTCCAGTTCCACACTCGAATGGTGTGGTCCATACTCCCTGTGATCAACTTCGCCTCGTCGAACTGTAATGCCCGCACAGCACGCGTATGTCCACGGAGACAGCGTACCTCGAGGCCGGTCTCAATGTTCCACACACGCACAGTACGGTCGTACGAACCCGTGATGAGGATCGGGAAAGAAGGATGCTGTAAGGTTTCATTGAACTGGAGACACATAACACCATCTGTGTGCCCACGCAGCGTCCGGACGGAACATCGTCCTCGACGCCAATTGCGCTCGACTGATAAGCGCTCTGAATATACATCCTTCCAAGGCCGTGTGAACGGCAAGGCGTCAGGTATTTCGGAAACGAACAAGTCAGGGGTATGATGAGGTGGGAATGAAGGAGGAGACGATGATGGAGACGCGGAGTTCATACGGACGACGCGCTTTCGTTCGAGAATAGGTAGCCCCCATCCACATTTAAGGCATTTTTGCCCGATATGTTGTTCACATATTCCGCGCCATAGGACGTCGTCATCGGCTAGGCTTTTCCACTGCTTGTTCACTTGAGCAGCTCGACAAAGAGAGGTAGCGTCGAGACACGCAAGGATTCTGAGGGACACCTCGCGGGGAAGCACACTGAATGGGTCAATGCGGATTAGCTGACCGAGCTGCTCCGTTAACAAGGAGAGCTGAGAAAAACAGCACATAGTGAGGATGCCCTGGAGAATGAGTTCTCGCCTTGGGTGTGAAGACGAGGAAAAACCGGACCAGATGGCATTCACAGCTTCTCGCTCCTGTACAGGGAGAGCATCAAGAGCCTGGAGAACTTAGATCAGTAGCCGAACAACAGCTCACGATCGGCTAATGTCAGACACACACCTGCTGAAGCTTTAAGTTGGTACCCTCGTCTGCCATTCTCTGGTGGCGAACACATAGTTTTCTCTGAGCAGTTGGAGTGGTATACATCTCAATGTCCGAGATTGTTTGGAGCGGAGATGAGCCGGCAGAAGAAGACTCAAAATTCGAGAAAGGTGAAGGAGATCGATTATGGTCTAGATCAGGAGTTGGGCCTAAAGTGAGACGTGGAGCAGGCAAGGTATCGCATTCATATGATCCACTTGTTGAAGTCTCCATGGGTGAAAGAATGAAAGACTGAGAGATTAAATAACAATCTCATGCTACCATTAAGTAGTCGAATGAAGTCAAAACTTTCCCCACTCACGAACATCTCACGCAACATCACGCAACTAGCTTGTCACACCATGTCACGCAATTTCAGCGAACACGAGCTTGGAGCAGCAACAAAACATCTGCTCGACGACAAGCATAATAATACTAAACATCATGTGTACAGTGGTACAGTGGTACTGAACAGACCGTGGAAAATCAATTCAACAAAAATATGACGTGAACACGATACAGAATCAATACAACACAGACAGGATACACGCACTCGTCGATCAATATTATAGGATACGCAGAAATCAGATACTAGCCTCCTTCCTCTCAATCAATCGAGCGTGATCTTAAGCTGATCCAGAGGTATTGGTACAAAAGTATCCAAGTCGATTGACCGTGAGCGTAGCTCCGCCTCACGGTGTGGCGGAACCAGGAGTCGGTTCAAGTCTGGTCGCACCGACAACTCTGTTATGAACTGTTCAGCAGCCGTTGACATTCCAAAATTTCTGTCAATACCTTCCCGTGTGAAGTCAAAAAGACGAGGGAATTCCTTCCCGTTCGGCATCCTTGCACCCTCCACTCGTAGTTCGTCAAAGAATGAGTGCACCATAGCCTCTACTGCGCTTAAACGTGCTCCCGGTGTATATTCCAGTAACTTCGCAACCAAATCAATCGCCTCGGGCGCAGTGCGTGGTCGGAATACCTGTTGTACGTAAGTACACGAGGTAACAACGCCACAAAACGGCGGTGATACCTTGGAGAATGGATGAGGCTTGATTTGAGGGAACTTGTGCTCCATGTAATTTGGATTCATCGTCTTAATTTGTTCTCGTGATGGCGTCCCAAGAACCTTGATGATCTCCACCAACTGGTCGATGCCACTCTCCCCAGGGAACAAAGGTTGGCCTAGCATCAGCTCTGCCATCACACAACCCGTCGACCATATGTCTAAAACAGCGTTACTCTCCCCCCACGCAGTACAAGATAATATCATTACCCACCAATGTTTGTTGTGTAGTTGGTAGCACCGAAAATAAGTTCAGGTGCTCTGTAGTACCTCGAACAAATGTAACTAACATTTGGCTCTCCAGCGATGAGGATTTTTGCTGAGCCGAAATCGCACAAATTCAGAACGCCCGTGGCCGGGTTCAGCAGGAGATTCTGAGGTTTAATATCGCGATGACAGATGCCCACTGAGTGAATGTAGGCAAGTGACCGGAGAAGCTGATACATGTACAGCTTGATTTGAAGCATCGGCATAGGCTGCTTCAACTTTGTGTAATGACGGCTGGCGCGGTAAACGGTGTCTGGCACGTATTCAAGAACAAGATTGAGGTAAACTTCGTCCTTCTAAGATTTAAGTTGAAATCAGCGCCAAGATGAGGAGAGAAGGATATTTTTCGAACCTTTTCTCCATTGGAGTAGAAAAAAGCTTTGAGGTCGACGACGTTTGGATGTGACACAAGTCTCATGATTTGTAGTTCACGATTCTATTCGCGCGATATCGATAATATCATGCCGACAAAAACCGTTCCATCAGCATCATCTTGAAAAGTGGTCCACATCACGACCAGCGCAGAAGCGCAATGTGACGAACAAAAAGGATTACGTACCTTGAATCGCTTGTCCTGCAGGACTTTCTTGATGGCTATATCCTCTCTATCCTTTGACTCTCCTACGAGTTTTGCCTGGTATACGACTCCAAAAGAGCCATTTCCAATGACTTTGCAATTTGTGTAAGCAATCTCCCTCTGTTCTGATGTTTTTCCATCTGTTGCGATGACCTTGACAACCTTGTGGGGATCGTCGATGGCTATTTGAGTAAAGATATAATCAGATGAAGATGACATGGACATGATGGGGATAGAAGGAGGCAGTGAATGAAGACGGGAAATGACGGGGGAGGAATGACAATTACAAAAGAGACATAGCGACCAAATTTGGATGTAGAAAGTGTGGAAGTTGATTGAGAGAGCACGCACGAGATATCTTAACACCGTTTATTGGGACATTGGATGCCATCTGTAAAAAAAAAAAAACTCCTCCTTGCAGGAAATCGCAAGTGTTCTTTGAAATCGGAAGGAACAAGAAGTGGCACGACTGGTAGCAAGCGCCTACTTGATGTTGATGATGCGGCAGTACTAGAGCAATTAGAGCAAACTCGCAGCTAAAAAAACAGCAAAAGAGTAAGGGGACTAAAAGTTAGTGCTGGGAATGTTAATGAAGGCTTGTTGGGAGTTGAAAACAATATATCGTTGATGGGAAGAAGAGAAGGTGAACGACCAGGAGAAAGGGTGACTTGAGATCCTGTGACCCCAATCATCCTCGACTGCCAAGCAGACGCAAACATCCAAAGCTTAGTCTTCAACAGAACTAAGCCTCGAAATTTTTGGATTCAGGTTCTACGACAACGTCGTTCCATCGTCAACTAGTCATCAATATTATGTGCAATATCCTCTCTATAACTCAACCATAGCCTCGTGTTCATACCACAAGACTGAACCGTTACAACGGCTCTTAGGACCCTGCCCGACAGCCCGAATCCCAACCTTTGCGTCACAAGGCGCTACTGAGAACCGCACTCAGATTTCTACACTTCGGAGGCAGTTTTTTGATGCCATCAATGCCTCCAGCGAATCCATGAAATCCACCGCATGATGGCATTCGTGGCACCCTTTTCAGGGTACGTCAACCTGAGATTTTCATATCAACTTACGCTCCTCCGTTATGTTTGGACTCATTCGGAGTCGCATTCCGAGGCCTACCAATTAGGCAATTCAGGGGTCACTACATTCATGCTGTCCATGCATAAAATAGGTCTGTGCGTCGACTTGTGTCTCAGACCCCGTTATCGCAGCAGTGGCGCCTGACACATAACCGGAGACTGTAAGTCACAGGTCTCGCTCACGGGTTCTACTATTACATAAGTCAAGCCAAGGCTTTGTTTCCTGATAAGTAAGCTGGACTTGTTCTTGATGAACCTGGCCGTACGTAACATCCACACAGCCCGTCTCATTCAGATACCGCGAATTTCCGCAGATATTTGATCAGCCCAGAAAATGTGAGACACAAGAGACGCTTAAGGTTCGCGGATCAGTGACTTGTCACTATTGTTTGCTTTAATCGAGGTATCGTTTCGTTGGTTCAATAATGTTGGAGTTCCATGGCTTCGATTTGCCAGGGCTCCGCGTCTCTCGCATGACCCTTGGTTGACCAGCCTCAGGACCATGGCGTGTTCAAGCCATTTTGGTGGACGCTAAAGTGGCTCATTGAGCATATCGATCATACAGTGGTTCCTTGCAAAGTTCGCATTGCTCAAAGGTAATTGGTCTCAGATTCAGAAAATGAAATCCTTTATTCAAGGATGGAAGCTCCGGCGGCTCCACTTCTGACGCAATTTCAGACTGGTATAGGTCTGCCCACTTTCGTGATGAATATCCTCAAGGTCATATTTTGCACAGCTATGCGCAGCGGGGCTGCAGCTGCAGGAGTGATCAGCTTTCAAATATGATATTCATTTGGCTGAACCCCCGACCACTCGGTCACCCAACACTTTTTCAGAAGTTCTCACGATCTGTTAGACACAGTTTAGTTGGAGAACTCTTGAGACCTGCCTCTCACCAGCGCCTCACCTTAACTCCTGAAGAGGTACGGCAGTACCCTTGCAAGCCACCCCACGGACTCATCCACAAACCGGCCATTTTGAACACGTCCCCCGATCGACACTCACAAGCTATGTAATGTTGGGAGTGGCAGGGGTTGATCACTCCCGCACTTCCCACTAATCACGTGGACAGAGTTGAGGTGAACTTTGAGGGCGGAACTTCAAGTCAAGTTTGCCTCCGTGGAGACCCCACCGTTCTACGTCCAACGCATCACTGTGATGTCAAGTCAGGGTATGTTTCTCCGTGGCAATTCAGCATTCAGATTCATCGAACAACCCTAATACGCAGTCACTACTACGGGTGGCATTCAAAAACTCTCGGTCACTTCAACCTCCGAGAGGCTCGCGCATCGTCAAAGCACGTATCGCCAATAGATGTCTTTCATCCTCTTTCCTATTACAGTGTGGAAGCTACAACATCATAAACCACGGGCACTGTTGCGATCGATTTCAAAAGTTGTCCCTGCACAATCAGGTGCGATACATCATGTAAGTAGGCATGTTGGAAGGTTTTTCCATGTTGTCACAAATCAAATCAAACTACATACTCCCACTCCCCATACTTGCCAACTTTTCGTTGGGCTTCAATACAGGTAGGGTGCGTGACCGAAGTTGTCCGTAAAAGTGAGCGTTAACAGTTGGCTACGTTTGGCATAACGAAGAGACTCAAACACGTCTGTCGATCTCCGGTAAAAAAAAAAAAAGTGGGAAGTAGGGCCAATCTTTGACCTCATTCGTTCACGACAAACACGGCAGGGTAACGCCCTTGCACAACCTACCCCTGTTAGTGTACAGCAAGGTGGGTAAATGAATAAAACGCGGCGTTTGCATTGATAAAGTGAACAGATAATAGCTGCGTGACCATGCAAACGAGGATGCCACCTTCTCGTAAACCTGATTGTTGTATCGATCATATCTTGGCCGGCGTAAGCTGGGTATGCGTGTATTCCTCGTGCGCGATGTAGGATGAGGTGAATTGTGATCCCTATCATCGATTGTGAGCGTTTAGTGACTGCTTTAGGGCAAGACGATCGCCGTGCCGAGATGAGCCTTGTCCGCTGTTCCAGTCGCATCATCTTCCTACCGACCCTTCATGAACCTGGGCCGTTAAGCACGGGGAGTTTTACCTATGTGAAAAGCCGAAATGTTCCAAATCATGGGTGCTTAGTATTCTAGCTGGCAAACAGACCCTCCACCGCGTTTTCAGAATTTCAGGCTTCTAGGCGCCTTTTTGTCTTTAAAAACGCGAGTGATTGGAGACGGCGAACATTCGTACCACCTCTATAGTCATGAATATCCCTGTAAGCTCTTTCCGCGAGATTACGTCGTCTTGAACTTACTACCATCTTCAGAACGTTCACGCGCCTCGCAATGAGGATGATGTTGAGTCGCAATCCGTGACCCCTGTCGCTCTAGATGACCGCAACCATTTTCTTTTTGAAAGGTTTGCCCTGAATCGATGGTCGTCTGGTTTAACTCACACCGTTTCTAACAGTTTTGACGATTCGTTCTGGCGCTTGTCTGGATGTGAAAAAGGCGACCACTCGATGAACAAGCTGCAGATATCTATGTCGCAGCCTGCATGTGCACTGCATGGCGAATACGCTAATGTTGATTCAACTATCCCTATGATCGGCGACTTTGATCAGAACTTTATGCCTAATGGGGAGCATCATGAACCATCCTCACTGTTGCCATTCGGTAGCGAATGGTTCCAGCACCAACACTCCATTTCAGGGCTTAATTTTCCTTTTCAAGACACAGAAGGCATTCAAGACGACCATAGCTCACTTTTGCTGGCGAATGATGAGCAAGGTCAGGTGTTCTAATCCGGAGCAGTGTGTTGAATCTAATGATAGCTATTACGCAGATGCTATGACCATTCTGGAGGATACTTATGCAGATGACTTCCACCATCGAGCCATTGTCGGTGGTGATGTGAGGGATAGCAGGTCGACACCTGCCTCCACAGCGTCTGGTGATCCGAATATCCTTCGGTGTCAACACCATGTGCAAGGTCAACCCTGCGGAGTGCTTATCAAAGGAGGATTCCCCGGCATCTTGAAGCACTTTGCCTGCATACACGTTCGTCCCCGCATTTCCGCGAACACAAGATCCGACCATCCCTCGGAGTTTTGGATTTGTCGCTGGGGCGGCAAGTGTGACAGCTGCATCCGCAAGGAAGGCTTCAAAAGACATGTTCTCGGCCACCTCGTCCGGTGGAAATGTTCCACTTGCCCGTTGACATACTCCCGAGATGATAGCGCGCGAAAACACGCCAAAGATTGCGGAGACGGCAGGATCATCATGGTACCGCGGCTGGAGGGTCGTCCGCGACGGCTGTAAGAAGGGGGAAGAACAACGATACACAGCTCCCTTTGTGTACTTATATGAAGAGGAATTATGGGAATCTTTACGGTTGAAAGTTCTGATGATATATTTATAGCTCGAACCCATCGAGTATGTACGTACTATACTTACTCGCGGCAAACGTTCAAATCGTTCGCTCCCTAATTCTAATTTCCATCTGTACATATGATCCTTTCGAAAGCGGCTAGTCACAGTTTTGCAACAAAGTGCAGTGACGGGAAATCCCAATAGGCTGTTTGAGTTGTGTCTATAGACTAGATGCCGTAGTTTGCATTTCGTACGTTATTTACGGGTCGTACATCATACTTTCTGATTGCTAGTTGTATCGCTATAATTCACCCGAATAGAGCCCATGATCCAGAGGGCTGCAGTCATTGTGTGTGCGAGACTCGCTGAGATTGATAGAATATTTTGCAGCTGTTGCGATCTTCTTGAATGTCGGTTCGGGCGGTACAACAAAATCCTCCAGCTCGCAAGATGTCTGATCATAGATCAGACTTTCTCATGGCCATAAGTCGAAGCCGTCAAACGTATGCACCCTGGCAGGTCCTAGAGAAGCTAGTGGCAGACTGGACATAAGATAATAAACAAACTTAGTTCCACGTCTGATAGTGAAGTCCGCAAGACTTTCCCCCTTTTGACAGAATTACAACAAAGTGGAAAGCCTATTCTCCAAACCTGCGTTTTGTGCCTCTGCCGAGACCACTATCACTGCCATCTCTTCCGAAACCACCTCTATCCCCATCGCCGCCACCTCTGGCCCGTCCTCTCCATTGACCTCTCCATCTTCCACGGCTCATTCCTCTCGGTGTCCCTCTTCCCCTTCCTCTCCCACGCCCTCGTCCTCTCGTCCTCTCACCCACCTCAATCACTCCTTCTAGTAATACTACCTCATCCTCCAGCTCCATTGCCACATCTGAAAATTCTTCCTCAATCAGATCAGCAGCAATGGATATACGCATAAAGTCGTATGCGACGACGACTTTGCCACCTCCCCACGCTTCGCTCGCTTGTCGTTCAATTTCGGCGATGACGGCGAAACGGGAGTCGTGAGGATTTTTGAGTTGTTTAGGAGCTGGAAATCTGAGATAAGTGAGGAAATGAGCAGCAAGGCATAAATGCGTAAAGTAGGCGTAAAGATGACGTTTGAAAAGAATGATTCAATAGTGCATAAGCGACTTAAATGAAATCAATCTCAAACCATGTGGTGTACTCACCGACTGCCAATATGATTCAGAACAACTTTTTGAGCTCCAATCTGTTTCGCAAATGTGCCTGCCATTACCGGAGTGGAGTGACCCCTTGCCGCAACCTTATTATCCACTTCGTCTTTGGTTCGTCGTGCTGATGGGTCAATTTGGCGAGAGATGTACGCATCTGTCGCTTCATGAATGAGGAGTGATACAGGCATAGTTGCAGAAGGCTGTATGAGCGGGATGATTGGCGATGCATCATATGTATCACCCAGAATGACAAGTTTGCGACATGGAGGGTTGGGCTCATGGAAGACATAACCTATGCAAGGGTCTGTAGTGATTCATTCAGCACCAGCATATATGAAAAGGTGAAATTTCCCCACCCCGATGTAGTATCGGTCCTGCATCAACTACAACTTCACCGTAATAACCTGTACCACTTGTGACACCTTTCCAAAACCCATCGTCATCACAAAGAAAATTCTGACCAGGGCACTCGCTCGGATGAAGCACGACAGGGTCGCATGAGGTGGGTGTGTCGGATGATGTCAGTAGTTCATGGACTACGTAGCGCTCTCCTGTGTGGGTGAGGGTCATAGTAAAGATTGAGCGAACAAATGTACGGAGGCCAGCTGGACCGTAAAGCTCGATCTGCGGCTTTTAAGAGGTTAGTCGTGGATATCATACATAGCTTTATAACACACAGGACCGTCTGGGGAAGGGGGGTCGCCAGCGGGAGCTATCAGTGGCGGGTGGAGGACATGTCTAAGGAAAGTGATTATTCCCATTGTATGGTCGGCTAGAAGGGCACCGGAGTAAAGACAAGAATTCCATGAATCCGATGAAACAAACCATGCATATGAGTAACAAATAACTTGGCCACTTTGAACGCTTTAAGGACTGGGTCTCCTTGGTCGCGATGCTGCATCTGAAATTGTCGCACTGTTCCTTCTGCACAGTCGACCACTGATGACGGCTAGTTAATCTAATCAAGCGCTAAAGACATAAAGCGTACTCCATAGTGAACCGTCGCCGATGACGTCTGCGACTAAGTATTGATGGTCTCTGTAATAAGAACGACATAAAATGGCCCAAGGTGAAATATCATACCAAGACTAGAACAGTTGCGAGAAATTGAAGGGCCACCACCGCTGGAGGTGCCCAGGAAAGATATATTCATGTTTCGTGCCATGACAGTACCGTTTGAGAGCAAAGTCAGATTTGCATCCGTTCACGTAAAAGTCAGTGGCTGACAGCCGCTGACTCCTTTGGGCTGACTCTTGTTTGCAATCGAACCGTCAGTGCCATAGCAAAGCTATTGCGCTCATTTACTATCGTTTTGTTATAACTCGTAACTGTCGTTCATTCAAACCACTGTCATTATGTTCACGGACCCTTCTGCTCGTGTCCCCCACGTCTTCGTTATACCCCCCGAAGAAGAGCACTCGCAAAATCCTCCTTGGTGCTGTTTTGACGCAGACTTGCCTCCAGAAAATAGCAGATACATAGAGGTATCCTCTGCTAACCAGCCTGACATCGTATTCGATGTACCCTTCTTGCTGCACGAGCCAGAACCCGCTCCCCCCTTCCACCATGAGCAATCTAGTGTAAGCCCAGTGGTTGCTCCACAGTCCAGAAGCTCTACATCTAGCAGTAGGAGCGAGAAGCATCAGAACCAACAGCATATCGTAACCTCTGCCGTGCGCAATAATGACCTCGTTCGCATTGTCCAGCGCGACGTGCGAGAGGACTCGGACGTAATCGAAGTCGTCAAGGTCAAACGTCCAAAGGACAATAAATTCAATCACACAGATCACGTTCCACCATCCCCGTCTAACCAAGAGATACATTTAAAGCGCTCAAAGACTTTTCGCGCTCGTGCATCCCGTGCTTTCCAATCCATAAAAAATGTATCTCTCCCCCGTGGCAAGCAGAACAACTCCAAACCACATGTCAAGGACCTTTGGACATCCACTGAGAGCATGCCAGGCATCTTCAGAGGCATTCTGCATACCAAAGAGGACGTGTCACCAACAGCGAGTCGCAAGCTTTCAAGCTTCTTGCAGAGACAGCCGTTTTCCTCAGATGGAATCCTCTCGAGCTCGACGACTACGTCATTACCTTATCTCAAGGGCTCTGACACCACTCCTTCCATCGCTGAGATCCGGCCCTCTTATGAGTTTATCGAGCGCCCCCTTACTCCCTGTGCACCTACGTACGACCATAGTCTTCGTCGCCCAGTGTCTTCTGCAGACTTTCAGCGAGCTCCTTCATCCGAGTCCAAGTCCAGCAAGGGTTTAAAGCGACTTGTTTCATCTCAGGATCTTCAACGTTCAGAGAAAGACTTGCGTCCTGTATCTTCGGATGATTTCCGGCAAGACGAGCGCCCGACGTCACCCAACCCCCCCTCTACCCAAAGTTCGCGCAAACGCTTTTCCGTTAATGAGCTCCACCGCTTTTTCTCCTTCTCTCCAGAACCTCCCTCCTCTTTCACAGTTCCTTCCACATCCACATCCGCGTCAACCTCGAGTACACACTCTTATCCCGATGTCCCATACGCCGCGGTGCACTTTGTTGATGATGATTACGGAAGGGAGATCGAGGGCAAGTATGGTCGCAATTTCGACCTGCTTAATGGTGACGATGACCAGTTTCCCTTGCCTTCGCCTTCACGGCCAAGGGATATTAGTTTCGAGTTGCGACTTGACAGTTTGCACTTTGACTCGCTTTCGTTCAACGCTGAAGACTTTGATGTGAGCATGAACTTGGAAACCTCAGGGCCAGGCATTTCACGGCAGTGATCTCCACTTTTCATATGTTGTGAATATGACAACTGCTGCGGTTTTTTGCAGAACACATACATATGATTCTGGACCTCGCGGGGTTGATTGTTCATTTCACATTTATTCGTGCTTCATCTCACGACCTGTACGATATTGACCCATATCTATAACTCATGCAGCTCTCTATGCCGACCTCGAACATTCTCGTATATTGCACGCTTCTACTTTATATCAAAATGTTCTTACATCAGTCCATAATCGCGTTCCATAAGGTAGAAAACATGCAAAACCGACAAACTTCACGTGAGGTGACAAGAGTGTGACGCTGTGCAGAACAGTTGATGCCGAAGTCTGCCGAATGTGCCGGTGAATATGGTACTTCGCAAGATGTGAGAGCTAAGTATGTGTGTAGTATATGTGAAAAGTAGGACTATACTAGATGGAAGCAATTTTCTGCAATTAAATTGCGTGCTGATGCAGTATTTTCGAACTGTGTAGGCAGCTGTAGATATGTCAGTGAGTGTTTTCATTAAAACTTGCAAAACCTACTCACATTTTCATTATTCTGTAAATCAGAACCTATGAGAGCCTTCGCTTTTTTGGATGCTCGCCATGCAGCAAGGCTGTCTGCATGCCGTTTCCGCCAGGTCTTGTTGTTGCTCATGCCATGCTCTGAGTCGGCATTGCGGCACAATGCGTCGGACTTCCAGCTTCACACTCTGCCGGCAGTACATCTTCAAAAAACATCAATTATCTCACTCGCTAGTTCCTTTAGCGTATTTCTAAAATAATGAGTTTGTGTGTAGCATCACTCTCGTCAATGCCATCTTTTTAAATTCTATAACACTGAGCTCTACAGTATGTTAATCGTTAATTTGCGTTCTGTCACTCTTTTGTAACGTTTATCACGTGATGTTGGTTGGTTTTGCGTTCTTTCTACCTTACATAAAAAATGTGAGCGTGATGTGACACCGTGACAATAATACTATTACACGATATTCCGACCGAGAGAATTTGTTCGCAAAGGACTTGTCCGGCTTCCACCACATCAATGCTCCAGCTTCAAAGAGCAACGCAAAAAGTATGAAACTTTGCCCTCCAAATTTCTGCACTACTTATTGTTATTGTAGAACGTTGCACGGAGGTTGCATAAAGCAACTGTCCAACTTGGCGCGTGGAACTCTCACCGGGGGCTTGCTACGTCCTCAGGTCCTTACGACGCCGTCGTTATTGGTGGAGGTAGGTTGCAGCAATTCAAAATCAATCGAAACTAATGAGTATCAAATTTGCAGGTCCTGGTGGATATGTTGCAGCAATCAAGGCTGCTCAGCTCGGATTGAAGGTATTATTCGGATCACGGAACATGGATAAGCACTGACGCTTCCCCAGACGGCATGTATAGAGAAGCGTGGCAGCCTTGGAGGTACTTGTCTCAACGTCGGTTGCATACCTTCAAAAGCCATGTTGAACAACTCCCACATCTATCATCAAACGACACATGACCTCCAAAAGCGTGGTATTGATGGTATGCACAGTCTTGCGCGCATATTTCTTGACTCCTTGCTCACGCTGAAATCAGTTACTGGCGTTTCCCTCAACCTGCCCCAGATGCTGCAGGCCAAGGAGCAATCCGTCGTTGGCCTTACCAAGGGTATTGAGATGCTCTTCAAGCAGAACAAAGTCGACTATATCAAGGGTAGTGCATCGTTTGTATCTGCAACGCGTATCGCGGTTCAACTCAATGATGGCGGGTCGACGGAGGTCGAGGCGAAGAACGTAATCATTGCCACTGGCTCCGAGGTCGCACCTTTCCCAGGCGGTGCTATTGAGATTGACGAGAAGCAAATTGTCAGCTCAACTGGTGCCCTTGAATTGCAAAAGGTACCTGAAAAGATGGTCGTAATCGGTGGCGGTATCATTGGCCTCGAAATGGGCAGTGTATGGAGTCGCTTGGGCGCTGAGGTAACTGTCGTCGAGTTCTTGGGCGCGATTGGAGGTGCTGGTATTGATGAGGAGGTTGCGTGAGTTCTACGCAAAATCAGAATGCAATTCTAAAACTCACGATTCCACAGTAAGCAATTCCAGAAAATTCTCAGCAAGCAGGGTATCAAGTTTAAACTCAACACGAAGGTCCTTTCTGCGGACAAGCAAGGTGGGAATGTCATCATCCAGACTGAGTCTGCCAAAGGCGACAAGCAGGAGACGGTAGGTGGTGGTTTATGGGCTAGTGTAATTTGTTACCAATTGGTTTATTACAAACAGCTCGAAGCAGATGTTGTCCTTGTTGCTGTTGGCCGTCGTCCTTATACTGAGGGCCTCAACCTTGAGGCTGTCGGTATCGAGAAAGACAACAAGGGCCGCATTGTCATCGACGACCAGTTCAACACATCAGTGAAGAACATTAAGTGCATTGGCGATGTCACTTTCGGACCTATGCTTGCCCACAAAGCTGAGGAGGAAGGTGAGCGTCATCGGTGCTGTATCATGGCTCAGAACTGACGAAAAGAAAGGCATTGCTGCTGTCGAGTACATCAATGCAGGGCATGGTCACGTCAACTACAACGGCATCCCTTCTGTTGTCTACACTCACCCTGAAGTGGCATGGGTAGGAAAGACTGAGCAGGAACTTAAAGCTGCTGGTGTCAAATACAATATCGGCAAATTCCCTTTCGCTGCAAACTCACGTGCCAAGACCAACCAAGACAGCGAGGGCTTTGTGAAGTTCATTAGCGAGAAGGAGACGGACCGCATTCTAGGTGTCCACATCATCGGTAAGCCTGGCAGATAGGGGCTTTATCCTACCATACTGACCACGATATTCTTCTCTAGGTCCTAATGCCGGTGAGATGATCTCGGAAGCTGTTCTGGCCATGGAATACGGAGCAAGCTCGGAGGATATTGCACGGACAACACATGCTCACGTAGGCACTTCACCATCCTTTTTAAATATGCGATACTAATGTGCATTCTACGACAGCCCACCCTGAGCGAGGCATTCAAAGAAGCAGCAATGGCTGCCTACGGGAAAGCCATTCACTTCTAGATTACGATACCTTTACCTTTGTGTTGCACACCACCTACATGAGTTCCATATTTATCCAGATCTGTCAACTATAGGGAAATTATGTTGCAGATTCAGCGCAAACTATTTGGATATTAGTCAGCACTATAGTTAGTCAGCAGCTACAAGCCAAATTCGTGCACATTATTACATAATTGATCACTTACTACGGTAAGATTAGCGTGGTCAACTCTAAGTCCTAGTACACGGCACCACACTCTTTCTAGTGTTAATCGGGATCGTTTTGATCACACTAACATTTCACTGGCATTTGCAGATATGAAGTACAGGAAGTGCTTTGAAGTCTGATCGTAAGGCGGGGAGCCCTATGTGCTGCAGTGGCAGTCAACATCATTGTGAGCGGCAACGATTCATTCAACAAGAGTATGCAACTAGAACTACTAAGTACTCTTCATATTAGTATAAGCGGACAAGGGGGGAATCCGAGATATCGCGGATATGAAATTTACACAGGACCCTGCAGGTGCTGTCAGAAGGACTATAACTCAAAGTCTACGTAGGGAAGACTACACAGGCCCAGTGACGGTGCAAACTGGGTGTTCGTGCAACGACCCCACACTGTCTCTATGCAGCCCCCGTCAAATAGACTCAAAATTCAATCCATTGTGTGGTAAAGAATCATATTTGTATTTACTTACAGGGATATCACACTTATCAATCTTTCGATTACACACCAAGTCCGGAGCTCATGCATTTTCAATTGCAGTACTCGCGCGTAAAAACCTAAAAGAGTCAAGGTGCCGTGTCGTTCTCTCGCTGATTGTTAGCTGCTAAATGAACTTCCAGCTTGTTACTGGCCAATCATCACACGCCAGCACCCACCCAGCTGCGGCGCCTTCTAGCACTGACGCGTCCGACAAAAGGTATAACATACATCCGGCATTGTGCGGTAGCCATGATTGGTGAGGGGTATTTAATGCGCTTTCGATAAGGTCTGTCCAACCCATCTTCCACTCTTCCAGTCGGCTATGCTACTGCTACTACCTGGCCTGCCCGTTTCTGAAAACACGCAGCTCGTCCTCGGTGTTGCGGCTTGTCTTTTAGGAGTAGTGGTGATTGCTCGGGCTTATCGTCCTAGATCAAAGAATGGCTTTCCTCTCCCGCCTTCCCCTCCCAATTGGAGACTTATGGGACACTTTCTACCCCCTCGCAAGTAAGGATTCTCATTTACTATTGTTTTTGAATGATAATCATACCCCTTTGGTCAGTTCATTTCTCACTGTAGGGGAATGGATTAAAGAGTACGGGCCTGTAATTACCATTCGCGCAGGAACTGAGAAAATCGTTATTATTGGCCGCCACAAAGTTAGTCCCTTTATGCTGAGTTATCATATCCAGGCTCAGCATTATACTATAGGCAGCGATGGACATTATGGAGAAGCAGGGTAGAGTGCTAGCTGATCGTCCTGCCATGAATGCTGGACAAATAATTACCGGCGGATTGGCCATTGGTTTTACAGGCGTCGGGGACAGGTTCCGTCGGATGCGTAGGTTCGTAGTCTGCGTGTTGTGACAGAAAGCCACTATCTGACATTGCAAGGTGATCCAGGGCAATTCATACGCATCTCCAGCCTAAGGCAGCTGAGGCATATGAGCCCCTGCAGATGTCATTTGCGAAGGACACGGTTCTTAATGTATTTGATGATCCATCCAACTTCCAGAACCACGTGATAAGGTAGGCACTGTCCTAAGTCTGGAGTTACTTTGACTTACGAATATTTTGAAGTTATGCTATGACGACGATTTTGACAGTGGCATATGGGAAGGATACACCCACCTCTGCGGCTGACCCCGAAGTCAGAGCCATTCGTCAGTTCATGTCTGTATTTCGGACAGTCTTGAGCCCTGGCGCTTATTGGGTGGACACGATCCCCTGGCTCAGATACCTTCCTTGGTACGGCAGAAAATTGAAAGGGGAGTTTGAGAGCAGCCGGAAGGTCTTCGTTAGTCAGATGAACCGCGTGCAACAACAATTAGTACGCGTCTCTGATCTGCCAGTCTCTTCACGTTATCTCAATTGTCCCACAGCAGAGTAATGTGGACATTGGTCCTTCGTTCGGAAGATATGTGCTAGAGAATGAACATCTCCTTGGCTTGTCAAAGTTGGAGGCGCATTTTCTTCCTGGCACCTTTTTTGCTGCAGGAGGCGATTCGGTGGGACCTGGTTTATCATTTTTGACGACATGACTGATATAAAGTGTTAGTCTACTGCGGCAATATGCACGGTGCTAATGGCAGCTGCATGTTTTCCCGAGGAGCAAGCTAAAGTCCAATCTGAGCTTGATGAGTTCATAGGAAGGCGCCGGGGTAAGTCCGTAGTATTTAATTGCAGTCATGTCGATTCAATGATTTCTCCACAAAAGCACCGACCTTCGCTGACCAAAAATCTCTTCCTCTCCTGGACGCCTTCATCTCCGAGGCTTTGAGATGGAGACCGTTAAGTCCTAATGGTGGGTATCTTTATTGTCGGTCCCATACCTGAAGCTCACACACCATTTACGCTGCAGGGTTTCCTCATCGGACAACTCAAGACGTGATTTGGGCAAGTGCTCGTTGAATAATTTGCCCTGCGAAAGATAATCTGATATCCACTCGGCAGGAAAACTATTGCATTCCCGCCGGAACTACGGTGCTCGGTAACAATTGGTAAATATCGTTGTTCAAACTGCGAAGTCTTATCAATTACTTTGTCAGGGCTATCTCGCGAGATGCAGAAGTTTACCCTGATCCTGATGTATTCAAGCCTCAACGTTGGATGAATGACCAAGGTGGCTTGAGGGACGATCTCACATTTTTTGTCTATGGGTATGGTCGGCGGTAAGTAATGTCGTCTTTCGGCATATATTCTTCTAGATTGTCTTTCATTACCAGCATATGCCCCGCTTTACACCTTGCGAACAGGTACAGGTATCTTTTCATGAATATAATTCTCCGAGCTCACCTCGACCGGTACAGATCGGTGTGGATTAACTCGGCCCTTTTGTTTTGGGCTTTCCATCTCACTCTAGACCCTACGAAACCGTTGGATGATGTGGGCTTCATGCATGTGATGATGCCAGATGTCTCTTGCCCTATTGTGTTCACACCGAGGGTTCCAGAGGCAGAGCTCAGGCGCATCATGGGTATTTATCCTGAGGTTGACTCGGAATGAGAAACCTCTACGCCTGTATCATCGCCACTGAGGAAATGAACAAGATGGAATGAATCACTAATATCCCTATATGCCTCGCAGTATGTTACTTCAATTTTCAGCACGGTCTAAAGTGTTGTGTAATGTATGTCGTTTAAATATCGTTGATGAATTTTCTTCTTTTCGGACATCGCGTGCAGGTCTATCACACAGAGGAACAAGGCACGTGTTTTTGACAGTTTTCTTGATCATTGATGAAGAAGCGAAGAGACTTTAGTTAGATCACTACAATTATAAAGACCCAGATGACCTCGAGGCGCGCCATGTTTCATTCAGTGAATTTTCAAAGCGTACTTATACCGTACCCTAAAATGTGATTGTGCTCGGCACCAACAGCTCTGTGTCGGGTTTGTTGGAAGGACTCAAGAAAAACTGGGTTCATATGTAAAACTCCCGAACTGTTGGACTCATGAGCGTCACATATGACGCGTCTTACATTCAGTGTTGTGGAATAATTTATGGCTAGACTTACTTGTGCCATCTGGCGAGTGAGTCTGTTTGGAGTCTAGTGAAAAGTTCATGTATTCCAGTGCTGCTGAAACAAGATCTATCACGCCACACAGCTGATTCTGCGAATGGTATATACCACTATGTAGTAATTTTTTCCAGCTGGTGTCTGGCTAGGTCAGTATATCTCTGCGATGACTGTCATATGAGAGGTAGAAATTAGATGATTTCGTGGCCCAAGTGAAGGGGAGATACTTACTGAGCGTGACGAGTGATGTCCAACCAGTGAAAGGGTGGCTGCAACATGAACGATTAGCACCAGAGGCAACTGATTACAGACAGTATACAAACCTCCTCCGACCCTCTCCGGTAAGGGCATCATACTGTTCCCATACGTATCCTGTTCTTTGATATTCCTAGGCCAAAATGAGCACTACAGAACAACACCCGAAACGGTTTCCGAGGGAGACCTACCTTAAATACATTATTCACCACATTTCTCCTCAGTTCTTCATACATCTCCCTGGCCCTCTCCTGGAACGGCCCCTCCTCGCGCGCATACGTATTATGCAACGCGCCAAGCACCATATAATTCATCTGCACCCATATTGGACCTTTCCAGTAGTTCTCCCCCTTCCCGAACTCGGGATGACTCTTGCTCAAACTACGAATACCATGCTCCGACCAGAGTTGTTCTGGATCACGCAGCATGTCAAGGATGGGCCCAAGGTGCGGGGAGTCTGGTGGGAGCAGCGAGAGCATGAAGGGAAAGAGTGAAACGTAACCCGCATGACAGATGTGGGTGGATTCATCTAGGGAAAAGCATATGGATATTTAAGCGACATACAGGAGAGGAAGAGCTCACCGTCTGAGTCGATCCCAACATCACAGTACATCTCGCTTTCCTCGTCCCAATGCAGATCTGTATCAGTCAACAACAAATCAGCGCCTCTTGAAAAGCCGGAAACTTGTCACCATCAATATTGTTTATTATAGCCGATTCAATCTCAGCAAAACTTGCAGCATCCTCTTCTTCGTCAATGAACTGTGCGAAGTTCTTCATTGTTCGGGTGAAGAAGCCCATCCAGCTGATAAGATCTAAATGAAGCTCCCCTGCATGCGGCGGACCTCTCGGATAATCGTCCATTCCGCTCGTCAAAACATGTACTTCAGAGCGTCCTCGCCAACGGTACCCTTCCGTGCGTGACCGTGCCCGACGGCCGTACTGCTTAATCTGCCCACGCTGCGTCCGGCGGAACCACTCATAGTGCCGCTTCAAGGGCATGTACATGTCGCGAAGGACAGACTGTACAGCCGCGCGGTCGAGGGCCGCACCAGACTCAGGTTTGCCGAAAACGGGCATTTGTGCGTACATGCCATAGTCCATCCCAAGATCTGCACCAGAAGGTCCATCATGTGCAGCGTTGAATTGTTTGATGATGGCTGTTACTGCCATCGTCAGAGTTGGAGGGTTTGCGAAAGTAGGCACTTGGGTCTGGAATTGCGTAGGGACTCGGCTGCGCGCCTCCTCTCCAAGGATCTGTTCACGTGCGACCCAGCCATTGTTATCGATGAGCTTAATCCAGTCCTTGAGAATTTCAAGACTACAAGTGGTCAGATATCAAGATATGCAACAAAGAGCTGTCTTCGAATACCTAAGCTCTGTGTCCCATGCGCCTATGTGTAGAAGGTGGAAACCTTCATCCCTGAAAAAAGTAAATCAGTGAACTCGACTTGAACAACTATTTGATTACCAGTAAAACCCTCTCGGGAAGAAACTGCGACTAGGTGTAGCAGTTAATAGAGCACGGGGTTCAGTCAACCGAGCGCCGTGCTGTCCATCATCTTCGTCATCAATCTCATCATCTTGGTCCCATTCATACGCGAATCCTTTATTTACGATAGATGTGCCGTAGAAATAGCCGATACCACCGAAGAGGTTGGAGGTGATCGCCTTGCTAAAAGATTTCAAACGTGTGACATCAATGACTGGGTATGATGATGGGATTGGAAATGTCTCCTCGAAGCGACTATCGAATGACGCTACGATAGCCGCAATGCCTTGATCAATTGTGCTCGCTGCGGTAGGTATTCAGTGTCCATTTGAATAGAAAGTACACTGGACCAGACCATCAAATGTCTGGTGCGCACTGGCGCTCTCGAAAAAGACATCAAACTGAAACTCTCCCTCGAAAAACTTCTGAACAGCAAAAAGATTGCTTGCAGTGAGAATATCATCAGGAAGCTGCAGGGTAAAGGAAGGATCAGGGGCCTGTTCAGCAGCGCGGTATTTCTCAACAATTGGGCCTGCATGGTCAATGATGCTCTGCATGATGTGATCTGGTGTCCTGTGCTGTCACGGAATGATACAATCTCCGAGAGAGAAATGGCTTGCCTTTCGCGGTCCAAAGTTGCCCCGGTGGCAGGCGTAAGCCCGCTAGGTGAGTTTTTCCCAACCGTTCCTCAAAAGCGTCGGAGTGAGGGCCAGTAACAACAGCCTCGTTGTCGGGCGCTGCACAGGATGAGGCGACATTATATATCAAGTAATAATAGAGCAAACATACCGTCGACTATGCGGATAGTAAAATCACCGAGGTCAGGCGTAGTGCCGGAGAAATCTACCGGTCCATCAATTCCCTTGTAATTTAATTACTGGATTGGCTATACGTGCACTATGTTAGGACTCACATTCTCGCTCTCATCAGTGACCATGTCCACCCCACCTAGTCCGTCTAGGCCGAAATAAAAGATAGTGGAAATTCTGGATGGAAGCACTGTTTGGGAGTATTATTAGACTGTGCCTTGAGTATGGAACGTCGTAATGGAAGACATACTGTGGTTGATAGGTGCTCCTTTGATACGTGCAGCCCAACTGCCACCATGGGAGCCACCAGGCACCTTCAAAAACTCGGTTGTAATTTCCACATTATTCTGGCTATCGCGCAGTGTTTGTACACCGCCATACCGCGGATCGAAGTGCGTCCAGGTGTAGTTGTCAAGGCCATCGCCCTGGTCGCATGCGTGACGAGCCTCTGATGAAGTGTTTAGTTCATTTCTGGCGTTGTATGCTTAGGTCACATACTGCCTATAGACTGGTAGTTCTGAGTGCCGAACCACACCAGACCAGCCATAAGGGATTGGGGCAATCTTGGGCGGAGGCCAAAGTACAAGTTGGGTCTATAAGGTCCCCATAGCAGGTTCTCTGTGTTGTTAACAAAATTGGAGTATACCGATGGCAATGAAAGCAGCGTCAAGAACAGCCAATAAACCTTCATTGCGGGTAAACTTTGGTTGTTGAGTTAGGAAACATCGAAAGTCTGAATGTCACGTGACAAAAGTTACGTGGAGCTTCAAGGTGCCTGACCGCAGCGCTGTGTGACACAGCATTTCTAGATAGAAATCTGATTAGTTGCAGCTTTCAAGATCCGTGATACTGCATTATATCACACGCAGATGCGGCCTATATCAATACATCACCCTGAATGAGACCAGCCATATTCATATCCTCAGAATGAGTAGCAGAATTGATGAAGAAGACGCCGACACCGTCGTTGGTGGTCCTTCCTACCCTGTGAAACACAAATCCCTCAAGAAATCAGACCGCATCGACGAAAGCTATGATGGCTATTCCATTGGCACCCACCCCAGAAAAGGGGTCTCTTTGCACGAATTCTCCAAAACCGCAGACTATGCATTGGAAGAACGTCCGTTCTTCGTACCCATCGGTAAGGACGGCGTCATCACTGCCCTAGAGAGAATTGATAAGCAACTTCGAGATGTGAGTACCGTGATCGTTACATCGTTCTAGTATTCACCCCGTCAACCTACAGTCCGGGCGGACGGGTCTCTTGTCAAACAAGGTGAACTTAACCTTCTTAGCGTGTCACTCGCCGCTTACATCGAAACCACTGCTAGGTCCCTGTGTCGTGGACTGGCAGGGAAGTTTCTCCGGGTTTCCTTGGTTTGATCAAACACGGTGGGCTCCCCAAGATATTGACTAAGCCTGGTCGATACCCTGGATTCCCCCTCCGTAATTGGTGGGCGCGCCAGTGGTGCGGCACCAAAGGACGTGCGTACGTCGATATTCTACACGATTACACGCTGAAAGGCGGCCATCAGTCTCCGACACCGCGATTCAGTTTCAGGGTCTCACAGTCGTTCAGGTGTCCCAGAACCAAGCCGCTGTCATCTCCGATCCTCAAAATCGCATTTTTGTGGTTAAGAATTCAGGATTTGTTGCGTATGCAATTGATGGAACATATGACGTTCTGGCTATCGTCGACCAGACGCACTTGTCTACTTCGGTCAAGGACGCAGTGACAGGTGCTATCCTCGGCTCGTATGTACCTCTGTATTCCATCTTGTTCATGATGCTTATTTGAACCTTGATCAGGATTGCCGAAATTAAGATGCGGAGTCACATCGCTTCAGGCAAAGAACAGGAATACGTTGTGGCATTATTGTTCGTTTGTTCCCCATTCCAATCTTCTTGTTCTGATTTTCATGGTGCCCAGTTTGAACATCCCGGCAAATAATTGTGCCATTCTCCAGCGTGGAGATGATCTTGAGTTACTCCCTGCTGGACAACATTATATAACAAATCCCAACGTCACGCTGCGTGGTCTGTTTACGCTCGGCGAGAATCAGCTCGAGATGCCCACAAAGGATATGTAAGTACTTCGCATCAGCCACTGATACCTTACCTTATGTTGCTGGTTTCCAGTTTCACGAGAGACCAAGTGCCTGTCGGCTTAAGGATCTATCTGAAATGGTGAGCAATGAGAATGATGCATCTTATGGATTTATTTATGCATAAAACTGCCAGGCAATTAATGGAACCCCTAAAGGTGCGCCTTTCGATGAATTGGCTTCGGTCAGCAATTGCTCACTTGGTCTGTAGCTTACCACACATGGCTATAACACCCCCTATGATGCGCTCCGTGACAAAACCCAATCCATCCTCACGCAGATTGTCGCTCATCGTATGTCCATCGACCGATAATTCTTGTGATAGCTTGACTTACACACTGTAGTTGACTACAGCTCCATGGTGAAGCAGCGCTCTCTGGGACCTGACAACCTTGAAGACGGTACGGACCCTTCATCTGCGTTCCTCGACGCTCTTCGTACTCGGGCAATGGATGAGATGCACGAGGCCGCACTCGAGTATGGTATCATTTTGAAGGATCTTGGTAAGCGTGGGGCATTTTGATACAAGTAGCATTTGGATCTGACTATACTCTAGCCGTGATTGACCGACAATTCAAGGGAGAAATTGCATCAACTATGGATAAGCTTACAACAAGGGCATTACAGGCGCAGGTCGAGGCTGCGGTATGTTTCATCCTCTTTGATATAGTCATTCCCTTCATCTAGATGCTGCAGAATGTCGACCGAGAAAATTCGAATAAAGTTAAACAGGAAGAAGGAGCTCTCGCTGTTGCTCGCATCAAGGCCCAGAGCCGCAACGTCAGTACCAACTCATTGTTCAAACTGTCCAAGCCAAACATATTTAACAGACACAAGCCGATTCTGAGGCATATAGCGTCATTGCCGCTGCCAAAGCCCAGGCTGAGCGCACAAAGATTGAAGCTCTTGCAGAAGCGGAAGCTATCCGTCTCACCGCGGAGGCCGAAGCACAAGCGGTCAGTATCAGGGCGGCGACTGATGCCAAGGTCACGGACCAATTTGCACGCGGAATGGAGATGCGTAGAGTGGAAGTAACGCGTGTTCAAGCGTTTGGAAACAAGACTGTCTTCGTGCCTACAGACGGGACTGGGGTGCAGATGGGCAACGCAATGGCAGTGGGCATGGCTGCCGGAATGGGCAATAGCCATGAGGCTTAATTGTGACGTTGCTTCGAGAGCTTCGTTTTTTTCTCTTACACAGGCTCTGTCAGTTATTTATCGCACAATACTAAGTATACGTATCGTAGTTTCTGCCCGTCGGGCGCTGTATGCTCAGGTGTACTGCCGCGTTGTAATTAGAATGCATTGGATTTGTCGTATTTGTCAGCGTGCTGCCTCGTCACTACAGCTGAGTCACGAGGCTGTCACGCCTCACAGCCGCGAGGAGGCTTGGAATATTGCGCAACGAGCTATCCTCATTTCATCCTGAACGCTGACCACCACCCACGATAAAGTCCTTCTTCCTTTTCAGAAGTCAACTCTTCCCACTTACTGAAGTCGATCATCGCTTGTAACGTTTGTCATGAGGTCTAAATTCAAGGATGAGCACCCGTTTGGTACGTACTATCATTGCCTAGCAGTCGTCATGTAGTCATGAGTTTCTAACGCGTTCTTCTTTCTCAGAGAAGCGCAAGCAGGAAGCTGAACGCATCAGGCAGAAGTACCCTGACCGTATTCCTGTTAGCTTTTCTCTCTTATTCCTTGCCACGTTTATTGTCCCTGACAGGAGTGGCATCGACTCTAGGTAATTTGCGAGAAGGCCGACCGGACAGATATTCCTACCATCGACAAGAAGAAGTACCTTGTACCTTCAGTGCGCATCGCCCTGCTTATCACGAATGCCGATGGATAGCTGATCGTCGATTTTATATGTTTGCTCCACACACAGGATCTGACAGTCGGGCAATTCGTCTACGTCATCCGGAAGCGTATCAAGCTTGCACCAGAGAAAGCAATCTTCATCTTCGTTGACGAGGTTCTCCCACCGACAGCAGCTCTTATGAGCGCTATTTACGAGGAGCATAAGTGAGCCCGCACCCTAAATACTACCAAGCCAGATCTCATCTTTCTCTAGGGATGAGGATAATTTCCTCTATGTCAGTTATTCGGGCGAGAATACGTTTGGGCAGGAGGGGTGGATTGAACTATAAACACGCGTTCGACGGCACATGTTCAGTCGTTGTTGGTGCCTCCGGAGAGTCATACATCGTCCTGGGCAGCAGGCGTCTGGTCTTGTCTCGAAAGTTTTATCATCGTCTTCATCTCCATACCCTTTTCTCATGCCCGCTTTGCTCACCGTTTGTACTCTAGTTGTTACTTCTGGCTCGGTTGCCTTTGGTGTCTCAAATTGAATTGATTACACCTGTATATGGATAATTATATTTCATTCATTCTGGTATCTTCCATAAGCTGTAAGATGTTCTTCAGGCTATTGGCCTTGGTGAGGTTTAAGATTTGAATCGTGGGTAACCTTCTGCGAAGGGGTGCTAGGTCTATATATATTATTTGTACTGGAATGCTTATAGAACTTATCCCGAATCGCTAGCGTTAACTTGAACCATCACTGATAAACCACCGGTCACATTCAAAAAATGCGCACGTAGCTGTGCACTGCTGCCACATGCAACATGCATTTCGTCCATGGCCCGAAACCCTGCAGAGTCAGAAATTCATAAGTGACCCGAGCTCAGCCATGGAGAACCTCCAATTTGTCGCAGAGTTGGATTCGGGATCGACCCTGATACAAACAGTGACCCCCGTGGTCTGATTTGAAGTGCTAGTGCCAGTGTGCAGCACGACAAACGTACATTCAGGTATCGAACAGACAGTGTGTCCTTCCGTTCGGGGAACAGTGAATACTGATGTTATTCGGCGTTCCAAGTTTCATAGCAAGTAATGGCGGCCGGTGTGATATTACAATCCGGACAAATGACAGCACTTGTACTGTTGACTTCACCGGACTCCGAGTTCCCTCCTAAGTATGTGTGCAAGGATTGCCGGATTTTGACATGTCGATGTCCGGGGTGCATTAACCTCTTTGTGACGTTTTTGAGTGGTCTAGCAAAGCACCCTTAATTATTTTTGACACGGGTATGTGTTTCACCGTAAGTAATTAAACTCATGCGATCTTCTCCGAGCATTATCAACCAGGCCTGCAAGGTGGTCCACGCACTGCAGGTTAATCCACACTGATTTGAAGCAACCCTTTATGGCCCATTGACCATACCCTCCGAGAACAATGGTGATATTATATCCTTGCATTGGCTTTCGCTTCTTTCCTCCACAAACCACTTTTATTTTTTGCCACTCGACAAGGCCACAGACCACTCGTGGCGAACTGGCCCGATATAAAACCTCAGCACATGGCAAATGCACATCACACAACGTTTCTCCGCAGGCTCGATCTTCTTGTGCATCATCACTTTAATTGCATCGCCCCATCTACATCGGTTGTCTGTGACACCATGCCCTTCCCGTTCGCTCTTTCCCGTGGGCTCTTACTTCGTACGCTCATCATGTTCTGTTCTTCTCGTCCGATACGTTTACTCAACTATTTCTTTCAAGTCGCTATTGCTGCCTGCAATGTCATGTCGATTGTGATTCTAAGGCCGGTTATTGTTGCGCACACCGCAGGACGTAAGTGCTTTCCACCTAGCTTCCAGCCTTTATGCACACCAGTTTGTTTTAGCTTTCGAGCTCATTGCCTTTGCGTCAAGCATCGTAGCTCTGTTGGTATTCCCCATTAGGTGAGTTCACCATGACATACTGTAGATGTGAAAATCTGACGGGTTGCACAGTTTTTCATTCTTATATTACAAGAGATATGCAGAGTCTAGCAACACTAGAAATATCGCTACCTTTGGTACTTTGTGGCTTTCGAACATTAGTACGTGACCTGACTGCTGCTCGTACCTGCCATTCTGACATACCATCAGCGGCTTGTATCCTTCTAACAGTTCATGCACGTCGGAATAATGCGACAGCCCTTTGTCATGACCTGTCTCAGTCTGGTGACTGTACAATGGCCAATGCTCTCCTCGCTGTTTTCTATATGGCTGCTATCTTTGGTATGTTCAGTGAATCATGTCATTCCATGCTAGTTACTCACTATCGTTTAGCTTTGACTGGTTCCGTATTAGCCCACTTGGATAAACACCCCGGCATTGCTAAAGTCTCGCCTCGGTATCCGATCACTAAAGCAGCAAGTTCACATTTCGCTGCCTTCCAACACCCGCTGGACGTGGAGTTGGAGAATGTGTACCCTGAACCTTCCAACAAGAAGGCCAAAGATAAGAAGGCACACACCCAGGAAAGGTGGACCGAGATTACTCTATAGACGGGCATGTGTTGGTTTTGTAGTTGTACTGCCAATGATGGGGATAGCTTTGTATGATTATGGTGGAATATTACATGTATGTGTCGCACGCCCTAATAAAAAACACATGTGCACAAACGATCGGTCGTTCCAGACAACGTCAAGTATTATGAGGATTCAGTCAAATTCGCTACTTCCTCAAACACACACTCCGGTAACTCATTTCGCTCCCAGAAAGCGTCCCATTCATCATCCCCTGGCTCGTTGTCTGGAGTGGATTGTCTACTGTCAACGGCTGTGCTATCCACAACATGGCCGATATCCAATGACGCTAATTGAGCGTTTGGCATTCGAGTCAAGTCCCCACGAGGTGGCACCGAATCATGGACGCTCCCTAGAAGTGCAGCTGTGCTTACCCCATGTCGAACAGTAAGCAGAACAGCAGAACCAGGGATGACTGAAATGCCTTCCGCAGTAACCACGTAGTCACAGGAGGCAGGATCGCACACCGAGCTGAACACCACAGTTAGGCGCCTGATAAGCACGGGTTGTTGATTACCGGCTGAATCATTAGACGACGTCACTGAGATTGACCTCTGGAGTTTCGTTGGGCGCTCGCTCTCTTCAAGGTATCGTCGGCGACCTGTTCGCGATAGAAATATTCTGACATTCAACTGATTCGACCAGACTAGACCGAGTGTTGCTTCTTTCCTGTCCTCCCCTAGGATACTGCCTGCACGACCGAACCATCGGAACTGATCTTTGTAGCCGATCTGCCCACTGTCCAACGGAGCAGTGTCCCTGTCGATAGTATCGCTAACCTCATTCAGGACTAGGACAGCTATTTGATGCTTGCTGGCAAGCGAATGCAAAAGCATCCCTATTTCAGATAATCTGCGGGATCGCTCGACTAAGAACTGTGTGGTAGTTCTCTTGGAAGTATGGAAGAGTTCCGCGATAGCGTCGATAACAATCAGTTTGAGAGGTCTTGATGACGGTGAGTTTTGGTCATTTGCAGATATATATTGCGGCAAAGATTTAGATAGGACAAAAATGAGTTTTTCGATAGTGGGAACGGATGCGTGTTGTATATTTGCGAAAGAACACAGTGGAGGCGACAAGAGTGGATGGTTATTGAGGATTTGTTCCATTCGTGTGGTTTGCAGTTGCGACGCAACCGTTAGATAGAAAGCGGAACCTAGAACACCTCCTAAACTAGGAGGGAGCTGAACAAGCAGCGAGAGTTGTAGGGCTAACTGTGTCTTGCCTGCAGCACTAAAAGCATATCAATTTTCTGTGCTAATAGACATTTTAATGCATTCACCTTTCACCTACAACCTCCCAGAGCATTCCTGTTCTAATTCCACCACCCAACATACTATCTAATTCAGCATCTCCGGTTGTGAACTTCTCTTCGCCTTCCATCGGCAGGTCTTTGATTTTGTTGATGGGCGCTGCGCGTTCTCGATATGCAACCTCTAGAATTCTGGTGACCTCTAATGGGGCAATGCGCGTCGTGCGCGAGATGTCACTCGGATTACTGAGTAAGAGGTCTGACAGATTTTTGTATCCTCCTACCAGGTTTGCATTCGTTATGTATACTCGATGCATGTGCAATAATCATTGAAGACACACCCTTTTCCAGAGAAGACTTCTGCTGTGCGTTGAGACTGGTTAACGATGATAATAAAACAGAATCCATCTCTTTATGTTTCTCAGTCTGAAAGTGCGCAGGGGTCATATCATTTGTCAATGGTGTGTATGAGAGTTGACCTCGAGATCGCATACGGTTACTATTATGGTTTCAAACTCAGATTAGCTACTACACTTGCTTGTCACGACACGTCCACATTGTCCAAAATCATCTGCAGCATCCAGTAAACATGCCATCTGCAACCACAACCGAAGCGGTTCCAATTGAGACTGCTCATGAAGACATGATTGTATGCAACAACGTTAATATTACATTTTGAACGGATACTCAAAAATTCAACCCTAGCATGATGCGCAACTCGACTACTATGGCAAGCGTTTAGCGACGTGCTCTTCAGATAGGACGGTGAAGGTTTTTGACGTGATTGGCGGGGAACCATTGAAATCTAGTGGCCATACTCTGAAGGGGTCCGTGGTTTGATGTACATGTTGAATCAACTCATAATTCCGCATCCTTTCTGACAGGCACACGGGTCCAGTGTGGCAGGTTGCCTGGGCACACCCAAAATTTGGACATATACTTGCTTCTTGCTCATACGATGGTAAAGTATTGATATGGGGGGAACGGTCTCAAGGCACAGCCGATGGTGGGTGGACAAGGGTGAAGGAGCACACATTACATACCGCTTCGGTGAACTCCGTGTCGTGGGCTCCTCATGAGCTTGGTGCAATGTTGGCTTGCGCGTCGTCAGATGGAAAGCTCTCTGTACTAACGTTTAAAGGTGTGCACTCTTTCATTCACAGTTGATATATCTGACGAACAATTCGTAACAGATGACGGTCAGTGGGGTGCTGACATCTTCAACGGTCATGCCATCGGCTGCAACTCTGTTTCTTGGGCGCCCGCGACGCAGCCTGGATCGCTTATTCACCCGCAACAACCTGGCACACAACCTTCTGCACCTTTCAAACGTTTTGCTAGCGCTGGTTGTGACAATCTTGTCAAGATTTGGGGCTACCGTGAAGACACACAGTCGTGGGTGGAAGAAGAGACACTCGATGGGCATACAGATTGGGTACGTGATGTTGCGTGGGCACCCAACATCGGTTTGCCGAGGAGTTATATTGCAACAGCATCTCAGGTTCGTTACAAAGTACTTTTGACCTGGATTTTTGTCTGAAGATATATCGGTTTCAAGGATAAGACAGTATTGATCTGGACAAAAGACTCGTTAACTTCTCCTTGGGTGAAGACTGCCCTCGACCCATCGACTGCTTCAGGAGCACCTACTGCAGCAGCTGCAGGTAAATTCCCTGATGTTGTATGGCGCGTATCGTGGAGTCTCGCTGGCAACATTCTTGCTGTTAGCTGTGGCGATGGAAAAGTCACATTGTGGAAGGAGAATCTGCGGGGCATATGGGAGTGTGTTAGTGACATGTCCTCCTAGAGATGTATGATTGGATCAGATGCTACTCAGAAATGCGCAGGTCGGCTCCCTCATCTGAAGATGTACAAAGCGTGTGCCGTGCACATCTCTGCTACTAACATTAAACGTGTCAAGTTTCACTCGCCAACAGGGTGTGCCATTGGTATCTGCATCAATCATCTCAAGCAGTAAGTACCAGCCATTCTTCTCCTTTCTGATGTACCTCCGATTCTGGACGAGACTCAGGACTCTAAGGCGTAAGGCGCAATGGTTTCTGCCCCAACAATGCAGAGATCGATAAAGAACCGCACAACAATTACATTCCAGGTGAATTCCTGGTCTCCCATATTTTGGTTCCAAGCACAGGCTTTCTCCGAGGTCTCCTTTAGATGAGCACTTGGAACAGCGTTAGCAGCAGCTCCTGCCTTGCATTTGATACGAATCTGAGTCCTTTCTCTTCCTCATTGCCTGAAAGCGCGTAATAATCTCGTATACTAGAGGTGTTTTTTTCTGTGAGGTCTGAAAGTTCAGCTTTGCAGCGATCTACAAGTGGTCGTTTCAAGAGATTGACTTCTGAACCGACAGAGTCAAAGAACTAGCAACGCTATCATCGATATCGGAATACCACCCGATGAAGAACTCCGTTCAGCAAGCGTTGCATGTTCTGGAAGACACGGTCCAGATAATATTCGATTTTATGAAAGTTATTGATGGATCATTCCAATGAATACCTCTCAACCGCCTGGCACAGAGGTGAAGCATGACGTCCGCTCTGCACGCGGAGGGAAAGGCGGCAGGGTCACTGAGGTTGCTTTGCTGTGGGCCGCAAAAGTAGATGCGACTCAGACAGACGAAGCGAAATGGGGCTTCTCGGTTCGTGAAGAGACCTGCTAACCGTAGTGGAAAATTACCCATGAAGTCCCCACTGTCATATCCAACTAGGTCCATTTCCAGCTCATATTCAAACAATTATTCCGTCCTGCGCATGTCCTCCTGCTGGCCAGATTTTGATGGGCTTCGTCACATTGTCTGTATGGTCTAGCCCCAAGTGATCGTGCTCATTCCATCCCAAACTTCCATATCTGATGAGCCAGATGAGATATCATTGCCATCACATGTTTGCTGCCACAAGCAAAGGACCTCAGCAAAGGCAACTTGCCGGACAAGGTAAATTCGACAGGCCTAACAGTAATCTCGTTCTCCTCGACTTGTGACTCCCGACCTAGTTGACCATGAGCATTGCTTCCCGTTGATATAAGAATATTATTATCGTCGTCTCTGAGAAGGTATGCCCCATTCCATGTGCACCCAGATTGTGGAACGTGCCCTCAAGAATCCATCTTATGGAGTTGCCCTCTCTTGTTAGATCCAAAGACTATTGTCCACCCCGATCGGTGGCGGACGACGGTGTTGGAGACCAAGAGAACATGTTGACACTGTTAGAAGCTACGAACAAACACGCCCAGTGTGTGGAGAAAACAACTGAGGTATGGAGGAACGAAGCGGAAAGGTTTATATGTACTAAAACAGAAACATCTATCATGGTTCAACGCACCCTCACAACAAGGAGATGGGACATGGGGATTAGGGAATTTTTGGTTGAGACACGGGCGCATCCAGATGTACAATGAGGAGACATTAGGTCATGAATTTCGATTCTCTCGTGGAGCCAACTTGGCGAATGTCTAGAGACAGGGGGCATATAGAGGGCTTCAGATCTTCAGATGCAGTGGTTTCGATTAACTTCAATTCACCTCTCGAAGTGCACTTCAACTGACTTTGAACAAAGTCAACTACGTTTTCTAATCGAAGCGCAGCGACTTACTTCGCTTCGACAGCAACTTTGTGTACACAAGTCAGTTGGCCATGGCCAAGTGGAGCTTCGAGTGATAACTCCGAACACTCGTCTTGTGTCTTGACAGTGCAACACAACTTGATTCGTGTTGGAAAAATATAAGGAATCACTGTGTAAAATCCCTGTTGATGTGATGGATTGGCATGGAAAGTAGTACACAGTGTTTTACTCCCGCAAGCACCTTTTAAAATATACAACAGCTGTGTAAACTCATTCATGCATCTGCGGAAGTTCGGAAGCATCCGATGTCAAGGCACCAACTTGGTTAGGACCCTGACACTGCGGGCACACTCAAGGCAGTTCTAAAGGGCTTTGACTTCGCACCTCCTGCATATCGTACTGACTACTTCCATACGACATGTTCGCTAAACTCCCACAGACGCTAACCGCACCTTTTGGACTATTGACCGACGAGGCGAAGCTGGCGTTTCGCAGTCGTCCCCAGGGAATATCTAAACTGTATACAACGAGGGTGAGCTTGTGACATCCGCTTTCATCTAGACGTTGACTATAATGACAAGTTCTCAACTGCAGCACATAGCCGAAACTGACAGCTACTGGGGCCAGGTCGGTGACACCTAGTTTGTTGTCCACATGTTCAATTGAATAGTATATCTCAGTACTTTACCCTCTTCGACACGCCCTCTGATGTATTCTCCCTCATATCAACTCATGACGGTATGTCACAGCATTTGGCTCTTAGTGCGGTTGGCTAATGAAACCCTCAAGTTCGTAGAGCTCTCCTTGACTCGCCAGAAAATGTAGCAACTCTCATCAGAGTTGTGACGTCTCGCCTCTTCAATCTTGTATCTGACCACACCTTCCCATCCGCACCACCAGCATCCGTGGCGTCGTACGCCACTTCCTTTATGAAGACATCGAGTGCAGAGCGTAATGCAACGAAGGAGGTCCTTAACAGTCTGCGAGTCCTGCAAAGGGTGCTGCCTGTTGTGTTTGAGGTTGAGGGGGAGTCCAACACATTCGAGCTCGAGGTGCTGTGGAAGAAGGTTGAAGTTGACGACGATGAAATTGTACCTGCAACCCCGGAACAGGCACCACAGTTCGTCATCGAAGATGATGACGACGGGAGTGAGAGTGGTCATCTTTCTAATGCGCAATCACAAATTCCTCAACCGAAACGGACCAAGACCTTACCTTCACTAGGAGAAAAGTTATTCACTTGCATCAACGATCTCCTGTTTTGTTGCGGTTTTAGCCTCCCAATGAAGATACAAGTGGATCATTACAAGATCAATTATGTTATATGGTATGCACCTTTGGTTCAAAATCAAATGCCTGACTTACAGTTACCTAGGGAGAAGGGCGTAGGCTCGACGACTGACTCTGGACCAAATCATGCATACGACTCCAATAAAACTGAGGTTTTACGCCTTCTCCTTGTCCTTTTGTCACGTCAGATATACATCCCACCTGCCGCTCTCTTCACGCATCCATCATTTTACACTCTGCATGTAGTTCGAAAAACGCCCCGACGCGATGTCTTGACATTACTTTGCTCCTTGCTAAACACCGTAATGAACTCCGCTACAACCAACAACATGACCATTGCCGGTGTAGCCGGCAAGGTCCCTTACAATCACTTAGTTTTCAAGGGCGAGGATTCCAGGACAGCACTTGTGGGCATGTGCCTGCAAGTTTTGTGTGTGTTATTGGATTTCCAGAGTGGTCCAGCCAGAGACATCGCTTCAGATTCTGGAGACGCTACTTCATCTCCGACTGCACAAACAAATGCCTTCCGCTATTTTTTGGCGAAATTGGTAAAATTGTCTTCTTGATCTGAGAATACTATTACTCATGGCGTATAGCATCGCACGCAGGACTTTGCTTTTATCTTGAGTGGCATCATTGCCATTCTAGAGCAGCAGCTAGCTATCTCAAACAATCTACTCCCTGGATCCAGAAAGTCGGTTCCTTATGTGCCTGAGACCAGTACGCATGTCTTTTATGTTTGCCCCACTTTCCTGATTCCGTACAGTCGTTTTGTTCTGGAAGATCGTCGAGCTCAACAAGGTAAGTAGGTCGTCTATCTGGTAGTGCCTATCTGACGTCTGATCCTTTCTCTAAGAAATTCCGCGCTTACCTGCTGGACTCGGATAAAACAGTTGACGTCCTTGCATATCTTCTATGCTATTCACTCGAGATCAAAGATAAGCCACGTACGTCTTCTGTAGTTATCAATCGAGCAGGTTTATATTTTCATGGATTTCTAGAGCAACACGGCCTTTGCAGAGCGCTCTCGTACATTATTCAGACGCTATCGGCTGAGCCCGCATTTGGCAACAAGCTTTCATCACAAATAAACATCCAGATACCGACAAAATGGGCATCTCAGGGGGCATCGCATGGGACTGCGGGAGATTTCATGATTAATGTGAGCGAACAAGTGACTTTTACATTCTTGGAAATTAATCTTTCGTATCATAGTCGATTTACTCCATCATTGCAACTACTTCAGGCACCCTCAATTCTATATCCGGCACTTATCATAGCGCTCGCAAATGCGGCTCCATATTTCAAAAACCTGTCTGTTGTTGCATCTAATCGTTTGCTTCAGCTCTTCACTTCGTTCTCGAACCCTCTATTCCTCTTATCCGACGAGAGCCACCCAAGACTTTCATTTCTTATGTACGTCATTTGTCATATGGGAGTAGCACGTCGCTTACTTATTCCCAAGGCTCGAGGTTTTCAACTCAGTAGTATTCCATCACCTTTCCGATAACCCGAATCTTCTGTATGCAATCATCACTGCACAAAAAACTTTCGAAGAACTAGGGACATTTACTCTTGCCCGCGGACTTCGGGAGATCCAGCGTGTACAACGGATCAAGGAAGAGCAAGCAAGCCAGGCAGAACGCGACCGAAAGAATGGCTCACAGCAGGACCGCGTGTCTGTAGAGAGTGCACATCAGGAGAAATTACGCCTCCTCAAGAACGAAAGTGACCCTGCCTTCACCATCGAGTCTACTTCGTTTTCTGGTGAGGACCTTGAAGCTGGCCTGGGTGGGCACGAGCAAACGGAGACCCGCCCACTCACGTCTCCACCTTCGGAGAATAGCCCAACAACAAGTACCAGTACTATAACAGCTGCGTCAGAAAAGGCGAGAGGCAAGATGAAGGCTCGGCGGTCGTTGTCGACGGACACAGTAAATGGAGATCGCATGGCTGCGGCTGGCGTTGGTAGGAATGGGTTTTTACCTACTCAAGAATGGGTGAGCCCCAGTTCGCATTAACAGAACGTCTTCTATCTCTAATTTCCATGAAATTAGGTTACGTCTTGGCAACAAGGGTAAGTACTTTCTCGCTGGCGTTCGAGTGTCTCCTAAATATTGGCAGACTACCCTTGGATACTGTGATGCTGGTTATATCGGAGCTCCTGCCAAAGATCCAGAATCTGCAGGCTGGCTGGCAGAAGGCTAACTCAGCCGGCGCTATCACTGACTTCTTGCAAAGCGTGACATTGACTGATGTTCTGCCTCCTGCACCAGTATTATATCCGAGACGCTTTGTGGTATGTTCTTCGCATGAATTATGGAAGATACTGACCCAACAATTAGTGGTCTGATGCATCAATTGTCTGGCTGACGTCGCTCATATGGGGAGGGGTTTATGTGCATGGAATGTCGCCTCTCGGCATATGGAATTCGACCAATGTACGGCTCTTTTTTGTGAAACACGCGCAACCGCAACAACAGCGGCAAATCACGGACACAATGTCAAGCGTCGTCGGAGGATTGTTCTCGCCCACCAGACAAAGACTCGAGCGTTCGTCCAATCAGTGATGTGTGTTTGTTGGTGTACTGTACTGTGAATATGACATGCTGTGCTATTCACGATAATGCTACGGAGGTTTTACCTCAAGGACGGCGTGTTTCTCTGTATAGATACAAAAAATAGGATTTTTAGTCGGCATTTCGTAATTTGCGACTCAAGTTTGAGTTTTAAGCATGTCACTGCTGACAGGAATTTGGGATCTCAGATAGTCATCGTTGCTTACATTGGCTCAGTACTGAGTACTGAGTACTTACCGAACGCTCAACAGCTTGGATGTACTTACATTACATGATAGAGCTACAAAGTAGAAAAATCAACGATGCGTTGCTTCGAGCCCGTAAAACTTTCACTCATCGTCATCACAGAAAATGATACCACAAAGATTGTTTGATTATTTTTTTCCCGAATTGACACAAAGAGTGCGTCATCAGAACGGGTGCATTAAAAACCCCAGTGGGGAAAAGCTACCGCCCTCAGCACTCTTGTGTATGAAGATTACATGGCAGAGAAATACAGGGAGGATAAGACAAGAAATTGAGGCTGGGGATCGTCCTGATAATCGCTGACTGCATGTCGCGCAGTGTAAGTTCCACCAAGCGGGGTCCAGAAGCTCGTCCAGGGTGTTCGACACGATCCAGAGGGGAGTGGGTGGCGCTTTTTTTTTTTACCGGGCTCCTCGAACCTCCACCGTAATGCAGCGATGCACGGCTTCGGCACCCGTGCGCACAGTGGTGCCAAGATTGCTGCTCTTGCAGCACCACCGGGCTCATGCGCGCTCGACGTTCGCGAGGGAACCTCGGTGTCGGCGCGCATGAGCGTTACGAGGATGGGCAGATCGGCCCAGAGCCTCGATGAGTATCTTGACGGACGTTCGGATTATAACGCGCATGAGTAAGTGGGTAGAAGTAAGCCTAAGACAGGGGAGAAGGGTGTGAGAGGGATGAGGTCGATCTGAGTTGGAGTAACGCACCTTATGTATGTGTGGTGATGGGTCCAAGCAAGGTCAAAGTGAAAAGCTGTGGCATGAACGCCACCCTAAAGATTCAAGCGGACATACCACACGCCCACAAGTCCAGAAAAGAACAATTCTTCGGAGGGCTGAGGTCACAATCCTGACATCGGAAATCATACGATCAATAGGAAGGCCCAGATAACATCAATGGTTTGCCCCATTATGTCGACCGAGTGGCACCCATTCCTTGGCAACCTGCGCCCACTACAACAAACAAATGCAGTTCAGCATAATAGCATTTGTCCACAAGCGACCATCCGATAAAAAATATAGGCGTTCCTCTGAGGTCGTTGGATCAATGATCAAAGAATGTCATCCCTTGACACACTTCGAGAAGGAAATGATAGGCGAAGCTGAATTGGGCCCCGGAACAAAGCCTTTTGGTTTTGTTCTGTTCTGTCATACTTGACGACGGCTTCTCCAGCAACAAATGGGGATGAAGAAAAGGTCAACCTTTGACAACCTTTGACAATCACAGCCGATGCATAGACTATTATCCACGTGGCCCTGAACACTATACCGAATCAATCCAAATTCCAAGGAATCAGAGGATGCTGATAGGCTTCAACCAGATGTTGGCGCAAGATTAAGCCGACAACTCCTCCCGCAAATTTCAGGGGAAAGAGGGGCCCGAGGAAAACCATGCAATCTCCAGCCTAAATTGCGATTTGTTGTTGTCCGGAAGAAGAAAAAAAATCAATAAAATTTTGTCAGCCTTCTGCCATAGCATCTCCATCATCTCCTAAAGGCTGCTGTTCTCCGCCACCCGCACTCAATCCTTCGACCCCAAAATCCACGCGCTGCACTTCCAAAGTCCGCAGATTAACGAGCACGAGAACGCCTGTCTGCGAGAAGCTAGGCACTAGAACAATTCTGCAACATCTTCCTGCCCTACTCGATCCATCTTCTGAACCCACTAGCTCTGTACCAAATTCGGGCATCCCGCCAACAAGGTAAATATCCGGAGTTTCCCGCAAAACAAAAGGGTCTCGGTCCCGATAAGGATGACACCATAGTGTGTCTGGAGCAGTTGGAGCAACGTGGCGCCATTTTAGGGTTGAAGCAACAATCGACACGAGGCTCGAGGGCGGGGTTGGAAGATATTTGTACATATCAAGAACAGGCTGACCTGATGTCACCAATAGGCTGCGAGTAACAGGCGGATAATTTGATTTAGAGGACGAAGTTCGCCCTTCGTTCGGTATCGATGACTCAGTTTCATCACATCTTACGCGAAGCCAGGCGGGATTTGATTCGCAGTGGAATGACTCGAAGGTTGCAACCCTTCCGAACATCGCACGGGGGAAAGGTTGCTGTGGAAGAATGGTTCCAGAAGGATCATCCTCTCCAGGCAATATGTGGACGGGAATTGCAGAAGTTAAATCGAGAAGATGAGCGGAAAGAGCAAGATTCGGATGAGGAGAGAAATTTGCCTGTGCTGACGCGCCGAATTTTCTCTGGTATGCACTTGGTCATTTGCCATTACACAGAAGGGACCTTAACTTACTGGTCTCTTCTCGTCTTCACCCTCCTCAGTGTATTCTTCAAGCGACAACGAATTTCCGGCGATGACCAGCCGTGTTATTTGTGATGCCAATTGTTGGTCCTCAGGTCCACCTGCTTCTCCTGTGAGGTACTCCACAAGCATTTGGATTTGCGCATCCGCAGGTGAGGGCGACCCAATGGATAGTCCCGAAATAACGGCCACATATTCATCTCGCGTAGATGAAGAGCTAAGTCATAAGACGTCTTGCCCTCAGTTGTAGATCTGGAAAGCAGTGAACTCACCCCACATCCACATCCATGGCGTCTGAGCTAAAAATTTCTTCCTCTGCAAACGTTGCAAGCCCTGCAGTGCACATATCTACTACTTCGAAATCTCCTGTGGCCGTTTCCATGCCCAGAGCGGCGGTGATGACGCCTGTGACTAGGCGTTCCTCACTGACACGGTCACCGACTAATCTAATTCGACCCGACTCATCCTCCAACATAACGCTGTCTTCATCGCAGTAAAATTTCTCGCGTGGGGGTGGAGCCGGGATGGAATGCTTTACACATATCAACTGATAATAGCCAGTTATGTGTATGAGTTACTCACATCTCGGCCAATGTCTTCCAGGACATTCGGCTTGAGTGGCATATCCATGTAGACTGTACCTATTACCCAACATAGTTGAGATTTAACAACATCAAGGACGCGCGCTACATAGAGCGGTTCGCCTAATTGTACCTTCTGTGAGCACTCGAAAAGAAAGGAGGGTTCCTGTCACGTACTTTGTAGTCCAGCCCATCTAGCTTTTGCCCGCTTCTCCACTGCATTTCTCAGCATTGTCAGACGTGTAAAGTATATGTTTGCATATTGGTGCTTGTAAGACCTGTTCTTTGGGTCTATCAAGAAAGAGGGCGTTGTCTTAGTTGGAGGAACGACGGTGCTTGTCGGTCGAACAAGCGGACATGATGGAATTGGTCTGTGTGCGGATAAATGAGACCTCTAATGGTCCATGTATATAGAAGAATGTTACTTACATCGAATCAAGCGTTGCCATGTTGAATGCTCAGATTCTAGGCGCGGTCAGACTCTGGACGTGCCAGTGGGCGCGACTGTCAGACGCGTTTATTGGATTTGGTCGTGTTTGTAAGCGATTATTAATTCCCGGAGTAAGTATCCTGCACGAAATTGTCGTTCGTGAGCCTATCTGCAAACCCCCAACAGTCGACAACGACAGGGCCAGCTACAAATTTAAACTTTCAGCGCTCCTCTCCAGTGCTGCAAGCTCTGCTTCTGCAGCCATCTCACAGGTTCTCCTCGCATTTTCCTCCCAATAGGATTCCGACCGTGGAGAGGAGAGCGGGATCGTGTTTGCTGATGATGGGCGTAAAGGCAAGCCAGACTCAAGCAATGATGTCTCAAGGATGAGCCTATCACCTCATCCAATAAGTTTGGTGCACAGCGGTGCGTCTCCTTCCGATGTTTTTTCAAACATTTCTACAACAAAAGGTTCATATGCTATTTATACCATCCAATGCATATGGCCAAAAGCCCAAGACCCCTATGGGTGCTCCTGTCATTCCTTTGGCGCCGAATCATGACTGGCAGGAGGCAGCACAGAAACGCCGTGCAGGGACATGGTTCATCCCTCACTGAGCACAGATGCAGACGCGAGTGTCGGAGGAGTGGGAACGCGCAACACCATCAACTCTGGCCTTCAAGTTACCCGGCATGCAGTTCAGCAACAAAGAAGTCAAATTTGACGCAAGCACGGCATCTGCTGACGGAGAGAGAACTACGACGGTAGAAGAGCATGCTATTGTAGAAGAGATAGAAGACAACCAGCCCTTCGTGCGCTACTAGTTGGGGATATGGACTCAATGTCACAGATCAATTATATTCCTGTTCCTCCCAGCGAAACCGACGCCCTCCAGATGTTTCAACCATCGATGACTATGTGTGCATGCTCATCACTGCATTTAGGACTGCTGTGCTCCGCAACATGGGTTGGGTAGATAGCAGGGCTGAGCGAAAGGACCGATATATCGCCATGTTGTGTCACTACGGTAACTGCGATCGGCGCAGAGACGGGGACAGCAAACGAGAGCAAGATTAATCATGGTATCTATCTTACGGTCACCAGGAACACTAGTAAATTTAGGATACGTTGAATCTGGTCCGCTCCCCAAACGCTCCAAAGAACGCATGTGACTGGAGTCGGAGTCCGAATCGCCACCACCTGGCTAATATGAGTACTTGGACCGACGTCATGCGGCCACATGTCCCGGGGGACTATATAAGATCATCGCATGAGCGCCCATCTCTAGCTATCTCCTCAATGGCTCTCTCAAAGGTGAGTCTCTATTGTCCAGACTCGTGGAATATTTCACTTTAGTTCCATATAGCACATTAACCCGAACAGACTCATCCGCGAGTCCAAGGTCAGGGGTTTGGGACCAAATTCTATCATATTCGGGCTGACAGTGTGTTCGCAGGATAAAAAGTACAACCATCATCATTTGATCAGTACTAAGGAATCCCATTCTGCATCTCACCCGTATGGAGCGCGGTACGGAATTACATCTACACCCAAGTTTCATATCCCTTCCAAGGGCACCCCAGCGCAGATCGCTTATCAGCTGATCCATGATGAACTCTCCCTCGATGGATCTCCCTGTCTCAAGTGAGTCTTGTGAAGTTCGTATCATTGTTGTCTTCTCACTTTCCCAGTCTTGCGTCCTTTGTAAACACCTGGATGCCAGAGCCCGCGGACAAGTTGATGTTAGAAAATATGTCCAAAAACTTAATTGATCAGGATGAGTATCCTATGACGCGTATGTCAAATATAGTAACCCACCTAGTAATCACCACTTATGATCATTTGCAGAGGAAATCCATACCCGTTGTGTCTCGATCCTTGCTGATCTTTGGCATGCACCTTCGACACATCAGGCAATTGGGACTGCCACTACTGGTTCATCGGAAGCTATACAATTGGGTGGTCTTGCCATGAAGCGACTCTGGCAAGAGCGTCGCAAGGCTCAGGGCAAGTCTATCCACGAACCTGGCCCCAACATCGTCATGGGTGCGAATGCCCAGGTCGCTCTTGAAAAATTTGCACGTTACTTCGAGGTTGAATGCCGCCTCGTACCGGTCAGTGTCGAGAGCAAATATAGACTCGACCCTAAGAAAGCTATGGAATATGTTGACGAAAATACCATTGGCGTTTACGTGATCCTCGGTAGTACTTACACCGGTCACTACGAGCCAGTAAAGGAGATGTCTGACCTCCTCGACGAATATGAGCAGAAGACTGGAATCAGCGTCCCCATTCACGGTGAGATATTTTTGTATTCTGTTCCCTTCATATCCACCGACTCCCTGTTCAGTCGATGGAGCTTCGGGTGCCTTCGTCGCGCCCTTTGCGCATCCAAAGCTACTTTGGGACTTCAAGCTTCCGCGGGTTGTCTCTATCAACACCTCGGGTCACAAGTTTGGTCTGGCTTATGTAGGTATCGGCTGGGTGGTATGGCGGTCCAAGGAGTACCTCCCGAAGGACCTCATTTTTGAGTTGCATTACCTTGGTTCAATCGAGTACTCATTCTCACTCAATTTCTCCCGTCCTGCCGCACCCATCATCGCTCAATACTTCAACTTTGTTCATCTCGGGTTCGAGGGATACCGCGCGGTAGCCAAGGATGACCTCAAGAATGCAAGGCTTTTGAGTCGTGCTCTCGAGAAGTCTGGCTGGTACACAGTTATCAGCGATATACACCGACCAAAAGCCGAAGATATCAATACCCAGGATTTCGACGAAGAAAATCCGGAGGTCAGCATTCTATCGCTGGGTAGCAATGCCTTCTGACGTTCCGCAGAACTATGAAGACGGTCTTCCGGTTGTGGCATTCAGGTTCTCCGACAGCTTCCAAGAGTCATACCCTGAAATCCAACAGAAATGGATTCAAATTCTCCTGCGAACTAAAGGGTGGATTGTCCCTAACTACGAACTTGCCCCTGACTTGGAACAGGTTGAAATCCTCCGGGTCGTCATCAGGGAGCACGCGACTGAATCGGTAAGCATTCTTCTTCCAGATTTCTTGTTGGGTTTTATTGAGGTCATCATATAGCTGGTGGACCGCCTGTTAGAAGATATCGTGAGCGATGTTGAATGTTTTGGTTAGTGCAAGAGCTGACATGAATAATGATTGTTTAGATCGAGGTCACCGAAGACCTCATCAAGGAAGAGTCCCCGACAAATACCCTCACCTTACTTGGGAAACACAGCCATAAACGCCCTAACAGTGCTGGTAAGATGGACGAAGGCTCTGCGTCCGAGTACTCTGGGACGTACTCCAAGCAGTGTTAGAGATGGGTGAGGTGAGAGAGCGTGAAAACATACGTTCTAGGTGTATTTGTACAAAAGCTTTGGAGCTTAGGTTCATTCAGATATATGATTTTGTAGGAAGAGGAGTCGTCGACACCCGAATGAGAGGTTAGCCTGTTGGTCTACGAGTTCGGCTGTACCTACTGATGAAGTAGAACGTTAAGTAGACAGGTGCCACTGACAATTCAAGTTACAGATAGGTATGAAGTTAATTTCAGCTGACCCATGTTGCGATCCTTGATCGACATGTGCATGTCTACTGATTTGTAATAGACAAAAACGAAAACCTCTGGAGTCAAGGCATTCCACCCAGCGGTAGTTATCATGGTCAAAAAAACGGCTGTGTCTGCACCATGTGTAGATATTAGATCTGAGGTTGTGATAAGATATAATAGAATCCAATGGCGCGTGGAAGGTACCTGGTACAACGCATGCATGGAAATCGTGAGACCGTGCGCAGTGCAATTGGGCCACCGCCACAGCTGTAGCGCGTATGGCAAATGACCACGTAGTCACGGTGAAATTTCAATGCATATTGAACGTTTTGCCACCACTTCATAGTTTAGCAAGGAAAATACTAGTAGGTGTTATTGCCCCTTCAAGACGCTTTTACGACCTAATACCCAGCGCCAGGTCATAGATTCATGAGATCCGTGGTGGCATGGTTCCGGGTATTAGTAGAACGCATCCCCCTGGCATAAATCTGACTCTGCTCTTATCTTCGGGAGTCTACGTTTCTCAAGCAGAGTTACCATATCCGAGTATCGTATCATCTCTTTTCATCCGAGAGACTCGAACATGTATTTAAGGAATCGACATCGAAAGTCGATCTGCCTATACATTCTCTGTGCGAGTTATGGCCCATTCTCATCTTACGGAGTCATCGGAGGTGCTTGAGCACCAGGAGAAAGACTTGAAGGGCTTCAGTATCCATAGCACAGAGAGTATAGAAGCTCCCTCTCAAGAGTCTGGGCAAATCGTCCGCGGGGCAGGAGACATCGCCAAGTTGGTAGGTCTAACAACAGGTTACAGGAGTGTGTCAATATGTTGAATTTGCTCCAGATCATATCAGATGAGGATAATCCTGAGCTCCCCGTACTGACCTTTCGATTCTGGGTCCTTGGTATTGGGCTAGCGACTTTTGGTGAGTTAGAATGAAGCCTACTCTCGATGTCGACGCAAATTGATGTTCAATCTGTCTCAGGATCTGTCCTATCCGAGATTTATTTTTGGAAGCCCCAGAATGCTGTAGTTTCGGCCTTATTTCAGCTGATTATATCTTACATTCTGGGTAATGCGGTGAGTTTCTGCAGTTCGCTTCACTGTGTTTCAATTGATCCTGAGGGTACGAAGATGCATTATGCTATGCCCTCGACAGGGATTTGGCGCCACCTCAATCCCGGGCCGTTCAACATTAAAGAGCACACATGCATTACCATGATGGCGTCCACTGCGTCCACTACGGCCACTTCTATTGGTATAATAGCAACACTTGATTTATTTTACGGCATAACTTTGAATCCTGGAGCCGCGATCTTTCAAACGTTCGCATCGCAGGTGCTACCAACAGCTTGCCAAGTCTGATACCAATTGACCCCATGATTCAGTTGATTGGATATGGTTTTGCAGGGCTTCTAAGAACCCTCCTCGTATGGCCAACTTACGCACTGTTTCCAAGTCAACTTCCATCAATTTCTCTCCTGCAATCTATGCACTTTAGTGGTTTACTCAACCGCAAGAAGATGAAATACTTTTGGATTGGTGATTATTTTCAACTAGAACTTCATGAATGCTGAAGACTTCCTCAGTCTTCTGGGCCATCTTTTGTTGGGTCAGTGAAGCAACATAGCGTGAGATCATCTTCGCTGTTCTCATGTTACCACCCACAGGAAATTATTCCTACTTGGATGTTCCCCCTTCTAACGGCGTTCTCTGTCATTTGCTTGGCTGATAATGGTCGCTCGGCTGTTATTCGCAATATCTTTGGTGGGGGAGGGTCCAACGAAGGTCTTGGTCTGCTGTCATTCAGCTTCGACTGGACCTTGATCACACAAGCGTATCCTTTATATTGGCCCCTGCAGACCCAAGTCTCTTCTTGGATCGGGCTAGCATTTGGTTATGCTCTGATGGGTGTGTCACTCCATATCATTGCCTTGTTGACACCATTTATCGATTCATTGTCAGGCGGATGCTATTATGCGGACGTGTTTCAGGGGTATTCGAGAGGCTTACCATTCATGTCAACTGCACTATTTTCTGGTAATGGCTCATCGTATGACCAATCCGCGATACTTGGCCCCGACAACACACTCGACCCGGAAAAGTATGCTGAAGTTGGACCTCCGTGCGTACATATACAGACATGAGTAATCTTTTTTGCACCGACAATAATTTTCAGATTCATGACAACAACTTACGCAGTCTCGTTGCTCATGAGCTATGCAGCTATAGGAGCAGCGTTTTCCCACATATTTTTGTGGCACTGGGCAGAGCTATGGGAAGCTTTCAAAGGCTTCAACTTCCTGAAGTCAGGGCAAGATTTTGACGAGTAAATTATGCCTTTTCCTTCACTTTCGGACTTTCTTCAACGTTGCATTCCAGTGCTCACTTTCAGCAAATGAAAGTGTATAAAGAGGTTCCACAATGGTGGTATGGTTCTGTTTTCATCGTGTCGTTGGGCCTAGCGATTGGTATGGCGTACGTTGACATCAACACCCTGCCATGGTGGTCTGTCATCGTTTTTACTGTCATTGGTGAGTTTATGACTTTGAGATGTTTGATTTCACCTCACGTTCTCTTGCGTAGCATTCATTGTCGCCGTCATTCTTGGTTTCATATTTGCTGTGACAGGATTCCAGATCCCCACTGGAGGTTTTGTGCAAGTTATTGCTGTCGGTGGTTTTTCTGCATTAGTGGTGGCGGTTAACATTGACAGGTTATGTTTAGGCATATGTTCCACCCTCAGCAACCAGTTCAGAACATGTATGCAAAGTTGTACGGTTACAGCACTGGTTATCAGACACTTGCCATGCTCTCTGATTTGAAACTAGGTGCTGTCTTTCACTTCGATGATTTGACTCGAGATCTAACGTTTACCTTCGAAGGACAATATGCAAAGGTACCACCTAGAGCTACTTTTGTTGCGCAAATCAGCGGCACGATTCTTGGGGCCAGTAAGTCACTTAAATTCTACGAGGCTTACCTCGCTAAATGTTGAGTTGAGTTTTCAATTATGTCCTGTATAAGTCTATCGTAGACGCGCACAGAGCTGATTTGATAAACCGTGCGTTATATCATATGTACACAGTCTCTATTCGAACTCAAGCGAGACTGATTATAGCGATTGGAACGCGTATATGGTCAGGGTGGAACTCACAGGAAATCAACTCGGCAGCAATTACATGGGGCGCTCTGAGTGCGGAGCTATACGCCCCAGGTAAAACCTACTTTCAGGTGAGCGAGCAGATTGTTGCAAACGCAGATTGACAAACTTTTTCTAGCTTCCTCTCGGACTTCTATACGGGTTCCTCGCTCCTTTCTTGCTCTATGCCATGCATTGCATATTCCCAAGGTATTAATTTGCAGTATTACTCGTAGAAATCTGATACTTAGAACGACAGACAACGGATCTGGTCTTACCTCAACATGCCAATTATATTTACGTATCTGGGTTGGCTTCCATACTCGGTCAATGGTACGTTGACAAATCGCACGATATTCAATAGTATGTACTGATAATCAATACAGGGATGTGGTGGCCAGGGTTCATCATCGGGTTGTATACGCAATGGTGGGTCAGGACCAGGAAGCCAAGATGGTACATTAAATACAACTGTGCGTAATCTGGACAGAGATATTATGCCGAACCAACTAGGGATAACCATGTAGATCTGACCTCCGCCGCTCTGGATGGAGGTTCGTCCATCATTTACTTCATCCTTAATTTTGCGGTGTTCGGTGAGTTCTCTGTTTGCAAGCAAGGTCCTTTGTACTTACTCTATTCCAGGGGCAAGCGGAAATGCCATAAGCTTCCCTACGTGGTGGGGAAACCCAAATCCGAGTGTTATTAGTGTCGGTGAGTTCATGGCTGGATCATTCTTTGTCGAGATAGTTCTCATTTCCCAAAACCAGATCATTGCATGGCCACTAGCTTTTCGTGACGTGGTGAAGTGATCGGCCTCCTTGCCCTAACGAAGTATATCTGATAGCTTTGTTGAAATGCAAGATGTTCATATATCTGAGATTTCTCAACCATGAGGATGTTATGAGATTTGCAACCATCCGTTTCCGCTGTAGGTGGGAGATACTTAAACCAATCGGGCCAAGCTTCTTGTGAGACGATTTTGACGACATCAGAAAATATCATGTGTACGTGAGAGGTGTGGTGGACAGGGACCACTCGAATTTAATCATTCCTGATGAAGTTCCTTCCAAGCCTGTTCAGTTTTAGAACGTTTCTCTTTGGCCTGGGCGCGGTTCCGAGTCGAGCGCTCGACACGCTAAGTCAAGAAAATGTTAGCGCTCGGCAGGGCGTACTAAAAGGCAGACCACTAACTTCTTTGCGAAGGCACTTGTTAAGGCTATCCTTTTCTTGATTGCAGCCACCGGTCAGTCGTGCCCAGCTATTGATGTGACACGCATCCAGTGCCTGGATGAATTCCCTGCAGACTGTGATGGCTAGGTTAGAATAGGAAAGGATATGACAAAGGCCGTGCGCCGCACCTATTCGTTTATCAGACAACTGCGGGTGCATCTGAGAAATGCTGCATGAAAAGTGTTACAAGGCTATACGGCACCAACTGACAGTGGGATCCAAGGGAGTTGTCGACAACCAGTGTTAACAAGTTAACGATACACGCACAGACCAAGATGAGAAGAGAGTTCCGGTCAAGCTCCGGGTTGTGTGTTTTCCGTCCTGTCCGAGAGAGTTAACGCGAGAATCGACGTGTGAAATGGTTCCATGGTCGTAACCCTTCGTAAGCCGGTCGCTAACTCAAATCGCATCAGTACAGCTTGAAACAGTTATCTCTGAGGGGTATAATAACCCGACCAATTCGGATCCCTTTCCTTTCAAATCCATCAATCATGTCCCAGTTCACCTCGGAACCAACAGACAGCACTTCCATTGCCACCATCCGCACTCTTGCTGCCGATGTCGTTGGCAAGGCAAACTCTGGTCATCCAGGTGAGCATCACTAGATCGCCTTCATCATGTGCAACGATAACGACGATGTCCCATTTTTTAGGTGCACCCATGGGTATGGCGCCTGTTTCCCATATCCTCTTCACAAGGTAAGTGATGTCGAATCATAAACTTCTACGTCTACATCGTACGATTATTTAAAAACACCTCAGATTCTTCAACGCGAACCCAAAAAACTCTAAGTGGTTTAACCGCGACCGATTCGTTTTATCTAATGGGTAAGTCTGTGCTCAGATTCACTTTCGACTGCTCGCTGATGAACACTACAGACACGCGTATGCACTTGACCCCTGACTGGTGTATCACTAACTGATGGGCACTCTAGCTGCGCACTGCAATACATCTTGTTGCACCTATTGGGATACAAGCTTTCCATGGATGACCTTAAGGCGTTCAGGCAGCTTGACTCTTTGACCCCTGGTCACCCTGAAACACACCATACCGATGGTAAGCAACTACTTATGATACAGTTCATGTTGACGGATCGCTGACACTACGCCAGGTATTGAGGTCACCACCGGACCCCTTGGTCAGGGAATCGCCAACGGTGTTGGTCTTGCTATGGCTCAGGCACACTTGGGCGCAGTCTACAACCGTCCCGGTTTTGACCTTATCAACAACTACACGTATGGTTAGTTTTATCCCAGTTCCGAGGATTTGGGATATGTCATAACTGTGCATCCACAGTTTTCACTGGAGATGGTTGTTTGATGGAGGGTGTTGCAAGCGAAGCCGCTTCCCTTGCTGGTCACTTGCAGCTGGGCAACTTGATCGTCGTGCGTACCTTTCACGTGTGATTTTTTAACCTCGATTAATCGGTCCGTCCCAGATCTATGATGATAACCGTAAGTCGGATCCTTATTTGCGGCTCCGTTCCTTGACTGATCTTAATTAAGACATTTCTATTGATGGTGACACCGCTGTCGCATTCACTGAGAATGTCGAGCAGCGCTTTGTATCATACGGCTGGCAAGTTCTCCATGTCAACGACGGTGACCAGTACGAGATGGTTTTTCATCCATGTTTTTGATATCTGACTTGCGCTCAGCGATCTTGCTGCTATCAATGGTGCTATTGCCACTGCCCGTGCCGAGCAGACTAAGCCTACTATCATCTGTCTCAAGACCACTATCGGTTACGGGTCAAAGCAACAGGGCACCCACGGTGTTCATGGCGCTCGTGCGTGTAATTTCTTGACATGTCAAATGCCCGCGTGCGAACTATCTTTTCCCCAGCTCTCAAGCCCGATGACATTCAATCCCTGAAGAGCAAATTTGGATTCCCTCCTGACGAAAAGTTCTACGTGCCTAAGGAGACTTACGACACTTACCGAGCAGCTGCCCTTCGCGGCGCCAAGCTCGAGTCCCAGTGGAACAGCCTTCTCGCTGAGTACTCCAAGGCATACCCCAAGGAATACGCCGAGCTCGCTCGCAGGATTTCTGGGAAACTTCCGGAAGGATGGGAGAAAAACCTCCCCGTGTACACCCCTGCCGATCCCGCTCAAGCATCTCGCAAGCTATCTGAGCTTGTCCTTACGGCGATTACTCCCGCACTCCCCGATCTCATGGGTGGCTCTGCCGATCTGACAGGCAGTAACTTGACCAAGGTCAAGGGAACTGTCGACTTCCAGCCCCCCAACACCGGACTCGGAAACTACGCTGGCACGTACATCCGATATGGTGTTCGTGAGCACGGTATGGGCGCCATTGCCAATGGTCTGCATGCCTATGGTGGTATTGTACCATTCGTCGCTACATTCATGGTGAGTAGTGTTTTTTAGTCAATGTTTCTCGCTGACCGCATCACAGAACTTTGTTTCATATGCGGCTGGTGCCGTCAGGTTGTCCGCGCTCAGCAAGCATCAGGTTATCTGGGTTGGTGAGTAAAGAATCCTTCAGAAACAAGGAAACAATGTTCATAATTTGTCAAGCAACGCACGATTCCATCGGTCTTGGAGAAGACGGTCCTACTCACCAGCCTATCGAAACTGCCGTCCACCTGCGTGCAATCCCCAACCTCGACTTCTGGCGCCCTGCAGATGGTAATGAAACATCCGCAGCCTATCTCGTCGCTCTCAAGAGCACGCAGACACCATCCGTCCTCTCACTCTCTCGGCAGAACCTGCCCAACCTCGAGGGCTCTACTATTGAGCGTGCAGCACGGGGTGGATACGTGCTCTACGAGGTTGCCAATGAGGACATGACGATTGTCAGCACCGGTAGCGAGGTTCCGATCGCTCTTGAAGCAGCAAGCTTGCTTAAAAAAGAGGGCATCAACGTCAGGCTTGTCAGCTTGCCTTGTTGGTCGGTGTTTGACAAGCAGGATGAGCAATACAAGCTCAGCGTCCTCAGGAGCGGTGCTCCCATTCTGTCATTAGAGGCACTCTCGGTAAATTTGGATAGCTGAAGAAGTGGTATACTTGGCTAACTTGTCTCGAAATAGACTGCTGGTTGGCAAAAATACAGCCACGAGGTAAGGGTTCATGATCGCATCTATTTCTAAATAGCTAATAAATTTGGCAGCAATATGGTCTTCCTGCATGGGGTGCTTCAGGACCTTACCTCAAGGTGTATGAGAAGTTTGGCATTACTGGCCCTAGTAAGTTAGCGCATACACAAGGCTCCGTGACGTTACTGACTTGCGATCCAGACATTGCCGCCGTTAGCAAGAAGGTCATCGCATTCTACAAGCAGAAGGGTGGTCAAGTTGTGTCTCCTCTCGTCAAGGCTCTGTAGGCTATTGTGTCCAGCAGTATTAAAAATTTCGCCACTCCTGAAATTAGGTTAGATTACTCGTAGAAAGGAGTGTAAAGATCCTGTAATCATATAGATTGATGATTGACAAACTTGTGGTGCTGCAAAGGGTAACCGAACAAAATTGAAGCAGGGCAGTTGGTCCTTCAATGGCCCTTCTTGATCATAATTCAAGCGAACAGTATAAAACTTCAGGTGAAGCCATCGCGAATACGTATAGATATGGATAGTCACAACTACGAGTCTACACGGATGTGAATGTCTATTTGCGTTGAACGGTCATCGTGTCCCAGGCAAATCTCTCCTCCTCTTCCTTGAGGACGTTCAGGATATGAGGCTGGAGGTATCGCTTGTCCTGAAACAGCGGTCAGCGTCAATCCACTTTGTAGTACCTGCGAGACATCAACATACATCCTCAGGAGTAGACCATTGTTCTTTTGGCAAAGGTTTGTGGTGAAGGTCACAGTCACATGCAATTTTGAGGCGGTAGGAGCGGTCATAGGTCTCTCGCGGAGTTAAACGACCAAGTGCCTGTAATTCCAGCCGGTGTTAAACATGTTCGCAAGAAACAGTATGCAACTCACCCTTTGGACTTGTGGGCTCTCTTCAACCTCTACATGAATCTAGTTTAAACACGTTCATCCCGAACTAGACATATGACACGCACGGAGGTCATCATATTTGAGGCCCATCTTGCGGTAGCCCATGAGGTCGGCATACCAGTGAGCGACTGGTGTCACATATTTCTTGAGCGTCCGCGAGGAGCGGATGTAGGGTGCGAGGGATAGGCCGAGCACGTTCATCGCGTTGGCTACTGAGTGTGGTGTCTTCACGAAACTGCAATTCAAGAAGCGGAACCACTCGGAGATTTTATTTGGTACTATTTGGATTCGCTTTATTTAGACTTATTTGATAAGATCTGGTAAGATAAAACTCGCAACGAATCTTGACTGCCATCTTCCTCATTTTTCTGCTCAGACACAACAGATATGGCCCCAAACATCCGTGAGCGCACCTACATCATGGTCAAGGTAGCCATTCATCATCTTGGTACGATCATCCGCTGAACTACTGCGCCATCTTTTAGCCCGATGGTGTTGACCGTGGTCTTGTTGGCGAGATCACCGCCCGCTTTGAGAGGCGTGGTTTCAAGCTCATCGCCGCCAAGCTCGTCTCCCCCGCTAAACAACATCTCGAGAAGCGTGAGTTCAGAATCCCACCAGATTTATCAACGTGTCGATTGATCGCATTCGGTCTGTATAGACTATGAGGACCTCAGCGAGAAGCCCTTCTTCCCTGGTTTGATCCAATACATGCTCTCTGGTCCTGTCTTTGCCATGGTCTGGGAGGGCTTGGATGCTGTGAAAACTGGCCGTGCCATGTTGGGCGCCACCAACCCCCTTCAGTCAGGCCCTGGTCAGTCTATGCATAAGTCACGAATTTGCACATTTGTACTCAACTTATCGTAGGCACGATCCGTGGCGACTACGCCCTTGCCGTTGGCCGTAACATCTGCCATGGCTCTGATTCTGTCGAGAACGCCGAAAAAGAGATTGCTCTGTAAGCTCACAAAAACCCCTTGATTTATTCCGCCTGACTATCTTTGCAGCTGGTTCCCGGAGGGTCTTGTCCAATATTCGCGCTCCATTGAGCCAAAGGTCTACGAGTTTTAGACGTGTACAAAAGGATAGCAATAAGAATTGCCAAATGTTGTAAACTAGATACCGTTTCGACTGCAATGTGGAAACTAGCTCCTACAGTAGCATTAGAGAATTAGAACCAGCGTTCTCGCGACAACTGAGATGCAAACCATCAAAGGACACCACAGTTGATTACTAGCAAAACAATAATAAAACAGAGCGATAATAGATGAAGATAATGAGCAACAAGGTATTGTATGCAATAAGAGTGAGGGTATGTATGCAAGAAATGATGATATGAAAAAAATAGTTGCCAGTGTGTGCAAACACCTACTACACACTCCTCGGCGTGCCATAGTATGCAGGATCCAGCTACCCTAGGCATTTGATCCGCAGCATGCGACCTACTACGTAAGAGGAACTCCGGCCCAACCACCGCTGATAAACACTCTGAAGCGCTTGCAAGGCATAATAAAGGTTAGAAAACCTATGGCACCGACGTCATGAAGCGACGAGCATGCATTACGTTCCGGATGCTAGTATAGCAGCAAGATCTTTCTCGCCAGCTGCCGCAAGTTGGCGTGAACGCGCTTTCAAACGCACTAGGTAAAGATGAGCCATTGTGAATTACATCAAGAATCAAAGGCTTACAGAGACGATCTAAAGATAGTAACACCACCTTGACGGCATTAGCATCATCTCGCACAGGCGGGGTATTCTTCAACAGTGCAGAGCGGTCCACCCAATGCTCATCTTGCCAGATCGCAGCTTTTAGAATCAGATCGTCCATGCAACGATCCCATGAGTCTTCATTCGTGAGATCAACCTGCTCGGTCCGTACATTCAGTGACATCAGGTAGTTGCCTTTTGAAGTCTGGACTTTGAGTGAGGTTGAGTGCGAGCGGACGTGAGAGGTGATATATTCAATGGCTTCTTGAGCAGCTTCGCCAAGCTTAGATGGATTCGAGGATAGGCCGTCAAGCTCCATGATAACCGGAACTGGCAGGACGACGGTCCATCGGAGACTCTCAATGATAGATGCGATGGCCGATAAGGAAGATAGGATGATGTTCGTATCCAGCACAAGAATAGTATAGCCTGCCACGATGTTCAGGGATGGCACTGACACGATTTTCTGGGAACGTGTGGTGCGAGACCGCTGTTTGGGTACGTGGGCGGGTGCACGCTGAGCTGAAACGAGAAGTGACCGCAAGTACCTCCGGCGTGCCTGTCAACGTCATCAAATACCATCTGAAAATCAAAAACGAGACAACCAACCTTGAGCTCCTTGACTTCCTCAGAATCATTTTCGTCGTCTTCACTCTGTTCCGACGATTCATCGGCGTCTTCATCCTCGACATCGACGTCCATAGAATCGTCAGTCCAACGACGTCCACGTCGCCTCCGTTCCTCTTCCTCGCGCTCATGACGATCTTCGTCAAGCCAGCGCGTCACTTTCGCTTCCAATACACCCTCAACCCTCCATTCACGTGTGCCCTCCACCCAGGTGAGCCCATCAACAACAGTTGACAAGGAAACGGCACAGCGCACAAGTCGGCTCCATCTCTTGCTCGTCTCCCCACGCAAACTCTCCCGATGGGAGTGACCATCCTCTTCGTCATCTTCATCTTCGATGATCCCGTCAGTTAGCTGGCCGCCTTCTTCCATATCCAGAATCTCCACCTCCACCCGCCTCTCTTCTCCGCTCTTCCAGTATCCACGCTCAAAGACTTTGCGACCGATCCACTCCATCCCACGAAGGCACCAGTCCTCGGAGAGAGGCGGGGCACAACCACTTGTCAGCATCGCCCACCGCTCACCGCCAGTAGCTGGGATATCCAGTCCCTGCGCAGCAAAGATATCGCGGGGAATGGTGGCAAAAAAGCGGGCAAGATCATGCCAAGGTATCGAACGTTCCATTATAGAAAGTGTCTCTGCGTGTTTTGTGATGGTAGCCAAGAAAGTGAGCAGGACTGTGAGATAAGGATTGAGAGTTGAACGAGAAAAATGTGTGGCTTTTCGCGTCGGATTGCGGAGAACGAATGAGAGCATTGAAAATGCAAGTTCCAACGCTAGTTTGAATGCCACCGGCAGCTCCACAGAGAGACTTCCATCCGATAGAGCCGGAGATGTTTGTTGGATGCCTTCATCATCCACGTCCATCCGTTTCTCATCACCGTCTTCGTCGCGGAATGCGGGTGAAACTTGGCACTTCTTGGCTACTTTTACAGCCGGAATGCCTGCGCCAGTGTCACGACCACCTACGCTACCAATCTTACGCAGCACGCCGCTCGGACGACCATATTCAAGCACAGCACCGATGTTCACGATAGCCATCATGATCCACTCACGTTCCTCGGCTCCCTCGATTTCGATGCGCTCAAGGAAGCGAGCGAGGGTCGGTGAAAAATCGTCAAGTTGGATGTTGGTAAATAGCATGCCATGTAAAAGAACGAAGAGTTCAGGTGCGCGGGCGTCAGGTTGCGATCGCCGCGATTGCGCAGTTGACGACCAGATGGGAAGAATGGACTCTCGAGAGGTTGAGAATGTGTGGAGGGTGGTCATACTATAAGAACAACTGATCAGCAATGCTGCGAGAGAATTGAGGGGCAAACAAACCTCTTGACAAAATGATACACGGCGCGTAGCTCCTCCTCGTCGACCTCACGGCTTAACAAACCGAGATGGTGGTGCAACTTGCCTGCACCAGGGGTATCCGCAAGGCCCTGAGCGTACCACTCCTTTGCGATACTTCGCCAGCGCTCCTTCTCTGGCTCGACATCCATCATCCGCGCGGCGACAACACCAATACTCGGGCTCGGCGAATTGTCTACCCGTGCAGCAGGATGATCAGAAGATGATTTGACGCTCATCTGTGATTTGCTCTTGGCTGTCACAGGTTCGCCATCTGCGGATGCCGCGGCTGCTTTAGACACAGCGTCTGTAGTTAGTGCCGAGCCTTTCAATTGGTTATTGGTGACCATTGCAGCCACAGCCATGCGATAGCGCGCAAGATCGCCAAGAGCCTCGAGCCAGCCGGATCGGAACGAACGCAGAGTCGGCTCCTCGAGAAGGCCGGTGTAGAAGGTGTAGGAATAATATATAAAGTCTTGAAGGTGTTCAAGAGCGAGAGGCGAAGAAAACGAAGCACGCCTCAAGGCCTCCAGAAGTTTGTGAAATGCATGTGTCCAGAGGCGAATGATGATATTGTACTTGCTTGGGATTACCCGGAGAGAAGCCGGAACGCTCGGTGCGAGGGAGATCTCCATAAGATTGTGCATCATCTCAGCGAGCCTGTACACATTCAATCAATGATATCATGATGAAAACCGGAGTGCCACTTACCGCTTATGGTCTGAGATCAGCTTCGTCCATTTTTGTTGCTGGAGGTCTTCGTCGCTAACTTCGCGTCCTCGTCCTTGGAGAACAACGCGGCCTTCATCTACGAGATCATCGGGGTCTTCATTTAATATCTTTGTTTCTAGGGTGGATATGTTGCGGTACAGCTTTTTAAGCTGAACGGCGAACGCATTATTGCTTGCATCTTCGCGAGGCTTGCTATCGAATAATGCTGACGATGCAGATGAATTATCCGTCGTTCCAGATGAAAGGGTGAAGCTTGAGGTCAACGAGTGAGCATACGAGGAAGTCGAGGACGCAGAGACATAGTCTCCCGATGACTTGGGTGTAGGTGGAGGCCGGCCACTAGTTGATGATGGACGGGCCAGGACCGCAAATCTTACAGGATCATCCTTCCTGTGGTCGAATAATTGACGGTTTGCTGGCGCGTCTCTCTGATGGGAAGTGAGGTTGTTGCGCGGCGGGGACGAACTGCTTGTTGCATCAGAAATTGATTCGGGCTCAGTTGTCCTTCTCATGGGAATGGGATCCGTGTTGGGATTAAATAATTTGCCCTGTTGATTCTGTTTTGTGTGATGGTGGGGGCGAGGGGATGAAGATATCTTGAGGCGCCGGGAGAAATCTTCTGGGTCTGCCTCGGGACGGGATACAATAACATGAGGTGCGAGGTGAGTCTTACGTGGAGATGTCACTGCGGGAGAGCTGCGGGAAGGAACGGGTGGCGGATTTGGAGGTTGCAGACGAGAAGTAGATGGAGATGACGGCGTTCGCTCAGGGCGTTCACGGGGACGAGTTGCACTGTGAGTTGAATGAACGATATAAAATTCAGGAGATGAGTTACATAGAAAAGAAATAAAACATACATGGCATTTCTCCTCTGGAAGGCAACCATACGCTCCGCAAAATCGGTTGGCTGAGCGGGATCACGGTCCCTTAGCCTCCTTGAAGGCTTTGGCTCATGGTTTGATTCCATGACCTGTAGCAGCTCGAAAAGTTGAAAGTGCTGCTACTGGAGATTATAAAAACGAAGATATACTTCTAGTATGACTGCGAGATGAGTGGACGGAACGCAAGAGTAAACGCTGTGGGCATACCGTTCCTTGTCCACTGCGCATTTCGAGAATCCGCAGTCGTCGACTGCGCCGATCAAGATCTATCCAAATTTAGCAACTAACACTTTCTGATAAAAACATTTTGTTAAATTCAAACAATCTTGGCAATTTTAGCAAGCGATACAAAGAAATACTTGGCTAATTCCTCAGACACTGAATTCAGCCTTGTAGTGCCGCAGCTTAGCAGTCAAAGAGTGTGTCCTTTCGTGCTCCTCTGGTAGGCACGCACAGTCGCAGAACGTGCTGCCAATCGGGACTTGTGTGTAGTATTTTAAACAGCAGTCACTGCGCTCATAGCCTCGCACAGCGGCCGCTGTCAAGGATCTCCAACAACCCTCGGCGATTGTCTTTCTACTTAAGACCTTTCTTACGAGTGGCGACCAAGTACCGACAAGTTGCGGTCAGCTGCGGAGATAATGTGCTCGCTGCCGTATAGAATGGACAACAACGCCACTGCTCGCAAAAAGTTTTTCAACCCACTCACGCTCAACATATGATTGCTGATATGCATCTCAGCAATCTCCTTGGTGCCCGGACAACGTATGGAAGGGGTGCTTTGCTATTATGAAGTTCAGGTGACTGTCTATGCGAATTCAAGTCTAGTTTCTTTACAGATACAACAAACCTATATATCCTACAAGCAAGCCCTTCTTCCTTGAGTGTTTCATTACCAGGAGTGGTGACCACCGCTGACGATAATACTGCAGATTTTACAGTCAGCTTCACTGCTAAGCAAAGCAGAGATAACGTACTCGCTACCTGTGCAGAATGTCGATGCATCAGATGCCAGCCACGTCACTACACCGCGCAACTCGTCAGGGCGTCCGAGCCGACCCAGAGGGTTCATACTAGACCACACTTCGAAGAGGTGCGGTTGTTTGTCCAGATATGCTGCAGTCATACTATCACATCTACCGTTTAGTATTGCAATGCAATTAATCACGGAACAAACCTGGTGTAGATATGTCCTGGAGACAATGAATTGACGCGAATCTTCTTTTCGCCAAGCTCGCAAGCCATGCTACGAGCCATCTGTAGGACAGCTGATTTGGAGCTGTTGTACGATACCCAGGCATGGCCCTATACACGATCAACAAGCGAACTGATGGCCATCATGATAGCACTTTTTGGGAAATGCGCACTTTGTTGGTGATACTGCCTGACATTGATGCGATAAGAACGATGCTACCACCTCGTCCGAAGCGCGACATTTGTCTGCCGGCAGCCTGCGCAGTGAAGAGGACGCCACTGACGTTGACATCCAGGACCTTCAAATCGGGGTTGGTTTCAAACAATATCGGTGGATAGCGACTCATCGACAACCACCCACCTCTCTGTACTCTTGTGCTGGGTATTCCAGACAGTCTATGTGTGATCTGAGAATACCAGCTGCAGCGATGCAAAAGTCCATTCTTCCTTCTTTATCACCAATCTCCTCCGTCTTCTTCCAAAGCGCCTGCTGATCTGTAACGTTCGCGCTGAAATACTCTAGCCGCGATTTATTCCCTAGCTTCGCGACGTAATCTCTGCTTGCGATCCATTCATCTGAAGGCTTTTCTGGAAGATCGAAGCAGTATACGACACGTGCACCAGCTTCGCAACATGCAAGAGCCATCTCCAGGCCAAGGCCCCTATTTCCCCCGGAGACAAGCCCAACGCGATCGGTTAACGCGAACTCATCGAAGATCTTGGGCTTTGGTGTGATGGATGGGTCTGCAGCCGCCTCGAGGGCAGCCTCGATACCAAGTTTACCGAGAGGAGATGCAGATTGAGCTGGGAATTGGGAACTAGGTGGAAATTCAGCTTCCATTTCATGCAACATTTATTTCTAGATAGATAAACACTTAACACAGCTTACCTGGACATGGCTCGCAGAACTGAGGATAGGTGATTGTTGGGTGATTGCGATCTAGTAACGTTGGGGGAAAAGGGGGTCTTTATAAGGGATCTCCACCAGTAAGGCCTGGCTTTTGCGAGTTCACCTGACTATAGTCAAGGCAAGTTGCGGCATATGAATAATGAAATTGGTATATTCTAAATTTCTTAGCGACCACATGAGCATGAATTCACGGAACGTCGCACGAAGTGGTCTTCCTGTAGCAGCTAAAGTGGAATTCAAGACCCGCTTATCGGGATAGTACAATCCTTGGGGATTAGGGAGGCTTTCATCGATGTATTGCTTCCAGGCTGCATCTGATATCGGATCCATAGGTGTAGTACTTTACAAGTTAATGAGAGACATAGAAGAGAAATATCTGCGTGCAGTACTGTAGCTAAAAATAACGGAGTTTGTTATATATGCGGAGCTTGACGAAGAAGTTCCGGTCAGTGCGACTGCAGTAAGTCTATGAATGATGCGCACCTCAGGCCTCAGATTTAATACAACAACAAAGAAGGCTGTGAAAGTATCGATGAAATAACTTCGGCGACGATGGAAAAGGAGAGAGGCACCTAGACAACAACTACGAGGGTTGCAAAAGTATCAATGGATAAACTTGGGTGACGAAGGCGAAGAAAAGAGAGGTACCGAGAACCAAGCACTTAGCAAATTACGATATAGCGTCCAAACATCCTCTGTACGTTGGCGTCAAGCTTTTGGTGCGCCAACGAACCATGGCGTGATAAGGGCATTTGCGTGTCTGAGGATATTAACACCAAACCAAGACGATAACGCCTCCCCGTTCCACTGGTTTGTCATATGTATTATCTTGTCGTCATCATCCAAATCCACAAGGATGATCGACTCAATTCGCTAATAAGAATGTAAGTGCTTTTCTTAGAAGTTAGTCAAATCTGTGTACCTTCTTAGTTCCTATGTACCGGAAAGTATATTCTTGTGTTTGCGAGTAGATGAGACGTTTCGGCGAGCGCGTAAACGACAAGACCCGACTCGAGATTGTCTCTGACTTTGAAAAAATCTTGGGCTGAAGACCTATGAGATTTTGACGTTTCACTTGAAGGTACGATTACTCGCCATGGCAAACCACTGCGGGAACGACTCAGATCCTGGAAAGTGTATCATGAGCTAGAGAGTCGCACCTGAGGAGCATATTGCGCATAACCCTCGCATCTGACCAGAGTATCCTACGAGAATGAGAGAATCATGGAGCTGAATAATGGTGTGTATCTGACCTCATAAACTGCATCGGGCCTCCAAGTCCTTTCAAAAATCTCCTTCGACGGTCGACAACAGTAGAGCTCCTTCAAATCAGCCATGATGCGATCCTGAATCGTGTCGTCCATAGGTAGACTGAACTGTCCACTGACGGGAGATGTAACAACTTGATCGTCATCCTCAGACACAGGCGCTCCAGAGTAGTGGGCACCCCCAGCAGCGGAGTAGATGATGTCTGAAATTGGAAGAGGTATCTGTAATGTCTGACGGTGGTATACCATCGTGGGTGATGCTGAATCACTGCTTTTGAGTGGAGCAGCATGTACAGAGGGTGTTTCCTGTGAGGTGGTCATTTCTAAAGCTTCGGAGTTCGGATGAGTCTGCAGCCAAGCTCAAGCCCAATGTTCTAGACCACACCTACATCATGTGGAGAGATAAGATAAGATAACAGTGGCGATTGCTTTCATAATACGTTGTAGATACATAGAATAAATTCATCTACCATGCGGTATATCCACCGTCGACAATGATGCTAGGAATTATTAACATGAATGTTCACATCTCGAACAAAAAATTCAACGCACTTGCTTCCCGTGCAAAAGCTCGATGCGTCAGATGCCAGCCACGTCACAACTCCACGCAGTTCATGAGGCTTGCCAAGTCTGTTCATGAAGCTTTCTTCTGACCATATAGTCTGGAATTCCGGTTGCGCAGAAATTGCTGCTGTCGTCATGCTGCAAAATTATGCATCAGAGTGTTTTGGAACACAACACAGAACGTACGGTGTCTCGATATAACCTGGTGACAGTGAGTTCACCCTGATGTTTTTTTGTGCAAGTTCACATGCCATAACGCGGGCCATGTTTATCACCGCAGCCTTGCTAGTATTGTACGGAAGTGCTGGCGTGCGCTACGAGCATAGTCAAGGGCACGTAAGCAAGAAGAGCTGAACTATACTTACCTTCAGAGCAACACTGCCAGCGACGGAGCCCATGAGGATAATGCTTCCTGGTGTCTGGAACCGGTGCATTTGCCTTGCAGCAGCTTGAGCACTGAAGAATACTCCTTTGAGGTTTACAGCGTAAACCTCTCACGAAGTTGAGCTATGTTGTTGGGATCAAATACAAAACGTCGACACACCTCTTCGAGCTCTTCTTCTGTAAACTCCAAGCAAGACTTCAGGGCTCCAGAAATGCCTGCCACTGCGACGCAAATATCCATCCTCCCTTCCTCTGTTGCAATTTCTTCTACCGTTTTGAGCAGCTTTTTCTGATCGCGAACGTCATTGGTCACATATTTGAGTCTTCCTGCACCCTCAAGTTTTTCTACGCTCTGGCGAGCGGCGTTCCAATCTTCACCTGGATTCTCCGGGAGATCTAAACAATATACTACGCGCGAACCCGCCGTAGAGAGCGCCAATGCAGCCTCGAGTCCGAGACCACGGTTGCCTCCGGTGACAATCGCAACCCGGTCTGTTAATGAAAAATCTCCCAAGCTCTCTCTTCGGATTACGGGCGTAGATGCCGTAGAGTGCAAGGAGGCTAACCTGACTCTGCTCTTGTAGATAGATGATATCTGTGAGCGCCGCAAGAATGCTAGGCTGGAGCAGCTGGTGATGGGGTTCAGCATGTTAGGTGTCACTTATCGTGGATATGGCAGGATCAAATGAGCCATCGCTCAAATATTATAGGCGAGCAATAGCGCCAGTCTATTACAGCATTGGTAGTGTGATCTAGACTTCAAGTCACATGGTTTCTGGAGGGCTTGGCTGCCTTGGCAGCTGTTTGAGCGGAGTTGGATTCAGAAGTCAACGACTGATCGGCTCTCGGAAACGTCCGAAGTACTAAGTTGCACAGCACTCAACATGTGATCGACTTGATGCTCCTGCTCTTGAACTACCATGGCTTCCGCGTATTCTTTTCACGGTGTTGTTGATATTAAGAATGCTACTCCGTATGCATTGGAGCTAAGAAAGAGATGAATGGGTTGGTTCGTTGATCCAGCATGGTGAGCGGAGCAGGCCAAGTCGCATCCTTAGCTGCATCTGTCATATCATTAACGCTATGTAAATTCACGCGCATATTCACCCTCACCACGCGCGTGCGAAGCAATATTGGAGACCCGACGTACACCAATTTCATTGACACACTTGGGGAAGTTGCTCAGGCTCACGTCAATCTTTCGATCTCATCCGTCATACCTCCAATATCGACGATGTTGTAGACTTCCGCTTCTATCCTCACCATCTCCAGGACATAACAGCCTGCCTCTAGCACGCATTCCTGTCCCCGCGGAACATTTTAGTACACGAATTCATTGAGATGATGTTAGACGCTCTGCCTGGTGATTACGGTAAGCAAGAATGGAAATCAAAGTGAGAAATGAGACAGAATTGTATTTTAGTTTGGTTGAAACAAGCAGAGCAGGCTCCTCCAGGCGCGCCCGAGTAGACCCCATTGAATATTAAAATATGAAAGCTTCAAGCTAGTCTCGCTCAGATAACCAACTACTACGATATCTAATATCTGAGTCTTGCTGATGCGGCAGCCCGCCAGAGTAGAGCACAGGCACACGATATATTGATAGAGCTCTCCAATGAGCCGTGACCCTTTTGTATGACCATATCTCTGTTGGAGCATGCCAAAGGCTCCACCCGATGGGAAAATCTACGAAGGCAGTCAACGTGGACAAGGAAGGAGAGGCTTATTCTAGACGAACTGAGGAAGACCAGGTTACCAACCATGGGGATCTCTTCAAGCAAGTCGCCTGGTCGCATAAGTTGTTAGCGCGCCGGCCGGAAGTTAATTGTCCAACCACCTATGAGTACTCCCGACCCGGGTATGCATCCCAATGGAAGCATGATTGAGAACTGGTTGTATTTTCATGCAAGACTGTCGAATGAAGATAGTCATGCAGATGGAAAACAGTATGATATGATTGAATTGTAAACTTCTTGACATTACATGATGTATCCCCTTGCTCGATCAACGAACATTTCCACAAACTAATCGACAATGTATGACTTAAAGATGTTAGATGGTGTGTGCCTCCTTCCCAGTCTCTCCTAACCACCATTAGCACTACCTTGCCACAAGCCGTATGCCTTCCCGGGTGTTGTCTGCCAGAGTCGGATTGTACCTGCGACATCACACCTGTCAATATTGTCCAAACCACTTCGTTCAAACAAGTCTTACCATCCTCTGAAAAGTAACGTAATTGACGCCTAATCAGATAAGAATACTTGCAGTTAGGAGGAAGAAAACGCACCGCTGCCGCTTGCATATACTTCACCGTCAGGGCTAAACTCGACGCAGTGGACAGGCCCGTGATGCCCCTTCAAGATCTCCCGCTCCTCCCCGTCCATTCCATGGACCCTGACCCACTCGTCACCAAGATTGCCTGTGACAAAGCGGTCTTGAAGGATAGGATGAACGGATGCAGATGATGGTGAGTATGCTAGGTTGAGACTATGTGTCGGAGTACCACTAGGTAAAGCAGGTATGAATGCGACAGTTTTTCCGGATGTCACAACCAGACGCTTGGTTTGCGGCGATAGTTCCATCGAAGTTATGGGATTAGGGAATGTTATAGTTGTTGTAAGTTTCCGTGTTCGCAGATCCCACCATCTGCACAATATCATCGTCAGTGGGGTTCTGTTATGGTTAGTCATTACAACAAACTTGATGATACCATCATCTCCAGCCGATACACCGGTATGTTCTCCAACCCAAACTACACTCTTCACAGTTCCATCATGCGATGGTAGGCCAACATCGCCAAGGAAGTCTGCCTCCGCGTCTGGCCGTGCAAGGTCAAATATTCTGACTTTCTTTTCTTGACCTCCAGTGAGAAGGTGAGAGCACGCCGGAGAGATTGCCACAGTTCGAACGATATGATTGTGAGGGAATGAGTGCAACACGTCTCCTGAATATGTGTCCCATATTTTTCTTGGTTTTAATATATTTAGCAAGGAAGGAGCCAAGGTGGCAATTGGGGCGGCAGACTCACGCAGTAAAGTCAGCGCTTCCTGATGCCGCTCGCGAAGCATCCGGAGAGAGCTTTGTACTCCATACTGCACCCTTGTGACCCAAAAATGTGCCTATCCAGTCACCGGTCCATTCCCTAAGCATCGGGTTGCCATCTTTGCAGCTGGATACAAGAAGATAGGTGCCATCGTCTTGGAGTGGTGAAAAAGAAAGGTGAGTTACTGGACGGGTATGACCTGGTGCCACGAGAGGCACAGGCTTTGGGTGAATAGACATTAAAAGATACCGTTACTGACAGGTTCGTGATATCTGTTCGTGATACAGGCGCACTGCGCTCTGGTCTTGACAACGACGAGAGTATGTACAACACAGTGGCCCTGGACCTGAGCGCAAAACAGTTGCTACACGTGACCAATTTACGGCAGAGGACTTGTTTTTAACGTTGTTTAGTTGAACTCACACTACTCAGGCTTTCGCAAATCACAAAGAGTCGTTCAGGTTAATCCCCTGGAATCGATCATCAATATCATAATATATGATATAGCCAGGACGCAATACACTTGGCCAATTAGCCTGTATGTCGCCATCGATGGTGAGTCTGTCAATACTTGCCAAGCAAGCCCTGAGAGGAACATAGCAATGTTGTCACCCCTTTCGCGTGCATACGCGAACTTGCTTGCTACTGGCAGATGTTTGAAGTTAGTACCTGTACTAGGTCCACGTTATAACTGCTTGCGTTTCCAGGGACAACTTCCAGGAAAGGCTTTCTTGAAGAGTATCACTCGTGTGTGAATACTGTTGCAGTGTCATCGCCGTTCTCCACACGAGTCCCACGCTGTTCCGGACGCTGCCCATATGTTGTCGGCCTCATTACTCAGTCGTCGCTGGTGATTTCATTTGCCAGACTGAAAGACACGGTTTGCCGCGGACTCACGGCGTACGATGGCTGCGGAGTCACCTGCATCCAGGTTATATTCGATAGCACCACTGTCTATTGACGCATTCATAATATATCGTTTATTTGGATAAGTGATGAGAAAGAAACTGTAATGAGAATAGATGATGAATTTCAACTCAGCATGTGCATGTGCATGTGGGTCCCCTGGATCTGCCACTTAAAAAGTAATCATCGTCAATTCGACCATCAATGGCGTGCTCAGTCGACATCGGCTCAGACGCTCAGTGGTATTATGATTCACAGAAAAGACACATGCTAGCGCATCAACTTAAATTGGACTACTACATCTATAAAATGGACACCCTCCAACGAGTTAACCCGTTTTGCTCGGGTCACCAGTGGCCATTCATCACGGAAAGCCGGACAAATTTGGAGCAAGTACTGCATTGATTAAAGCCGCCCATTCTGCTGCATTTGTCCGTACTAAGTGCTAAGCACTCGGCTACCCATAATACCCATCTACCCAAGATTACCTCTCATTCCCGCCACCGAGTTCGATCATGCTTTCGACAGCAAAGCGTATTGGCAATAGAATTATCGGAAATCCCGACCAGACAGTAACCACAATCTCCTCCGAGACCTATTTCAAGGGCATTGTAAAGGATCCAAGTCATAAGGTAAGAAATCCATATACTTTTTTCTTTCTTCAGCCTGAGCGTTCGATTTGGATTGTCTTGTTCTAGGCGGCGAGTTACTTGGCCAGTCTTTTCCCGATTCTTGGATGGATATCCCGATACAGTGAGACACTTTATTATTCCTTCAAGTTGTGACAAGCTTGTGCTAATTGTATACGTTCTCAGATTTGGGATGGCTTACTGGTGACCTTATTGCTGGTCTTACCGTAGGAATTGTGCTAGTGCCACAGGGAATGTCATATGCAATAGTAATCATCTGTCTTAAATCTTGTTCTCGTTGATTGACAAGTCTTCGTAGCTTGCATCGCTTCCTGCACAGTACGGTCTGTATTCATCCTTCATTGGCGTTCTTACGTATTGCGTACGTGCATGCTACTTTGGATAATCACAGTACTAAATTGCCTCGTAGTTCTTTGCGACTTCGAAAGATGTCTCTATCGGACCAGTAGCAGTTATGTCGCAAACCGTGGCTCAAATCATCATTGCTGTAGATGACCAGTACCCTGGTAAATGGAGTGGCCCACTGATAGCCACCACAATAGCTTTTGTCTGTGGATTTATCGTACTTGGGATTGGTCTCTTGCGTCTCGGCTGGATTGTCGAGTTCATACCCATACCAGCAGTCAGCGGATATATGACTGGATCTGCGATCAATATAGTTGCAGGTCAGGTTCCTGCCCTTATGGGTATCACCGGGTTCAGGTAAGCGGTGCCATTTTGAGCAAAACGCATTTTGTGACATATTTCATAGTACTCGAGCTGCCACGTACAAAGTTATTATCAATACTCTCAAGGCACTCCCCCATACGAAACTAGATGCCGCCTTTGGTCTCACAGGCCTTTTTTCGCTCTACGCAATTCGTATCGCTTGTAATCAATTATCCAAACGATATCCTAGACGAGGTAAGCTGTGGTCTGCGTAGTCTTCTTATGACGAAACTCTTATGGTATCTTGTCTAGCCCGACTTTTCTTTTTCATTTCAGTTACAAGGAATGCTTTTGTGGTAATAGTGTTGACCATAGCATCTTGGCTGTACTGCCGACACCGTAGAACTGCCTCCGGTAAATATCCGATTGCCATTCTACAAACTGTTCCCGCAGGGTTCCAAGATGTGGGCCTCCCTGTTATCAACAGCGAGCTCGTCAAAGCCCTTGGGCCACAGATTCCTGTCGCTACCATTATTCTCGTTCTTGAGCACATCGCCATTGCCAGATGTAAGCCACTGATTATCTGACTGTCATGCCCTTTTGACACACTACTTGTAGCATTTGGACGGATAAACGGATATAAAATCAATCCCAACCAAGAGCTCATCGCTATCGGCGTCACGAATACGCTCGGCACTATATTCCATGCATATCCCGCTACAGGGTCATTTTCCCGTTCTGCTTTGAAGTCGAAGTCAGGCGTGCGAACTCCTTTGGCTGGTGTTGTCACTGCGATAGTTGTCATTGTTGCCCTCTATGGCCTTACCCCAGCCTTTTACTGGATCCCTAGCGCTGGGCTTTCAGCAGTCATTATTCACGCGGTCGCTGATCTTGTCGCATCACCTTCCCAAGCATACTCTTACTGGCGCGTTTCTCCCCTCGAGTTTATCATTTGGTTGGCCGCAGTCCTGGTCACTGTCTTTTCGACTATTGAGGACGGCATCTACACCTCCATCTCCGCATCATTTGTCTTACTTCTGATCCGCATTGCACACCCCAGGGGATATTTCCTTGGGAAAGTTACTCTCACAAGTGACTCGACTGAGTCACGAGAAGTCTTCGTTCCGTTGCCCAAGGATGGCGTAACAAATCCATATGTCAAAGTTGACCCTACCACTCCGGGCGTGATCGTTTACCGCTTCGAAGAAAGCTACCTATACACCAACTGCGCTATCATCAACTCCGTCATTGTCGATTACGTGAAGGAGAATATGAGACGTGGGATTGACTTCAGCACGATAAAAATGGCCGATCGTCCCTGGAACGATCCCGGACCAACTCGTGGCAACTTTCAGACTGCAGAGGCAACCAATAATGAAAAACCTGTTCTTCATGCCATTGTGTTAGACTTCTCCGGAGTGTAAGACATCTAACCTCGGTCTTCTTTTTCGAATAAACTGACTCGTATCTTATTTCTAGGTCTCATATCGACACCACGGCTGTCCAAGCTCTCATAGACACGCGGACTGAGGTCCAGAGATGGGCAGACCGTCCTGTAGAGGTCAATCACGGTGTTTATCCCACTGCGCTACCTAGCTAATGTGATGCAACATTATAGTTCCATTTTGCTACCATCCTGTCACCCTGGATCCGCCGTTCTCTCATAGCCGCAGGTTTCGGCATCGGTACCCCAGCAGTCGAGTACTCTATAGAAATCGCACCTGTTGTACCCTACCGTGGCGGTCGCCGCGAGAAATGGTGGGAAGATGCCTCCAGCCCAGGCATTGAAGATATCGAGACCCACAGCGAGTCTCTTCCTCCTACTTCAGGAACAGTGCCCATTGTTCCCATAGAAACCCCATTCTTCCATTTCGATCTCACTAGCGCTGTCCGCGCTGCGGAGGCTGGTGTAGAGAAATCTGGCGAGAGAGCTGAAACTCCACCGGCGAAATATATCTGATTAGTTTAAGTTGAACAGTCTTAAGATTGTGTAACTACACGGAAGGGCACTCACTTGCAATATGTACAGTCACGCGGTATGCACTAGTATATTAAGACCTTGTAATCTAGATATTCTATGCCGATGAGCATCACGACGTTTATTGGAAGGGCTGTTGTGACCTGGCGCGTGACTTGAAGTTGAAAGCTAAGTAAGTTGGGATACAGCTGTTGCCGTCGACGCATTAGGCGAAGTAGTACGTGATTGGCACAGACGGTAGCTCAGAGAGCTTCCGTTAACTGAACACTACTTGAATTTGCTGGATGCTCCGCTCAAGGCTACCGACTGCCTGGACATGGGCATCATATACACGGTCGTTTTCCAAGAGTTCAACACTGTACTCAGGTCATAATAAAGTCAGATCCACTCTCAACTCTTGGCCTTTAGAAAACTCATAGTACCCAACGCGTCTAGTGGTCCAAAATAAAGCAACGAAAAGGTGCAGAAGATGCCAAGAAATCTATCTTGTATGGTAAAGCCGCCAGCGTAAGCCTCCTCCGTTGCATGTCTTCCTAATGGACGCGCTACATGCGTTTGCTAATAGGACATTCTTGCTGCCGCCAGGAGTACGTTTATTCCACGCACATCCTATTCAATAACTTAGGCCACGCATTTAGATGGCGGGTCACCGGTCATAGAAGAGAACGCTATGTTAGCCACAGCCGTCCGACGCGCAAAAGATGCCGGTGTCCCGAAAGAGAACATTGAGAATGCTTTGCTCAAGGTACGTACTACAAAGACTTACCGTCCGCTGTCGCGCCTCACTGGGTCCTACAGGCGTTCAAAAGGAAGAACGATAATGGTCAAGCTGTCACTTATGAAGCCATGATGCACGGTTCTGTGGGCATCATCATGTAAGTGCCTCCCTTAGCTCTTCGATCGCATTCAGTAGCCGAACCAGCAGGAAGAGAATGTAGGACTGATAATATCAACCGCACCATCAGTAATGTGAGGGAAGTGCTCAACCGTCATGGGTTCGTCCAGCCCCTCTTTTTCATTATCGTCTCTCTTCAATACCATTACAGTGCTCGACAGGCTCCGGTCAAATTCATGTTCCATCAGCGAGGATACCTCAAAATTGCTCTTGACCCAAACGATATAGAAGACCTATTCAACGCAGCAGAGTCGACTCAATGTGCCTTTGATTTCGATGAATGGGAAGACGACTCCAGTGGTACTCGCGGAATAAAGGTATGCCCTCAAATTTTGTTTCCAAAAACTGAATTTATCGAGTCTTAGCTGGCATGTTCTCCCGACGAGTTGTTCAAGTTGGAAGACGGACTTCGTCAGTACATCCAGCAGAATGCCAATGCTGAAATACTTGTCAGGGAGGTTAGATGGGCCCCACTGGAAGAACAAGGAAGCACAGACGATGAAAAAGAAAGTGTCTCAAATCTCGTCGAAGCTTTAGAAGAGGACGAGGATGTCACCTGTGTGTCGACTTCCCTGGAATACAGCTCTCTTCTCGGAAACGCTTGATTTATAATACATATATTCATACAGCAGATAATGACAAGATGAAGATAAAGCTCTGTAATGCCAGGAGACAGCACAGACCAAACTAACAAGAGCGCTTACCACTTAGCACATCAGGATGGAGGCTCACCCACGCATGCCCACTATTTCCTCCACATTGCACAACACCAGCTTCTACTGCTTGATCAAAATATTCTGCCAGACTGGACGCCCCAGCTTTAGAATATATCTCGGGTCCAATCACTAGGCCCACTGTTGAAGGAAAGGGCTTCACCAGCCCATTCTTGTGGATCTTAGACAGGCAGTTGATGAGTGGCTGGAAGCAAGGCGGGATTGATACAACTGGTGGAGGGCTAGGGTTCAGTGCAGCCAATTTGGTGGTCTCCTGCGGGGCTGTGGATGACGGCAGTGTCGGAGCTGTGGATGTGGATGAAGTTGGGCCACAAGAAGTATTATTCTGTGGTGTAAGGGGGTTGTTACTACTTGAAGGAGCCGATGACTTTGGTGCATCAAGTTCCTGCCTGAACCTTGAGTGCAGCGTTACCCATGAGTTGCTTCGAGTGGTCCCCCCACCAAACTCGATTAAAGAAGCTTCTTTTGCTAGCAAAGCATAGTCCGCGAATTTCGTTGCGCGCGCGCGTTTGTATACATCCTTGTCAACCCGAACTAAGTCATTAGCAATGTCGGACCTTGATGGATTCGGGATTCCTTTCGACCTCGCCAGCAGAAGTTGATTGATCAGCGGAAGGAATACCGGGGGTGTAAGGTGTCGAATTTTATCCTCGACAGACTCGAAGTCGATAGCAGGTGCTTGACACCCTGAGGATTTGTCTTTGTTATTAGTGACAACAGACGTTGCTTGTTGTGATCCCATCTTAACGTTGGAATCGGAGGCGATCGAAGATGCAGATGATCTCAATGAAGATGGTGTCGATGGTGTCGATGGCGACGGTGCCGACGATGACGTCGGAGATATAGGAATTGCGGGAGGTTCGTGGGTGGGGGGAGAATCATTGGCAAGAGTAGAGTTCACATTGTAAGCATTACCCATAGTGTGGTGCGATTCGGTGGAGTTCGCAACCTGTGCGTGCGAGGGATCATTGGCCTTATTTAAAAGTAGGCTGATGATTGAGACTTCCGCAAGCTCGTCGGTACTGTTGTTGTAACCTCCATCTCTGTTACTGTATCCAAGCGCATCCTTGATTGCCGCTTTGTCCGACATAACGATGTGATTATCCAACATGGCCGAGGTAGGATCAACGTTCGCTGATTGTGACAAGGGCACTACAGAATGCACAGAGTTCTGGGGTGTTTTTCCGTACGAGACGGGGGTGCCTCCCGAGATGATACGGGTCTGAGAGGGAGAGCCAAGAGCAGCGCTCTGCGGATCTAAATTATACGGGATGGCAGGAAATGGAGATAGTGGAGCGTTCCTCAAGCCCGTGGTAGGGGTTAAGTCAGGCTCTACAATGCTATGGTTGTGTTCTGGTCCTGAGCTCGCGTTGGGGGCTATGGCGAAGGGATCGTGACTCGCATCCTGATTTTCATCAGCTATGCTGGTGAAATCGTCTGTAGGACTGTTGTCTGAAAGTTCTGAAAGTGCATCACTCGTTTTGAGAGAGTGATCTAAGCCCCGGTCAAGGTCTGGGAGAGTCTGCGTCGACTTTGTCGCAGATCTAGCCCGCGACGCTACGGACCCGAATTTAAAAAGTACAGGCGTCGTAGGGATTGTGCTGCCAGCCTTCTTTGGTGTGCACGAGGATGCAGGCTGAGCAGCATGACCTAAGTCCGCATTCCTTTCCATCATTGATGGCTGCTGTTGCTTTACTGCAATATCATGTTGTATATTGGTAGGCGGTGTGGGGACGGAGGAAGAAATGAGGGTGATAACAGGATCTTCATTCAAATCTCTGATTTGCCGCGACAGCCGCTCGACGATATCCTCATCAAGATTACGATAAGGTTGCCGTATCGGTGAGGTGCCGGCTTCTGCGTCCTTTCCAAGAATAGCATAATTCCAGTCCACTACGACAGAAGCCTGAGACTCCAAGCTCTGTGGAATATTTGGCGCCGGAGGTACGATGAGAACGACATTATACTGTCGAAGGCGGAGGGTTGATACGGCATAGGCATAATCTCGGTCACCGGCTATCAGGATAATGGTGGCAGGCGGAGGATGGTCGTTGGCAAATGCAAGCATATCCACTAGTAGCAAACGAAAGTTTATGATGCATATAGTGCATGGTACAGACATTAATCATAGAATACACACCGAGAATCATCTTATCCACAACGTCTTTCCTGCCGTTGTGGGGACAGTCAGTCATGGACACCCCAGAGGACTGGAGGTCGGAGCGAAATCCCACAGACTTGGAGGACTGCGAGGATACGTCAAGGTATGCTTTGAATGATGTAACATATCCGAAGACATGAGCAATTCGTCGAATGCCATTTACAATGGCATGTCCTTGGGAATTCAAGGGAGGGCTACAATTTTCTGACAGAGGATATACCATGAACTATCAGAGGCGACTATGCGTAAAAACTCACCATAATCCCAGAAAATGGCGACCTTTTTATGGTTTGACATGAAACTCGCATTGGCGAAGGGGGGTATAAGTCGTGTACTACGCAGTCCCTCAATTCGTACTCACTGGCAAGCCTCGAGGAGTCGAGGTGCCGTAAGTCATACCACTGCTTCTATTTCGGGGGCGGTATCTTTGCACCGCTCCCACTGGGCAGTGCAGCTCGCTCGACGCTAGTGAAAATCAGATGACCTGGGCCTCGCACGGGGAACGATGAATTTGTAAGTTTGGAGGTCTTCCGCCCTTCAAACTTCTATCCTCTCTCAAACCCCCTTATTCAGCATCTTGAGCGACTTGTGTGGGACTTCACGGTTTCCGTGTGGTATGTAGTAATTGAACTTGGACTGTGACACTGTGTTCTGATCCTTCATATGAATCAAGTTCCATCAGCGAACGCCGAAGATACCTCGCATTCCCTTTCGACATAGATGACATGTTGCCTGTTCAATACAATGGATTCGACTCAGTATTCGTTTGATTTCGATAAATGGGTCAATGGGGTGAGCTATGGTTTTCTCTTCCCGATAATTGCGCCCATCATTTTGTACCAAGTTGACACGCTCTCCTGACAAAATCCCAATTCTTAAATAGTGGTCAGAGATATTGCATGGGCGTCGCTATAAGAGCAATGAACCGCAAGGGTGGCGTCTCAAATCTCGTCGAGGGACGAGGACGTTATGTCAACTTCCTGTTAATGAAATACAACCATCTGCTAAGGGAATGCTTAATTCCCGATATATACTCATACAACAGATAATGAACTTGAACCGTAAAGCACATAGACAACAAACCAAACTAATACGAACGCTTTCCATTCAGCACATCAGGGTGAAGCCTTGCCCACGCGGAATCACCACTTCCTCCACATTCCACAACACCGGCGTGCAACGCTTGAGCTAGATATTCTTTTAGGCTGGACGTGCCAGCTTGAGAATATGCCGCGGGACCAAGCTCTTGGCCAAGTGCTGAACGAACGGGCTTGGGTACCCCATCATTACGAAATTTCGCCAGGCAGATGATGAGCGGCCGGAAGCAAAGCGGAATCGGCACAACTGCCCTGAAAGGCTCAGCTTTTGGGTTCAGTTTCAGTGGTTTGGTGGGACCTGGCGATTCAGTGCTTGGTGGTAGCGTAGCTGATGAAGATGAAGATGGAGTTGACGTCATATTATAAGGAATGTTGTCCTGTGGTGTAGGAGAGTTGTCATGGACAGTCGGTGGGGTGGATGATGACTGGGGTGTATCCAAGTCGATGTCCTGACTAAACAAATCCGGATGGAGTGCTATCCATGCGTCGCCCTCCCGCCCACCAAGCTGGATAAGAGACGCACTTTCTGCTAGTGCGGTGTATTGCGCGAACCTGGTCACTCCAGCGTTCAGATACACGTTCTTGTCATGCTGAAGCAAATCAATAGCAATCGGGGACCTTAATGGTCTCGTCTCCCCTTTTGATCTCGACAGCAAGAGCCGATTGATCAGGGGGAGGAATTTCGGAGGTGTATTGCGTCGAATCTTGTCTTCTATGGACTCAATAGGAGGCACTTGACATGCTGAAGGATTGTCTTTGTTATCACTGATAACAGATGTTGCTTCGATGTCAACGTTAGACGTGCTTACGTCAGAGCCGGAGACAGTCAGAGCCGGCGAAGACGGTGTCGACGGTGACAACTCTGACGACGACGACGAAGACATGGCGATTACAGAATGTGCAGGGGGAGAATCGAACATAGAGTTTGTGACGTCGACCGTGGTCCAAGGTGGACTGTCAGCCGAGGCGTCGAATTCGTTAGTACTGCTGTCGTCCGAGTCTCTGTCTTCGTCATCAATTCCAAAGGCATCCTCGAGCGCCGCTTTGTCCGACGCAACGGCATGACTATCCAACATGGCTGAGGTAAGGTCAATGTTCGTTGAATTTGGTGCAGTAATGCCATCATTTCGCCCCCGTGAGGATATCACAGGTGACAAGGGCACTGCAGTAGGCACAGCGTTCTGGGTTTTGCTGACGTATGGGACAGAGGTGCCCCCCGAGATGGTACGAGTGTGTGACGAAGAGGGGAGGGGAGCGTTCTTCGAACTTGCGTTGAACGTGACGGCGGGCGGTGGCGGAGGTGGAGGTGGGAATTTACTTGAGCCTGAGCCTGAGCCTGCACTGCTCTGATTGGATTCCAGACCGGTATGGGTTCTGGCAAAAGGATCTTGAGTCGCGTCGTGAATCTCGTTAGCGCAGCTAACGAAACTGTCCGCAAGACTTTCATTTGAAAGTGCTTTGTGCCCTTTGAGAAGGGGGCCTGAGCCTTGTTCGACGTCTGAGACATTGTGTGTCGATTGTGTCGCGGATCTAGCCCGCGACGCCACAGACTCGAATCTAGGACGTACAGGCGTCTCATGGATCATGCTAGCAACCTTCTTCGGCGTCAACGTCGAGGCAGGCTGAGTAGCATTATCCGAAGCTGTGTCTGAATTGTGTTCAAATACTGACGGCTGCAGCAGCTCTGCTGCACTGACACGCCGCGTGTGGGCCGATGATGTGGGGAGATTCGAAGAAAGAAGGGTGACAGCAGGATCTTCGTTCGAATCGCAAAACTCGCGTGATAACCGTTCTACGATATCTTCGTCGAGGTTGCGATAAGGTTGCCGTACAGGTGATATATCGGCTTCTGTGCGCTTTCCAAGAATAGCGAAATTCCAGTCCACCACGACAGAAGCCTGAGATTCCAGGCTCTGGGGAATATTTTGAGCTGGAGGTACGATGAGGACGACATTATACTGTCGAAGGCGGAGGGTTGATATGGCATAAGCGTAATCTCGGTCGCCGGCTATCAGAATAACGGTGGCAGGTGAAGGATTATCGACAGCAAATGCAATCATGTCCACTAGCAATAAAGTTCATAGTGCATACTATGGGCGCCTTGCGGAATACACACCGAGAATCATCTTGTCCACGACTTCTTTCCTGCCATTGTGGGGGCAGTCAATTATGGACACCCCAGAGGACTGAAGGTCGGAGCGAAACCCGATAGACTTCTGAGAGGACTGAGAGGACATGTCAAAGTATGCTTTGAACGACATCACATATCCAAAGACATGGGCAATTCGTCGAATGCCATTTACAATGGCATGTCCTTGGGAATTCAAGGGAGGACTACAATTCTCTGACGGAGGATAATATACCCATGAGCTATCAGAAGCGGTTAGATAGAAAGCTTACCATAGTCCCAGAAAATAGCGACCTTTCTATTGTTTGACATGAAACTTTCATTTGGGAGGGGAAATAAGTGAGGTGTCTCGTGAACTCAGGAGCCCTTAATTTGTACTGGACCACCATGCCGTTACCTTCCAATTTGGGGAGTTACTTTACGCTACACAGCCCAAGCTGCCAGTGCCATGAGCACAGTCACAAGGCATGAGTACTTACCTCAATGCTGCAAATGCCAAGCGATGTATGCCTACATCGAGGGTACTTGCTGCTGTGCCGCTGACTTGAAAATGGAGGAAAAGAAAGTCCGTCAGGTGCGCGCTGCGCATTTACGAGAAACAAACACCAAAAATATCAGTTTAGGGTCAAGTCCAGTGACCCACAGCCGTGCGAGTGGCGGCCTCGGCTCTGCCCCCTAGCAAGCGAATGTTCTCCTTCGGTTATATAAATAAAAGTGGAGAAACAGAGAGGAAAACACGCTGTAGAACATGCATGAGTAGGGAGCTACAAAGAGAGTATCCTGTGAAATGGTAATTTATCGACGATCTAGCTAATTCACCGTTGCGGACACGCATAGTCATGCAAGTACAGCATACCAGAAGGTTCCACAGCATCAGGTAATATCCTGGTTATCAGTGAAGAACCGGTGAAGGGATATCCCCAATTGCTAGGTCAGAACTTCAACTAATCCAAAGAGTGCACTACCTGATGCCAGGCTAGCCCAGGTAGGTCCAAGAATCGTACCATGATAAATAATGCGGCTGAGATGTGCGGAATTAAGCCAACACTGGATTTTTGCTTTGGTTTTCTTCCTACTTCGCGGTCACATGCCATCGACGCGTACGCGTAGATTCCCACGGTCTTTGTTGACCATTAACTTTGTTCATTACCACAACCGAGATACTCCCGCCAACGACCCTAACGACCAGCTCACTATCGAGCTCAACGTTTACGACAACGACAACATCAGGTGGTCAATCATATAATAGCGCTCACAATGAGCGCACAAATAAATTCCACAGCATCACCACAATCGCTCCTTTCACACTCGTCTGATCCTGTTCAATCATCCATCCGTCGCAATTCCGCCATGGGCTGGAGCAAGTCCTCTTCACCGATTGCAAGCACGGGCACGACGCCTCTTCGAATTGCAAAGCGTGATAGCTCTAAACCAGCCTTTCCTCTTGTCGCCCGTCGTTCCTCATCCAGTTACAGACATCTCAGAAATAACAATCTTGTTTCCAAATCTCCTTTCAAGTCTTCAATTCCAACACCATCCAGACCTTCTATTTCTCCAAATAGCAACATTCCTCTCCCTAAACCCCCGCAGCGTAGGGTCAGTGGCGAGAAGCGTCCCCGCCCCGACTCCATGCATGACCAAGCTGAAAACGAGCGTCCATTTGCCCTCAAGCGGGAGCGCCGTCAGTCGAAAGTCTACCAGGGACTCGTGGATAAGGAGCCTGTGACAAAGAGCCCCTTCAAACGCCCACCTGGCGCCCAGGAAGAAACTCCACCCCCAGTACCTTCCAAGTCCATCCCTGTCCCACCAATCCCAGAGCCTTCTGCTACTAAGACTGCAAATCCACCGAAGGCGATTACCCCCACTCGCCCATCGCTTGTTATCAAACGCCTTCATGGTCCTCGGGCTGCTGACCAGCCCTCTCTCGAACGCAGGCGCCAGAGACGAAAAACAGTAACATGGGATGAGCGTTGTGATGTCCTTGAATTTGACCGTGAGGAAGGGGAAAATGATATCTTCTATTCTGATGAAGATGACTATGGCACCCCTGATCCTGATCACCGCAATCAGGCGCCCGCAATATTTGGCTCACTTCCTTCTGAGCTCTTAGAGTTAGTAGACCTTCCTCCGAGTCTCCCGTCACATGTCAGTCCGCCAGCCGTCCGGCTGGATGGCGATGTCATGGAATTGGACTGTGAGGAAGGTCGGGATGATACCTTCCACTCTGAAGAAGATGACTATCGCAGCCCTGGTCACAGCGAGCAGCCAGCAACACTATTCGATCCAATTCCCTCTACGCTCTTGGAGTTCGTAGGCTCCCCTCAGAACCCCCCTTCACCCATTGTTCCTCCAGCCGCCCGTCGGGAGTCACCTGCCCCATGTCAAGGCTCCCCACTCTGCGAGTCCGCGAGCTCGCCTAACCTTTCCATTGATGGCAGCGCAGGACGCGCCCCTAGGACTCGCATCAGCAGAGAGGATATTCATACACGTCTCATGCGCAAACGCAGCTCGGATAGTCCTACGACGTTGGGTAGTGCATCTCAGCAAGACGCAGATGCACAACCCTCAAAACAAACCGAGTCTCGTGGCAACAATGTTGCCAATGTAGAGGTTGAAGAAGATGAAGAGCAGGAGGAACACACCGAGCCCATGTCGGTGATGATGGATATTAGTGCCGAGTTTGCAACTCTTCAAGCTACAGAGCGAAGCTCCCCAAGGGGCCCAACCCAACTTCTCTCTCAACCGCCTGAGAGCATCCTTTCATCTCCTGACACGACGTGTGACTTTGATCTTAGTGCGGGTCTTGGTGACTCCGTGAGCTCAGTGCAGCTTGGCGAGGTGTGCTCCGCTCTTGGCAAGGTCATGCAGATGCGCCTCACGCGCAAGCACAGTGCAGACAATCCTTTGGTGATGGGTGGTGCGGTTGACCAAGTTGCTGACACACAGCCTGCCCAACAAGTCGCGTCCTGTGACTCTTTCCAAGATGACAGCATAATCAGTGATGCAGAGACCGAAGAAGATAAAGAACAACATAAACGCGTCGAGTCGATGTCGGTGATGACGGATATTAGCGCCGAGCTTGCAACTATTCAAACTGCAGAGAAGTGCACGCTTAATTCTGCGGCTGTTACACTAAGTCAGCAGGGATCCCCGAATCCTGCCGTCACAAGGAGCTCCCTCGACCTTCTTCCACCACCATCTACGAACATTAGTCTGCCTGTTGATGCGAGTTTCGAGCTTAACAGCAGCCTCGGCCTTGGTCCAGGTCTCGGCGATTCTGTGAACTCCGTCCAGTTCAGCGAGATGCGCTCGGCACTCGACAGACTCATGGATGATGTCAAAGGCACCGCAAGTGGGAGCCCAAGCCCGAGAAGGCCCACGCACATGCGCATCGAGTCTGTCACTGAAGGCATCAAAGCAGGGCAATTCGACAACAGCTTTGGTACGGGCGACGATTCTATGCGCACGGAGACGGACTTTGATGCATCGATGTCCATGGACAGCCATGTAGTACAGCCGCGGGCAGCACCATTACAGCGCGCAGCGACAGACTCGATAGTGTACACTGCCCCAGCGTTCAACAGCCCCGTAGCAGCAGAGGAGCAACCGTCGCAGACGAAGCATGCGATACGTGAGAGAGAGGAGCTCATACTTCAGAAACGTCGGGCGGCACGAAGACGAGATGATGATGAATCGTTGGGATATTATACCCCACCCCGTGCAGCGCCCGCTGCCAGACCTTCACGTCGGCGGAGTCAGAGTACTGGTGACGCTGGCGCCCCAGCAAAACGTGATATGCTTCTTGACCTCAGTATCTCCGACAGCGAGGGCGACCTTTTAGCTGACAGCATCTCGAAAGAGTTGAAGAAACTTGATCCTGAACATAGGAAAGGGGTGAGTTCATTGGTTTTTTGTTGCATGTTAATGGGGACTCACGTCGATCTTTGTACAGAAATATCGTATTCGGGAGCATGAGGCAATTTTTGCGTCTGCCGATACCGAACAGGTTTCTCATATGTCACTTGCCGGTGACGTGAATGGTGGAAAGGCATGGAAGGCCGTCCGACGACCATCGGATATGGTAATTGATTGCTTACCTCTTCTGCTATTGATTCTAACTTCAATGTTCTAGAATGAATATTCCAAACAAATCAAGGAATACAGGTCAATGGAAAAGCCCGGGAAAGCGCATGGCAAGGTGTTTGTCAGAGGTTGGTGAAATCATACCACCCTTGAAAGCTATCGCTCACAAGATTATTGATGTACAGTCGTTGGCGTTCGTGGCTTGCAAGTGCCTATACCTCAGCAAGCTACAGCTCTCACATGTACTTTGAACAACGGAATACATTTTGTCACTACTCCAGAAACCCGTCTATCCAAAGATTCGCGCATTGACCAAGAGTTTGAGCTGTAAGTCTGTCGCTATCGATGTTGTAGATCGTGCTAATCCCGTGATAGTATCGAGCACAACAAGCTGGAGTTCACTCTCACCCTCAAAGTGCGTCGTGATGCACACATCGCCGCTCAATCGCAGGCTCTTGTGCCACCGCCTGCACCACGTGTGCAGCCCCCGGCATCCGCACTCAAGTCTAGGGGTGGCATGCTTAGCTTCTTCTCATCATCACCTAAAAAGCAACCTCGTGCAACTCCACCCCCTCCACCTGTCCCTCCGCATAAACTCCCAGATAATCTCGCGCGGTATCTCAAACAAGATGGAACCCTAGCACGTGCATTGATTTCGTTCAAAGATGTGGCTGCGAGATGCGATACCCGGCTATTCGAGACTAGCTATCCACTAATCGGACAGCGCATCGAAGCTTCAGGGGGCCCAACTACCATGGAGTTGGGAGAGATCGTATTGCAGATGTTTAGACTTCCGCCTCTACCTGGTGTTTTGAGCAATCAGCTTCCACAGAGTCTTGAAGACTGTCATCGGGGTTTAAGACATGTCGCCTGGCATAAAGTTACGTACTTTGAGGGTACGCTGACGCAGCACGGGGGAGATTGCATGGTACGCAATTTTTTACCACCTCATGAACGGTCACTTAATTTTACTGCAGACATGGCGGCGACGACGTCTTCGAGTGATTGGTGCGAATCTTGTTGCATTTAACGATGTCACCAAGAAGGCAACGGCCACTATTAACCTCAAGAAAGCCATCGCAGTTGAGGACAACCAAGATACGCGTACAGGCGCTCTCAGTCCTGCTCGGTCAGTAAATGATTACGACGGGATGTTCACTGTCGAGCGTTCCTTCCGTCTCATATTTCCTGGAAACCAAGAAATATTTTTCTTTGCGGACACGGATGATGAGAAGGCAAAGTGGTACGTTCAATTTCGTTCATGCACGCCAATCCAGCTTACACATCTTTCCAGGCTTGATGTATTCCGTGCGCTTGTCGGACACATCCCACCGAATCCATTATGGGCAGAGTTAATATGGCAACGACAACAAGAGATGGCGAAACAGCCCTCTACACAAATGTCTTCTATGAAGACAAGTCCCCGATAGTATTTCCCTTTTATTCTGGCATATTTCGTCTAGCGTAGTTCTCGTTTGTCATCTTGTTCGTCATCTCGGTTTTCTTTCTGTTTTTTTCCCCTTTTCTTGCGATTTTGTTTTCTGTATTATGCTACAATAAAGTCGTAGTCAGTCGCAATTGCATGCATATGCTTTCTATGTAACAGTAATTTATGCACATAAAGTATAGACATATAGTCTTGCTTCTTGGACTCGGCTCGTGTGTTACATTGGTGCACTGTGAACTAACGCCCTCAAACGTACATACTATCCTGGTCGCCGGCCAGGACGGCCCTGATTGTGACAAGGGATGATCGACGGGCACACTTGCATACAGTTCGTGATGTTGCGGAAATGCTAAGTATGTTGTGCATGTCGATTTTCCTTGAGTAGAATTTCATGGAGATATCAGAGGACTGGAGTTTAGCGTTCAGATCGGAACCTGATAGATAAATGCTTTGGCTTTGGATACTCCCCCACGTAAATCCAAAAGGACTTGAATTCAGAGCGAATTTATACTTGGGACGCTCACACATGTCCAAAGAAAGGTACAGGCTATTCATCGAATGTCATGAAGACACTACGGACCCTGCATATCCAAGAGGAATCTAGGGTTTTCTGGTGGAGGACTTACAACACGTTCCTGGAATCAGTACAACAGGAAAACAGAGCGGAAAATGCATGTCATGATCTGACGTATGACGCTTTAAAATAAAATTGAATGAAAAGCCAGGCGTTGCTGAAACTCATGCGGCTGCGTATGAAGAACTGCAGATCATATAAGACTATTTGGAGTTTCTGCCCAGTCTAGCGAGGTGGTAATTTATCGACGATCTAGGTTGTTTGCCGCGGATAGGCTGTACAGCGAAGCAGTGAACACATTATACACTTGATATGCTTGTTCCAGACTTACTGCGGTGCGCATGCATTGAAACAAAGTCTCGGCCGCTGCTTGACATTGATTGCTGGCTAGCAAGTCGCCTGTTGCTGCCCAGCACCCTAGCATATTTGAGAGCTCTACTGCACAGACGTTCGGGGGTAAGTCTACGCGTGGGCCGTGGCATTGGTCAAATGAACTGCGCAGAGAGAGGATAATTTTGGCACTCACTTTTCCGAGGTCTGACCTTGACCTTGGCAATGTGCACCGTCATCTTTTTGTAGATTAAACAACCTAGTACTCGACCCTCGCTACAGCAGAACCGAGGCTTGGAGGTTTGCGTGAAAGCAGTTAATAAGGCCAGAGTCGCAAGCAGACTAAACACCTGAAAATTCAACGCACGTGACCTCAGTAGTAAGTGATGCCGTTACGGCGTTAATAGCCCATCTGGATTCTTCCACGTCTACAATCATCTTGAAGAGCTTCCACTACTTCCAGCTTCAGGTAGGAGCCCGTTTGATCCTCGGTATATCCCTATTCGCGAACTGCAAGTCCGTACCATATCCCCGCTACAGCTGAAGCGCCGAGGCGATGCCTGCACTCAACAAGAACAATTCCGGTGCGCCAGCACTAGTCTGCTTACTCTGGCTGTAGATTGACTGGCCACCCGCATAGCTGTGAAACGGATTATGCAGGAAGCGAGGGAGCTCGCCAACGATCCCTGCACCGATTACCATGCAGTTCCTCTTGAGGTGCGTGCTCCACACAGGCACGAGTCTCTTATCGCCGCCGACTCATACTTGTCTGGACTTCGCAACCATAGGATGATATCTTTGTATGTAACGTCTACCAATAGTGTGTGGGCGTATCAAATGACCTATTGCAGGAATGGCATTGTACACTTCGCGGTCCCGCTGGTACGGAATTTGAAGGTGGTCTGTATCATTTCCGTATAGTGCTTCCAGCAGAATACCCCTTCAGACCACCTTCCCTGATGATGCTTACGCCCAATGGACGGTTCGATCTAAATACCAAAGTACGCCCCTTGCTAATAAGACGTTAGAGTTACGTTGAGCTTATGTGCATCAGATATGCATCAGCTTTACAAACTGTTGGTTATCCTTGCAGTGTTGTGGAGTCGGTTAACTAACATTTGTTGTACTGCAGACCATGAAGAGGAATGGCAGCCTGCGTGGGGTGTTCGCACAGGTACTTTCCTACATTCTAATTCGGCGTTAGTGTGCCTTAACTTTTGCACAAGCTATAATCGGACTCCAAGGATTTTTCCCCTTGAAGGGTCAGGCAGCTACTGGTGTTGGTTCTGTCGAATATCCGCTTTCGGAACGCAAGCGTCTAGCCCAACTGTAAGCCTCGGCGTGGTCTGTACTAAATAAATCTAACGTCACCCCTTAAGGTCACGGGAATGGGTTTGCCCACAATGTAATCAGTGTAATCTAGAGCATCTCCCTGATCCAAAAGAGGAGCCGCCATCTAAGAACGCAAATGTACTGTCACCGTCGTCAGCTCCACCTGCTGACACCGCGGGGGTTGAAGTTGTTCAAGAGAGCTCGGCCTCCCCCGTGGTATGCCAGTCCGATAGGATCGAAGAAATCCACGTGCGTGAAACTCCGCAACTCACGCATCGTAGTTCGCACCGGCCTCCCCTAATTCTCGATACTGCCATTTGTGTACTCCTTGTCTTGGTTCTAGCGTTACTCTGTCGTCGAGTGTTGTGATGAGTAGTAATATATTTCGTATTCGGAACTTTGTGAGTAGAGTTTAACCGGTATCACACACACGTTGGGTGAATAACCGGGTTTCATTTATAAGCATTTTCCGAGGATTCGATCATTATTTAATAATGTTAACACAGATTTGTCATCGACCCTAACTGTGCGGGGATTCCCTGGGGATGTGCTGCGTGCCGGCGACTTGTTGGTTACGCCCGCAAATTGCCATGTCCTAACTCAAATTATTATTAATACCATATTTGGCTTCTACGTGATGATATTTATGAAGGACCAGGTTCAGGCCCCCTTTAAAATCAGGAAGACACCAAGGCGATTTGCCTGCTGCGACTTGTTCCTTGACTTGTTCTCATCGACAATGCCAGACAGTTTCTCACAAAAAATGCGCAAGGGCAGATCTGTATCGCTTCATCTCCCAAAGCAATCCAACCCCACGCCAGTACCCCCATCCCTAACGAACTCACCGCACCTCTCCTCGCCGTACAGCATGTTTCGTCAGAAACCTCCCTTGCTGAAGACCCCATCCCAGGAGGATGACGAGTGGTTGCGAGACATGGTGCCCATGAATAGCGAGCAAAACACCTTTGATGAAAACCTTCTGAGCGTGTCGCAACCAGTCACACCAGTACAGAAGCAATGGGAGACATCACAAGAGGGGTCACCATCGTCGTCAGGGAGCTCGTCTCGGGGTCGCGCAACATTGTTTCCGACTCGACCTAACATGCATCGTTCATGGTCGTCTCCTTCGACATCCTCACCATCTATCGTCCCTGTGCCACCCTTTGACTTGACGGGCGGACGAGACACCCGGCGGCGGGTAGTATGAGCCCAGCGTCATCGCGGACTTGCGTATTTATGAGAATCATGTACTCTCTATTTCTTTGGGTCTTATTAGGTTACATCGGGTCTTGAATTTCATTGGATTTCCGGGTTTAACTTATCCTACATCACTTCCCATCTTCAATGGTTAACTTTCACTTTACTTTATACATTCTTACTATCGATTTCACAAAGTACTATGTTCTTAGAATTATGTATCCTATGTTACAAAAGCAAACGTACACGCGATCACTTCTTCTTACCAGCAGTAATGCTAAGAACGACGAGATCATCCTCTTCCAAATTATGACTAGCGATAGTACTGTTGTTTGTCAACATCTTACCCGCATATGATATTCGAACTTTGGAAAGGGGGAGATTGCTGCCAAGAACTTGGTTTATCCGATCGCGCAGCGTTGAAACCAACAGAGTGAGAGGAAGGTCTGCAACAGTGATTATCTGACCGTCAAGTTTCCATTCCGGCTTAGACGGGTCGTTGGGAAGTTGCACCAACAGTGATATGGTGTAGGGATGCATTGCAACCCAGTCTGCTTCAGGATACAAGGCACCACCAGGCAGCTTCGCAATTTTTTGCCGTTTGATAGCAGGTTGTTCTTCAAGTCCTTCCATCTCGTCTGCGCTGCGCACCATACCCGCGTGTGGCAGTGTTCCCACACCACCGGCCATCATTCCAGCCATCCGAGAAGGATGCATCCCAGCCGCAGGTGGCTGGTAACCGAATGGCTGTGCAGAGTCAAGACCTTGATAGTGAAGTGGTGGAAGCATAACTGGCGGTGCCTGAGGCGGATATGCGGATGCAGGCTGCGGGCCAGATGAAATAGTAGCCGAAGAGTAAGAAGCGGACCCAGATGATTGCACAGGAGGGGCAGGTAATGATGCGTGAGGTGGAGGTAGACCCGTCATTGCAGGTGGAGGTGCTGACACAGGGCCAATTCCAGGGCCGATCGCATTGGAATCCTGGGGTCCAAGACCCTTTGCACGATGGATGGCAGCAATTTGCTCGTCGAAGTTGACGTTGGTCGAATATTTATCCATCGTAGAAACTTTCGTCGCAGTGTGACCATCCCATACAACCTTTTCTCTCTCTTTCCGACGTTCCTTCTCTTCTTCTTCCTCTTTCTTTCGTCTTTCTTCGTCAGCCTCAGCACCGAAAATGTCCACACGTGTACGGGCCAAGTTTTTAAGTGACGATACTACGTTTGCACCGCGCAGAAGCTCGGACGCCTGAGCTTTACGAGCTTCGATATTGTCACGGTGAGACTTCCACTTGGGATCCAGTAGCTCAATACGCATGTGCTCATCGAGTTCGTCAACAGGAATCTGCTGTCCACAAATTGTGCATGTCGTGAGGGTAGCTCCTTTCTTAGCACCAACTAGAATTTTCAAAGATAAGCCAGCTGTCAGAAGGATCAATGCTGATAACAAACGTTTTGGAACATAGTCTGTCCTGATCTTCATAGGTCCAGAAATGCTAGCACTTGCTTGCATTGCGCGGGCGCGCTCAAGTTCTCTCACTCTCTCTTCATCTTCATTCTTCCTCCTCAGTTGCGCTTCATCGTCCTCGTCATCACTCTGTTCCATTGCAGCGTCCTCATCTTCAACAGCCCCAATCCCAACACCACTGACTGCTGCAGCCGCTTCGGCCTCTGCTGCAGCCTGTCTGGCCTTGTGAGCTTCTATCTCATCTGCAGTGTTCTCCATAATCATAGCAGCCATTCTCTTTTGAGCAAGCGTCATGCTCTCCACTTCCTGCACACTCATTGGAGGAGGAAGCTCCGAATTTGCATCAGCAACCGTGAAATCGATTGTTTGAACGATTGCATAGTCATGCCAATCAATCTCAGCAAATGCACCTAAAGCAAAAGATCATAATTGGTTGTCGACGAGAGAAACGTAACGTACGTTTCTCTGCTTCTTGGTCATCTCGTCTCTTTTTATCCTTCTCCCTTTTCAAGCGTTCCCAACGGGCGTATTTTCTTGATTGCTCTAACGTTGCCCCCTTTGCGCCTTCCTGCGCCCTATGACTCAACTCCACCAACATCTCCTTACTTGGATACAAAATTTTGAGGTACTGCTCCACGAGGCGGTTGAAGCAACCAAAGAGAGAATGAGTGGGTCGCAGGAAGTCGAACTGATAGTTCCTTCCCTCATTTTGCGAAAGCGTCGCCAAGAATGTCCGCCCGCGACGGGCGGTAAAAAGTGCAGTCAGTTTCATAATATCTCTAACAGAAATCATTAATCGCATTCATGTGGAACATGACGAGGCAACGCACAAGTCAATAGGACTGACATTGGGCATGTCCATAGCAAATTGTGGCTGAGGTGGTTCGACGCCAAGATCCTCTGGAATCATTGGCTTTTCTTCTTCCCCGTTCACCTTTTCCTTTTCTTGTGAAGTGTCATCCAGCTCCTCTCCAGCCTCTATCTTCTCCATGCGATGCCTATAGTAAGCATGATAAGGATCCGCGGGGTTGAGGAACGAGAACTTGGGATCCTGACGCTGGTTTTCGCGAATTTTATCCTCAAACTGAGGTGGGTTCGCAGAGCGAGCAACGAACAATGCCGTTCTGTCGATGACAGCTGCAAAAAAGCAAATCTCAGAACAACGCACACGACACAATGAAAAACCTTACATTTGATCTCTGGAGGTGGCAGGATGAGTCCACTGGTAAACCTGAGTGAAGGATCCCGAATGCTATTCTCCATTTCGACATCGCCATTAAAGACGTGTCCGTTCATGACAGGCATTGTCTGTGTTTCTACCGCCATGGTTATTGTCGACGTGCGCGACGTTGATGAATCCTTGGCTTGAGTCGTCCGTTCACTAAGTCTTATCGGAGTTCTAAATGAATCTGCGCGGCATCTGTCGGCAAATGCCTCTTAAGCTACGGCGACTAGCTGACTTGCACACGAAATGTTTGGTGCTTTCCGACCTACGTCGGTGAATCTAGGCGGTCTACTATGGTAAGCCGTGTAGCACATTCAGCGGCATTTTCTCATCATATCTTGTGCCCAGGAAAACTCCATGGAAGTTGTCAATCACGCGAAAAGCCAATGCACGTGCTCGTCTGAAGAAAGTCGACGCAGTCATTGAAACGGTCAGAGCAAGTGGTATACAATGCGGCGCATTGGTAAGCTAGTCGACGTGCTCTCCTGTGTTTTATATGGCTTGAATTTTTGCGCCTTCAGGAAAAGGCATTGCAGCTGCCCAAAGAGCACGAGATGGATCCCAAGGATAAATACACAGTGTTCAGCGCGACTTCACGAGGCTATCGAAAGGGCATTCACAAAGTGCCCAAGTGGACTAGAGTGGGTTAATTATCATCAATTGCGCATGGTATATTGAAACGCCCACTTATTAGCTCACACTAAGAGTCAACCCGAAGGGATTTTAAGTGATGCCTCTTTACAGCTATGTAATACAAAAACGTGGTATTGTAATTTTGACTTAATCCTATGGGATCAACTAGAAAAATACCAGTTGGATTTTCCCTTCTTGAATGCCCTTGAGTACCTTCGGCGCCCCTAGAACAGTTCGGAAGACTTCGTCCCGGGTCTCTGGGATATCTAATAAGGTTCTTTTCTTCGCATCTTGATATGAGATATCCAGGATAATGTGTGTGAGCTGAGACACCGAAAGGGCATCTGAGAAACATTGAGAAAGTGTTTACATTCCAGGGTAGTATCTAACTCACCGGTTTCACATAGTAGTTTCCCGATTCTTCCAGGAGTCCCAACAGCAGAACCAATTTTTGACCTCTTGAGATAAGAAACGTGCTCTTCCAGCTTAAAGTGTCTCGCAAATAACTTTGCTACATCTGCACCCTTCTCACGACGCAGTCTCTTATCTTTGAGAACTCTCGTCGCATCAGCAACCCGGAGTGCAGCTCCGGCTATGAACAGCAAGGTGGGAGCTCCAGCCACTTTGGACCTTTGCGAAAGACGGGTGTGTAGTGTCGGAATAACTACAATAAATCGGTGTACATTTGCAACATCCAAGATGCAAAGACATACCTTGGATAATGAATTCAACCAGATTGTCTAATGTCCTCGATCCCGTCCATATCGTCGTATCCGCGATTGATGATTCTGTCTAGTTGTTAAATTGATATCATTCTCTTTGGACCAATGTAGTTGAGCTTACCGGGTATCAAGACGTCGCTGAGCTCTATCCCAGACATTGCAGGGAAAGATTTGACTTGCATAGATGATACATAGTCTGCAAGTTTGTGAGCAGGTTGCGCTGCCACTGAAAGAGGCTCGATAACCTCCACTGTTTCTGCCAACTTCCTCTTCTGCGAAAGATAATAATTGTGAGTGAAAGACCAATGATCCGATAGGTAGCACTAACCTTAATCTTGCGCTCCTTTTCCTTTTCTCTCCGTTTGCGTTTCTTCTCTGTCGTTGATTTCTCCTTGATATGAACCTCCGCTTCCTCGGCATCCTCATCTGCACTAAGAAGACCACCTATATCATCGCCTGGACCATTGTCTTCCTCACCAGAGGTAGCAACGAGCTCATCTGGCACGAAGTCATCATCCAAGTCGTCACCTCGCTGACCATTCATGCTACTGTGAGACAAGACGTAGCTGTGAGAACACTGGCGAAAACAAGCCTTAGAAATGGTGCAAGAGCCAAGAAAACTTTTTGCTTCCGCGGTCCGTGAAGCTTGCCGGATGGTGCCGAAGTACTTGTCTGCCAGTGCTCTTGGCTTGTCTGGCCATAATTACATGTACATTGAACGGTCACTTACAAGTTACCAGTGTCGATTGCCCACAACTTGGCTCTGATACTATGCAGCTAGTAGACCTTGACCTCGACAGGCTATTGTCTTCATTTGTGACCTTTCTTCTATCCTTGATTCAACTCCTGGGCTTCAATTGGAAAGTTCTTCTACTCTTTTTGTTTCTTATTTGGTCTGTGACAATCTTTACACGCCGTGCAAAACAGTCAAAAGATTCTCCTTCGCTGCTGATCGAGGGTTCTCCCTCCCCACAAGCGCCTTTCAATGGTTCAGATATCCCTCCAATATATCATCATCCACATTCGCAGATATCTGACAGACCAACTTCAAAGTCGTCGTCGCAAGCTCAAAAAGATCTGATGGTGCAAGTCGCTCAAAAACAGGATCATCGTGTGAAGCAGCCCTACGATGCCTTCCTTGTTTTGGACGTTGAGGCTACTTGTGAACAGGGGACCGACTTTGAGTGGCCCAATGAAATCATAGTTCGTCTTATCTACTATTACATGATCTTTTTACACTCGATTTTTGACCATTTCTCACTAACGCAGGAATGGCCTGTTTGTCTGATGCGCTGGAAGGATAAATCAGAGCAAGGAAAAGCTTGCCAGCTCGAAATCGTAGATGAGTTTAGGAGCTTCGTCAAGCCCACTTGGAGACCTCAACTCTCGCAATTTTGCACGGATCTGACAGGAATCACGCAAGTTCGTCCCATGCTTCTGCTTCTGCTTTGATGGCATGCCATGATACATCTCAGGCTCAAGTCAACTCGGCGCCAACCTTCCAGAAGGTTCTGAAGATGTTTGCACGGTTTTTGATCCGTCATGGATTGATAGATCCGAAGAGCGGGAGACCTATACAACGTTTCTGCTGGTGCAGCGACGGACCTTTCGACATAAGGGATTTCGTCGTGAAGCAATGCTTCATATCGAAGGTCAGTGATCTACATGAGCCAAATATGTAAGAGTTCGATCGATTTCATTATCTTGTCATCGATAATCAGGTACCTATGCCATTATGGCTCAAAGGGAATATTCTCGACGTTAGAAGAGTCGTCTCGGTTTGGGCAGTTGCGCCTGGCAACGTGGACACCACAATCCAGGTGCCTATCATTTTTTGTCGGTTGGCGGGCTCAATAATGATGCTTTTCTCAGCCATCGGCACGTTCTCATATTCAATCATTAAACATACCTCAGCAGTTGCAAGCCCTTGGGTTGCCAGCGTTTCAAGGCCGTTTGCACAGCGGTATTGACGTCAGTACACGACTTCCTCATGCAGCTATGCCTTGCTGATATTTTTGTTTGTCTTCACACCGTCGCTTCTTCCCACAGGACACACGGAACATCGCACGTGTGATGACTGAACTTGCTCGTCGTGGAGTCCGTTTGGAACCTAAGACATCCATCAATCCAAATCGTCGCTGGAATTGGATGGGAAAGCATGGAGAGGTTCTCGAGCACACTCTAATGTTCCAATGATATTGCTTTAGGAATGTTTGTTATCGATTAATGATTTCTAACACGATGAGAGTAGCGATGCAAAGTTAAAACACATCTATCTAAATAAATATTAAGAGCGTTCATTCCCTTCCGAGTGAACTAGTCCTTCTGTTTGACCAAGCGTCTGCGCCAGCAAGTACCACTCGCGGTCACAGTTGAAAAAAAGAACCTTGATACGCCGGCTAACTTGGTTCCCGAAAATACGTATTTGTGAGATTTCGCGGAGGTACAGAATGAGCAGTTGTGTTGGATACACGAGGATGAGAAATAAGTTGTGGGTGGTCTGGCGTCCGACACGTCCCACGCCCAATACGAATTAGAAAATTTACTGATGAAGTACATGTTCCTCAGCTTCATCAGCAACAAAATTCTGGAGAGTCACTCACAAAGTCCCAAAGAGTTCCGAATGCAGGAATCCCAGCTTCCTTGCAACCATGCTGAATCTCAAAGTTACCCACGTAGTTGGAAGTGATGAAGACAACCTCCGCCTGCCAGTATTCGTACACCTCCTTCAAGATCTTCATGGTGGGTGGACGACCACCACGGACCTTGGAGTCCCAAAGGAGGAGACGTTCTGGACCGACGTGCCTGTGGATGAGACCACTGATGGTTGGGCCGAACGTCTTCTCTTGGTCGGAGCCTAGCAGATACGTTATTGATATGCATATACCTGAGGTTCAAATTGTCGTACCGATCCAAATCAGATACCAGTATGGGGACTGAATGCAAGTAGAAAGGGCTGCACCGAGACCGGTTCCAGTGCAGATACGAATACCACGCTTGTAAAGGGTCGACGTGTTAGAGACACCGGCGATCTGAACAAAAAAATTAGCAATCTGGTCGAAAAAAAACAGCTTAGGTCGTATTACCTTCAGCTCACGAGTCCAGATCCTTCTCGGCGGGTCGTTGACCAGGCTCTTAGTGAAATCGCCTTGCACGCCGCAAATCAGGTAGTGATATTTGGCATGAGTACCCTCGCTGCAAAGAGTTAGGAGAATAACATGGCGACGACACTGAAGACTCACGAGATAGTACCGAAGGCATGGTATTCCTTGACCATTGAGCGGCTGATACGAGCAAGCAGACCCTGTTGCATACCGCGCTCGAAGCGGAGAACAGCGACTTTCGGAGAGGGTAGTTCGATGTCGACCTTGACGTGTCTCGTGCAAATCCAAGGTAGAACAATGCTAAAATTGCTGTGAGCGACGTAATTAAGAAGGCAGACAAAGCAGTACTCACAACGTGGACATGCCAACAGAGTACCAAAACGCTTGCTGTTGGACGACATATCTTCCGATGTGGTCGAAATTTCCATCCGCAGTGTTGTATGCATTAGTCAGGATAGTGTATATCCCTTCGGAAAATTAGCAATGGTAAGCTTTTCTACGTCAAGTTTGAGCTTACAGGTCATGCCCAAGGAAGTCCATCCGAAGAAACGATGGTTCCTCTCAAACACACTAGACGGCGATGTGAAAAATGCTGTGATGAATGGCCGAAAAGAGTACTTACTTGTGATGGGAATTCCTTACCCACGGAAGACCTGCACAAATCGTGATGAACAACACAATTGTGCAAATTACACCGAAGGCAAGTATAGAGTCGTTGAACAAATACTTCTGCTTAAATTGATGCACGACCATGAGGACTATCCAAGCTACACCGGAGATTGCACATCCGCTGTGGATACCACCGAGATGCTGTAAAGAAACGTCAGCTACCTGAAGTCGCCGTTGGAAGTTCAGACTGACCTGAAGAGTGGAAGTACACCCAAGGCGGAAATATAGGGGAGTCCACTATAATAGAAAATAATAGAAAATACATCAATACCAATCGAGATGTTAAAAACGCATGGCACGAACCTTGGCGAAGAAGGTGTTGACGAACCAATACAAAAAACGCCCAAATATCTCGTTACGTACAAGAACCGAAACGTTCAAGTTACCAACGACCAAAGCACCAGGATATTTTGCAGCGTATGGCCAAGCTCCAGCAATGGCAAAACCAAGCCCAATGAAATTCACTGTGAAAACGACGGTGAAGAATCGCCTTGATAAATCAGAAGGGTGAGTAATCCGACCATATGTGTTGTCAGATAATACCATACCTATAACTATCGTACCAGATAATCCAAAGCACCCACAAGGGTGGACGCTTATGTGCTGGTTTAGCAGGAGCTGGCGGCGGCTTTGCAACGTTTGAGGGAGTGACCTGGCGCATCCTTCTTGAGAGACTGCACGGCGAACACCTCAATGTCTGTTGCCTTCTTCTCGTCCTTGGCGAGATCGGCGACCTGAGGAGAGTGGTCTAGTGTCCCTTTCTCTGCGTCATTGTAAGCCAAGGCAGGTTTGGTAGACATTGTGCGTAAGTCGCGAAGAGAAACTACCCGCTTGGCGTAGAGAAAATATGAAGCGCGAAGTTTTAGACATACAATTTGAGACCTTTTATCGTTTCGAGACCGCGGGTCCTTTCCAAGAAGGTGACTTGTGAGAAAGACAATCGCGCCTGGATCTCGGAATTATTTTGTTGCCACATTACAGGACCGATACGACACAGGATGTTCACAGCCAAGACTCCGGCTCCTGGGTGACTTTCCGGCATTCAGACAGACTCGGATGAAGGGCGTGAACATAATCAGTGTCAGAGCCGGATGGAAACTGACGATAGCGACCTGTCAATTCAATATCTCGGTCGTCCTGGAAGAGCATTGTTTGCAGTGACGTGACTCTCACTTAGCACATTCTCTCGGAGGACACACGTCGGGCCATCCAATCAATAGCTATGTGAATAACTACGGCAGCGGTCTGGGAGGTTCCCCTGTGTAGGGACTGCAAACATTTCGCGGGATAGTAACTGAAATAGTCATCCAACGAACAAAAAATTGTTGGGACTTACACGTATGACATTGCTGAAGCGCTGATAGGCCTATATGCAATATCACGGAACGTGCGGCCTACTCCTGGGAGATGGGAGTTTAATTTGGCACCTCGGGAATGAGAGCGCGCTCCGGCACTGCTTGAGAACCGCCTGTCACTTGGAGGCAAACAACTTTAGAGCTGTGCGAACACAAACTCAGAAAGCGCGCGTGACCAAAAAGGAAAGTGACTTAATGCCCTAAATTAACAATAAAAAAAAGTTCTGTTTTTATCAGATAATCATGATGGGTACCTTGCATTTCATGATGATCTAACGCGTTGGCACCACGTCGGCACAATATGAGAATTAAATCTAAATTCAATCTTCGAACCCCTTTCAAACCACAGGAAGCATGGAATATCCGGAAGTACCTCCAAAGTGTCCGACTAATCGGACCAGAAGCGATGCGGACGGATAACACAAATCATTCGCCTATACAGCGTAGCCTACTAACATATAATTAGAATATACATAACAAATTTGTTCCTACCTGACAGGGGTACTGATCAGTTCCCCTCCTCAACGAAATCTCTAAGGCGCCGTAATTGCGCAGAAACTTCTTCCTTAAAAAGACCGATTTCATTGCTGTTCTTGGCAATGGCTCTGATAGTCTCGTCTTTTAGTCGTGAGACCTTCGCTATTTGCTCTCGATAGCTAGCAAAACGGGAATGAAAAATTTGATTAGTTGAAGTGGGAAAAGGGTCCTTACTCGAATTGTAATGCCTGCAGTCTTGATTTTACCCCCATTCCACTAGATAACGCGGCAGTGCGCGCATGGGCAAGTTCTCTCTCCAATCGGGCAGCCTCAGTATTGCTGACCATAGACTCTTGCTGAGCAGCCTATAACGGCAAAAATGTACGAATGAGAACTATAACACAGTAATGAGAAGACACACTTACATCTCGAAGATCATCCGCCTGCTCGTTCAAGCTCATCACCTTCTTCTCAATTTCTCGCACCTCCTCATCAACATTCTCGCATTCTAAAGTCAGCTGATCGAGCTCGTTATCCACTTTGATGCGCTCGCTTTCAATATCTGCTCGTTCTGTTCTCTTGAGCTCGGCTACACTATTGAGTGTAGGTTTTATGACCTTGCGAATGTCGGAACCCAACAATAGCTGCTGGGGATTCGCAGCCGCCGTGTTTAACTCCAACCTGAGGTCGATGTTGTCGAAAGGTGGCGGGAGTGGGGGAAATAAGCCCACAGCAGATAGGAGATTACCATAGAGATCTAGTGCCTCTTCTGCCGCAGCTCCACGATTGGTTGTTATGACTTCCAGAGACATTACTGTCTTGCGTGCTTCGGAAATCTTGTATTTGAGGTCCTCCAGATTGCGTGCGAGCGTTTCATGGTCAGTGTTCATGCGAATTACTTCCTCTGGTGTCAAGTTCTGAACTCTGACCACCTCGGCAAGCCTCTCATGCTCGGCTTTGAGCTGATCAAAGTTCTGAGCTGAAAATAAGAGTTCATGATGCTTCACCCGCTATAAGTTTGCATGACGCACATCGAACAGCGAGTTCTGCTTTCTCGCGAGCTACAGATTCAGTGAGCTGTCTTTTTCGCGACTCCAAGCGGTGCAAGACGTCGTCAAATTTGGCCCGATCATCCAAGATACAAGCCTGAATTTTTTGAAGTTTTTCCAGAGGTGCCTAAACGGGTCAATATGTAGTAGACGACATTCGTCGAAATGATCATACAAGCGGCCTACCTTTGATGACCGAAGTTCGTCCAACTCCTTCGTTCCTTGTGCCAGTAGTACTTTGTTATTCTCTAAGTCGTTGACCACCCTCTCGTTTTTCTTCGCTTCAATTCTATCATCGGAGGGAGCTGCTTTTAAAAATATATAGAGGACGTACCGTAGATAGCTTCTAGTTCTTTGTCCTGTTCATGGAATACATCTGCACCATGAAAAAAGGCGACATAGGCTTCTGAAAAGTATTTGAATGCAAGTGCCTGGTGATGGATAGGGTCGCTAAACTCTTCGGGAATTCTATCGACAATTTGTAATGTAGGATCCTCCTCACTCTCCAAGTAGTTCAGCCGAGCCTGAAACAATATATTGATGTGAGTTTATTTATGTTTTAAATGTGAATAACCTTTCCCATCTCGACGAGCCAATGCAAAGCTGCCAGCAGTGCAGGCCATGAATGCGGACTTCCCGGAGCAGCCAGCCATTTATTGTCAATTTGGGCAGAAAACGGGTATCGCAGCGCTTTGAGAGCGGGTTGAAATTCGTCCTCAAAGCGAAGGCGAGAATCAAATGGGTATCCAGGATCCACAATAGTCACAAGATGTTGGAACATGGCTCGGTAATCTTTACCGGTGATTTTCGATAGCGTTTGAACAGAGATGTCGAATTCTGTTGCTTGCAGCCAAGAGTATATGTCTTGTTTCATTTTGGTTTGATATGAGCGCTCGCGAAGTGGGCGTGGGTCCTTGAATGTTTGACTTCCGGAAGGAGGTGCAAGAGATGCACCGCCTGGCCATACAGAGCCCCTCCTAGAGGAGCTGAGAGTAGGATATAGTTCAAAAGGAACGTTGGCGAGATCGGAGAAGATACTTACTTGGTTAAAGGGGTACGCCCATAATTTGGTTTACTCGTACTTTGTAGTAGTGGATTTACATTCTGCGACCGATAACCAGAATGTCCTGTATTTGAGCCGGAGCCCGCTCCCGGGGGCAAATAGGGTGTGCGGGCTGCTGGGCCAGCGAGCGACATGCGCATAGTAGACGATGATGCTTTCTTTGCTGTTGATGGCATTGGTAGGCCTGACCGAGCGTTTCCATACATGTCAGTGGCAGGTTGTATGGTCGAGCGACGGAGTTCCGACATGTCACCGAGCAATAGCGGGAAGTCGATGAGCTGAACGCGTCGTGCGTCGCGGTCAACGAGTGTTTTGTCACATGCACGTGACCGTGCCACTTAACATGAATCTTATTGGATCTTACAATGATAGTCTATTAGTCTTATAGCCCTCCTATTGGTTATCCACTACATTCTCAAGAGCTGTGTAAAATGTCCAACCGCCATGCTCCAGTGAATCTTTTCGGAGACAATGGAATGAGGGCCAATCTACCTATAAATCTAATCAATGTCGCGTATGGCTCACTCTTGCTAAATGCTCAGTATCCCACTGACTGACCAAATTGTTCTCAGAGACACGCAGGAAATCCCAAACTCGCAGGAAATATTCGTGTACCGTGAATCCGGTGCGAACATTATTATCGACATCCTCCAAAAAGTCGATATCGATGATCCGGAAGCGGCAGCAAAGTTAGTGTTTTCCTGTTGCCGTAATAGCATGAAGCTCTGATTAGTAGGATATCACAGATTCCACCTTGATGCGATAGCAGAGGATAATGATTCGATGGAACATGATTCCATCATTGTGCAAAGGCACATCACCAATGAACTTTCTCCGATCGTGCTCGACGGACGTCAGGTTCTAAAGAAGGCTGGGACAATTCATCACCTTCGCACTCTACTTGCTCTTTTCCGAGTCAAAGGAAAGAAACACGACGTCGTTGTCTCGTTCAACATTCCGGTTGAAACGGGACAAGGGCGTGGAAGAAATGGAGCCGTTACGGCGGAACAGGAACAACTCATCGTATCGGATTTCTTCAAGGCAGTAGAATCCTTGAGAATTGTCGATTACAACCTTTTTGCAGTCTAGGCATCCTACATAACGGACTCTATAATTCAATACGACTTTCTCGGACCCGATCTGCGGATCGTAACATGGAGCTTTGGGTATTTATGACCTGTGTTTCAGAACCTCGATCCCTATCGGCGGCTCAATTGCATCCTTTTATCGTCAGCTTATCGCACTCCTAATGGAGCTTCTCGTGGAAAGATATTCACGGTATCAGGTGTACTTGTGTCCAATCCATACCGTGAAATGAGGCCGCCTCCCGCATCATGAGATGTAGCCGGCAAACGTCGATCTCACTTTCAAACATTGTCAGGAATTAGCCATCTGATGAGAACCTAGACTTCTTTTCATTTTAACAAGATGACTCCAGTGGGAACGAAGTCATGTTTTCGGGCGTATCATTGAAGACGTACCGTGCTCCCACCACGACAATACGTCGTGCCATACAGGACGTTTTCGCTTAGTTGCACTATCAAGAGACTCATGAGACATATCATTACCAATAGGAAACGGAGATTATATGGTATATTAGACCAACGATAGCATCAGCGGTCACATACGCGAGACACGTGTGAACATCAGCTACGTCGGCGGGCGTGCTGAAACCTCATCCAACATTTGCTCGGCCTCGGGCTCCTCCACGATAGGTTCACCCATACCCGTCTTTGCTGCTTCAGCAGCCTTAGCATCTTTTTTGCGCCTTGATGATTCTTTAAGCTTTTCCCAACGCTCACGAAAGCGTGCGATTGTCAGTTTCTGCGAGGGAAGTCAGTAGCAGACAAAAAGCGTCAGACATGTGTTGGCAATGCACCTGTTTGTCATTCTCCATGCGAACAACTCGAACGTCTTCTTCCAATTCCCTTATGCGGTTAAGTAACTGTGCCTCCCGATCACGACCAACGTTCAAAGCCGTCACTGGTGCTGGAACAGCTGGCAGATTGATGTTCAAAGCGCCGAGGTCTACTACCGGTTGTTGCCCGGATTGTCTTGTCATCACCGTCGAGGCACCCATTGCTCGCTGTGCCTGATAGAGAGTATTGGCAATGAGTCTGATGGAAGGGTCGGCAAAGGAGTGCAAGATTACCTGGTGTCGTGCCATCACAATGCTATCGCGTAATTGCTGGTCTTGTTCCTTGCGCAGCTGCATGATCCGCTCAGCAGCCGCCAAACGTTTTGACATCGCTTCAAGCTCTAGTTTCAGAGAAACATTTTCTTTCTTCAAATCCGACCGAGACCGTTCCGAATCCGAGGGAATCAAGTAAAAGGATTCTGATAGATCGTTGCCTTGGAGAACTTGTCTCGTAAAGCAAAGTCCATTGACAATGTGCCGACATACCTTCGTCCGCAAATACTTCCTCGTCCGTCTCCTCAGGCAAAGTGTCCACTTCTGAATGAACGAGTCAGAAGACAGTTATTGGTAATGCGGTTTCGACATTCACTTACTCGACTTAAATTTACCCTCTAATCCCAGCCGTGTAAAAAACGTGGAAGTGTGGGGCTGTTCGATATCGGTGTCGCTACTTGAGGTCCCGTCCCGCCGTGAGCTCTTCTTTCCTGTCGGGGGTGGTTCGGTGCCCAAAGGGGCTGTGGCGAAGGCAACTGGCTGAGACAAATTATCAAGCATCCCCTCCATGATTCTCCAAAAGTTATTGAATGCATCACCCGGATCAGACTATCGGTGCAAGGTTGTAAAAAGTCATAGGACAGAAAATATACAAGCACACCTGTTGGCCAAGCACCATGAATGATTCGTCGACGTTATTATGGGAGTCTAATAATCGACTCGAACCACTAGCACTAGCATGCAGTGGGGCGGAAGGTGCAAGAACGGGCGCATGAGGAGAAGCATTCGAGCCTCCTCCGTTCTTCTGCGTGTGAACCTGCGTATGCCTCGGCGTGGTCTTTTGCGGCAGAGTAGGATCCTGGTTTTCTTCACGAAGTTTTGCTATTCTCCTCTGCAGTTCCTTTCCGGCCTTTACATGTTCATTGTATAGCATACGGAGCGTCGTTTTTGTCTGAGAGGCATTGCGGGTCACTAAGGACACTAAATATGACGCAAGGACTCATATACGCACATTTGAATCCTGTGATTTCTCTTGGCAAGCGTGAAATGCTTCTGCAGCTTTCATGTGTTCCTCTGAAGCTGGGATGAGCAACCCTTGGCTACGGTAATCCTCTGCATTCGCTGCATGTTGGTGCGCCTACGCTAAGTATCAGTACTGAAGTGGTATCACATCCTTACAATCATGTACCGTTTGTAATGACTCCATCTTTTTGTTCACTTGTTCACTCGCTGGATTAGGAGAGGGTAAAGAGGACTAACTACGAATTCGTAGGGTGCAGAATTTTTCGTTTATTGACGCGGAACTAGATTGGCTGAGGTGACCTAATGAAGGGTCTTTCATTAGGTGATGCTTGCCATCCTGCTTGATCAGCGCGTGCCACCCCTTTTGTTTGCTTCATCCAACACCAACACGAAGACATTCTAGACTAGTTCGGATACTTCTCAAATTTTGCGCATGGGCACACCGTCACGAAGTCTATCGTACAATCTGCTGGAGACAGAACACCCACTTTGGATATGATGTTCTATAATCATCAATTGCAATGGCTGCAACCGTGATGATCGCAGTGGCTGACTGACTACCACTCTCACAGCTTATCGGGCAAAAGTTCATTGCGTGGGATCCGGAGCGACTTGAGAGCAGCCAGGGATGAAACTCCTTGTGGTGTTATACGGCGTCCGTGAACAGCCCAACATGCCGTAAAGGAAGCGCTCTGGTTATTCGCCTCCTCAATGTACGCATCTTACTTGCCAAGGAGGCGCTCTTATGCTATGAAAATCTCGAATGAAGGGGTAAGGCATGGCATTGCCTTCGATTGTAAAATCACCCATACCGGCACTACGTTCACAGACCGCTTTAATTTTGTGCCGACAGTAAACTCACATAGCCCGAACGAATATCTTGACACCCAAATTTCCTTCGTGTGTCCTTGTTGGCAACGAATCCCAGAGTACTGCAGAACACTCACGCAGATCGTATCTTCAAGGACCGGACGCATTATAAAATTCTGGCAGTTTGTTCCTTCCGACGAGTTGGTCAGGAATTATCTTCTCTCAATCAATTTTAGATTGTGTCATCCCCATTCCATAGGCGTGGGCTTGTTCACTGAGCATGTGATGCGTTTGACCGCCGAAGTTTGGAACGGAGAGGCAGTGTCCTTGCAACGTGCGTAATGCCTATTGAATATGGTCGACTGAGCGGACGTGATCATCGATGTCCGAGTTTGAATTGCAATTTGGACCACCCCAGGTATCTGCGCCGTCACGGTCATGTTTGGAATGAGTGACGGCGACCTGCGTATGGTAGCTAGGGCTAGTCTGTAATTCCCCTTATCCATCACCTCTATCATTCACCATGACTTTACGTGGCTCTGCTTTTGAGAAGAATAGAGCAGCGGTCGTTCCTGAGGCTGCGGTGCGCCGTCTTGGATACACCAGTGTCCATGATCCTGACGTGTACCGATTGACTAGCCTCGCTCAAGTGGAATTACAAAAGAAAATTTGAGCGACCAATCCGTGCACGACTCTGATGAATACCAAGTAAGTACTCCACATTTTCATGTCATGGATTCCAGATAACCATTTTGCCTGAACAGACTCAAGGACGCCAAAGTAGTAAGTTGTTCCTGCCCAGGTGACATTCCATACTTACTGCTCAGAGCCAATCATATCTCTGGAGTCGTCTATTAGTGGTGGGGCACTCTGCAGAGCCGTAAGTGACAAATACATATTGTCGAACGCATTACGAGTGCGGTCATCTGATACGTTTAATAGGATGAATATTCATCCTTGTCATCATGGAGGCTAAAGAGCTCTGTAGCCGACACATGCGCGTGCATGCCCGAGAACCCGTTCGCCGACGCAGAGCCTTCAGGTGATACCCCTAGTTCTGCTACGCGAGAAGATCCGATGCACGATATCGTGAAATACTCGCATGGTGTCACCGCAGAACACAAGCCCAGAGTGGCCCGCGTGTCAGGTATCGACGGAGCATGGCCAGAAAGAGCTGAGATAGTAAATTCCACTGGAGGTTTTCCCAGGCCTACCATTTGTCGCGGTACATTTTCACAGGCAAAGGCTTTCTTTCTGAGGCCAAGTGCCAGCGGTGGTTATGCGCAGGTAGGTATCCTGAATCCTGATGCCGCTGGCTCCAGACTCAGCTGACCTGAAAGCAGGGTGCTATCTCGCAGCGGACGCGAAGCCAAGATAACCCTATCAAAGACAAGAATTCGACAGATTACTTTAAAGTTGACATACCTCGTGCTCGAAGTCTGAACGGAGGGATTACATGCGACCCAAACAGTCAGTAACTGCTGTACATTTTACGTGGTTTGAAGGTTCGAGCTGAGTCAGCAGACTATTAATTTCCACTGGAAGTCGTGAAAATAATTAGATTTTCAAAAATAAACAAAATCGTAACTTTGGTCACTCACCCGATAAAGTAATGTTAGCTCATCGTATTGAGACCTGGCGGAAACCTTGAATGATATAGAGAGATTGGTATTGATACTGCATAACTTGACCCTGGCTGGTGGACTGAAAAATATTAATCTGCGTTGATGTGAATTTTGGAAGAATAGAGCACCTGAGAGATTATTAGGCCGTAGTACAGGAGAGTTGTAGATTAGTCAGCGGATATAGGCTCTTGACAACAAAATTCAACTCGCAGTCTTCGTTTATCTGAATCCCGCAAGGCCCATTAATTAGTTACTGGTATTTTATTTTATTATATTCCGCATTATTCCAGTCTTATGAATATTAATGGCATGGTGACCTGAATACTATAGTTAGTTGAAGCAGTGCACAGGTCACGTTTAGTCCCGAGGGGCTGCCGTGTGAGCGGTGCGGTCGGTATCTGAAAATCGTTGTCCTACCCATACCTTTCTGACGTCGCCAACGTTCGACACAGCGAGCTCACTCTTCATACCGTAGACCGCTCAAGAATAAAACCGCCTCAGGCTTTGATCCCTTATTGGGCCTGCCATTCAACCCGATGTCGACACCTGTGCATGCCCTGTAAGTTAGATATTCAAATCTTACGACCAACTTCCATTCTCATTCTCATCGTAGTAGGAAGAAAATAAGGGTTACAGGTATGACTTTAAAGCTATATCACTCTCGAGGGACACTCATCTTGTATGTTTTGGGCAGTCGTCGCCGCAGATGGGCTCTCTAAGCGTGATGTATTTCGCCTACCGGACCCCTTTGCAGTCATCACCGTTGATGCAGAGCAGACCCACACAACCAGCGTTATAAAGAAGACATTGAATCCTTACTGGAATGAGAGTTTTGACATGTAAGTCTGGTATCGGTCGGGCGTAGCTAGAAGTGCATGACTGATGTCCCATGTACACAGCACCGTCAAAGACTCCTCAGTAGTAGCTGTGCAGATATTCGACCAGAGGAAATTCAAGAGGCGTGACCAAGGGTTTTTGGGCGTGGTCAACGTGAAAGTCAGCGATGTGCTCGATCTTGAACTAGGTGGTCATGGTAAGCGCCCATCGTCAAATCACCCTTACGCGCACCTTGATTCAAATCTTATCCATTTTGATAGAAATGCTGACGTTGGATCTAAAAAAGTCCAATGATAACCTCGTGGTACATGGCAAGCTCATCATATACTTGTCAACAAATGTAAACCAGCCCATGAGCAACCCTGGACCCTCCCAAGTACAAGGCGTCACTTCTGCATTGGCCGACATGGGAATGAATGAATCAAGTCTCTCTTTATCACCTAACGCGGCCCCAACAACAAGTAATACTTTGTCTCGCCCACCCAGTTCACACGCCACTGCTACTGAGCCCGCCGCAGCACCGTTGATGCAGATGCCGACGCCCCACATACCACCTTCGATGACTAGCACTGAGGCGGAACAGTCGTCTTCACAGTCTCCATCGGGTCGTCCTATCAGCTCAGGTGGTGGACACGCTGCACCCCCATCTACGGCACCTTCCTCGACCACGTCTCCGGGACAAGCGGTTACTAACGCACAGCAGAGGAATTTCAACCCCAATGTCGATCAATATGGAGCATTACCTACTGGATGGGAGCGTCGCATCGATCCACTTGGTCGGACATATTATGTTGATCATAATACCAGGACAACAACTTGGAACCGACCATCGTCTAATCAAACTGTGAACCACAACAACCAGGATAGTGAAACAAATGCTGCGAGAGATCAGCACTCCCGCCGCATACTCGCCGACGACATGGTCGATGCCGCAAGCACGGGCGCTGCAGGTGCCAATGCGTACCGCAATTCGTCAATGTCGGCACCATCCCCATCGCCCAATGTTCCACCGGCAGTTGTGGGCTCGGGTGGAAATGCTACCACAGCTGGGACTGGGAGTCTCCCAGCTGGTTGGGAGGAGCGCTACACCCCAGAAGGACGACCCTATTATGTGGATCATAACACGCGTACTACCACCTGGGTCGATCCCCGTCGCCAGACCATCATTCGTGTCATGGGCCCTCATGGACAGAACACATCCTTACAGCCTCAGACCATATCTCAGCTTGGTCCATTGCCCTCTGGTTGGGAGATGCGTCTCACATCTACCGCACGTGTTTATTTCGTAGATCACAACACGAAGACGACCACATGGGACGATCCCCGCATGCCATCCACGCTTGATGCTAACGTTCCACAATACAAGCGTGACTTTAGGAGGAAACTTATTTACTTCCGAAGCCAACCTGCTATGCGTGCACAGCCGGGTAACTGCCAGATTAAAGTGCGGCGGAACCATATCTTCGAGGATAGTTATGCAGAGATTATGAGGCAGACGCCAAATGATTTGAAGAAACGACTCATGATTAAGTTTGATGGAGAGGACGGTCTTGATTACGGTGGTTTATCACGGTAAGTTGGGATAACTGAGCTATCAGAGTTTATGCGTTTACTGAGTCCCTTTGCAGAGAGTTCTTCTTCCTTCTGTCGCACGAGATGTTCAACCCATTCTACTGTCTATTCGAATACTCAGCCCACGATAACTATACGCTTCAAATTAATCCTGCTTCAGGCGTCAACCCGGAGCACTTGAACTACTTCAAGTTTATCGGTCGCTGTCTCGGTCTCGGGATATTCCACCGTCGTTTCCTCGATGCATACTTCATTGTCAGCTTCTACAAGATGATTTTGAAGAAGAAGGTAACGTTGGCGGACCTTGAATCTGTTGATGCTGAGTTGCACCGCGGGTTAACTTGGATGTTGTAAGTGCTTTGCCACTTTTTCATGATCTCTCCCGACCCTTGTTCAGGGAGAACGACATCACGGACGTGATCGATGAGACCTTTACAACGACTGAGGAACGCTTCGGTGAACTGGTCAACATTGAACTTCGTCCAGGGGGGGCAGATATCAACGTGACTCAGGATAACAAGAAGGAATACGTGGACGCTGTCGTCGAGTATCGGATCTCCAAGCGTGTCAAGGAACAATTTGACTCGTTCATGTCAGGCTTCAGCGAGTTGATTCCACAGGACCTCATCACTGTCTTCGATGAACGCGAACTGGAGCTCTTGATTGGTGGTATGTCGGAGATTGACGTGTACGTTCCTTAATTGAAGTCGTAAGGCTGTTTGGTTGAATCTCATTGCAGAGACGACTGGACTAAGCACACCGACTACCGCGGATATGAGATGAATGATGAAGTCATTCAATGGTTCTGGAAGTGCATTCGCAGCTGGCCACCTGAGCGCAAGTCCCGCTTGCTTCAGTTCGCTACGGGAACATCTAGGATTCCCGTCAATGGTTTCAAGGACCTTCAGGGCTCGGACGGACCCCGCCGCTTTACCATAGAAAAGTCTGGTGACCCTTCACAACTACCAAAGAGTCACACCTGCTTCAATCGTATTGATCTTCCACCATACAAAGATTATGCTAGCTTGGAGCAGAAACTAACGCTTGCTGTAGAGTGAGTCCATTTTGTCACTTGCATGTCAGCTTGTGCTAAGCTCTTTACTAGGGAAACTGTTGGATTTGGTCAGGAATAATTTCATGTACGACTTTCGCTTCTATCCGACGTCACGCTATCTTTTTGTAATTTTAGTGGGACACCTTATTATTTGTTGTTCGTTAGTTCGTTTCAACGATGTCTATATGCCGCCTTTATGTCGTGTACAGAGCACCACTTTTAATGTCTGTATGCGTAACCTTTTGTCCATATAGCGCGGAAATTATCAATATATCATCTGTGATCATATTACATAGGTTGTGAGTATAGGCTGACAGACAGTGAAATGTGTAAAATATCACAAAGACAAACCAAAGATCATGAAACCATCATCTTTTCTCAAAGGCAAATGCAATATAAATGTCTGAAATGTATTCTATTAGCAACATTCCAATTAGACTGAAAGTCGGAACTTACTGACTGCCTCCCACTCTTCATCCTCCATTGAGCTGGCGCCGGTCGCGTCGCATACATTCATGCGGACCATCAGTTTCTTGAATTCCTCGTGCTCCTTGTTTTCTTCGAACACTTCATGGAATTCCTTCTTAAATACGGGGTGAAGTCCGTACTCCGCGGCCATCCTACGCAAAGTTATGTCAGTGCTACTTGGGGGTCAAGATGACACGAAGGCTTACTGAACGAAATTGTCCCAGTCAACAATATACTCTGGGACGTTATCAACAGCGTCGCGGAGATAAAAGTAGTATCGGTGACCAAACAGCGGTCGAGAAGTGCGTTCTTCAAACCGGATCTTGTATACTGAATTTCCAAATGAAAGATCCTCAGAGTCAGCTGGTAGTTGGTCCAGCCGCGCGCTATCAGCGATCAAGTCAGCAACACGGACGTGAGAAGAAATCTGGGCTTAAGTGGACATACAGGAGCTGGTCGGCGTTTGGAACCGTCCCGAGAAATATCCCCCCTGGTCTTAACCATTCGCTGACGTTCTTGAGCATGCATCGAGCTTTTTGCACTGTTTCAAACGCATAATGCATGCAGAACTGCATGGATACAACGTCGAATGGCTGTGCGAGCTGCTGGGGCGTAAAGGCCTTTGTGAGTGGTTCTGTATAGCAATCCAACGCAGAGAACGAGGCGTCGAAACGTCGTGGACGCATGGTTTCCCATCGATGTTGAGCCTGCTCGACAGAAACGTGCGCAATGTCTATCGAAGACGGATCAGATCGGGCTGCGCAAACTAAAGCAGAGGATCTTACCAACAGCCAGCATCTCTCGAATTCGAGCCTTCCCCCATTTAATGAGATCACCACCTTTGCCGCAGCCCATATCAAGAACTTTTCCGCGTTTTTTGGATGGACTATTGGCAATGGCTGGATGACCGAACTGCGTAATCAAGACTGATTTCACCCAGTTGTTGAAATTCTTGAGTCCGATGATAGGCGACTCTTTGCGCTGTTTTACGCCTACCTCTGGACGCAAATTATCTGGTAAAGCGGCGTTAGTGGTGAGTTGAGCGGGTGGAAGACGCTTACAGTGATCAACGACCATTTCGACGTCGCCAGCATGTCTCTTGGCTGGACGTTCTTCATGGTCATCGGGTTCACTACTTTGAACTCTTTTGCGTTTGTTTATGAGACGTTGGGTACCAATACCGCGGTAATTTTTGTAGAGCTGTATTTCATCCTGTGTCATGGGAGCGAGGACAGAGCCTGCGGGAGTCAAGCGCTGCCGTGGGTTGTAGGGCAGAGGCTGGCGCGTCGTTGGCAGCGGAGTTGTCGGGGAGGACGCTGTTTTGGATGATGTTGGTGCCATTGGGGAACGAGTCAATGGGGACGTTGGAAGAATACGAGAGGACGATGAAGGTACATCAGAAAGAAAGGGGGGAGATGAATTGAGTGAGAGTGAAGAACGTGAAGGGTGCTGCCGTGAGAATGAGGGATCTTGTTCACGGGGGATGTCGATGGCCGTGGGCAATCTCCGTCCCAATGACGGTGCAGAGTTCAATTTTTCTGATGCAAAGTCATCAGAAAGTAATAGATGAGAGAGACTTGAAGGTCGTGCAGAACTTGGAGTCCTTGGTTCGTGCGGTTCAGAGTTTAATAATGAAGCTAGATCTGTTGCCCTACGTGTTAAAGAAGGGCTAGAGGTCGCGTGCGATGATGAAGGACGTGAGGATGATGGGGACGGTATTTCGAGTGGACCATAATCACCGTGACTTGGAAGTGATTGTGGCTGAGTAACAGGTGAATTCATGACAGCATCTCGTACTGGATCAAACGCTGGCATGGCTAATTATCACCGAGTAGGCTATAGCAAAAAGCCGTTCGTCAACGTTGATGATGGCGAGCGCGGCGTCTTTGCAGTACACAAAACACAAAGTCATGGCCTTGAGTTACGTAACTAACTATCCCTCCTTGCTCGCTACAGTCTCACGCATAGGCAGTGAACTTCTTGGTGATGAACTGTTCAGCGATCCCTTTTTCCATTTGCTAAGCCATTCCGCAATATCAGTCGTGGACCGCTGTATCACATCCATCAGTCAGCTTTCTCACATTTCCTCATGTTCTCTCACCTCGATCCACGCCCTTGAAGCACGCAATGATTCTAGAGTCTGCGACAAGGCAAGGTTATACCGGGATGTGTCCTTGTCCTAATCACCGCATGCCATCAGCTTGTCCCTTGATGTTTGAAATAACCATTACCTTAAAAAAGTCTAGGATTTTTTGGTAGTCTTCCTCCTTGGTCAAATTGCCAAGACTCGACTGATGCTATGCTAAGCCCTATCTATCACAGCAGAACAGTGACCCGAAACGTACCGAGACGATATCCTTGAACGAAAAGTTCCCCTCGAATCGTTTGGCAAGCTATCAAATGATCATGTTCGGCGTGGGACTCCTCGGCGTTTTAACTGATAGCTCACCTCCGTATAGTTGTCTTGGAAGAACTGCGCACAGCTGCGCCTGGTGCGGAAGTTCGTTTGAAAGCCATTGATGAAATATATGATGTCTTGAGACCGCACTTTCGACAGGATGTACGCGTACGCGTCCTTGATACAGACCTCATCTTGGCTGGCGCACATCGCCATTCTGACAAATGTATTATAAATAAATACACTTTACAAACTAGATCTGACTTACATGGCGGCGATACTTTTCGATGGAGGCGTAGTTGGGTTCTCGTACAATGCCTTGGCAAACTCATACTCTTCACGACCTCCATGCTTCACAGCCTGCAAATATCACTCAGCATAACCACAGCATCACTTAACGTCGACGTACAGTAAGAATAGTCGTCCTAAACAGATCACCAGGAATCCCTGAATCATCCTGCGTTCTCATATATTCTGCAAACCGGGTCTTGAGCTCTTCCACGACACTGCAACTTCGTCAATTTTCACTTGGATCCATATTCAATGGATACGTACACAGAGTCCCCAGCGACAGCCGCCTGTCCGACAGCGCGGGTGCGTAGTTGCGAGATATCCACAGACTCGGAAGGAGAGTATTCATAGCCAAGGCGTTTGACAATGGGCGCAAACAATTCCTATAAGTACAAACTGAGTCAGCACTCAAAACAGATATTTGAAATGATCAACCCACCTTGCGGAAAGCATCTAGATCATTGACAACAACCTCATGTTCCCACCAAGTTGACACCAGGGTGGAGATATTTTGGGAAATACTGTCCCATACAAGGACTAGAGTATGTTGTTCATCAAGCTCGTGCCCAATTAATGCATAGGACACTCACACTCCTTTTCGTCATGCAAAATATCGACGATGGTCAACGCACTGCTAACTTTACAAAACCCAGCTTTCGACAATGTCATAATATCATGAACAAGGCCAATGCGGTCATTCAGCGAGAACACAGCATCGCCCTTGGCGGCCTCCTTAGCGATTGCCGCGAACCTCTCATCAGAGTACAACACGCGATCTATGATCATGAATACAAACGCCATCAACAAGAAGACAGACTTACAGACACCATAAGTCCCCGCATTGAGCTTGAAAGGCCTCGAGGTGTCGATGGCGATTGTCTTCTCCCTAGTGTCAAGAACGACGGACTTATCAATGTTGACTTTATCGTTAGTAGCTGTCAGTAGGGCCAGAGGCACAGTCCAGATCGTCTCATTGTCCTTTTCTTCTGCAGGTCCAGAATCCAGGAAACGATCCTGGCGGACATGGATACCATTCTCGCTCTCAATGACAGTGAGGACAGGGAAGCCGATCTGATACAACACGTGTCAGAGTGGAGTGAGTGGATCGAACTGTCATGCTTGCCTTTGAAATCCAGTTATCCATGATCCTCGGCACATCTACCCCAGTAGATTCAGAGATGCCCTGCCACAGGTCTTTAGTGACAGTGTTTCCATATAGATGATTCTTGAGGTAGATCGAAACACCCTTCAGGAAGCGCTCCTGGCCGACAAAGTTGGATAGCATACGCAAGACTTAAACGCGTTGCTCGTGAGGTGAGGTGGTGACCAAACAATTTGAATGTCTTACCAGAGCCTGCTTTAGCATAGGAAAGGGAGTCAAAAATCTGATGATCACTTGTATGAGATAGTCGTGCTCCATGTCATATGGCAATCCAGTCATACCTGATTGATCTGGTTGGCATCAGGACAATGCACTTCGATTGGATGAGAAGACAATTTAGCATCAAGATCCAGCGCATCGTTCAAATGTTCGGATATGAACGAGCTGTCCACCTTCCATTCCGGGTACACACTGGTAAAAAAAAAAAGCGTCACGGTTATGTTGAAAGTGGAATAGATCAGCTTACCGATCTAAAAGATATTGTCAATGGGTTCGGTGAGTGTGCATAGATACAAGACATACCAACAACGATAACTTCACCCATCTTGGAGTGGGTAATCTCAGTAGATAATCTACACGCTCATGTCTGCTAAGCTTACCAGGGTTGCAAAACCTAAGATACACTTTAATACCGATATCAAAAATCGTGGCAAACGGCCGACCTTCATTCAAGTACAGATAGTCCCACCATTCCATGGTGGTGATATCACCAAACCTTGAGCAAAATTTTCCGCAACGTATCCTTCGAACAATAGAAATGGACTTACCACATATGAGCGATTTCGTGCGACTGGAAGACAGTGACGCGTTTCTTTGCAGCTACATCTGCCTTCTTAGGGTCAAGCAGAAAAGCGCTGGTACGCCCAGTGATCAGGCCCTTGCTGAAAGTGAGTACAAAAGCGCACAGAAATCAATAGCTCATACCCAGTTTTCCATAGCACCTGCGTCGAAATCATGGGCCTTCAGACCACCGATCATCATCAATGACATAAAGGGGATCCTACATAGGACACTTACCACTAAAGTATCCAGCTTTGGGAGAGGGTATTCAATGTCAAAAATTTCCTCGTAGATCGGGAGAACTTTTGCTTTGATGTCGAGTGCATACTGAGCCTGATGAATCACATCAGGAGTAGCTGTCCAAATTACATCAGCCTGCACTCGGAATTCTGTGAGGACGGGTACCTACAGTAGATGCGCAAGGGACGGGTCTTCCCACTCAGAGGACTCTTATAAGAGCTTTCCAGGTGCGCGAAACGTCCATTGGCATATGCAACTAGATAAGTAGACATCTATAGACTAGTTTTTAGTGTGAAAATCTGCTTATATGACGTCGACGTACGGGTGGTGTAGTTTGAAACTTGGAAATCTTCCACTGCGCTTCGGGGCTATGTTGAGTCGTCAACGCCGAAAAGAGCGCCTCCAATGAAGGATCCTCTACTTTAGTCGTTTGGGGTTGGTAAATTTCCTCCGATGTGATAGACATGTTGCTCAGATTGACCGTGTCAGCACGTGATATCATAGTGACCGCAAAGGTCGCTTTGAGAAGGGGTTCATCCCAACACGGAAAGGCACGTCTTGCGGCGGTGGGCTAGCGATGGTCCGTAAGTACGAGGGCAGTTGATGGGATCGAATACAAACTTCGAACTGGGTCAGTGCATAATACTTCTTAGTTCCGTCATGCTCGAACGAGCTCTTGTAATACCCCATCATAGCCCCAGTCAGTTCTCCGGAGAAGCCGATGGAGAGTGTTGCCTTTGATCCGGCGGGCACAGGGGTCGAAAAAGAAAGTATACAACGTTCCGCGTTGTCATCGAGAGACGGAGAAGAATCGACTTGCTTTATCTTGAGTGCATCGGAATATAATGATACATCGTTCAACTTCAGATCGGCTGAGTTGAAGACGATGGTGGAGGTTTTGTTCTTGACATCCAGACTGATGGAATTGGTCAATGATCTTTGAAGGACAGTGTGGATGAACATACTCGATCTTTACCACACCCTCGAATATTGAGTTCTCCAGGTCTGTCTTGACAGTCACATCATAATGTGTTGGCTTGACGTCTAGGGGAAGACGGAAGTCACGCGAGTCGGTTGGCTTGTTCGTCAGGTCGGTCATAATCACGGATGTTGTTGAACAATATCTTGTTGATAGAATTCGAGATGATTGCAAAAACTGATTGCCAGCGGTTAATAGGATCCGGGACACATGTGTGTTGCTGCAAGACCGAATCCGGGGTACGGCTATGCATGCGCGTACTAGGCTTCCAAAAATCGACGCTGGCATCGATCGTTTTTGATCAGATTCTTCGTGTCTGCTTGCATAAGCTTGTGCGTGACCCATCAGTCCGTCACTGTCACTCCACCAGCAAGCCTGAACATGTAGCTCTGACAGTGTCTATACGAAGAACAATTTTGATTGTCTACTGATAGTACTGATATCCTCATATGCGTAGACTCAGCGGAACAAACCGGAAAGACAAAGCAAGGCAAAGACAAAGAAAGCAAAGTGGTGCCGGCTCCTTCCGAGCACTCTTATATATAGGCCAAGGCGTGGATCACACATGCAAGGTCATATCTGATCACTGACTTTTGTAGAGCATCCATAGGAGGCAAAATCCGGTCAACCCGCGGATCATCCATCTCAAATGAATGAACTAGCAGCAATCGAGCGTCATTCTACACACCACCCTCTCCACTTGACAATATCGCTGAACTTAGCTGGACAGGTACCCAAGTGCTCGCTGGCAAGAAGGTTGCTCGTGGGCCAGTCAGTGCGCGTGGCATACTCGATAACAGCCTGACACCTGCCACACTGCATCGTGTAGTGGTTCACGGCCGTTAGGGTATCGTCACCGTGCTGAGCGGCAGTACGGTCCATGTCTGTATAACGCACGCGGGTGAGGGACTGGGTCATGATTTTTTGTGCTCGGAGACAACACCCTTTTAGAAGCACAGTAGCGCATGTACTATTCACCCGAATACACGTTTTTTTAATTCTAATATTTGTACTTATGACGGACAATGCTAACTGGTTGAGGGGTACTCCTATTACACCAGGCTCTTCGAGGCCTAGATGTTGATGATTTCAACGCGCATCCTGACAAATTTCTCGTTGTGAAACCAAACCTTGTCCAGAAAAACTGTTATGTAAATCAGCTCAGACTTAAGAAGGACTGATCACCTGCAAAGTTAGTTAGGGTCAGGCTCCGGCCCCCGCCAGGACACTTTTCCACATGTCAGGATCTTCCTCAGGCCTACAATAGGGATGGTAAGGACACTGGTGCCTTTCGATCCTACACACGAGGCAACTAAAACTCCGGCACTCGTTTCAAGCAAGTCACCCTTCTGGTAATTTGCGTCACGCTATCATTTTGACCCACACAAGCAACTGAATGAACTTTGATTCGCAAACAGCAGTTGAACAACAGAAAATTCCTTAATGGCAAAGGTGCGGGGTAGTTATAGTACATGTCAATGACCATCAAGATACACGGAGTTAATGCCTTAAGAATCTGGAGTTCGGTGGAAATAGTGATTTTGGAAACGTCTTGGAAGAAACATTGCGGTCGTGTGTCTGAAGAACCTTCTTCAGATCATCTTGAAGTCGCTCACTGGACTTGATCAAGCCTTCCCAGTGACGTGTCATAGTCGCACGGTGCTTAGAATAACTATCCTCCAGAACTATGAACGAGTTGTATTGTGTTGCGCTGGTTGACCATAGTAGAATGAACTCTGGTCAGCAACCTATGTCTGGAATGAATCACTCACTATGCATCGGCCAACGCGTGCAAGTCTTCAGCTGCGTCACGCAGGAGCTCCTCTCTCCCGGCGCGAACTTCATTGCTGACGCTTTTGAACTTGTTCGCGATGCCCTTCACTATAACCTAGGCACAAGTCAGACAATGAGGGAGTCCAGTCACAAAATTTGAGCTTCACAGTCTGGATGTCACTCAGTACCTGTAAAATAAATGAATAACGTGGCAAAAACTTGAGCAGATTTTCCTTACATCCACTATATCCTGGATATCATTACTCTCATCGGACCTGATGTTACAGCGACTGTTCTCCCTTGGCGGCTTCTTTGCACGTTGCTCTTGTGGACTTTGGACTGGTAAAAAAAGCGCGTCAGAAGTCTCAAAATGTCACTCATCCCTGTACTGACCAGACATCTGTTTGATATGGTGGGCACTCGTTTTCAGAGTGAAAGGGGACAACGAATACGGCAACCCGTCATTTTCAAATCGTACCCGATTGGAAGATGGCTTCCGCGCAGCATAAGATGATTCAAACTCGTCATCAGAAACAAGTGAGACGACACGGTCTAAAACCGGTCCCTTCGGCGGGCGGGTGTTGGTTTCGGAGATACCGTTTCCAAATGCACCATGGTTGTTAGATCGAATACTAGACTTCAAGTATGCCATCGTGGGGGTCTCGACTAGCATCATCGGAATTAGGCCGGGTCACCAGTGGTGATGCAAACGAAACCACCGATTGCCTCCGACGAACCAGAACGGAAGGTGAGGGCATCACATCACAAGGCTCAGCCAAAGGATCTTCGGCATCGTTTGTTCTGACGCAGGTGGGGGAAATATTCGATGCTGAAAGCCGCTCTCGTCGCTCTTTGTTACGAGAGAGAATAGGCAGGAGGGAAGGATCCTGGGACATGATGACATCGGTGGTAACATCGGTGGAAGACTTTGAGACCCCGATACATGTCCCATGGCTATCTTGACGTCCGGTGACGTGTAAGGCAACTGGAACTGCAGCAGACGTCTCAAAGCTCTCTACAGGATCTGGGCCTTTACTCGGGAGCATTCCGACATCCTTGGCCACACCACGGTCCTTTGCTGAGTCGCAGTAATTTTTCACTGGAGTCGAGTCTAGTGTGAGGTCGATACAGATAGGGGGTTTAAGTGGGGTCGACTGTAAGGGAGGGATATCCGAGGAAGCAGGCTGCAAAATGCTTAGCTAACAGAATATAACAAAAAGTATCACATACAAGAATAGGATCCTCGCTTCCTTTCAATGATACTGAGTAGTCAATAAAATCGCCGAAGAGCGCTTCATCCACCTCTCCCGATACGATATCCTGAATTGGCTCTATTGGATCCTCGCCTGTGGGACTGACACCCAAAGATTTTACTTCGTCGGCTGGTGCATGTTGCGCAATGAATACCGGGTCCTCCCAAGGCGCCTTCTTCGGTTTGGGAGTACGAGCACGCTTTGTAGGTGATGGCTTCGTTTCGGTTATCTGAAATGATGTCAGTTTTTGGCGCGTTAGTGACACATTGGATAGATCGATGTACCACTGCATTGCTGTTTCCAGTCTTGGTCTTGGTGCTCGAGCCCAATTGTTCCATGTCCATCTTGTATGCAATAAGGGGAGTGGATGATCAAAGGCAGAAGCGACAAACCTTATTGGCTTGCTCTCTTAATGCCGATTCCGGTTTAAGGAACACAGTGGAACCGCTAGTTGCATCGTTGCAGAAGGGTTCCACTTTCGTAATTTGATCAACTGGTTCCAATGCAGCGAGTATCCCGGTGTTAGTTTCTGGAGGCTGGAGTTTCCGGTTGATCTCTTTGGACGACTCGAACTCAGGCGGCTTCTCGTTCCTACGTCGCATAACGCTCGTGCGGGTTTCTCTCCCAGAAATCGGGGTTGGAACCTTCTTCTGGGCCGGTTTCGAGGCCCTGACTGCCTTAGCTCGCGCATTCGTCTTCTTTTTCAAAGCTGCTCCAGGAACTTCATCAAAATCTACGTTTTCCGGCAGAATAGGTGACAGCGTTTTCCCTTTCTTTCCGTACTTTCTAGGAGCCTTCGCAACATTTATCGATATCGCTGATGGTTCGAAAGGGTCTGGAAGTATACTTGCTGCACGCTTGATAGAAATGTTGCCACTAGTAGTGTTACGGGCCTTCTTCTTAGGCAGATGGCTGTCCTCTGGAACCTTGAGTGCTTCCGTGGGGGAATTTGCGTCATCCCATTTGCGTCGAGTGCCAGCCAGCTTCGCTGGTATATTGGCAACATCTGCGGGTTTCGAAGGGGCAATACGCCTCGCAGTTCTTTTGCCTGTTACCAGATTCTTCTTCATAGGAGAAGTGGATATGATTCCGTGAGTCAGCTCCGCGTCGGGTATGGTCTTACATGGCGGCACTTGAACATAAGCAGAAGCATCCTTCAAGAAAGCATCGTGATCGAAATGTTTTCTGGCGATATCATCGATTGCTCCTGGGTGACTGGCCTCGTTGCTGGATGGCGTACACGGCCTCTTGACTTCCAGCGGAATGTTTTCTGGATGATTTGTGGCGATAGTGCTAGAAGACCGCAGGGTGGAGGAATGCCTGTCATCGATGCGGCGTGTCTTGCTAACTGTCTCTACGTTAATATCTGGCTTGGCGGGTATCGTTGTCATCTGAGCGGCCTTGGGCGTGGCTCGTATCTCGTCTTCGTCGGAATCCACGATCAGCCTTCGCTTGGCGATGCGTTTGGTCGGAGGTGCTGGTTGAAAGCTGTTGCTTTTGGCGCTAAGACTGAGATTTGGTTCGGCTTTGACAATTTGTGCCGGATGGACTATGTGATGAACGTCTGCGACAGGTTTGGGGAGTTCGTCATCGGATATTTCGGAGAGCTCGTCATCGCTTTCGCCAAACACTGAGACGTGTATTGCACTAGGAGGGTCGTCTTTTGCAGGACTTTTGCGAGGCGGAGTAACCGGAAGAGGTACAACTACTTTTTTCGCGGACTTGGATACAGGCCGAGGTTTTGCGACAGTCTTTGGGGCACGTTCGACGCTAGCATCATTTTTAGACTCCTGAACCTCAGGCTCTTTGACCGGCATTCGGGGTGGCGCCTGCGACGTGGATTCTTGCTCGAAATGGGCGGTGTTGGATCGTGCATCATCCAGGAAGTTGGTTTCGTACACTGTCGGCTCTAAGGTTAGTATTTGACATGGAATGAACCTAGGAAGTTCACCATTTTCAACATGTTTGACTTTATCCTGCAACGTGCAGAATTATCAGTACGAGGGTTGAGAATTAAATTGGCGCAACAACCTCATACTGTGACCCCTGTGGTGGTGGTGAAGAGTCGCCCGAAAGTCTGATGCCATGTGCGAGACCAACGCTTCGTCGCTTGTTACCTTGTTTTGGAGGATTTTCACCTAAGAAATTAAGCTTGACCTGTTTGAAGCTGTTAGTGAAGTTATTCATTGATAATCGACTTGCACTCACTATACCGCGCCTCCGTAAAGCCTCCATGAGCCTGCTCAAATCCTCCCGTTGAATTTCGAATTTCAAGTACAGCTTCTGACCTGCCGGGATGTCCAACGATACGTCTCCAATACTCGGTGAAGTTTTTAAATCGACATGAACAATGACTTTGCTGTGCGGTGGCACCTTGGACACGTCGATCGTGACAGAATGGATATGATCATAGGAGATCTTTAAGCTGTCGCAGACATCATCCTGGCAAAAATCTTCAACGAGGGCCACGACAATGTGGTAAATATGTTCACCTGCTGAACAATGTTGACAAGGAAAAATTCTCTATCCAGGTGCAAGCGGTCAAATGCAGTCGGTTGAGGATAAAGTTTGCCGCATACATCGACCTCGTCCAAGGCAAATGATTGAGGGCTGCCTCAAGGAGTGAATTAGTCTGGTCTGCATCAACGAATCAAAAAATACTCACAACATGATGTCGCTCCTGGCCAAAGCGTCCATGATCTTCATTACCGTATCCTCCCAGTGCGAGCTGCTGATGTATTGAAGGAGATTGACTAGTTCAGAACTGCAGCTGAAATGCTTCTTGGAACCAAAAAGGTCGTTGATGAACTCTGTCCGTTTCACTGTCCCTTTCTCGGTTTGGTTCGTTATTGGAATCAACCATCCCACTATATCCAGAAGGGCCTCGATTACAAGGTAGTCTAAGTAGAGTTAGACAAACCTCCTACAAGAGAACTCCATGCAAACTCACCCTTGGACTGTGAGATTGCGATACCGATAAGCGACCTATGAACTATGAGATTATAATTGAATCAAAAACTAAAACAAATTTACCCTCCAAGAACAGCATGATCGCGCAGTCTGCGTTGATTGCCTGGATGTCCGCTAAGTGTCTCGTGTAACAGAGAATATGCCTATCGATAGAGTCATCATGAATTATATGATAAATGAGCGCATATATCCTGCTATCAGATGGCAAGTACTCACCGTTCTTTGTGTTCGTGGTAAAAGTATCAAGGAGGCATCCTGGTAAAAGAAAAGTGTGCATATAGTCGGATAAAAAGCTAGTGCAACGGTTTCCTTGGTCATATCTGCCAAGTTCGGGGCTCAGACAGATACTTAATAGAAAGAACTTCCAGATATAATCATACCATCACTGCATTTATCAAGATAATCCTAGATTTTATGCGGATAAGTCTGGTTATGATACTGCAAGAAGGAAGGTCATACCAGGACACCTGATAAAACCGCAACCGCAATGTCATTCCACCAGGTGCTTAGTTGAATATTTTGAGAATTCAGAGCGTTTCTTAGTTTTTCATCGACTACTTTGCGAAGGACAGCAGAGGAAAGCTGGAGTGCAGGTCCGGGAACGGCAGCATACAAGGGAACTAAAGGTCGGCGGAGGATGGAACGAAGTTTTGATATTGATTGTGAGGAAGGAGACGACGATTTCTTAGATTATTTTTAAGCGCCCGTTTTCAATATAAAGTTGATTGCTCACCAAAAGAATAAGGTAGGAAGTAAACTGGCTGGCAACGTCGCCGACGCGCTTGTCGATTCCGTTTTGTTTGACTGCAGCTTTGAGCGCCTCTACAGCCCTATCAATCTCTGTCATTCAGGCAGGAGTAGTTCGGAGTAATATGAGGACAGGTGCGATCCTTGTTCTGCTGCCCTTGCGCGGGTTTACGGTGGGAGATGCAGAGCCGCACCGAGTAAAGCTTCGCGTCATAAGATTAATAATCACGTGATAGTGTATTTCCATCATGTGATTGATGCGGAGTTTCAATTCGATTAATATTGTCGCGTACTCGAAGGTATTTCAACTTTCAAGCCAACTGCCAACTCAATTCTTGGTCCCCTTCTTGTGCGCCTTCCTGTAATACCGATTTTGTGCACGCCGCCCTCCTGCGCTACCTAAAAGCTGGAATTCAACCGAAACAATCAATGGAATCTATCAAGGAGGAAGTTGCACCACTATCACTCCTGCCGGAGTCATGGGAGGTACCTGTTGTCTCACCCGCCCTTCGTATCAAGACGCCATTGTCGAACGTCCAACTCAAGCAATCCAGGTACGATGATATCTGGAGTGAGGATGTGCACGCTGCATTCATGGAAGGTAGGGAGCGCATCCGTCGCCGAAGTTGACATTCCTGTAGAATCGTAGCTGAGAGTATATTCAAGCCATCGCCATCTACCCGCCAATGGGCAAGCGGCGACTCAGATACGTACGTATATTAAAAGAAGATCAAGATGACACTGCAGCGTCATCCCGCCTCGTCAAGTCGTTCGGTCGGTGTCAACTCATTCAGTCGTACATTCTAGAGAAAACTGGCAAGAATCGTACTCGAAAGCAAGTATCAAGTCATCTTCAAAGACTGAAGAAAAAGTACAAGAACGATTCAACCAGTCTGTTGTCTCAATATCGGCATGCTTTCCCACTGAATTGTACTTCGTAGAGCGCGCGTTGTTCTTGGAGAGCTCGCAGCTAACTCAGGAGCATTCTGATCGAGAAGAATCAGCACCTTCCTCTGGAGGAATTCAAACAGATCCTTTCCTGCCTCTGTCTTTGTTATCTTGTCAGGTTTCACCCTTCAGTGGCATCGTCCGGGATGAAGAACAAAAGTCGGGTGCCACGTCTGCTAATTCTGCCAACGGATCCTATCTCACATACTATCACGCCGACAACAGACGACATTCCTCGTTTGGTGAACAAGAGAAGGTATCCAACTCCTCGATGGTTTCTCAGGTCAGACCGGTTTTACCAATGGGGATTCCAACAGAAGAAGAATCAGTCAGCACCGGCTCTGAGTTCTCCTTGTCCTTGAAACAACTCGGTGAGAAGCTGGCCCCATTGAACCAGCAATCGGAAGGGCCCACCATCGTCTACTCTTCCGAAGTTCATTGCTCTACCGCATGTCAGGTTGCGCATCAGGTTGTCACTCACGATGGTTCTAGTCTTACTATGATGGACTTTCCCTGCAGCTATCCATTGACTCCAGTAGACCAACTCCTTCACACTCCTTTGCAACCTCCGCAGATTATGCGTCTCGAAAAACGATGGGTCGTTCCGGAGAATGTCGACGGAGGCTGGAACTGGCCGATCAATGCCCATACAACTGGCGAACCTCTGGAGTCAGACTCGTATGCACCCCATGCGCATACTGCAGAACACTTGCCGTTACTCTTGGATAATCGTAGCGAGCGTTCCTTCAACATGAACTTCATGGGCGACTTTCACCCGGAGAGCGAGAACCGGCAACATACTCGGAGGCTATCCTACTCTTATGCCTACAATACTTCTTCCTCGTATTCTCAGGACTTATTTTCGCAAGGATTTCTGCACGCTCAGCCGACATACCCTCGATTTCTTCCTGACCCGTGCGCACATACGGAGGAAACACTTGCGATACCTCTCGTTAAACCCATTCCCCTGTATCCCGCTGCGTATACGCATTCAGAAGATCATACACTGGATCTGTCACCTGTTACCGCTTTGTAACGCACCAGCAGCTTTTGTTTGTTTTATTCGTCACTGTTTTTACGATCACCCAGACACCATAGCATAACTCGCAAACATCTCATCAGCACATTAATATCACACTCCTGTTGTAGTACCTTCGGACAGCTTGTGGGCAATAGTAACTAAGTAAATAGTATGAGCATGTCATCCTGAACTGGACAATCCATCTATCATCGACGTTCCTCCCAGAGTTGGCTCAGAGTCAGGCATAAGCTGAGTATACCACTACGTGCTCTACTAGACGACTTGTTGCATGTAGCCTTTTAAGTAACTTTGGTCGTCAATTTAGCAAGGTCTAACGCCCATTTGACCACCCACAAGCCGTTGACCTTCTATTGGCAAGGAAGGTAAATGTGATAAGTAATATCGACGTCCCTTAATACGGTAATCACCCGGCGCGTGGGCAAACTGTTTTCGCATACATAACTAGCACACCCACTCTGTGGCACGCCGTTTAACGAGTGTACAACTTTAAGGAAGAGGGACTTGAACGTGTCTGTCACAAGGTTTCCATTGTCTGCTAATAGACAGCATGGAGTCGCGCCAGAGTTCGAAGTTCACCTTGGCGACCTTTCGAGTCAAGGTAAGACTCCAAGATGTTTGTCCGTCTTTTTCTAACCAATTATAGTCCCCAAGGATCAAAAGGAAGTACCTGCGCAAGGTTATTTGAAATTTTCGCTCCTCCACTCTTTGACTGACGTCGTGCAGTACTCATGGCTCCCTGATGTATTGCGCTTAAAAGGCAGCGTATGTGTTGTTCGCAGGACAAAACGTAGTGACTAAAATGCTCGCGATATAGATCATCGGTCGTATAATTGGTCCAGTCTTGACTGTCACCATATTTGCCGCATTGGTTGCCTATGCGTGGTCCAAAGGGAAGAGAGTGGTCTTGACAAATTCGGTCGTCCCACTGTTGTCTGTGGTGGTAAGCAACAGCGATTATCGCCAACCCATGTGTATGCTGACATGTCACAATCCCTAGGTTGGTTTGATTCTCGTATTTAGGTAAGTTATATACGTAGTCCAGGACATTGACCAGCTCATAGCTCTCTACAGAAATAGGTGCGTAAAACATGAAGTTACCAAGAATAGTATTTAATCTTGGCTTAGCACTTCATACGACCGTTTCTGGGAGGGTCGAAAGTGTTTTTCGTCCATCACGTCTAACGTAGGGGCTCCAATAATAGCCTGTATTCAGCTTCATTGAGTCTTCTTTAGGTCCGCAATTTGTCTCGCATGATATGGATTCATGTCTCGCTACCTCCCGCCGAAGATCACCCCGCCCACGTTCTCGGAAAAACACCGACATCTGCGCTCACCACCGCTCAACTCAAGCATCAGAAGATAGAAGTTCTGCAATTTTGCGTCGCTTTCGTGTTTGCTGTCAAGCACTACCTTCGCAATGAAGATGGGCCTGATTACGATGATTATACCGGCATTCTTCCCGCATCTTTCACGCGAATTCACGACCTTGGTTACACCACGGCTCAAGGCAAATCCTCTCCTACTTCCTACGACGCTGCCTCGACAACTTCGGATAGTATACACAACAACACTGATGCCACCAAGAGGATTCGTCGGAAGCGTAGCAAGAAACTACTTGTTGGACATACCGCCGCGTCGACTTCAACTACTCCGCTGCTTTCGAACTCTCATCAAACTGTTGAGTTCCACCCCTACGCTGATCGAATGACGATGCCATTTCCCCTCCTGTTGGTAGTAAAACTTAATGCACCGCACTGCAACTGACCAGTAATAACAGTATCGCTCATGAGCTGTCTAGTGCCATCTTCAGGTTTAAGCGGGAAGGTTTGCTTGAAACAGTTGGTCCGGCAGGTAAGATACCCAGACACGATTCTTAGTCTTCGCGCCTAATTTCGTGACGATACTCAGGTATGAATGCCATGAGTGGGTTGTAAGTCAGATGTGTTAGTCCACTGAAAACCATCTTATCCTTGCTCAGGGTGCAGTCAATGGTCGATCAAATGACTTCGATGGAGAGGGTGGCGAATACCCCTATACCCGCGCCTTGTGAGTTCAATCTTGATTGTCATATTCAACTATTACTAATAGTTGCTCTAGACGGAATTCATCTAAAGCAATGTGTAACCTTATACCTGTTTGCCCTGCCATTGACCCTCATCAATGACCTCGGCTGGAGCACGATTCCCATCGTCACTGTAGTTGCTTTTACATTGATGGGCATCGAGGGTATCGCAGATGAGATCGAGATGCCTTTTGGTAAGTGTTCTACGCGGACAAATGATTATGTTGCTGAAAACGGCATTAGGATATGACTCGCACGACCTGCCTCTTGGTGCGTTTCGGTGCAACGCCGCACTTATTATTATTAACTTTGCATACAGACACTTACTGTGACTGACTTGAGAGAGGAAATTGAGTAAGTCTCGTGTCTTGATCTCATGTTCCAATTACCACTTTTTGGGCAGGTTTATGATCGAAAGACTTCCGGAAGGTGGACACGGCGGACATGGTTATGACGACGGCGAGGGCGACGACTAAACATCTTAGGCAGTAGCATGGGATTTCACACTTTTTCGTGTTTTAAATCATTACCATCAAAGACAGTTCTAGGAATATCTAGCTAAACTCGGGTGTACAAAACTCTCCTGGTCCATATGGCTAGTAACGAATGATCAATGACATAATGTTGCTCGTACGAGGAAAACTTACTTTCGATGTGAGCGAGGTGAGTCCAGCAGAGTTTTCGCTCGTCTTTCGCCCACTTTGTGGTCCCGGTCTAGGTTTTTGGCCCTTTGCGAAAGACTCTAAGACTTTCTTTGTGGTTGCCGGGGTCAGATCCTCCTGGACTGGGTTCAGCTCACATCTTGCGAGGAGTGAGAAAGCGACGAACGTAGAAATCATCATTCACGACCATCATAGGTGCATTACTGCAAGCACCTTGACATTCAACTTCAACAACTGTGAATTTACCATCACCTGTCGTGGCTCCTGGAGTTATTCCACCCAGTTGACTGCAAACTGTGTTCAAAATCTCCGTGGAACCCCTCAGCATGCACGGTGTGGTGGTACAGACTTGCACGAAATTCTCCCCAATCGGTTCACTAAGCCAATACAGTAGTCAGTAGAACAGACCTCTAATGAGTGCCGCGTGGTTGACGCACCGGTTGAACATGGTATAGAAGGTCGCGACCTCGTACACCCGCATTGGTTGCATCTCGAGCAGCTTTGCAACATAGTTCATAACACTAATGCTCGTCCACCCCTTGTTCTGCCGTTGCCCGATGTCAAGGAGAGGAATGACCGCAGCCTTCTTATATTGTGGAGGATATCTAGAGATGATCTCTTCAGCCCTTTTCATGTTATCCGCTGTGAATACGAAGGGTATCTACTCCGAGAAGGATTGGATTTTTAGTAAACTATAGAGGCCGTTAACTAGGAACACATACCTTCGGATTGTTGTACTCCGTGTCGCGGTGCTGTCCGCATTTAATAACTTTTCAGTTCTAAATGGAAGATTCACCTACTACGAACAATGCATCTGAGCGGCGCGCGCATGAGTTTGAGAAGGTTCTCCCCAAAGTTGAAGGAGTTGAAGCTGCTGAACGCCTCAATAAAGTGGTTACGAGCATTGTCTGAGTCACCAGCGAACGGGTTCGTCGGGATGAGAGACCTGAAATTCACACGATCTGGACTGGATACAGCATATTTATGTACATAATAACCCATGTTAAGTATATCGCCCCTATTTTATTTTCTCCACCACCATGGCCACCATAGTCTTCCATGACAGCGTGCCCGGTGTCTCTGAACCACCTCCCTCATATGATGCGTCCATATCAAAACATCCCATCCAGTCTAAACAATCAGTATTTTCACTCCTACAATTCAAGCAAAAACGCCACCAAGCTTCAGTTTTATCTTGTGTCTATGAAATTGTCTCCTCTTCTGATCTCCCTGTCGCCTCAATGATCAAATCCTGTGCTGCTACTCTCCCAGGAGTAAAATTCTCCAAGCTGCTTCAAAAATGCAATATCGAGAACCTCACTGCACTTTATTGGGCGATTATAAATAACGGGCGAGAAGCCCTTTTAGAGTTCGTTAGATTCATCCCCAAATTCTCACATGCTTGCTCTTCCGACTTGCGTCTTGCATGCATGGCAGTGAACGACAATGATTCGTTTATGCTACTGCATTTGGGGGATATTAATGGTGAGTGCAGGTATATAATGTCCTGGGAGAGCGTCATTTAACTTGTTGTATACTATTAGCCAAGGATACGTCTTTGAGAGGCATATTGGGTTGTCCACAAGATGATATTCAAGTCCATGAAGTGGATTGGGCAGGCCACAATGAAAACAAGTTCTTTGTTCACTTCGTCTTTAGGATGTTCCAGAAACGTTTGCGTATTGCAAAGAAATTGGAAGCAGAATTTGTTGCACAGGGTATGTGGTCCATGATTTTGCTTGCTCCTCATGCTGATATAAACAACTCATTTCCCAAAGGGCGTATATGGGTACTGCGCTTTGATATGAAGCAGACAGGGGAATGGTCTATTGAGCATGCTCTTTCTGAAAATAGCTCGCCAGTGCGTACAACTACCGAACTTGAGATTCAGGCCAACAAACCACCATCTGGCTCGGATGCCCTGAAACCTCCACGCTTTCATACAAATAAATCGTTCATGCTTGTACCTGAGGGGTAGGTCTTCCTATTCATTTGAAGTCAAGGCATACTGAAGTTTACTATTATTCATACTATGTGACTACTGTCTTCACTTCCTTGCTCTGGCTGATATGCAGAACATCACATGATGACTATCGCAAGGTTGGTGACGATGATGCTAGATACTCGATTACATGGACATTGAAGGATTGGCCAATGCAAGAGTAAGTGTTCTTCCTTAGTCTTACTTGCTCGAGCGCCATCTGTTTACATTGTTGTGATTTACGAGTATCCTCGAACTCAGGCTGACTCAGACTGTTTTGCTTTAGAAATACTCCTTACGTAGACCGCCATGGCACCCTAATTGCAGGGCTTACGATAACAATACGATGCTATGCCAGGTAGGCAAATGCATGCCAAACTCCCAGCTACTGAATTCAAGGCCATACCTGCAGTACATTGTAGGCAGAGCGCGAGATGTACTACAGGCTTTCTACAACTTGAATGTCTAAGTTGGAGGCCGTCCTCTCAATTCACTTGTCAAAATTTTGCGAAGTTGTAGTAGGCCTAGTTGGTTGAATTTACAAGTGTCAGGATGCGTAGAAAAATGAAAGGAACGAACCTGATCCTCGGCGATATACACATAAACCTCCTTCACCCCCTTCTCTGTCACAGGTTTAACAAGTAACCCCGACGACCCACCATAATACTGGTCGTCAATCCCAAACCTAGCTTCGTCCTCGGGGAACATCACAAATTGAGGCCTGCGCATTCACACATACATCACTCCACATCGTCCAAACGAGGAAAAAAAACATATCAGAAGATGGGAACCCCACTCTCACTCGTGTCCCTAAACGCAGTATACCACACGGGAAGCATCAATCACCTCAACCTCAAATATCCCTCACTAAACTCTTGTAAGGCTCCTCAAGAAGGTAAGGTTCTTGGCGCTTCATGTCGATATGCGCGTGTGCGCGGAAGAAGCGGAGAATGCGCCCACTACGTACCAGCGCACTAACATTTCTGGTTCGGGGTTTCCGAAAAAGCCGCCGACATCGGCTGTGAGCAAGTGGATGATTAGAAATAAGGGGGATGAGGAGAGGAAGAGAAAGAACTTACACGCAGCAAAAGGCATCCCCCCGACCCCATTCGTAAGCACCATCTTAATCCCACAGCCATATGCTCCCACGTACCAAGATTATCGCCCGTCCACATCGCTGAGAACCGGCATAGAAGGCGCGGGTGAGGACGAATGGGCATCGTGTGGGGTCCGCGCGCGCTTCTGCTGCTTGGAATGTGTGATTTGCCTGTAGGGAATTAGCGATAAGCTTGACTGACAGACTCGGAAAGAAGATGGGGACATATGAAGAGCATTTCATTGATGTTGTGCACATCTCTATGCTCATCTTTCGACATCGTGATTTCTGTTTCGTCAAACACTGACGGCTGGCATTTCGTGGTCGTCGATAAATAAGTAAGCTGGTCCAACATCAAAGAAAACGTACTTCATTCATATCGTTCCAAATACAGTGCTTTCCATCCAACTCCACTGACTGTTAATAAGTGTGAAAATTGGCTCAATACATACAAAGTGATCATTTTCAGAACCGTTTGGATCTTGAGAAGAGCCCTTTTGCGTGAGCTCAACACAACTCTTACTGCTTTATCATGTGACTAAACTGTTCACAGCCGATGAGGCCTGAGGTTGTGAAAGCTCTGGGTGATGCTTGGCTTTCGGTTAAAGCCATCTCTGCCAATTACTGGCATTATATTCAAAGTAGCACAAATCTGCAACATTTGTGCCCTGAATCTACTGTACTTGACTCCATTTGTAGGCGACGACGCACCAACAAGAAATTTTCAGAGACCAATGTCTCGTATTCATCCACTATCAGACATCCACCATTGACCTTCGCCATTTTGAGGTCAATTCATCGACCTTCAGAAGTACCCCTGCTGCAGCCCTGCGCAGTCGGACCTCATGCCCTCCCCCGCCACCTTCTACCAGAGTGCCTTTCTCAAGTAGCTCAAAAATCCTCCCAGCCCACTCTCCGGCACCTAACAGTAGTGTGGTGTACTCAAGACCGAGCGAGCGTCCCCCATCGAGCTCGAGACAACCATCCAGGACAATTAAGGAAAGTTCAAGAGCAGCTGTGAGCACCGAAGCTTCCTTGCCCCGGGCTTCGCCAGTCGGTCCAGTCGAGTCTGTGTCACCGCTGATAGCCCTTGAGATTGGTCGAGTTCCCAAGGCAACAGCGAGCTCCAATGCACCTGGTGCAATGATAAACAACCATTGCGGAGCGTTCTGTGCTGCATGCACCAACAACGCCAGAGAGCCCATGAATTGTGACAGAACAACAGCGTTGAGGACAAGACCCGTGCCAGCACCGTGATACCGATACAGAGCATCACGGTGCGCTGTTCTCTCCTCGCGTGTCTGCTCGTTGCGAAGAAATGCCCAGAAACGGTTAATAAACGGCATAATGAAGTATTCGGCTGCGACGTTTATGAATGCAGTTCGACGGGGTTGTGAAATATGGCCTGGTAAGAGAGCTCGACTTGGCCTTTCTGCAGGCGACACTTCAGCGACTTTAGGAGATTTCCTTATGCGCAACTGGCGTTCTCGTGCAAATTCCGGAATTTTGTCGGCGGTAGCTTCCTTGCCTCTGTCAATTGCTGCCCGCGTGACACCTTCAAGCAACCCTTGAACAGCTCCGTTGGCTTGATCATCGGCAGTGAGATATTTCTGATGAAGGGCAGGAGGCAAAGCTTTGCTAGGAAATGCGGTACGCTGACTGTTAAGAGGCTGCAAGCTTGCAGAATGGACAGGGAGAGACGCCAGTTCTCGTGCTCCAAGCACAAGGGCGTTGAGTATGACAAAGCGTTGCTCTGTAGAATACTGATTGCTGAAGAATTCTTCGATGATGCACCTGTGGGGAATTTCATTGTACGTATCTGTCAACATTGGCTTTCAATGAAACTTACGCAGCAGATATTCGAGGGCAGCAGGCTACCAGAGCATTGATGGCACGCTGACGCTTGTTCTCGAAGCCATCAATCTCGAAGTTATCGTTCAGCGAAATAAATCCATAGACCAAATTAGCAGCGTTCTCCTCTGCACAGCGATCAGTTGTTGAAGTATGCATGTGATGTCATGCCGAACCCACCGAGTTCAGTTCCATACTCCCTCTTCTTCCTGATCAGCTCTTCTGCAACGTTAAGTGCCATCTCGATTTTGTCGGCTTCTTGACTCTCTTCGCCGGGCTTCGCTCTCGCGTTCCGTACCATCTCGCCTAGCTGTGCAAGGTACACGGGTCGTGGAATTTTCTTGACTCCAACACGTAAAGTAGGATCTTTCTCCATTTCGTCGAGCTCAGAGGGCGTGGGTGACGCGGAACGGGAGGAAGTTGGCGATGCGTAGCCGGTAAGTGAGTCGTCCGAGTCGTAGCCGGACGCGACACTAGCCTTTGTGAGCCTCGACGCTGATATTTTAGTACCTTCTAGGACACCAGTAGTGATAATCTCTTCTGTTGGAGTGCTCTGTCCCATGGCTGGCGCCAATCCATCCTCTGCATAAGGGTCAAAATCAATGTCTCTAGCCGAACAAAGTGCTCTTAGATCTCTTGTCCAAGGCTTCCCGTCGGCATCTCCATCCCAGTCTCCGAAATCCAAGTTCTTGCCTGCACGCGTTGCAACCACTTCAGCTGCAAGCATCCCACATCGGCGAATGTTATGATCTAGATGACTGAGATATTGACCAACTGCTGTGATGAAGCTAGGCGAAAGCGCAGTTGATACCACATATTCTGATTGACGAGGGAAGTACGATACAATGAGAAGTAGCAGTGATGTAACATCTAATCCATGTGGTGTGATTAGTAACCAAATTCGACTTTGCAACAAGATAAACCCACAATGATGTCGCGACAACAGTGAATGCTTGACGTGCTCTGGAGCGCACCAGATTTCCAAAGTGCGTGACAATAATGCCCGGAGGGCTGGAGCATCACGGTCGGCATGCATCCACAAGAATCTGATTAGACTACCAACCTTCATGGTTCATTGGACCAGTCTTTGTACCGGCTGCCCAGCTGACGAAAATCCTGGCGTGGCTCTCTTTCCAATCGCGTGATAACACAACGCCTAATATCGCATTCCACACGTCTGATTCTGGCTGGAGAGTTCCAAACATGGCACGAAGCAATAGAGATTCTTGCACAACAACGCCTCTATCTTGTGCGGTAACGCTTAAGTTACTAGGTAACTGCACCAGAGAAGAACACAATGACGCGAATATGGTCTGTTGGGCAACCGTGGATGGGAGATAAACGAGTGCGTTTGTCCAGAACTTGGAGTAGCTGTGATCACCGTCCTGTCTGAACTTCGCGCGGATTGTGACTAGTGTGGAACGAAAGAAGGACGGTTGGGAGAGTGGTAAAAACGATAATGATGGGAACACGCCGACATTCACGAGTTTCATCAGAAGCTGTGTGACAGACATTATCCTATCTGAACATACGTTATACGTAAATCAGATATAAAATGAATAAACACACCCTGCGATGGGGAACGAGAAAGAGTGGATATTAAACGCTCCGTGCCGCTGCTGAGGCCGTTGAAGTAGGTTGCGAGTTCAAGTTCTGGGGGTAAGACTCGCGTGCCAACTGCATTGGCAGCTTTTAATGGGACTGCGAAAACGTTTCTGAGACAGTCATCCCATTTGACCGAATTCCTGGCTGATAAATCGCTGCCAGCGAAAGCAGCGGTATGAAGTCTGTCAATAGGATACTGAGTCGACAACTTGGCTAACAATCTAATAGATTCCTCTGTGAGCACTGAAGAGAGCAATGTGGAGTAAGCAATGAGCACCACATCCCCTGCAGCAGATAGTGCAAAAGAAAATGCATCGGGGCAAAAATATTGATCAGCGAGGGGCAGACGACCTTCTTCAGCAAGGACTGTCGACCACGTAGGTAATACTTGTTCAATTAACACTCTTTGAAGCTGAGGAAAGACTTTTACGATATCAAGGACTCGCGATCCTTGGAGTGGCTCGAGATTGAACCTGCGATATTGCGGTGGAAGAAGGCCTATGTAGTCCAAAGGCCGACAAAGTAGCGATAAAAGAATGTGAAGGTCAGTTATAGGAGACTGCAGGCTATCCACTACAGATTTTATCTGTGTGAGGGTGTGGTCCTCCATAATGATCATATAACATGAAGTCGGAGACTAACAATCACTGACTTAGTCAGCAGCCTCACAATTCAATACAAGTAAATACTTAGAGATCTAAGTCACGTGCAGCCTCACAATAGTATTGACTCTTGAGGCCTTCACCCGTCATCATGTCGTATAGTGATTCCTACCTCTCAAATTTCTCAGCACTCTATCATGCTCTTTGGCAGAAGCAAGATCACTCCGTCGTGAGGCAAGGATTGAAGTGTAGTGTTATGGATTTTGAAGGTTACGACAAATCAGCCTATTTCTGTTCTTGGTACTTGTGATGTATACTAAGCAGTCTTAAACAGGATGCACCCGTTCATCTTCGACGCCGTTGAACTATCTCGTGGCAATGTTATGTCGTGGGACACGCGCATGGAGTCATATGCCATGCAGCTGAATGACACGGATGACGACGTGCACTTCGAACAGCACATATCAACAATCGGGTTTCCCCTGTGGAAGAACTCGTTGATAAGCCTCTCACGGTGCATTGCCGACTTGGCGCACCTCGCACAAAGACCCTGGCGCCAAATTGGTTCCGACTGTGTAGATCAGGTGACGATGGGGCTTTGGGGTACGTTCATACGGACGCCGGGAGCTCATGTGCTTGGAGATATGATGAGTGAGCAACCGATTGGGCCTACTGGGCTCCACAGATTTCTTAAGGGTATTAATTCAAACTTGTACCTTAGATCGCCTGCTATACAAGGTGTGATGAAAAATGTGGGTTCATCTTTCAACGGACCTTGGTTATCGACGAAAAAGAAGTAAAGCCTTAAAAATGCAGAATAATATGCGGCAATAATATCTCGAATAAAACGTGACTGTGAAAAACAAGCAGCCCACTCAAGCCTTTTCATCGCCCTCTGTAACATTTTTCATACTTTCCCATACATCCTCTCCTTCCTGTTCATCCTCATTCACCGGAAGAGTATCTTGCTCTTGGTCCCAAACAACAGCCGTCGGTATCGTCGTCATGAAAATGCGCTCCAAAACCGTGCCCTTCTTGTCAAGGTGTTGCCCAACTTTATCAGGAAGTTGGACAACGCTATGTATGCGTATATATCGATCTATCGATGCTGAAGCTAAGTGAGTTGTGGATGCAGTCAGTGAGATGGCAGTGCCTGATAGGCCTGATTACCAAAAATCAATCAACGAGAAGGAGATATATGATCAGCACGGCCGACCTTTGTACCCATATGAGATACTTCCATTCCGTAAATCAACCGCGTACACATTTGAGCCATAGTCTGAGATGAAGGCCTCACTGATCGTGAGTGGTCAGTAAAGCAAACCGGAGTCTAGATCAAAGAAACACTGACTGTTCTGAGGATCCCTTCTCTACTGTTCTTACACCACCGACCTTACCTATTCCTTTAAACACAGCGACAGGTCGCCGCCCAGCACGAGTATCGTAACGACGCATGTCACCGAGACGGGTGCCTGCAAGAATGTGCTGTTGGCTCGCAGACGTTGAAGGCGATAGGAAGGTTAAACATGTATTGTGGACGGGCTGCCGTAGTCCAAGAAAATCGTTTGGGACATTTTTGGCGCGCCAAACTTCTCCAGGAAAGAGTGCATCGCTTTGTTTCCGTTTTTTGCTACCATTAACTGGTGCGCCTTTTGCTGAACTTTCAGACGCAGGGGCAAAAGCACGCTCTGTATCCCAGAGAGATACTTCTACTTCGTCGCCTCCGTACGCAAATGTTTGATTGTCAGGTGAGAGATGCCAGTCACATAGTCGAGACGGTAAGGCAGCAAGTTTATGGCTAACACCACTATTATCGTCCTTCAAAGTCGACATTAGCAGAGCGCCGTTGGTAGTACAGGAGAATACAGAGCTTCGCCGTTTTAGAATCATGGAGTAAATAACTGAACTGCAAGAGCTCACCTGCCCGACGCAGCAAGACCGATAAAAGACTGATCGCTTTTGATTCGAGTTTCCTTCCATTCTTGAAGTAACTCAAGTTGATCATCTTCATTAAAAGAAAAAATTGAAACCGCTCCATTAGCATGGGCAGCTGATAGCTTTCCCTCAGCATTAGATGCTTTACTGATGCGAGGGGCTGTCTGAACGCACCAACGGCTTCTCCCCTGCGTTCAGCGCGAGCTTTTGGATGCCTTTAGTTCTACCAGTGACAGCACCATGATAGAGAGTTTTCAAGGCTGTTTTTGGTTCTTCATGCAAGGCTGGGTTGTACCCCACCGATTTTATGTTGCCCAGTTCATCACCGACGAGAAATCGAGGCATTATGGGCGTGACAGGGCCAGCGCGTGACGAAGGTACAATATTTCTGTGACTAATTATTAAATTACCATTTTTGTAAATCAGCGTCTCGGCAGTCTGCTTACCCAGGCTACACAGCGCCACCATACTTATGGACGGGCCACTCAAAGAATTGTCCAAGCTCGAAAGGCTCACAGAGAGAGCCAAAGGGAAAACGCCATCTATCGATAACTCTTTGGATTCTCTTCTTCAGTCTCTCCGAGATGTAAAGGATCGCATCAATGCAGGGAACGTTACAGAGGATACCTATGTCCTTCTAGCACAAACTATCGAAGCAAAGAAGAAGGAAATAGACGAGAGGCAGAAGGAGATCTATAACGGGATTGCAAGACTTGGGAAGGCCCTGGACAAGGTCTGCTAAACCTCCGCATCGGCGAACATGAGCTCACACGACACAGAAATTCACTCAACCCCTTCCGACATATGAACCTCTATTTACGTCGAAGGATGCGCAAGCGGCTCTTGAAAGAACTATTGCTTTGCATTTTCTGCGCACTGGGCAGTTTTCGACAGCAGAGACATTTATTCAAGTGAGCAAATGTTAGGGTGTGAGACTTGACTAACATCGTTTCCAGGAGTGCAAGTTGGTGATCGAACCTGAGCAACGAACCAAGTTCCAGGACTTGCACCGCATAGTTTTGGCATTAAAGAGACATGATATAGGGCCTGCATTAGAGTGCGCCACGTTTCATGGTTCCGATATAACCCTTTCTCATGTGTACTGCTTTTTAGGTGGTCGCTGAAGCACCGCGAATTTCTCCGGAAACGATCGTCGCCGCTAGAGTTTTATCTGCACCGCTCTCAATTCATCCGCCTCCTCTTGGCAGAACCACTAGATGCTGGCCCTGCCATATCGTACGCAAATGCTACATTGCGCAGTTTCTATCCAGAGCACGCAACAGAGTTTCAAAGACTCATGACTTCCGTTTTGTATCTCCCGAAGGAACGCCTTCAGCGGTCTCCGTATGCAGACCTGGCCTCAGACTCGGTGCACACAGACCTCGAGCCACTTTTCGCCAAGGAATACTGCACGAATCTTGGCATGAGTCGACAAGTACCGTTGAGAGTCATAGGTGATATTGGTGGTGGAGGCGCCCTGGCCAGAATTGAGAAAGCTCGGACGGTGATGAAAGAGCGTAAGAGTGAATGGAGTCAGACCGACGAGCTGCCTGTCAGTACTTTTCCTTTGTTGAATCCAATTTAATCTCATTACATCTCCAGATCGAAATTCAGCTCGCACCGGAGCACCGTTATCATTCTATTTTTGCTTGCCCGGTATCCAAGGAACAATCCACTGAGCAGAACCCCCCAATGATGATGACATGCGGGCACGTCATAACGAAGGAAAGTCTGCAAAAACTATGCAAGTCCAACGGGTACGTCTTCATGCCCCTCGGGTTCTGGTCCACTTGACTCATGATGGTTTCAGACGTGTCAAATGTCCATACTGCCCCACCGAGTCAACGCAGGCTAATGCCCAGCACGTTTTCTTCTAATATCCGACATCTGCATTAATTTTCTCCGTCATTTCCATATCTCTATTTTTGTAAGCGTATAGGATCTGTATTATCACAGGAAGTGTGGCAGAGGAATAATCAAAAGTTCATCAACCTCCGTCACATTTTGAATTTTGGATCGACCCAACGAGCCTGAATATCACAATTTCACTCGTACTCCTAGTAGGACACTGACAGACTCACCATCATCGTCAGAGTTTCTTCCCCTTCTTGATTCGTGCTCCTTACTATGGTGCTCTCGTCGATGGAGGGTGTGTTGACAAACTTTGCGAGCTCGTCCAGCTTGGTAACATCGATATGGTACTGCTCTGCTAGGGCCTGAAGTTCTGCTTGAGACTTGACTGTTTTCCGGGACTCGAGTAATTCGCTCAGCGATGAGGCCAGTAAGCGGTTTCGGGTAGAATGTAACGGCAAAGCCTCCACTTCAGACTGAAGGCGAGAACGATGCATCTGCTGAACGGATTCTGCCTGTGAGGAATCCAATACCTGGTAAGTGCGGTACTCGGTACTGGACGGGTGACGTACTGTTCGGACAGACCGCATGTGGTGGTCGACGCGTACGGGGCCTAGCTGGCTTAGCTTGGACATGAATTGGGGGTCTTTGGCATCGCTCTCGACCGCTAGCACAACGTTTGAACAGTGACTCGGACGCGAACAGCTCTGGCATACGCACCATCAGTCTTATTTTCAAATGCCAGTGGTCTTGGACGTCGTATGTCTTGAGCGCCGTCTTGTTTCAATGGAGTACGAGAACCTGCCCATGACGGTTTTTCCTTAGGTAGCTTACGGGCTGCTTTAGATGAAGAAATGCCCATGGTAGATTTCGAAGCATAACATGACTGTGAATTATATGTTGGATGTGAATTGATAGTTGTTTACTACACTCCACTCCTTCACTCGAACGACATACCATGGCAGTGGCTACGCCCCCACTTTCAAGCCCAAAAGCTTTCGTATTCGACACGGATCATATTAGTCTCGTGGACTTTTGTAGAATGCATCGGCTTTTCTATGCGTGTCGTGCGTCATTTTCAGCATTGTTTGCAGCTAACACTGCACTCCGAAATACACTGGGCTCTCCATGTTGCTTCACTTCGCGCGACATACGTGGTTAGAGTAGCGAAACTCGCAGAAGATGCTAAGCTAGTCAGAAGAAACCTGCCTGGTGCTGGGACCACAAGTTGTGACCCGGTGGCCCATGACAGAGTTCTTGTTCCTTGTTCTTTTGTCCTGTACTACTTTTAATCACCAAAGAACATCCTAGCAACGACACGAGTGTGGCACGAATCGTAGAATCTACCTCCCGACTCGATGACACGCACTGGCACACGGACTCGGACTCGTTCGGGTTCCGTCATGGCACAACTCTCATAGTGCATATATAGTTGGCCACTGAATTCAGTTGTTCCCGGGGGAATTTCACTGCATTTGAGTAACAGGTGACAGGAATGCTCGCTAAATTATGAGAAGAAAATCTATCTTCAAGTCCATTGAGCACTTGCCATAGTTCCCAAACTGACCTCATGGCACCCCGCAGCTCAAGCTACGTTGGTCACCAAACACATACATCTGCCAGCGCTTGCACGCAAGATATTGATTGAATACAACTGGGCAAGGGTTTGAACACGAGGCAAGCAGTGAGCCAGTAGCGGCCCTTCAATTTAAAGTTTCAGTTGTTTTACCTTTGACTCGCTTTGAAATCTTTTCGCAGCTGCATGCTTTGCGTTGGATTCTAATATATTATGCATATCGGATGGAGGCGCGGTCTGACTCCCATTACGCACACATGGAATCGAGGCAGACGGGCTTCACGACTGAAGAGACCCTAGGTCGGTTCTTGCGGCAAGCCCGTTCGACAGGCGTTTTTACTTATATCAATTTGCCCACACTTTGGTCTTCCTCGTATAACTTACAAGCGCTGATGGAAAGAACCAGTTGTATCTTCAGAATCCTCGTGATTGAAATGTCCACCCCAGACTTCAAAGACAGTGCTAGCGAACTTGATATATGATATGGTCAACTGCTTGTAAATATAGGCTGACCACGAAACTCGTCAACACAGTATGGGAATTAGAATAGATGGGTAGATTAAGAATAGCAACCCAGTCCAAGGCTCGTAAACGTGAATGGCAAGTAGCCTTGGTAGCATATAGCGTCCCACTAATAGTTTCCTCTACGCCTTAAACTTCGACCTGTGCGTCTGCTTGAGCGACGGGAGCCACAGCATCTACAACACAGAATATCGGTGATAACGTCGAATATTGTGACAATAACCTGCAGAATGGCGATGGTCAGTGATGCAAATTACGGAGTAACAGAGGGATAGACATACAGTCGTGATAGCCCCAACGATGATCATCAAGACATCTGCAATGCCAAATATGATGGCGTTGATTCCACGGCCAATAGCTGAGAATATGGAGCCCTGTAAAACAAACGATATTAGACTTGATACTACACCCATCGCAATAATTTACCATAATGAATAATCAGGTATGATAAATTGAATTGGTCTCTGCAGCTTTGTCGTGCTTTATATAGTCTGACCGAATGCATGACGTATAGATCCAGTTGGAGAATGATCAGTAGATGACATCACCACTGCTGTGGGGAATGTAAACTTTAAATCTGATCAGCCCCTCTATAAAGACACCGAGAATGGTGTGGGTCCACGCTTGCGGGTGACACGTTGGAGCCGGGTGTGCATCATGACATCACGGAGTTCATCAGAACGACTAGTCAGTTCATGATTTCCACCATCTTCATCTGATGAGGGCGTCAGTGGAGTGTCAAGAAGATGTATGACTGAGCAGGCATCCTCTGTAAATCGTGATATGACACCTAGTATCCATTTGCCAAGAACTCTAGATGGGGCCATATTGGTGGGATTGCACAACAGCACTGTATAAACATCAAGACAAGCAACCAGATAATTCTACAACAATAATTTCACAAAGAGCCAAGAACTTTGAACGCACCATTCGTCATCGCGCGTGCTATTTCTTCTGTATTTACCCAAGCATTTTTCTCCCCAGCCTCTCCATCAGCCGACAGCATGTTGCCCACCGACGGTCCTCGAACCAAAAGTTCGCCAATGGGGTCCCCACCCTGTTCAACTACGTCGTCTTTTACACCGGCGAGTTTTGCCTCGACATTGACACTTGGAGCCCCAACATGTGCAGGTTCGGCAGTCGGAGATGAAGAAGGGAGCATCTGCAGATCAAATGCATGTGTGGCAAAGAGAGGACCAGCAGCAGAGCCATGCGTATATGTATTGATCAATGCAATGGAGAGCGCCAAGCGAGCAGGCACAAGCGTGTCAGACGGTAAAGGTCCTATAATTGGATAAATATCTACTCTCGTCAAGAATGGAACAAAACATACCGCCACTGGTCACAACCGCCTTCACTGTGTCAGCCATTTTCCCAAGTACATCTTCCCGTGCACTACTGAAGACGGTACGATCCCATAGACTGTCCTTGGCAACAAATCCTTCTGTAAGGCTAGCAAATTTGTGCCGCCATGCCAAAGGGAAGAAGAGAGACTTCTTCGCACGGCTTATCACCGAAGATGCAATCGATTGGACGTGTTCGGGTTTGAGGAAGAGGACTGTAGGTGAAGGTATCGGGAACTTGGTCGCAGAGAGAACGTCAGCTACATCTAGAGCCGGTGCATCTGTGCATATACCCTCAGGTTTTGTGAGATGCGTAGACTCGAGCTCAAACGTACCACTATCACGGAAGACGCTTGTCGACGGTAGAGTGGCAAAACTCGCGCCTTCGAAAAGAGCTGCGTAGGCAATAGCACGTCCGTATGGTGTGCTCAAAGAATGACCAGAGACGATGGTGTCTAGAGTAGAAATATTGATGGTAGCGGGGAAGAGTGCCCTGATTGCTGTCACTCCGGAGGTGAAATTCTCGTGCGAAAGCTGCACACATCGCATACCCCCCGACGGAGTCTCGAAGAATGAGACGGTGTATGCACTACCGGACTCTGAACAGTAATCAGGACAACGGGTACATAGAACTGCAGAAACATACGAGGAGCGTTTTTGGGGGCTTGAGAAACCTTGCCATAAGATTCAATAACATTCCAGGGGCGTATGTCGAGCTCCGAAGGTTGCGGCAACCAGTCAACCACAATAAGCCTGTGATTGAACTCGTGTGCATCCTGAGCGGCCTTAACAACATGCGTCAGAAAAGTATTGTCTGTGATGATGGCATTAGGCGGGTGCATCTCAAGGACTCGCTTGAGTAGCTTGGGGGAGCTCAGAGTAATGGAAGCAATGGACTGCTCCGAGAGTGCGAGGTCAGTGATAATGAATTCTAGAATGCACACCGATTTGAACTATTCTCAAAATGCACTGAACGAGATGAAACGTACCAATGGAATCATTAAGCAGTATCAAAACAGTTGAATCCTCTGGGACAAGCGTAGCAATCCCCGAACCGAAAGCTGAAACCCGCGCTTTCAGCTGAGCATTTGTGATCTGAATACGATGAGTTCTTTATGAACTATTTGTGAAAAAGCAGTCAAACGCACTTTCGTAGACCATAGAGTACGCGGTGCATCAAATTCAGGTTTCACGAAGTCAGTCACAATATTCACGTCTTTGTCGGGTCGGACAGGGAACTATCAGATATTCAACGGATGTCTAGCGCAAAGTGTTCAAGTACCACGAACCCTGCCCATGAGCCCTGTCCCATAGTTGCGGTAAACAGTGCTCTCGCCTGGATGCCTCACACGCCCTGCATCACTTTGCCGACCTAGGAGAATTGGATGGACGAGAGGCTGTGGTTTGTAGAGGTTCTGGAGGAGGAATACAGATACCCCGATGAAGCCGAGAAGAACGGTGAGGTCGTCTGTGACCAGGTAGTCTGAGATGGTCATGGTGACCAAGACTGACAGTTACTAATGACTACCAGGTGATAAATTGAGATGGAAAAGAGCTGCAAGAAAGGCGCTTGCAAGTTGACGTGTCTATGTATACTTACGCTAAGCTGCTGGCCCATCAGTCGCTTGTTATAATTACAAATCTCGCATTCTCACGTTTGCAACCTAGCTATAACTTGAACGCATGCTTCGATATCATGTATGCACGACTAGTTAGTTAGGTTTGGCTAGTAGGTCATGCTGGGCCATTGCTTGGCCGCATTCATGATGAGAATTGCCGCCCGAGTTGGATGCGCAGCGTATACTATCTCCAAACGTTGTCGACTTCAACTTGAAGTTTGCCCCAATGATTTCGGAGTCTATGCACCAAGTATAATTTTCGCCCGACTGCGCATTATCAATCAATCAGTCTTTGATTGTAGGTGACTCGGGCCACTCTACCAAGTCCACATTTCATGGGATACGTGCAATAATGCTTTTGCGACGGGGCGAATTTATTCCATGGGCGTGTCTGGACCAGGTTAGTGCACCTCGTCCGTGCGCATTGGGTATCACGTGACGTACGTCATACCTTCATTCCGGATCTCCCTCCTCTTCAACCCATTCTTTCCCCCATCTTGGCTTGTTAGCGTACTAGGTCACAGTTTCATTTTCCACTTGCCACTTGTAGCAATGTGCGTCGCTACGAAGAAGTTCTCAACAAAGGCCGCCGAGCCTGGGCCTGGTGCTAAATCTGCTCGGGAAGCAACAGTTTCAAAGTCGCATCATTATACGACTCATCCCCCTTGGATTGACATGATTACCGTGGGTCACCGTCATTCTAAATACTGCGCATGATCTATCTTAGATGGTGTGCGCTTATCCGAGTTGTGCGAAAAATAACCCCTGTCCATAGGAATGTATCACCACGACACCCGATGGAACCCGTCACGGCGTATCCCGCCCAGCGATTAAGAAAGTAAGCACACGACCGCTATTATAGCCTCCCGCATAGTTACGTCTGACGTTCTGTAGTTCGTCGACTCAAAGTATCATCTCGAAATAAATCCTCTAGCGTCTAGCCAGCTTAACCGAGCGATCCATCATGGTGCCGATAAAGGGACATTTGTCCTGCCAAAAGGCGAGTCTCCCTTTATCACGGAGCCTTTAATATTTTTAAGCGATTCTCTATAGGTCCTTCTGGAAAAGTTAAACTTGCACCTCGGAGGCACACTGAGGCAGCTAAAGAGGTGCGCCTCACTTGTCTCTTTCTTGCCACTTGACTTTAACTAGCCACTCATTGGGAAGAACGCACAGCCAGCTTCAAAACGCTCCACTGCTGCCAAAGAAAGTCACGTCATCCCAATCAAGGTAGCTACTAAAACCGCGGCGAAGAAGACGGCTCGTGCCGCGAAGCCAGCGGCTACCACCGTGCCCGCCACACTGCCGAAGTCAAGGACTGCTGAAAAGAAATATCACTCCACTGCAAAGAAGGCTAGGGCGACTGGTTCCTCTACTCGCAGGACGGTCGGAAGAAAGGCCGCTACTGCACCGGGCACAGCTAAGAAGGTATTTATACGATTCCTAATATTAACATGAGTTCTAATCTTTGACACGTGGTGGCTCAGACTGCCACAGGAAGATCAACTTCATCAAAGATTAGGCGGGGAGCAACCTCTGCGAAGAGGACTACGAGGGCAGCAGCTTCGAAGCAGAGGGTCCGGAAGACTTCTCGCAAGTAACGCATGTTATTCATGGTAGGATCGGATTCAATATTTATGTCACTAGTACTCACCTGGTATGGTCATATTGTTAGATTTCGCGCTCTTTCTGGCGAATCATGACTAACGTCTTGATATCTCCTCAGAAACACGGTTTTTCTTCACTGCTTTTCGTTACATGTTCCAGTCTGTTTTTTGTTCATCTTGCTGTTTTCACCTCTTGGATGTACCTCCGCGACGTCCCACTCATGCTTGCCTACGAGTTTTACTTTTAACGAAACTTTATGTCCATCTCACTCTATGCCCTATCTTATCGTACACTATCTACTGTCATGTCTTGGTTTCTCTGTATTCAGTTGTACGTATCCTCTTGCAATATGGAACAAATGACAGCCTGAGTTCCTCAGGAACATGGGGTTGTGTGAAAGCCGGCCTGACGTTAGAACTTTATATGTACTCGGGATGTGGAGAATTTCCGACTGCCGGTGATAGTGGACGACCCGTCTCTGCGACAAGTGTCCATGACATTGTGAATTCATTCATATTGTACTTAGTAGACGACCCGTTTGTGACAAGCGTCCATGCCATGTCAAAGTTCATTCGGGTCGTTATCCATGCTGTCGTTTCCGAGGTCAATGATCATAATATATTTATTTGAAGTTGTCTCGCGATCCTATGTTACAAGGCTGGATGTTGCAAGGCAACCTCATGTATGGCAAGCACAATGGCTGTTCCTGATTTTTGCTTCCGCTAGCTGTGGCTGGCTGTGGCAGTGTTGAATTTCCCATCTTAATAAGGTTTCGGAACGCATTTTGTTTATCAACAAACAGGTAAACGCGCCCGCACGTGACTGAACGCGTTTTGGGTATAAATGTGGATAACTTGACTTGATTGCCTACTCCATCTTTTGTCCCCTCCACGCTCAAATTCTAAATTCTGCGAATCTCACACTTTATCGCACATCTCTTTTACTTAGACGACTACACTCAACAGTAACAATGTCTTCCAACACTTCAGCTTCTCCACCCCCTATTGAGACTCTACCGGCTTCTTCGTCCAAAACCAAGAAGACAGCGGCAAAGAAACCTGCATCGAAGAAGGCTCCCGCAAAAGCTGCTCCAAAGGTTGCTTCCCATCCTTCATGGAAGGATATCATCAAGGTTAGTCAGTGAAATCGGACCAATACAGTTTTATAACTTTATCATCAGGCCTCCATCACTGCTCACAAGGAGGACGCCCGCAGTGGTGTGTCGAGAGCAACTATTAAGAAGGTACGCATGTTTTTTTATATATATCTTTGCTTAATAATATATAATGTTTGCTTGACAGTTTGCCGAGGAATCCTACCATATTGAGGTATCTGGTACAAACTTGTACCAGCTCAACCGCGCTATCACATCTGGTGTCACAGCGGGCATTTTTGCCTTGCCAAAGGGTCCTTCTGGCAAAGTCAAACTCGCACCGAAAAAGAAGGCATCTGATGATGAGGTATGCGGCAGTAATGACGATCTTGTTTTATAGCGCTCACACGAGTCAGAATTCAAAGCCCGTATCTGTGAAGAAGGTAGCCGTGAAGCCTGCCTCGAAGAAGGCCCCTGCTCCAGTCAAGAAGGCTGATGCTCCGGCCAAGAAGACTGCCACGAAGAAGCCGACCACCGCATCCAAGGCAAAGAAGCCTGCCTCACAGAAGACCACCCCAGCTGCCACCAAGAAAGCTGCCACCGCAGCAGCACCAAAGAAGACCGTTCCAAAGAAAGCTACCGCCGGTGCTCCTACCAAGAAGCCTGCAGTGAAATCAGCAGCACCTGCTAAAAAGGCATCTACCGCGAAGATGGTAGAGAAGAAGAAGGTAAGCTAACAAGTCGAGTTTCTTTTATCAACCTCACACTCCACCTCAGGTTGCAGCCAAGGCTGCAGCTACCAAGGCCGCCAAGAAGCCTACCCCCAAAGCAAAGTCATCTTCATCACGAGCCAGAAAGGTAAGCTCTTCTAGTCGTGTTCGCTTATTTGAATTCATATCTTCGGTTTTCCAGGTTTCTGCTTAATGATATCCTGTACCACATCGCTGAGACACGATTTCTTTTCTATCTGGTGTGACATTAGGTGCCCCTGTATTTTTGATACCTACTTTATTCGTGTACTAGTATTGCATATCATTTCATTGAGACTAGGAGCAAACTCACTTGAGTTACAATGTCCTCGCTATCCGGACTGAAGGTCACTGGTGATAGTCAGATGATAGTAGGGCTTACAATCTAGTCTCTGGATGTGGTCTGTAACCTTAGATGATAGACAATCAAAACTGGACATTGTGCATCAATTGTTAAGAGTTGCATTAGTAGCGCACGACTAGGCAAACAGGAAGTCGGTCTTCCACCCTTCTGATCCTTTCAAGTTAGTCATCATCATGATGAGCCCACTCAAGGTGATACCTCCAGCGTGGGTTTGCATTTCCTTATAATTCCGAGAATCGCCGTATGGGCAACCTCGATTCGAACCCTTCTGAATCGTTCTGCGAGAGTTAAGATCGAATTATGATATCCAGAGTATCATGACGATGGAAAAGTGTAAGTGACTAACAATTGTACTCTGCGCTGGGGTCCCGGCGGTGTAAACGACTATCTGGACCTGTAAAAACACACTTCCTGCCAAAGATTCGAAATTCGGAATTTTTGGATCTTCGACAGAATGATTGAGAGAGTGAACGTAACCATGCGCCCGGGTGTCTGATTGCGCACATGCCTTGACCTTTCTAGGGATCTAGCAGACAGCTGTGTCACCGCCGTGACTGTGGATATAGCACCGCCTCCAGCTTGGTCTAGTGACAATGCTTCGCACGTCCAAGCAGGCAATATTCGTCTTCAGGAAAACATTATGCGTACATCCGCACCTTTCTCCAGAAATCCAAACTTCCAAGGAAAGTTGCTTGTGATAAGGACTATCTCAAGGCGATGCTAGCCAAAAAGGTGACAACAATTAAACAAGGCACAGGTTGCCCAGACATAGATCTGTTCTTGGTTAGGGTCGCTGCGGTGATTCATGATTATAAACCATTACGGCCAGCGGAGTTCGGCTGTGCGACATGAGAATCGAATGAAACATCCTAACCCTCAGTATATTGTCACGGTAGACGAACATAGTATGAATGATGTGCCAGTAGGTAAGTAATGGCTTGGTGTTGGCTTGGTGCGTACTTCGTCGTGTTCGGCCATTCGAATGAAAAGAAGCTGAGAAACCTTCTAGATTTTGAAAAACGAATTTCCTTTTACAAAATTCAGGGGCTAGAAAACCAATTCACTTCTGGCCGAGTAATACTTGGGAAGTCATTTACGGCTCGAGATGACCACTCAGACTCACCACATAAATCATATCACTACACTGTCCGGAATGCGCAGACTTACCGCCCAGAACCTTATCATCTTCTTCCCGCAGTCAGTACTCGTTCTTACCACAAAGGGTATCGATCATGACACTCCACTTCATGGACCACCGGCAACCTCCCGAGGCTGTGGCTCTGAGCTTCTCAACGTAGATGAACGTCACGATGACGCTATCATCATATAGGCCACTTAAGGTGATGGGCTTCTAGTATGGCATTCCTATAAGAGTCGCTTTACAAAACGAGCAACCTCCGTTCGAGACCCGTGAGAGCTGAAATTCCAGTCGTCATACGAGAAACAGAGCCTATCAGTGTCAACGAAATGAAAGTGTACTCACAACTATGTACTACTTTGGATTTGAGGTCCTAGCGCTGCGATAAGAACGGCCAGCTGATCCTGTGAAAACGCGCTTGCTGCAAGAATTGTATTATGACGGCCCGGATTACTCACTAACTTTAACCCCATCCATGATGACAGGCCTCTGCTTCGGAATGAACTCCTTGGTCTGTACTCCAGTGCCACGAAAATGAGATGTCGAGGATGCAAATGCGGGCCCCAAACATTGAACTGGTCCTTCCGACTCCTTCTGATACGTCGTCATTTGATTTGATTTTCTGAATGGTTGTGCATAGTGCGGAATCCGCGGATGCCAATCAGGCCAAGACTGTCTGGGCCTGAACAGAGTCTTATAGATGCATTTGTCCTTGCTCATTGGTGATGACGGGCGTGCAGTGGAGAGAGTGAGCGAGCTGTGAGATTATTGTGGGTATGTACTGCGTACTGCAACTGTCACCGCCGTTCTTGTGCTGCATGCATACTGCCCGCAGCGCTAAAATGGTGTACCATCAGGCGCTAATTATCATGATGGAATAGGGCGCAATGCCAGCGCGTAGTCGAGGGAAAAGATCGACCCAAGGCTTCCAAAAGAACGTCCATCCCGAATATGTAATACCTGCTTATGGCATAACTCAATAGGTGCAGCACAGGCTGGTGATATATAAGTGGTTTCTTGCAGAATGTTCCAAATTCACAACGTGAAACACCTCTACCCAATCACCCATGACCACTTCTGAATCCTCACCATTACTCGAAAATGGCGGTCACTCGGGCCATAGGAATCTTTCTCTTACTCATCGCGTTATCCACTTCATAAAAGGCAAGGATGAGCCGTCATGGGCAGAATCCTTCAAGTTCTTCATCTTTGGAACATGGTTCAATATCTTACTCGTATTCATACCTTTGAGCGTCATAGCTCACAACTTGGACTGGGATGCTGGTTTAATTTTTTTGTTTAGTTTTATGGCTATTGTTCCCTTGGCTAAGGTGATAATAACTTGCTCCTAATCATCAGATTCTTGGAACACTGACACTGTCGTTTCTAGTTGTTGGGCGAGGCTACAGATCAATTGTCTGTCAAATTAGGGCAAACTATGTCAGGTCTCCTTAATGCATCCTTTGGTAATGCCGTAGAAATCATCGTTGGCATTGCTGCCTTACTCAATGGTTTGTCCAACGCTTTGCCAATAGTCGCTTGCAACTCATGATGATCCTAGGTCAGTTGCGAATCGTTCAGACGTCCGTGAGTGTCTTCGTACGGGCTCTAATTACGATATATTTATTTTGGCTTAGATGCTTGGATCGATCTTATCAAACATACTGCTCGTCCTTGGTTGTTCGTTTCTCGCTGGTAAGGGGCATCGGCTTTTGAAGGAGAGTGTGCTCACTCGAACATAGGTGGATTATATCATGAAGAAGGAATTTTCAATGGTACTGGAGCTCAGGCGTGCGTCCTCTGTTTTCCCGCGCCTCAAACTCTTTGTTGAACTGCAGTAATCTTCAGATCTGCCTCCGTAAGTTACCTGCCCTATTCATCGCCAGAATAACTAACCAAGTCTAGCTTATGACTTTGTCGTGCATCAGTACGAATATCTTATCCAACTTGAAAGTTTTGTTAATGTTTTATAGCGCTTGTTATTCCTGCGGCCTATGCAAGTACCACAGACGCTGGAGCGCAGAACAACTGCGATGATGCCTCTGAATGTCCCACTGCGGGTCTACTCTTGATTTCCAGGGGCACTGCCATGTTGCTCCTGGGAGTTTACTGTGCCTACCTTTGGTTTCAGGCATGTTCTAATATCTTTTTCTTTCTTCTTTAATGTACTCATCCAAGCTTTCAGTTAAAATCTCACCCCAAACTCTTTACGTCGCCTCCAAGTTCACCTACTGATCAATCAAACGGTGAGGAAACGGTAGCAACGACAGAAACGGAGGAAACAGTGCCTCGTATGGGAACAGCCGCTGCTGGTGTTGCGTAAGTTTGGTTTCATCATTTGCTATATTCAGCCCTTATCCTTATTCCTAAAGACTTTTATCGGTAACTGTGGTCATCGCATTTTGCGCCGAGTATCGTAAGTGTCCCACTTTGTTCCCTTCGTCTTATATTCAATTATTCAATTTTGCTAGTGGTTTCCTCCATCGAGGAAACTGCAGTACGCTATTCTATCCCGAAGACTTTCATTGGTGTTGTCTTGTTGCCGATCGTGGTATGTCAAGCTGTATCCGGCCAACTGTCTACCAACATTGTCTGTAGGGCAATGCTGCGGAACATGTCACTTCAGTCTGGATGGCAATAAAGAATAAATACGAGCTCACCCTCACTATTTGCATCGGGAGTTCCATTGTAAGTGTAGACCATTTATCATAAGCTTGTGTTTGTGCTGACTATGGAACAGCAAATTGCCTGTTTCGTCGTGCCGCTTCTCGTGATCGTCGGTTGGATGTATGATCGTGTATTTCCTCACGCGAAGTGCTCTCACTTTTTTTGTTTAGAGTTGGTCAACCCCTGACATTGCACTTCCACAACTTTGAGGTATGTTCATTCAAAGCATATTACGCATATCATTGAAGTTTCTGATGAACCTTCAGACAATCGTCCTTTTTGTATCTGTCTTCCTCGTCAACCTGTTAATCATGTCAGTTTCCCTTTCGCATGTTGGTCCCATCGGCAATTAACTCGCTTGATTCAGGGACGGGAGATCGAATTATATGGAAGGTCTCATGCTCCTTACCCTCTACTTGGTTATCGCCATCGCATGTGAGTTGCCCCTTGAACCCTTTAATCACATTCTGAACGCATTTTAGTTTGGGTGGCCTGAGATATCATTTATGATTGTAATTATTGGTACCCGATATTTCCCGGCGTCTATCCCTCATGCACCCTTTCAAGTTCCTTTGATGGCGGGCGGGAGGTCAAAGTAGCTAGCAACAAACTAATTTCTGCGCCACCCATTTCTTTATATACTACCTTATTCCTTTAGGCATGTGACACTGTATGTGAAAGGGAAACATCATACATGGATTCATAATAATCCGCAAATGTGAACGTTTACTTTTCTAAGATAAGGCTGTCTCCCTGAAGTTCTTCAAACTTCTTGCGCGCCATGCAGATATTCATCTTAATGGCCGCCGTCTCTGTATGTGTGAATGTGGGTGAGCTGGAACCGACCATTTAGTAGTAACAAACTGACCGATAACTGGGTCATGGACTACAACTAACACGTAAGTATTTTTGGTCATTTCATCAAGCACAGCAGTGAATTCTGCCAGTTCCATTTCAAGAGAGCGAAATTCCTCCCTGAGCCGTGAGCATGACTGTTTGAAGGCTTTGATGAGTTCTGAAGTCCTTTCATATCGCTTTGGATCCAGTGCATGATAAACAACAGGGCCGGAGGGGAAAGCATCGGAGGAGTCGTTTCGCGAAGACGTTGCAATGACGAGGAAGGTGGTGCGTTCAAATAGTATCACCTCAGTGGCACTGCAAGCTTCAGCGAAGATACGGAGGTGTTTTGAGAGGTTACGAGCGTTCGGAATTAACGTGTTCACAATATTTGACCATGCCTTGCGCAAAATTTATTGGTAAATCGATCGCAGAAGAATCTAGAGGCATTCACGATACCTTGTAAAGACTCTCATCATAGATGCTCGTCCCAAACACCTTTACCGATGTCTCGCCACTGGCTTTCACAAGTTCTGCCACCTTGCGTTGCACGACGGCATTCCGCTCGGTATCCCTCACCAAGTCTATTTTGTGCACCAAGAGAAACACGTTCGCATCCTTGCTGAACTGCGATAATCCATGCAGGCAGTCCTGATAGTACTCCAGATCCTTCTCCATTTCGCGAGACTCGACGTCAAAGACATAAATCATGACCCCGACGTGCGAAAAGATGATTGAGCGCTGCGTACTCAAGTATGAATCCATGAATGCATCTTGTCCACCACAGTCCCAAAGGTTAAGGATGAGATCGCCTAGGAAGCGGACGTGATTCTGCTCGACGTCATTTGTTGCACCAAGACGGGAGGTGAGGGATGCTGGGTTATTGGAGCTGAAGAGCGTTCAGCTTGTCCAAGTGAGGCTGACGGTAGTGTCTTACAATATCATGGACCTCATGGAGGTCTTTCCACTACCAGACGCTCCCATTAATAGTACCTAGTAAAGTTTGCACAATGACTATCCTGCGTGGCAGACGTAAGAGCTTTGCGCACTTTTTTCTTCATCTCGAAGCGATATTACTTGGTGAGCTGAACGTATACCGTCCCTTCCACAAGTTGGAGTTCCACGGCAATCGACACCCCGGCCCACAGGCTGAAGTTAGCAGTCACGCAAATATTGTCACTAAGTCACGACATATGGCCGGTTTCCAAGTTAAGAGCACAAGCTCAGTTAGTATTCAGCATGAGCGAGCAAGTATAGTATCGACTAGCAGATCGTATATCTATGTGCAAGGGTGACCATCATTAGTGCTGTAGTTGTCAAATTGTGGGGGAGACATTGATGGTTGTCTATGTAAGTCACTGTTCCGATGGTCACGGTGACTTGCTAGTGCAAACATACTAACAAGCGTCGCTGAGAGCTGAGAGGAATGGCTTAAATGTTCAGACCAATTACATGTATATAGAGGGCATAACATGACCCTGATACATGGGACATTAAGGCCGGGATTACCCAGTTCGCCCACTTAAAGTCGGAGGTCCTCACATGAAACGTTAATACAGATTTCGACGCAAATCGGGTACAGAAAATCTAACACACACTGCCATAATCCAGTGCACCGCATGCAATCTTATTGAACCGAGTGTGTAAGACGCACTGCGAACATGAATTTGTCATGGACGGCAGTGCTGCTACACGCTGAATTGATGAGGAGCCCGCGTATGATGGGCAAGGCCTAGAAGGAATGACAACCGCTAGAAGGTTGCTGCACTGATAACCTGACAACAGAATGCTTTCGCAGTTATCTGAAATCAGACACGGCGTCTGAGTTATTGTTACTTCTGAAAATCTGGGGTATAGTCGCTATCAATTACAACCGAGACCTTTTACATCAATCAGAGCGCTCGCCTCGGTGTTCAAGAAAGATTGGGAGTTGACGCACAAGTGATATTGAGTAGCCGCGGCCCACGACCCATCAATATCAAAGGAATTTCCCTTCAGCCCATCGTCTGCTCTGTACTCCCATCTCCACGGCTGCAAGTCCCCAGTCCTCGCCATGATTGTGACCCTTCTCTGCCCCTCTGCCGAGACCAGCTCGTTCCAATGCTTGGTCCTCTGTGAGTGCTGTTAGGACACCAAAGATCACAGGGACACCTGTGTCAATCTGGATTTTCATGAGGGCGTGAGAAACGCTGTCGCAGATATACTCAAAGTGCATCGTAGAGCCCTTGATCAAGACACCAATGGCTACTACTGCATCAAATGGAGCGTTTGGTATGTTTGCAAGTGTCGAAGTGGGAGCAGAAAGTTCCTTGTTGGATGGAAGTGATGTCGAAGAATCGCCGAAGCTCAACCCGAGCAGATCGCCAGAAGATGTGGCCGTTTGAACACGAGATCCTGCAATCACTCTATAGAATAGCTGAGCTTATGTGTAAGACGGAGAAACTGTATCATACGTACTTCGAGCACGCGAAAGGAAGTTCGAAACTACCAGGGACAGACTGGACAACGATGTTGGAGTCCTTAACCCCGCATGCTTTCAGCTTGTCGATTGTGCCCGCCAAAAGTGAATCAATGACAGTCTTGTTCCATCGCGCATGCACGATGGCGATACGTAAACTAGAGCCATTGAATTGAGCACTGGATGGACCCTTGATTGAACTCATGGTTGACGACATCATTATCATACTAGAAGGGGGTACAAATGAGGTAAACCCGATACTGTATTTGACATTGTTTATGCATCTCTCTAAATTTTGTATGTAGTACACTTTCGTGACGGCGGAAGTCTCACTCTTGTTTCCTCAACTCATCCCAAGTGGCAGGTCATCCTCATAGTGATGTCGGACGCGAACCTTGCAGGTAGGCTCATCGCTACATTTGTGCATCTGAGAAACTGAAAAAAGTCGCTCGCAGTGACATATTCTTTAATCTATGCATTTCTCAAACAGCAGTCCCAGACAAAAGCAGCTGATGCTGTACAGAAAGCTGCAAGGAGCACCATCGTCTTAAAGGATGATTTGCAGCTCGAGGGTCCACCTTTGGATGAGATAGTCAAGCAATGGAAAGAGTCGCATGCTAATGACAGTTCGTGAGTCTTCATTTTCCCATACGCTATTCTTTCACTCAAGCACGAGAATGTAGTTCTGACTCCGACTGTATGTATTCATTGTCACTAGTCGTACGAGCTTTATTGACAAGTGTGATAGCTTCAGATGATTCCTCTGACGGTGCGTTATACCAATCATGCACAAACGGGCTTCGATATGTAATTCTGGGCAGACTCCTCGACAAGTTCTAGCTCTGATTCCAGTTCCAGTTCATCCGATTCAACGTATGTTGTCGAGACGTATAATTTATCTTGCTCACAAGTCAGCATAAAGTTCAGGGGATGACGCAGGCATGTATATTTTGTTCTCCCTGTGGGTTGCCGCCTCACGACCACAGATTCATCGTCAAGTGAAAGCGAAAGCGACAATAAAAAGGGAATCAAGGCCTGTAAAAAGGTCCCTACGGTTATCTCGTGTGGTGACCGTGAAACGAGTGCCACCCTGTCCTCTGGTATACTCCCATTATCGGTGTCAGCTTCATCAGTACTAATTTGTCAAAGATGCCAAGGCTCCTGAAGTCAAGTCTAAAGTCGCCAAAAAGAAACCTTCTGTCAAGGAAAGCTCGAGCTCAGAGTCTGATTCTGATTCTGATTCTGATTCTGATAACTCTACGACTGATTCCGCGCCCAACAAAAAGCTAGCCCACAAAGACGCCCCCAAAAGGGTCGGTGATTCATCAGATTCCTCCTCCAGCTCCTCCTCCAGCTCCTCTAGTTCAGACTCCAGCTCCTCTGACTCAGAGTCTACATCGTCCGACTCTGAGTCCACCACCTCGAGTTCTGAGTCCGAGTCTGAAGCCGAGATAACTCCCATCTCTGGGAAGATTCCCGTCAAACGTGATGTCGTGTCAATCCCAAAAGAGGAACTGCAGGTGATGAAAAAGCGAAAGACATCTGAGTCTGGAGCTGCTGTGATAACCGCTGTGGCGCCAGCACTATCCACCGATGATGTGCGAGTTTCAGCGAAGGACAGAAATATCCAGAAAAATGGTAATGGCAAGCCCCCGCGAAACACGAATGAGCGATTCTCGAGGATAAAACCCCAAAATATACCTTCAGAACACCTTCTGGACAACGGGTACGAAGCAAAGGTGAGGTCTATCTTTGGTCCACCTGCGAGACTTAACCCTCTTTCTTCGTACAGGGCGGTATCAGTAATGACTATGGTAGTCGTGCACACCAGGACTTGATTGTCACACGGGGTGCAGGGTTCAGGAAGGAGAAAAACAAGAAGAAAAGAGGTTCATATCGCGGCGGAGAAATCACTGTGAGCATGCTCTTTCTTCGGTGTTGATATGGTCATCGTCTGATGGATGTGGCAGTTACAAAGTCACAGTATCAAGTTTACAGATTAGACACATGTATTGACTGGTCGAACATACGTCGCATACATCACATTAATTACTTCTCCAATTCGTTTTCTTTTCTGTAAACACATTGTGCCGATCGCTTCACATTCATGATAATAGACCGTACGTAGCAAATTTCAATGGGTGAGTCGATATCATGATGGAACACAAGTTGGATTTAATCCGATATTGTTCTATGTACCGGCTTTGATTGTGTACATTTTGCTTAAAGCTTGTCGCAACCATAATAAAATGGCTCAGGCTAAACAATTTATCGAGAATGATAAAATGTCACTGACTTCGAGAATTGTCGATTCCAAGTTCAGAGACTAGTTGTTGCACAGCCACAGACCACTGTCTCGCGGTCGACCAACTTGAAGTTTGTAGAAGAAAGACAACAATTCCTTCTTACAGAGAGTTATTCCGTAGCTCGCAAAAGTTAGCAACTACTCTGCTCAGGGCCAAACCTGACCGCTGTCCACAATGGCGGGCATTGGTCCTGCACCAATTCTCTTCAATGAATTTTTTCAAATGTTCATGAGGTGCATGCCTCCAAACGGATGGCCAGTGAACTCCAAGATTGGTGTGTTGCTCTTCATCGTGTTCTCGTCTGAAATTTAGCGTATTCTATCTTAGCCGTTGGCAACTCTGGAGGACCAGATTCCACTTGCTTGTTATTCCTCCTCCAAAAGTTGCTGACTGACCTGCGCTCAAAAACCATGGCGAGACAATCGATTCCGACCTCAGTCGTCTCTCTCTCCGTCAACCACAACCTCCAAGAAGCTTCACATTCGATGGCAGCTCGTTCTGCGGCGAACGCAGCAGCCATGGGGATTGAACATCTGACGCTTGACATACCTTGGGGAACACCGCCGTTCTCTGACAAACCTGTTGCTAGTCAGTCGATGGAGCAAGTCGCGCGGGAGGCGCGATATCATGTTATATTTGATGGGATGGCGCGCACTGGTGCCCACTCAGTCGCATTTGGGCATCATGCTGACGATCAAGTAGAGACTTCATTGATGCGCCTTGCAAGGGGAACGACAGAACTTGGCGCAGGAGGCATGCGACGATGCCGCAGGTGGGGTATGGGTACCGGTGATGTAGAAGGTGGACTTGGGTGGGTTGGTCACCATGGATTGGACCGTTGGATCATAAGACCTCTTCTTGACGTCAGAAAGGTCAGGGCTTCTTGAAATGGATTTAGTTTGGTTTGTTGATGACTGACTTGTAGGACAGGATCCTTGCTACCTGTGAAGAACACCAGCTCGATTACGTGAATGATCCGACAAACTTTCAGCCCGAGATTACTCTAAGAAATGCAATTCGGCAAATGCTGACTCTGCAGGAAGAGGGCAAAGATATGGTGTTGTGTTTTCTTGAATGCATATCCAGCATTACTTATCATCACGCAGTCTGCACTTTCTGGGCTACCACAACATATTTCTGGCTCTCTTGAAAAAATAAAGGTAGCTGCAGCTGACCTCCAGGAAACCACAATGGATCTCGAAGGTGGATTGCATCAACTTCATGGGGCAGTGAAGGTTCTTTCGTCGCGACTCGAGGACGTTGATAATGAGGGTGAGTAATCACCGCATAAACACCCTTCAGATCAGGATTCATGGTCTTGCTAGTCACATTCCACCTAAAAAACCTGACTCTCCCTTCTCCTCCAAGTACTCTCATCCTCTCCTCGCACGCGTTGCCTGCTATCGTGGATCCAACTGTTCGTCTTGCTCTGGTCCTTCGGGTCATGCGTTATGTATCGTTCCATCCATGGGGATCTCTGCGTGCGGACGGCAATCGACGCAGAACTAGCATACAGCGCATCATCGATACTCTGTGGCAGTCTGACGGTGCCCCACCATTTACTGCAGGTGGTGGAGTACTTTGGCAGCCTGCGATATTCAGCGCTAAGAAGCGACTCCGAGTGGGCACGCAGTGTCTCGGTCGCCGATTACAACTAGGCGAGAGATTTGCCTGGATGGCATCTAGACTGCCTGCTGTTCCTTACAACATGTTGGACACTGCAATATTACCTTCAAAATTGGACATCGATGTTACGGAACGCCTCGCAAGCGCCACGAGTCGTGGCGACGACTTTTTGGAAGTTCTATTTGACTGCCGTTTCCTTGTGCGTTTCGATCTATCACAGATTCCAGAAGAACTGGTCGAAGCTCTACGAAAATCCCAGGAGACAGGGGTGAACGTGAGAATTAAGCCTCATACAAAGTATTATTGGCCCAAGGTGGTGTTGCGAAAGCCTTCTTGTGTAGATATCGCATATGCTACACTGATGGATAACGGACAGATAGACACATTTGGGCACGCGCCTTGGGTAACGATGAAATACATAAGGCTACTGGACGCGACTTAGCACACGGTTTATACTATTACACGTACATTACTGCAGCAATACCAAATCCTTATCACAAACGGGCCTTCTCCCCCTGCAAAAACATCTCATAGACATTATACCAAACCTGGGGATTGAAGTACTCGACCCAATCATGACCGAAACGAAGAGTTGGTACCGAACCTGGTGCATTTCCTACCGGTACCACACGCGCCCATGGAATAAGCCTTAAAAAGCCCCGAACTTCAGAGAAAGGCACGACCTGATCAAGTTCACCGTGGATGATCATGAATTGAGTGTCCGGTGAGAGGCGAGAATGAAGCCCAGTAAAATCATATTGAGAACTTGCTCGTTTTTGCTGTACTGTGCCAAGATAAACGTTACGCTAAGATGACTTTGAGAAGGATACCTACATATGGTCTTTAATGGCCTGAGCATTTGGTCAGCACTGATCATGTCAAATAAAGGGAAGAGCTCGACCTGTCAATCAAGGAGCGATCTACGATCTCTCTGATTCTCTCCTGATTGGCTTCACTAGCAAACCACTCGGGGTCATAGCTGGGGAGCATACTGAGGCGCACCGTCTCCTTTATCATCTCAAGTGTCAAGCGTGACTTCGGTATACTTGGGATCTTGAGTCCGTATTTTGGGTCCCGGATAGGTGTGAATGTAGTACAAGCGAGTACGACGTGTGTCACACGAAAAGGTAGGGGAGTCGGATTCGTGCGATGAAAGGGTAAGAATAAAAGACTCTGAACGACGATGCCTTGAAATACGCGTGAGGTTCCGAGCTGTGGTGTGAATTGCCTTCCTTGGACCTACCTCCCATGGAATGACCGCAAAGAGCAACCTCGGTCCACTGAAGATGATGAATTAGAGAGAGAAGGTCTCTTGCCAGTGTTTCGATAGTAAAAGGGTCATCTTCTAGAGACTGGGAGTCTCCCATGCCTCTGCTCATAGTTAAACAAGGAGTCAGAAAGCGGTCTTTGACATTTACCTGTGATCATAGACCAATACTGTATCGAGTCAATTTATACGCATTGTTCGTTCGGTGTGTACTATTAACCACAGACCTTGTCGACATTTGGCTAGTAGCGATGATACTTTCTTCGTGTCCCCCCGACAGGATGTAGTACCACAGACGAACACGAAGGGAACTGATGTCTTGTGATTTGAGCCAAGCACCTCATATGCTAACTGAGCTCCATCGGGAAGTTGCAAAATGGAGTAGTCGTTCATCTTGACAGTTGTCAGTAGAACGCCAGCGAGGTCCCGCCTCGAAAAGGAAATCGATCGAGGTCACAGCATAAAACAGTCTCGTCGTGTGTTCGGCGCTTTCCGACCACGCCTTCCTTGGTACCGGTGGTAAGTTGTTCAAGATATCAAAAGATTTTGGCCTGATCTTGTTCCATCACATGATGATGGTCACTGCCGAAACTCTGAGCGCTGAGCAGCGGAACGTTCGGCTGCACGACCCGCAGTTGATGGCACATGCAGGAACACACGAATTTGCTGTACACTTCAGCCATGCAGAGCTTTGCTTCTGCCAATTCGGTTCAGCGATCATCGTCGGAAAATCATGATGCTTAAAGTACATATGAAAATCGTTCGCCCGCAGCAGTCATTGCCATGATCCTTCAAGCTTCAAGACCATTTCCCAGCTCATACTAAGTGACTAAAATTATAGATCTCATTTGCTCTCTGGTGACACGGCAAATCGGAAAAATCGGAAAATATTAACCGCACCCGCGTTATCTCTGGCGGTTCTGTCCAAGTTAGTGCAAAGATTGGTTCAGATATCCTAATTTCCTGCTGCTGTCGGTATGGTACTTTTGGATGAGCAGAACGAAGACGGCGATGTGTTATTACTTGGTACTTTAGCTGTGTTAATGCAATTGATAGTCGTGCTGTGTCACAGCTTTCATAGAACGTATGAGAAGTTCGGAATAGTCGGTAACTCACCCACGTTCTCCAATTTTCTTCTTTCTCTTCTGATTTCTGCCAGATCGCTCTGATCAGTACCTACTCTGGTCAGTCTCTCCAGTTGAGACATCAGGAGACGTAAAAATTATCGCCGATGTCATCCCAGGCGACACATCAGATTTCCCCTCCTCTCGTACCAGCATCTCCTCCCTTAACTGGTGGCGTCCGGCGCCATCACACGATCTCAGCTTCATCTCGTGCAGTGAGGGCTGGCGCTCGTGCTACCATTTCTGAAGAAACACAGGAGCAACAACTGTGGAATGATGATGAGCCTGTCGATGAAGATTGGGTCGGTGGAGTTGGCGCAGTGGGAGAGAAAACAGTCTCATTGCATCGACAAAGCTCTCTGCCCACAAAGTATAAAGGTATGTGAAAGTTACATCAGATCTTTGCTCACAGCTTACCGTTACATTCCCTCCAGCCTTCCATGGGCAGAAAAGCTCACGACAGACAGGGAATCTCACCCCAAGGACTATGAATAGTTTGTCCGCCATCGCTGGTCACGAAGGCGACGAAGAGGACTGGGAGAGCGAAATGAGAGGGTTGCATAATGACGACGAAGTGAGTCGCTGCTTAATTTATTTCTCCATCCTCTACGCTATTGGTAAACATTTCAACGCCATCTCACGGATATTCCAATATTGGACTCGTTACGTCTCTCATTAACTTGCATGCTTACCTGTATTCTCACAGCACGATATGTCCAACTCTGAGCCTGCCCAGCATCAACACGTCGTTGACGCCCAATCGCAGCCATCTACAGGCAATCCATCCCCTCTGTCACCTCAATACTCAACTTCGCACGTCCCTTCTCCGCCTCCCGCCGGGTCAGGCGTGCGGCGCCACCAGAGCCTGACTTATGGGGCTCAGAGTGGTGTCAGGCAAATGACCTCTTCGGGGCTCAAGCGTGCTGGGACTGTTCAAGGAAGTGGACGTCATCCCTCAGTCGGACATAGTCCCAGCCCCCCACAAGGAGAGGAGGAGTATATCGAGGAACAGGAGCTTGTCAATCCTTACGAAGACGAGTCCTACTTCGCCTCCCGGTCCCCTGTACCCGGCCAACAGCAGCAGCAGCAGCAATATACTGGCGGACAGTATCCAACAAGCCCTATGGGGCGGTCCTCTCCGTGGAATACACCCGGTGCTGGGGAGTGGCGGACCCCTGGTGGATCATTTGCTGCGGCTGGAAATCCCGACGACCTCGCGCGTGCTTTGTCCGGCCTCGAAATCAACAACAATATCTATGTCAGTAATATGGCATATCAGGCGGGACAATCTGCCCATCCTCCCCGGTTCCAACCCACTCATCCGCCCCCCGTCCTTTCCCCTGGTATGCGCTCGGGAAACGTACAGGGCGCCAGTAACGGCTCTCGCAAATTGCAGTTAAACACTGATCTTGATGGGCGGAAGACCCCAACTGCACAGCCCGGACCGGCGCCCGGCAGCGTCCCAGCGTACGCCCAGGCTCAACAACAAATGCATCAATCACGCGCTGGTTCCATGAACGATGCTGAACGTGCAATGGCTGCCACCGGTGCTACGTCTTGGGAGCAAAAAGAGAAGCTTGACCAACGCACTTCTAACCCCAACCTGAACTACCGATACAATCAGGGTCAAAAAGGCAACATCCCTAGCGTACCGTCCATTCCTTCGCAGTATCTCAATCAACAAAGCGGCCAAGCTCCGCGAATGGGGAATTCCTTTGGCCTGGGACAGACACAGAATGACAACAACACCCAACCCGTTCCTGGGTTCGTCAACACTCCTGTGGACGTTCCAACTCTGATTGCTGGAAAAGGTTACAATCCGCCCAATTTCGACGTTCGTCCTGGTTTTGTACGCTTTCATTGCTTTGTATGTCACTACCTTGATTAAACACTGCCTAGGCCCGCTATTTTGTTATCAAGTCATATACAGAAGATGACGTTCACAAATCTCTGAAGTACGAGATATGGAGTTCTACTGATCCTGGAAACAAGAGACTTGACAAGGCCTTCAAAGAATGTGGTGGGAGGGGTCCCATCTACCTTTTTTTCAGCGTGAATGCTAGGCAAGTAATTTGGTTATTCAATGCTAATGTATGCTCACCTTCACCTCCAGCGGACATTTTTGCGGAATGGCGGAAATGTTAACCCCAGTGCGTATACTTTGCTCCCGGATCTCCAAATATTCATCTTTTTCTTCCCTGTAGGTGGACTACACAAGAAGCAGTACAGTATGGGCGTCGGACAAATGGAAGGGTGTATTCAAAGTGCGATGGATCTTCGTTCGTGATATTCCGAATGCCAATTTGAGGCATATCCGCTTGAAGTAAGCTGCCGCACGAACAGAAGAACTTGTCTGCTTACCGTTCGGTTAGCAACACTCAAGAACGCAAGCCAGTGACAAACTCCCGAGACACCCAGGAGCTGTTACCTGAAGCTGGTCAAGAAATGCTTCGTATCTTCCACACCCACCCTGCGAGAACTTCTCTGCTGCAGGACTTTGCTTTTTACGAGGTGCGTGATGGAGAGTTTGTATTTGGGTTGGTGTTCATATCGCTAGCAGCTTCAAGCGATGCAGAAGATGCAGGTGAATCAGCATCAACAAGGGGGAACATCCGATGGTCCCACACCACCATCGCAATCTCCTCCCCCACAACAGGCTATGTTCCCGATGAACATGGCGAACATGGCGAACACCCCTGCTATGTACGGCGCAATGACGCCGGGCATGGGTGGTGCGTTGTCTCCGCATTTGCTCTCTATGCAAATGGGGATGGGCATGATGAGCCCACCCTTCAGTATGCAGCAGAGTCAGGCTATGCACCAGAGTGTCATGCGTCACCCCAGCCCTGGTCCTCCTGGACAGAACTTCATGGGTATGGGTAGCGTGCCCTACTAAAGCTAGCCCCTTCACGAATTTATGACCTTTCTCTTTCCCTCTGCAGAGGAATGTAAAAAATCCTTGATCGCTAACATTGGATATAGATTTATATGTTTTGTGCCGAATGTCTTCCTAGTTTGTATATCCGTCACTATGTTGAGTATCGCCGCCTCTTCATCTCTTCATCTTTCTCTTTCTCGTTTAATATTGTAACCATAGCCTCTCTTGTCTCCCTTGTCGCACATTCACCGAGACCGATATGCTACACTGCAGCTGTACAACGGCCATGGACATGGGACTTTGAATGGACGTGGATAACTGCTTGTTCGCTACATTGTAACTGTTTTGCCTGCTATTCCCTATCTATACTACATGCTGGTATTGCAAAAATCGAGAATTTCACTGCTATTTCTACCACATTACAATCTACTGTCCAGTAACAGCTCGTGCAACGCCTGGGCGACCCTCAATGCGAAAGAAGGGTCATTGATATTCACACCAAGCTCTTCCACTGGACACAGCAAACCACTCTTCAGTGCGTCCAGTAGAGCGCCGTCCGCTTCAGCATCGCGAAATGGACCTTTGTCTTTGTCGATACCCGAAAAGCCTTGCAAGGGCAGGATAACGCGTGTCTTATCGGTGGGTGCTCCCTTCAGCTTTTCTACCATGATCTGACCGAGCTTTGAGCATTCCTCGCGGGAGGTGCGCATCAGGGTGACTGAAGAGTTGTGATGACAGAATAGTCGCCCCTGGAATTGTTTCGGAATGGTATCCGCTGGTCCAAAGTTTACCATATCCAAGGCTCCCACTGACACCACCTGTGGAATACCACACCTTGCTGCTGCTTCGAGACGACGAGGACCAGCAGTGAGTACACCACCCACTAGTTCATCCGCAAGCTCAGTAGTGGTGATGTCAAGGACCCCAACAAAATGACCCTCGCGGACGAGTCTCTCCATTGCTAAGCCCCCAGCACCTGTAGCATGGAATGCCATTACAGAGTATCCCAGCTCCTCCAGCTTCTGGGTAGCTACTTGCACACATGGAGTGGTCAAGCCAAACATGCTGACTGCAATAGTCGGGCGTGATGACTTCAAATCCGCACGAATAAGAGAATGTTTCGCCATCCCTGAGATGGCATGTGCCGCATTTCTTAGGATGACTTCTAGTATTGAATTCATGCCGGCGACGTCGACGACAGAATACATCATTGTGATATCTGTTTCTCCCACATAGTGGGCAACGTTCCCCGGATGCCATGGTGGACAACATCAGCTTGGGAAAGCCGATGGGTAGGGCATCTCGGAATGCTTTCGTGCAGACACTCGTATTGCCCGAGCCTCCCGCGCCAATGACCCCTGCGATACTCTGAGTTGAGTGTAGACGTGCTAGGAGCTGAGTTAAGGCGATGGTCATAGTCTCCAGAGCTTGACTGCGGGAAGATGTATCATGAACAGTAGATGTACATTCCTTCAGTACATCTGAGCGGGGAATGTCGATGTCGCACAAATCAGATGGAGGATAGGACCCGATGTCGATCAGGATAGCCTCGCAGACGGCAGTTGATTGAATAGTTCTTTTGATGAAGAGAAGAGCCTCTAACTTGGTGTCGCAGGTACCTATAACTGCGACAGTGGGTGGCATTGTTAAAGCAGATCAGGTCTGGGAGACCTTGGCCCAACACGTTTGACGATATGGAGCCTGGGCCTTGCCTCGGATTATGTCATACATGTGGATGCGAGACGGAGCTCGTGGAAAAAGTGCGGGGCACTATTCTCGTCAGAGGTCCACAACTTGAATGACGGAGAAAGTGACCTCGAAGCGACAGCAAGTGCTGGAGCGGCTGAGAGATAACATCAGCCGAGGGGTGGCGATTGTGGGCGGAGGTGCAGGGGTTGGGCTCAGTGCAAAGATACAAGAGGCGGGGGGAATTGACCTCATCATCCTATACAACTCGGGTCGTTATCGGATGGCTGGTAGAGGATCCTTGGCGGTGCGTGATCTTGCTATGTCCACAGGGAACCAGCTGATTGATTGTTTAGGGTCTGATGCCTTACGGCGACGCGAATGCCATCATGCTTGAAATGGCCCGTGAAACTCTGACTATCGTGAAAGATACAGCGGTCTTAGCGGGGATATGCGGAACAGATCCATTTCGGGATATGTCACAGCTCCTGAAGGAGGTCAAAGACTTGGGCTTTACCGGAGTTCAAAACTTCCCTACAGTTGGCCTCATTGACGGTGTATTTCGACAGAACCTGGAGGAAACAGGAATGAGCTATGAGAAGGAAGTTGAAATGATCCGAATGGCACACGAATTCGATCTGCTGACAACACCATATGTCTTCAACGTCGACGAGGCCGAACGAATGGTGAGGGCGGGAGCTGATGTCATCGTAGCTCACATGGGCCTCACGACGAGCGGTACGATTGGTGCCAAAACTGCGTTGACCCTCGATGATTGTGTGGTCCGGGTTAAGAGGATTCTGGATGCAGCTGTGCAAATCAGACCAGAAATCCTAGTTCTTTGCCATGGCGGTCCCATTGCCACCCCATCAGACGCAAAATATGTCATTGAAAGGGTTCCGGGCATTCATGGTTTCTTTGGTGCTAGTTCGCTCGAGCGGCTGCCAGTCGAATCTGCTATGAAAGAGGTTGCACAAGAATTTAAAGCAATCCGTCTGCCTGCCCGCCTGGTAAGAATAATAAAACAATGTCCGAGTGTCAATACTAACAGTGATCCGATAGTAAAATACACAACGAGCGTATGATATGCGCCATATACCGTTGTCAACCTATGATTGAGGTGGCTGTTGACAGGGGATATAAGCTGGTAGTTGGTACCTGCGACACTACCGTACTGATAGCACGAGTTCAGACAGCTGAAAAACGATCCAGTGTATATCAGATATACCATGGTCATAAATGCAGATTGACAGACCAATATACTTATAACCACTGAAATCGAATCAGGGCCAAGTTCAGTAGTGGCTACTTATAGAGACGCGACTTGTAGAATCAACAAGGCAAAACAAGATCTTGCCAGTGACTTGTCGTCGGACCACAGTACCAGTAACAACATCTGTTGACGCGTTGTATCCCATAGCCTTTAGCTCAGCTGCGTTCAAGCCACCCACAAGTTTTTGAAGTCACGATGGCGCTCCTCTCAGACCGTCAAAAAGAAGAACTGTGCGTGGACCGGGGTCCGGAACATTTGTGTACTACTGACCATGACCGTCTATCGATATAGGCATAAATCCATGCTAGAGTACCTGCATACGAGCAATTTTACAGCAGCCTACAACGCATTAAAGGAGGACACAGGGGTGGAGTATACACCAGATCCCAAAGCCAAGTATGCGGGTCTGTTAGAGAAGAAATGGACTAGCGTTATACGGCTACAGAAGAAGGTGCGTTCCGAGATGTGCATTTAGCATCATGTTGATGATCGAACTCATGTGTCGTTGCAGATCATGGATCTCGAGACCCGAAATGCATCTCTTCAAGAAGAACTATCAATTGCTCCATCAAAACGTGCCGCAATGCAGGCGGATTGGGTACCTCGTGCTCCCGCAGCACACGTATTGACTGGCCACAGAGGTCACATCACGCGCGTCGCTTTCCATCCACAATACTCGATATTAGCCTCTGCAAGCGAGGATGCAACAGTGAAGATATGGGACTGGGAAACAGGCGACTTTGAACGGACGTTAAAGGGACACCACCGTGCCGTCCATGATGTCGATTTTGACCATAAGGGACACTTGCTCGGTGAGTGACACGCACGTGTGTGAAAGCACCACTGACGAGTCCGTATCGGCGATGATGTTCACAGTGACATGTTCATCTGACCTATTTATCAAGATATGGGACTCTGAAAATGAGTGGAAGAACACAAAGACACTATCAGGGCATGATCACTCGGTATCCTCGGTCCGATTTATGCCAGGAGATCAATATATTGTCAGTGCAAGTCGAGACAGCACAATTCGCGTTTTCGATGTTGCATCAACGTAGGAATACACTCTTGCATTTCTTCGAGGAAGCTGACTTCACATATAATAAAGACATCTAGTTCGAACGATCTCTGGTCATTCAGAATGGGTGCGTTGTGCAGTGCCCTCAGATGATGGCCGGCTACTTGCAAGCGCGTCAAAAGACAAGGTAAACCTTCATCTTTCGGTCAATAAACATCCTTTCATGTTCGAAATTTTAGACTGCAAAATTGTGGGATCCTCTGACTGGAGAATGCAAAGGAGAGCTAAGAGGGCATGATAACGAGTTGGAAGCGGTTTGCTTTGCACCCGTGGCTGCATACGCCGCCATTCGTGAGCTTGCGGGCCTGCCAGTAAGACCAGATAATTATCAGCAGCAATCACACATCTAAAATCATTCTCATCTAGAACGTGGGTCCCAAGGGTCCCGGGGCTTATGTCGCTACTGCATCCCGAGACAAGACCATCAAGCTTTGGGACGTCCAGAGCGGACAGATGATTAAGAACCTTGTGTGTATACTCTCCTTGGCGCAGACACCTACTGATCCTCCCTAGGCCGGACATGACAACTGGGTGCGCGCACTTGTCTTCCACCCCTCCGGCAAGCTCCTTCTGTCTGCGGCGGACGACAAGACAATACGTGTGTGGGAGCTGTCCACAGGGCGATGCATGAAGACCGTAGAGGCACATTCTCACTTTGTAGCAACGCTTGCATGGGGTCGGCAGAGGGTTTCCACAGCGAAATCAAACGGCGCGGACGCGAAGGCTGGCGAAGCAGAAAAGCTCGTCAATGTTGTTGCCTCTGCTGGCGTTGACCAGATAATCAAGATATGGCTTCCATGATACGTTCACTCAGAGAGCTTAAGCTACACTTTGAATTTGGCAGTATATGCGCTTTCGCACTTCGTTTCCATTCTCTGCGAGGCCTTAGTGAGTCCTTAGCCTTCCCATGGGTCTCGTAGCGGGGGCTGATATGCACTACTAGTTTGGCTACTAGGCGCGGCACATCGTACGACTCTCCTTACGACAAACCTATCACGATCATTCATTCACGAACTTTCTTCTTTCGCTCCCAAGATTCGGTTCCTTCAACATACCCATATTACTCCTATATATTCAGGTTGTAACACTGTACAAGATACATTCGGGTTCTTCGCAAACGGGACAGAAAGTCACACCAGTTAAACTATGTGCCATCAAATCCACAACACTCGGCATGATATGACAATCTTCGGGGCTCGCCAATGAGTTTGAACGGGGATCCGAACATCGTGTTTTGGTTTTGTCAGAGCACGCTATCCGACGAATTTGATGCCACTGGAAGCAATAACCCTGGAAGAGTTCGGAGTCTGTGCCAAACCTGTCTTCAGTGGCTACGCCAGATGTCTTTCTTACCTCTACCGGCGATGCGGTGGCCACCTGGTCGAATGACATCTCAAACTTACGCGCTTTTCAAAGGAGCTGTTTCTTGCTTTTGTATACCAAATGATGGTATGCTCTCTCAGGCACCTTCCTGCTAATAGTTCAGAGTGTATGACGCTGAGCACCAAGCTGCGCGCTCAAAGTGGCTAATTGCTCTACTTGTCACGCCCGCACCATTCCGTTCCACGATGCACCTTCGAATGTCTTAGTGTCAATATGCAAATACATCAATATTACCCTATCTTGAACGATGCTAGAACGCTCTTTTTTGTTGCTTCTGAGGCTTGGATAGTTACTTCTATCGCCCGCTAGCGAACCAGTTTCCCGAAATATCCTTCCTCGCACCATGGTATCTATTGGTCAAAAGCCATAGACAAAGGCCTTTGTCCTTGGTATTCTTGTACGTTTCGCAGACAACTGTAAGTGATGTCCCTAGCCCCATTTGCTACTCTAAGGCTGATTCTTTGTTATCGTTATTCGCCTTGTCGTCAGGTGATATCTGATATACATAATTAAGGCGCTTGCCCTTTTATGTATAAAAGGAATGTGCGCAAATGAACCTTGATGCATTTTCGCAGAGGAAAACGGACAGGAATATCCGTTTGACTGACAGATGTCCTATCATACCCACAGGAACAAGAAACCGGGCAATTTTTAAAAAAAATTAACATCACTTGAAACTTATCTTTAGGAAGCGGCTTCCGCTTTCATGTATGTGGGCTGAATGCGCTGATACAAACCAAATTTGTATCGATGCGGCTTTCCTGTTCTCTGATCAGAACGGAGTCAGGTCCTGAAATGAAGTTCGACAGCTTCTAGGATCCCGGGGGCCACACTACTTGCCAAGGGCCTTACATAACATCATTCGAGTCCCTTTTCTTTTTTTCTTACCATGTTTATGTGCTGAAAAAAATGCAGCATATAAGTTATTGGACTGAGAATACGATGAAGATTAATATTCACCATTTAAATTGAATGAGTGCAACCAGTTGAAGAGCGGCGGCGTGTCATCTTGATGCAGCGGCAATCATCGGTGGGAAAGGTACATAAGGTTCGAACTCGTCTGACACACATAGTCTCCTTTGAGTGCAAAAATTTTCTTGAAGGTACCAGTTCAAACGTTGGCCGAAGTTTTAGCTCAACTTCACCGAACGTAAATATGATGAGACCTGTACACCCTGAGTCCCTGACACGGGTGGATACGTTAATATGACCCCAAACGAAACGGACGTAAACTCAGGATAATTGCTGAATGATTGATCTCAGGACATGTCGAAGCAACGACTCGGAAACCATTTTCTTCGCTTGTACATATAGTCATAGCATCACGTATCACAACTTTAATCAGCCGCCCAAATTAGTCTTCGGGAGCGATTCGGCAATGTCCGTATACTTGGTGGTTGTACATATTGTGAGATTTGTGGTAAAGTCACTACACTAGTCCCGTCAACAATCGCGATGGCGCCCTCGTCATCGTTGTCGTCGTCGGGCGCGTCGACGTCCGTGCAAGTCGGTGAGCTTCGCACTAGACTTTTTATCTTACTTATTACTAATGTTCGGAATACAGCTCTGCGCATACGGCCAACGACTACACAGGACACTGTTTCCATTCCCGCTCGTTTTCAACGAACTGTCATTCATGGAACGTCTTCTACTAGCGTGACCGTAGATGCTTCCTCCGCCGCTCCTACTGCATCTGGTTCTGCTACTGCCGTCGCAACTCCATCCGCCGCCGGGAAAAAGCAGGTGTTCACCTTCGATCAAGTCCATCCTCCCACCGTTACCCAGCACTCACTCTTCACAAGCACTGCCCAACCCCTCATCTCCCGTTTTATGGAAGGTTTTAATTGCACAATTCTGGCCTACGGACAAACAAGCAGCGGAAAGACATTTACCATGACTGGTGTGGACCTTGATGCGGACCCCTCAGATCCTAATAATGGCATGGGCATTATACCGAGAGCTGTTTCTACTATATTCTCGCAGGCGAGAAAACTTAAAGAACAACGTGGCGGTACCTGGAATTACAGCATAAAAGGGTCATTTATAGAAGTGTATAACGAGGATTTGATTGACTTGCTTAGTTCCGACGAGGCAACTGGTTTGCGGCGCGAGGTACAGATTAGAGAAGGGAAAGATGGGTCTATAATCTGGGGTGGCCTGCGTGAAGTCACGGTGCGAAATAGCAATGAAGTCATGCAGTAAGTCTTCTTCCTTAATCAATGACTTAGCTGAGAAGACGAATTTTCTAGCCTTATCCGCCAGGGAACTGCGATAAGAAGGACAAATGAAACTGATATGAACGCTCAATCGTCTCGCTCCCATGCGATCTTTTCTCTGACACTGATTCAGAAGAAATACACTGGCTCGGGCGTACCAACTCGTTCATCTTCACCCTTACCACCTGGTGGCCGTTCCCCGTCGCGTCTTGCTCGTCCTGGATCAATATACACAGGTGGTAACTCTCCCAATGCAAGAGTATCGTCGCCTACTATGGGTAGGCCATCAACTCCGAGTTTCCAGGTAGCTATGGGTCGAGGCGGAGGATTGCGTCCTGCAAGTTCTCTTGGTCTTCGTCCCCCTGATAACCGTCAAGATGATGACGAAAGCAGCGAGTGGACAACTATAGTGTCCAAATTTCATTTTGTCGACCTGGCCGGTTCGGAGCGCGTATGTTATGCGTGCAATTTTGGTCTTGAAACTTTGATATGCTAAACTTCCCTTGCAGTTAAAACGTACCGCTGCTGCGGGAGAGCGAATCAAAGAGGGAATTTCCATCAACAGCGGCCTCCTCGCTCTCGGTAACGTCATATCGGCGCTAGGCGACCCTTCACGTGCGAAGTCGCATACTAACTCTCATGTCCCCTATCGCGACTCCAAGCTCACCCGCCTCCTTCAAGACTCGCTTGGTGGCAATGCTCACACACTCATGATAGCTTGTGTCAGTCCCACGGAGTGGAACGTCGGTGAAACTGTCAACACTTTGAAGTATGCCAACCGCGCCCGAAATATCAAGAATCGTGCGGTTGTCAACGAAAAGGAGGATGGTTGGGATGATATCGAATGGCTACAAGGAACGGTCACTCGTCTTCGCAAGGAGGTCAAACAACTTAAAGAAGGTGGCACCATCATTCCTCGGAATCCCTCTTCAGCCGTTGGTGAGGTGACGGAGGGAAACTCCAAAAAGATTCTTGCACAAATGACAGACCTCCAGAATAATTACGAGAGTCTACGCGAGAAATACGTGGAGCGGACGGAAGACCTCGCTCGCTTACGCCGCGAGATTGGCGAGCGTCACCGCACATCATCTGGCGGGACTGTTGGCGGTACAGGTAAATACGAAGAAATTGTTGGACCGGTCATCGAGGAATACGAGAAGACCATCAGCGCTATGGAGGCCGAGTTAGGCCTCAATCGCGCTGCGCTCAGACTCACCAATGACATGATGGAGGAAAAAGAAGAAGAACTTGCCCAGATTTCCGAGAGACATTCTGTGACTGAATTATACGTTGAAGAGCTTCGCACGCGGCTGGCGAAGCTTACGGAACGGGAAGCATCAACTGAGGTTCGCAACGATTTTATTAAATAAAAGCGCATTTCTAATTAAATTCATTCAACGCAGGCTTATGTCCGTGACCTAGAGGAGAAGATGAAGTCTTTCGACGAAACATCTTTGTCATCGAGCGAGTCCTTGACTGACCTGAAGCGCGAGGTCTCCCGCTATAAAGAAGCCGAATCACACTCAACCTCATACATAGCTGACCTCGAGGCTCGCCTCGCCCGTTCCGACGAATCGGTGCTTACCTTGCAACAGACGATCGAGCGACTCGAGAATGACTGTGAACGTCGAAGAGAGGAGGTAGATAATCTGACGACACGCTTGGAGAATCTTAGCCGGGACGGTGCTAGTTGGCGGACTGATCTCGAAGAAAGGGAGAGGAAGGTCAAAGAACTGGAGCAGAAGATGGAAGCCTGGGAACGAAAGAGGAAGGAGGCCAATGAAGATCGCATACGGCTTGGTGACGTGGTTGGTGAGGTTGAATCGGCGAAACGTAGTCTCGAGTCCCTGAACGGGGGGAGCACCAAAGTCAGCTTCCCTAGTACTTCCGGTGCCAGCACGCCTACTGCTGTGAACCTTTCCGTCGAGAATCAATTGGTCGCCCTGCAGCAAACTCACGCTGCGACACTCATGGATCTCTCGTCTGTTTCCAAGAAGTACCAGGATGCCCTTCAGGAGATTGCCGATCTTGCTGCTCAAATTCAGGAAGCTAAACTCAGCAATCCAACGATCCCGGAGACTTCGGCCGTTGATAAATTGGACACCCCAGTATTCCGTCGTCGAATGACGTCTTCCAGGAGTCGAGAGGGCCTTGCTGAGCCTCCATATGATGCAGCTGGTAGGCGTCTTTTCTTCAGGCAAGCAGCCTCCGTAGATTCTCTCCATGGAAGGTGTGTTATGATTGACATCTGTCTTTCATGGAATTTGATTTTTTTTGCAGGGCGGTACATCAGTCGTTACCGCAATCACTTTCGCTTTCACAGGAGCTCTCATCAGTGAGGTCTCGAGAGACTTCGGTATCAAGCCACGGAAGCAGTGGTTCCGTCTCGTACTCTCCAACGCATCGTCCGAACCTCTCCATATCTCTTTCTAGTGTTACTGGTACTACCACTCCTACTGAACAGCGCTCTGCAGTGAGCATGGAGAAGGAGATCATGCGCTTACAAGAAGTTCTTAGGGAGCGTGAAACTGAAATTAGCGCTCTCGAGTCTTCGTTGAAGGAAAGGGAACAGGCAACACCAATTCCTGTTGAACCGCATGTTCTCCAATGCACAGAGGCCGATGATTTGACACACCTTTCGCCCAAGACGATTCAGAAGTTCGACGCCGTTCGAAAGAGCATGAAGCTACATCACAATCTCATTTCTGATGTCGACGTCGACATACCTGACAACGATGTCGATGAATCGCTTGACAGGTTAAATGAACTCATGCTGTATGTTCATAGCATATGTCTTATTCTGTTTTCTAATTTCTCGTTTATTGTCTAGGTCTATGGCACAAAAGGAGTCTCAGCACAAAGAACTCGTTGATTCTCTTCATGGTCAACTTGCTCTGGTGCAACGTGCGCACGATGAATTGACCAATCTTTCTAGGGATCAGGTAGGCAGGCAACTCGGGTACCTATCAAAGACTGACAGTATGCAGGCGCTGAACATGTCGACCGAACTTGAAGGTCTTCGTGCCACACACAACGAAGATCTTTTGGAGTTGGAGACAGTCAAGCAGCGTGAGGCAGAGCTTCTCGCATCCATCAAGACAGCTCACGAGAGTCACGCTGCCGAGCTTGCGGGGCTCAGGTCTGAACACGAAGATGCTCTTCGTGCGAAGGGAATCGAGGTTGAGGAGCTAATCTCTCGCTTGAAAAGCGAGCATGAGACATCTCTTGGTACTTTACGAGATCAGTTGTCAGAGGCATCCGCAGCTCTGGAGAAGGCCCTCGAGGAGCATGAGAGTGCATTCGGCAAGCTGCAGACTGAACACAACGAGGTCCTCCAGCGACATTCTCAGGAGGCTAAGGAGATTCTAGAGCGTACTATGGAAGAGCATCAGCACGCCATGGCCAAATCCGAGGCCGAGCACGCAGAAGTCTTGAAGTCCAAAGACGAGCAAGCGGCTATCGACCTCCACCGCACCGAAGAGGAGTACTACAATGCGCTCACTAAACTTCGCAAGGACCACACAGATGCTTTGCAAAGGCAAGCCACCGAGGCCGCTGCGATGCTTGAGCGTTTGCGTGAGGATCACGCTAGCGAGCTTCGCATGTCTGAGAAAGCTCGTGAATGTTCCCTATCGGAGTCGGAGTCGTCTCGTGATTCGGCGCTCCGTGAACTTCAGGATGAGCATGCTGCTGCCATTGCGAGAAAGGAGGCTGCGTATGCGGAGGATGTAGAGAAACTCAAAACTGAGCATGCGCGCCTCCTTTCGAACAAAGAGGAGGACTACAGAGCAAGGCGTGAGCATTTGAAATCTGAGCATGCCACTGCCATGGCTGTCCTCAGGGAGGAGTCGGAAGCCCAAGTCGAGCAGCTCACGAAGTCCCTGGCGCGTCTGGAAGAAGAAACGGCTGCTACAGTGGTGAAGTTGCGCGAGGAGCATGCATCTGCTACTCAGATTCTGACAGAACAGCATGGAGTGTCACTGCTACAGATCACTCGTGACCACGAGGAAGAGACTGCTCGGCTCAAGTTGTTGCATGACTCTGAACTCAACGACGCGGTTGCAAAGGCTCAGGAAGAACGTGCATCCCTGCTCACCTCTCACGCAGCGGCAATCGCGAATCTCGAATCTGAACACCAGATGTTACTCGCCGAAGTTCAAGCGTCCCTTGTCGCTGCTCAAGCCAAGCACGCTTCCGACCTCCAAGAGTCTCAAACAGCAAGTGAGGTTATGCTTGCAGAGGAACGGAAACGCCTTGCTGCCACTGTTGCCAACCTTGAGCAGAAACACTCTGATGAGCGTGATACTCTTCGCATGGAGCAAGATCATCTCCGTCAAGAACTGGAGTCCCACAAAGTCGCGATCCTGGATGTTCAAGAACAAAGTGAACGAGGAGTGCTTGCAGAGAGACAGCGTTCACAGTCGGCAGTTACTGAGCTCCAGGAGAAGTACTCTACTGAACGCACCACGATGCGCGAGGACTACAACACGCTTGTTCAGGAGCTCGCGACTCACAAAGCTGCTGCAAGCGAATTGGTGACTGTACGTGCACATTACGAATTGGCTGTGTCCGAACAGACGACTGCCATGGCATCCTTGGAGAAAAGTTTGGCTGGTACACAATCAGAAAACGTAGACCTTCAGGCGCAGGTAACCAAACTGATGGCTGAACTGGAGAGGACGCGGTCAGAACGAGCCACGTTTATCCAGGAAGCATCCAAGCGCGAATCGTTGGTTGACGAGCTTGATAGACATCGCTCCCTTATCGCTGAGCTGCAAGAGACTCTTGAGCGTGTTAAAGACGAGAAAGATAACTTGCAGTTGGAAAGGAACAAGCAGGAAACTGTTATGCGCGACATGCAAATGCAGATTGCACGCACACCGATCATTCAGGAGACCTCGACACCGCGATCAACACCTGATCGCAATGTTCCCTTTACTCGTCTCAACGGCATGACCTCCAAGCTTCCTCCCCCGACTCCCCCACCATCCATGCCACCTCCGCCAGCACCGAAAACTCAGGAATCCCAATTCAGTTTATCTTCTCAATCTTCTAATGTGTCTTCGAAAGACTCTACCGAATCTTCTGCTACGTCGGTTGCCTCTGCACTAGACTCCAAGGCCATCGCTGCCAAGCTGGAGGATCAAGCGAAGCATATTGATGAACAGGAGGTGATGATCAAAACACTTAACAAACAGCTATCGCACTGTGAGAGTGATTTGGCTACTCACATGGACCTTGTGAGCACGCTAGAGACGTCGTTGAGCGAATCTGAGAAGAATCGTATGTATCTTTCCTTGCTTACCATAGCGTTTGAGCTAACCATTTATATTTATCTTGCAGTTCGCAAAGCGCGTATGCAAGCAACGGAGCTTGCGAGGGAACGAGACTCGCTCAATTCCCAAATTGAGGGCCTTCGCAACGAGTTACAGGAAGCGCGCCGTGAGGTTGTTACTGTTCGGAAATCGATTGTAGAAGAAAAACAGTCCCTCGAATCGCGTCTTGACGAGGAACGACGTGCGAAGGAACGCGCTCGTGCTCAGCTCGACTCTCGGATGGAGGAGTTACAAAAACGAAAGTCGAAGTTTGCCTGTCTATAGCGTGCCTGTCGCATTCATATCTTTTTGGCCTGTGAGTTATTGCAACTTATATCGGACCACTATGCTATCCTTTTTGCACCTTGCTTATTATACCAATTTTCGCGAGCTGCGATATCAGTTAGCGTTTATGTCTCTTGTGTCCTATACCCCTTGGAGCTAGTTTATCGCGTCTACTATGGGTATCCCTTGGTATGTTTGTCCGTACCCTGTTATAATATGATGCAGTTCGGATCTTTGTTAACTCGTGTTTCGGTTATGATCCGCCTGAACGTGTGTCGTTACCGTGGCGTTTATGTCGGTCGCTGTTCGCGAGTCATGCAGAACATGCCCTCGGACATTTCAGCATGGGAACCTAGTAAAAAAAATACTACACGCTGTCTAGTTGTTCTACCAGCCAAGCTTCGAATTCACAAAATCAAAGGTGTTCGAAGTCGATATGATTTTTTTGTTGTAAACATCGTTGAACAATGGTTTGAGGAATAATTTTCCCCGCGGTCGTATTCCCCGCAAATTTGAGGTGGAGAAATTTCGTAAGTGACGTTGCTGTCGGACCGGCTTATTATGTAGCATACCAATGCTAGGCTAAGGCGGCGACTTTAAATTCCACTTCACAAACTTTGTCTCCTCCCACCCTCCGTCTCCCACTATGTCCTTCATCTTTTTTGCTCGTGCTGCTCCCGCCGTCCGGCGGTCAACAATCCTCACTCGCACTGCTCAGTCTTGTATGAGATTCCAGAGTACTGCGCCAACAAAACTGAAACACGTTCCTCGCGTTCTTCCTTCGTTCTCTCTTGAGGGAAAGGTGAGCTTTTCTGTTTCATCCTTTGGCTCGATTGAGCGTTCTAACTGTTTTCCAGGTCTGTCTAGTCACTGGTGCTGCCAGAGGTCTAGGTAATGAATTCTGTCGTGCATTCATACAATCGTTCGTCATTTTAGACTAACCGTGATGAAGGACTGATACATTTTGTATCGTAGTGGATGCACGGAACTAGCTATTGTGGATCTGAAGGAGAGTGAGGCGCAAGCTGCGGCTGCTGAACTAGTCTCAAACGCATGCCGTTCGTAGTCTGCTGTGTTCTGATGACACTACTGAAGAGCACCAAGTTAACAGCGACATGACCCCGGAAGACTTTAACGTGATTGGCGTAGGATGCGACGTGTCATCAGAGCTATCAGTGCAGCGCGCATTTGAGCAAGTCATGGATACGTACGGACGATTGGATTCGGTGGTTGCATCTGCAGGTAAGTCAGTCCGTTTGCCGCAAGGAACACGAAATAATCTGATGTAATACTCAGGAATTGTGGAGAACTATTCTGCATTTGAGTAAGTTGCGTCCGATTGGAGCGCTTTGTGGAGCTGACAACCTGACAGTTACCCATTCGATCGAATAAAGCGCTTGTATGACATCAACGTTCACGGAGCTTTCTTTACTGCGCGAGAAGCTGCTCGGAACATGATTCCTCAAGGAGGAGGCTCCATCGTCCTTGTTGCTAGTATGAGTGCATCGGTATGTTGATCTGTGCAGACGTTCCTTTGCGAAATGCCACTGATGATGTGTCGGTGCAGATTATCAACATCCCGCAGGTGAGTCATTGATGCCTCAATAAACTCGGCGAGAGGATCTAACGCCTCGGGAATAGCCGCAAACACCTTACAATGCTTCAAAAGCGGGTGTGTCCACATTCCACAATCCCTGGGAATAAGGTCACTGATACGATATCATTCTGATAGCGGTCCGTCACATGGCGTCAAGTTTGGGAGTGGAGTGGGCAAAGAAGGGTGTACGAGTTAATACGCTGAGGTTCGTCTTACGTTTTCCGGGCTAACTTGTGGCTGATACACGTCATGAAGTCCTGGATACATGTTGACAAAGCTTACCAAAACGATCCTCGCTCATGACCAAGATCTGAAGGTTGGTGCACGTTGGGTAAACTTGCTCGCTTGAAAGCTAATGGTAGTACAGAAAACCTGGGAGAGTCTGACGCCTATGGGCAAGGTGAGATCAACCTTTAAGATTTAAACGTCCTGTTGACTGGGAGAACAACTAGATGGGTGAACCAGAGGACCTGGCTGGTGCCATTGTCTTCCTGGCAAGTGACGCATCTAAATTTATGACCGGTGCCGAAGTCCGCGTGGATGGAGGCTATTGCGTTATCTGAGCCAGTCATTCTTGTTCTTGGATCGTATCAAATGTTGGGAGTATATCACATAGAGTTTTTTCACTAGAGTAATTTCAGCTGTTTATAATACATGGTTTTAGTGTGTCCCGCTTCATGGTTGTGAGCCAAAAAAACGCGGATTCGGCTAGACGAGTCCTCGATGCAATTACGTGATTGAATGTTGTTGAGAAAAGTTCTGCAACACTCTCGTCGCTTCGAACTATGAAGAACATTACGAGATGGGGATAAGTTACCAAAAAGGGGGTAACCATTAGTCGATGGGTCAAGCTGAATGACATCATCGGTAGGTGCTATTTAGACTTTCGATCCCGCATCGAGTTTTTCACCCTCCTTTCTACTTAAACACGCTTTCTCAATTGATCAGAGTCAAAATCATGTCCCCAAATTCGCAAAATCCTAATGTCACCCATAGGCCTTCCTCCTTGTCCAGATCCCAAAACACGGCACCCTCCTTAACATCCAATATGTCTAGTAACATACCCAGCTCCGTTTCCAACGCAGCGAACTCTATGTCGTCTACCTTTGAATTCACCAAGCGGAAACGCTGGGCAGATCTTCTGATACATGAATTGTCAGAGGCGATTATTTTTGTGCTCTCCAACGAGTGCAAGGTCTTATTTTGCTCAAGGGCCGTCTCAGAATTACTGGGTTGGCGTGATACAGAACTTATTGACAAGGATCTCGTTGACTTCGCCAACGGTAAGCATGTTTACTGTGTTTCAATCGTGTTACCCGCGTGTGCTCATTTGTCATTCATTTCTTCAGGCGAAGATAAGCATGCTTTCCGTGCGTCGTTTGAACAATCACTGCGCTTGCGCATGGAAATGCTGTCATATGTTCGGTTCAAATGTCAAAGCGAGTATGCTTTCCCTGCCAAGGAGGTTCTCTTCGAAGTCAAGGGTTACCCTCACTACATCGATGGTGAACAATACGCGCGTTGCTTCTTTGCAGTGGCAAAACCGTATCCGAGTCGGAACACAGCAATGTAAGTGCATAAGCATGAACACATAAGTCAAATTTAGCACGGTTTCTCAGCTGTCTGATGGAATGTTCTTATACTCAATAGGTTAAACACATTTCTTGAGCTCAAGATTGAAAATGAACGGTTGCAACAGCGCCTCGCAGATCTCAGAGTCCGGATGCCGCCACCTTCTGTTGCTCATACTGGTCAATCGATGGCTTCCATGTATTCTACATCTTCCAGTCCATGTGGGCCTGTCCCAACGGTGACCCACCGCCCTGTGCGCGATTTCCCCGCCACGTGTTATACCACCCATCAGACCAACACGTCGTATGACGATTTGGTGACACAAACAAATCACCATCAACCACGGGGCTTCGCTGATTCTCCCAACGTGCTCACATATGGTAGCTACGCTCTTGCCGGTCAACAAGCGCAACAGCCAACAGAAGACAATTATGGCGACGATGCTGCCAGAAGGAAAAGAGTGTGTATCGCTATCGAACGGGAGTATCTGACCTTATCGACGACCCAGATCCGCAAGATGCACGCTGCCGAACAATACGTTTGCGTTACATGTGGGCGTACTGATTCCCCAGAATGGCGCAAGGTCTGTGGCTTGCATCTTTCATATTCCATAGTTGAATTGGACCGATATATTCTCAGGGCCCTCAAGGGCCAAAAACCCTTTGCAATGCCTGTGGTTTGCGATGGGCAAAACAAGTCCGCACCAAACAGGATGAGGAACAACCTAGCGCTGGACCTAGCACCTGAATTCTGTTCCGTGTCATTCGGCACGTCACACCTGATAGCATACCGCCTATCACGGACACATTTTTCTCTCAGTTGATGTTGAGGGTTAGGGTGGCGTGCGGCGGCCATCTTGTTCATGATGGGCCTGCGAAAATAATCGCCGAGTTGTTTTGGAACACTTTACGATATCAGTTTCTTGCATAGAACTCTTATATACACGGATACGTAATATGTATATTAACCATTATGCTCTTGAACCGACCCGTGCGCGTGATGGGTCTGAACCTACAAGTTGGCGCGCCGCGACTCGTCGCTATATTGGAAGTCCGTGAAGTGAGGCTTGGACCTCTCATTCGTGACTTTTGTTTATAACGCTTAATTTAAAAGCACTACTTCACTGAGAACGTTCTACATCATATACTGGCATGTTTCAACTTGAAACAAAAAATCCGTTCAACGAGACATTATGGAGATCGTATTTTCAGCGAATCACCGCCTTGGTCCCTGCCGATATCGGACATTAAATTTTACAGCAGCTACTACAGTTGATTCAGAACGCTGAACTTGGGGCGTCACCATGGCACCTGGTGGCGTCTACTAACCCTAACTTGAGGTATGGGTCCAGGATTCAAGCTGCATGAATATTTCAGTAGTACACAAGGTCTGATTATATATTTTCCGAGTTCCTGATGCTAATTTCATTGTACAGGTCACGCAGCATATTCTTAAAGACCGAAGCAAGGGTCTGTATGTGTTTCGCAGGGATTTCGTTAAGAGGAAGCTGCCCAGAAAAAAAGCCGAAAACCATAGCAATAATATTAATGTTCGGCCCTCGTGCCCTGAAGAAGACATCGTATTCCGACGGCTCGTTATCATACAATCGTAAGTATGACCTCGTCACTATCGTCGGCTACCAAGAGATGCGGACAATGATTGAACTGACTGCACGAATTAAAGAACACATTGCAGGAAATCCAGCCAGCCCAAGGTTCGCGGGAGTAAACAAATGGGGAGATGTATCGGAAATGGCCAGTCTGTATGAAGTCTGTACAGACTCCGCGCAAACTTAGTCTTGGGACGTTCTGTGATCAGAAAGTTCCGGGCACAATGTCTGCATCATCGCAACTACCCTGCTGGAGTCTACGTCAGCCATCATCACGCATCCCGTCATCTATGTCAACCGTCATGCCAATCGTCATCATTATCAGCTTGCTGTCACGGTTCTAGTCATCTGGAGGGACGACATGACAGCCGTTGACTGAGAGCTGCAGACAACGACACGGGTAGGAAATAGGCAAACACAGAGGAAGTAGCAGACAGATGGGCAAGCGTGAGAGACTCGGCGCTCGCAAGGATCAGAAGAGTGAAGGTAAAGACCCTGATGGCTGTCCCAGGCAAGCAGGGCATTGTGCGGCCTGGACAGATTTTCCCGCACTTTCTGGATTCAAGCAACCCACTGACACGACACAAATCTGCATCCAATTTGTAGACTTTACGCAGACCAGTCAAATCCCGCACTTTCTGAAGAAATGGGCGAGCGTCGGTAGCTTCAACTTCAAGCTGATTCCAAAAAATGCCACCAAAACTTTCTGCAACCTCCGGTTCCTCCTAACCCGGGCACTCGATACCACCACGTTGGATACATCCGTCATCTCACACTGGTTTCAGCATTCCCGCACCACGTGCACCATATACATATATTCTTTTCGCTCAGTCCCCATGTCCGTCATAGGCTTCACAAGTTATCTATCCATACCCGCTGGCATATTCACTTACTACGTCCCCAGCAATATTTTACACAGCCTGAATGATTTGCATTTGGCTCTACATGATTCTGCGTGCATACTGTAGCTTGCAGATTTACTAATAGCATCCCCCTAATCCTGTTGGTTGAAATCCACATCGCGAACTGAGTCCAATGTCTGCCGAGAAGCCGAGCAGACTCAGTGTGACTGCCTGTTACCATTTGTGACATAAGTGTGACTCACGATTCAGACATACGAATAGGCCGTTTCGTAAACCGTAGTACTAGTGTAAACGGACTTACACTCATCTGCAGAGTAGACTGCTCGTCCTCTGCGTTAAATTCTGCCAAATTAGTTACGACACCATGTCTGCGCCAGAAGTATATTCAATCGCCAAAACTCCAGTGACGTGCCACGCATTCAACGCGGACCGCAGCCGTACGTCCTACCCCGAAGTATCTTTTGAATGCTAAGCAGCGAGCATATCCTTCGACGCAGAGGTTGCTGTGAGCTTGAATGACAACAACGTCCAGATTTATGCCAAGGAGGGCAAAGAGTGGATTTTATCCGAGACACTCTCCGAGGTGTGTCATGCTCACTACTGGTCCTTTAACATGTAATGACCACTGATTCTTCAGCACGATAAACTGATCACGTCTATCGATTGGGCCCCGAATTCTAACCGCATCGTCACCGCCTCACAAGATCGCAATGCATACGTTTGGTCCCTCTCTCCCGATCCGCTTACTGGAAAGTTGATCTGGAAGCCTACCTTGGTGCTTCTTCGTATCAACAGAGCCGCCACCTTTGTCCGTTGGAGCCCTAATGAAGATAAATTTGCAGTTGCCAGTGGTGCGAGGTACGTATCCTCTTCTTTGCCAGATGATGTCATTTTATCAAATATATCTACACGCAGGGCGATTGCTATTTGTTCATTTGATCCCGAGAACAATTGGTGGGTGGCAAGGCAGCTCAAGAAACCAATCAGATCGACCGTCCTGTCTGTCGATTGGCATCCGAACAATGTCTTGTTGGCTGCAGGGAGCGCTGATATGAAAGCACGTGTGTTCTCCGCTTACATCAAAGATGTGGACAAGAGGTAATGACGTGTTCTAGATTGCAATGATATCGTTTACATTTAATCTGTAGGCCATCGCCTACCATCTGGGGCGAGAAGCTTCCCTTCAACACTATCTGTGGAGAATACAGCAGCCCCGCAGGTGGATGGGTTCACGCAGTCGGATTTTCTCCTTCTGGAGATGTCCTAGCTTTTGCTAGTAAGTTGCAGCATATTGACGTTGTCAGCGGGAAAACCCACGATTTTCACAGGTCATGACAGTTCCATCAGCATCGTTTACCCTGGTGGTCCGACGATTTACAACATTCGCATTAGTTCTCTGCCATACGTAACTTTATCTTGGACTTCCGAAGATGCCCTGGTTGCTGCTGGCCACGATTGTCAACCTGTTGTTTTCTCCGGCTCGGAGCAGGGTTGGGCTCTTATTGGCACTTTAGATGATGTCACCTCTTCTGGTGCATCGAAGGCTCATGGTGCAAGGGCTGGGACTGTTGGGAGGTTGAACAGTGCAGCGTTCAACACGTTCAGGAATGCGGATACGCGTGGACAAAGTGGAGGAGACAGTTCTTCTGATACGGAACTGCTCACCGTGCATCAGAACACGATCACTAGCGTCAGGCCGTACGCGTATGGTGGCGAGGGAATTGTTAGTAGGGTGAGCACCACGGGAGTGGATGGAAAGCTTGTCATCTGGGATGTTAATGCCGTGTCGGCCCTCACTGGAAAGATGGGCGGCTTAAGGGTTTAACGCTATGATAATTGTACAGTGAATAACGTGGTAGTAAGAGTGCACGAAATAATTGAATGAGTATCATCTTCGTAGAGTAGTATCAGCCATCGCGTACGGGTATCCACCCTCAGCTTCCTGGACTGGCTGCTCGTTGATGACGCCCCAGACTGATGCTTTGAACTGTACCATCTAGATCAGCCTGAAATTGCAGAAGTAAAGGGGTATCGGAATACCAAGGTCAAGACCAAGCCCATTTTTCTCTCCAACACTCTTAAACGCGCAATAAGATTCTCATCTGGCCCCTCTGATAGTTGTTTCGTGGTAACGGTCAGCTGCCGCACAGATTCATCTCATTGACACTCGAAGAGGTATGGGACCCACATCTTTGACGTGTTGTGATAGTTTTGCGTACTCCCAGAGAACATCTGCCTCGAGTGTGGTCAGACTGGGGTGCGATTCGTACGGGTTCGCGTCGAATATGCCGACGAGGGGCCCAGACATGATTGTGAAACCCACAAAAGATTGGTCGGAAGTAGGTATTACCAGATGCTAAACTTTGCGAGACCCGCAATCTTGAAGTTTGGGTTGTCTCAAGTATGTGTGCGGTAGAGCGGTAAAGTTCCTTTTTGGACTCCCGAACCGGCGGAAAACAAGATCATTGAGTCCGAATTGATACCGCGCGATACTATAAACGAGTATGTTTTATGAGACCAACTCTCCTGTAACGCTGAAGAGGTTGCCGCTATTCCCTAGGATCGTCATAGTGGTGGAATCGTGTACGCGTAAAAAAAGCCCAACAAGAGCCTCGAAGAATCAACAAGGCGTTGTAGCTTGCCGGCTCCTACTCAACGCGCGAGGCATAAATCGTTTACCCGCGTTTGCTAATGAGTATTAGCTTGATTTAAAACATTTGCTCTTGTCTTGTTCTATGCGGCCATACGCGATCCTACGCGATCATGTCTGCTCACGAAAAATAATTTTATCCGATACTTCCGAATTACCAACTGTTTCTCACGGTCGAAAACTGGCTCAAAGTTGCCTTATTTGGTTATCCCTCCTTGGACGCAACAATATCAGCATGCTCCCCTAGTAAACAATAGTCCTGGGATAGCCCGATCCCTTAAAATACAACGGGTGTTTGTCTCTTGATTTACTCCGTCTTCACTTCCTAACATCATCACACATGCATTCGCCCCCTGTAACTTCATCACGTCCATTCGCACCAAGACCCTTCCCTCCTCCATCCCTCACTGATGTCCCTCATGAATATATCGTCGACCAGCTCAGAACTCTCGCGTCTCACTACTGGGATAGGCCCCAGACCGCAGATTGTACCATCAGTATGTTTTTAAATCTTTTATTGACCGAACCTTCTCATCTCTTCGGCAGTCGTACCTGTTCCACATCATCGACCACGTCCAGCAAATGATTCCCCAACCACTTCGTCAGACTCTTCACCGGAGCCCTCACCGAGTATTCAGGTAGACACTGGAAGACGGGTCACAGAACCTACTATCCATGCCGTACCTCGAATGAAGTTAAGAGTGAGTCATGCTGTTCATCGAAGACGCATCGTCCTTATTGTTTTGCGTTCGTAGTTACATATGGACTACCTCTCTTCGCATTCAACGTTATTACGAGGTCTCTTCAGTGGTGCATCGCCCAATGATCTCATTCACACTGGCGCCACTCAACCCCGACCCCGACATCCTCCCCTGCATGTTCCAGACAGCCGTCTTCCTTCTCTTCTACCTTCTCCGCCGTCGCACCCTACTCTATTTCTCCCCGTTCCTGATCCATCCTCCATACGTCTCATTTTTCATTGGATGTACTTTGGGCAGACGACGCTCATGGAAGACTGTCTAAATCGGGGTGTCATCCACTGGGAGGGGATCGCGCGCAACGTGGAGTACTTGGGGCTTCCCACAGATATAAAAGTGTTCCTGGGGCGGTGGTACAGGAACTGGCTTCTTCCGGCTCACAGCCGGGGCGGTTATGCGACCTATTCGCTCACGGATGATGACGATTCTGACATTGAGCTGGAACTCGATGATGATGACGATGATGACGACGAGACGGATGACGACGACTACTCAGCTGATATCTCATGCGCGGAGGATGATGTAGATGCCATCGCAGATTTCGAGCGGGGCCGTACGCGAACGATACGCCCCTTGGCGCGGCTATGCGGGAAGTTACAGATGTGTGGAGTATGACAGGCATCTGACAAGAGTCCTTACGAATAGTTCAATGTATTTCATAATGATTTGGTCTATCTTTATTCATTCTGTACGATACCCCCATTTTCACAAAGTTTGAGAATTTCACCGTGTGGCGCCCCGCTATCCTAAAGTGCGCTTATGTGATACCAAAGTTCTCGCCGTAATCCATACAATTGTCCCTCCTGTGTCAGATACAAAAGTCGAGACAGAGCTTCTTATAATTAATCATGCAATTGTTCTCCAAACCTTCGCGAGCGTCAATCTCACGCAAAACGTGTAGGCTAAACAGAAGCGAATATCCCCCACACGGGAGCGCGAAAAGGTCGACTAACCCCACTTGAACTGCACCGCGATCCGTATTAGGAAAGAGAGAAGAGCGGTTTGACAGCGGAATCAAACAAAGGCGACCCTTTCCACATCCGGGTTTCACTCCGGCGACCGACTCGGAGTACTGCGCAATCATGCTACTCACTTTCATCCCTTTCCAATCAGAGAACATAATGCAATGCAGGTGAGTCATCAACAAGAAATGCAGAGGGGCATCTGAGACATCCAGATACAAGTCTTGATCCAAGTCTAGTACTATATACGGGACTCCCAACAGGAAGCTCGTCCGAATGTGTGAAGGCGCTACAGAAAGGAGGCCCGTCAGCCCCCGCGTTCCGAATTTCCATTAGTCCATCTTGACATGGTGATTTCTATTCTCGAGATGACGTAGCGGCCGGCCTGCATTTTACCTCAGTCGGTGTCGTCGAGCCATGCGTGTTCAAGAGCGGAAGTATCATCACCCTTGACTGAAGGTCTGTGACGATGCATTTCAGGAAGGCGTTCGCGCGGATGCCGTTGCACGACACTTGTACCTGTCAGACGCGATCCTTTTAAATATTCTGGTTTTCCCTGTCAAAGAACGGCCGAAAGAGATGCAGGGGAATGTATCGAAACAGATAAATGGTAGTGGCTGAACCCTTGGTAATCATTTCGTACAATCCGATGTCTCCCGTCCACTTGTCAAATAGACAAGACCTCAGGGGCCATATGAGGCGGGGATCCAATAATCAGCCATCACTGTCAGCTGGACGTGCACGTCCATATGGACAAGACCTCAGGGGCCATATGAGGCAGTAATCAGCCACCATCAACTGGACGTGCACGTCCAAAATATGTCGTTGACAGTTCACCGTCAGGTTTAACGAGTATTTCGGCTGGATTGAGGTCACAGTAAACAACTCCGTTCACGACGAAAAAGAGGTGAGCGGAAATGAAAACGGTCAGTCCCGGTATCGAGGGGTCCGCGTATTTAGATAACGTTCTGGAAACAACATGTAAATTCAAGCACGAGGCCAAGGGCCAACTAGTCTAGAAGGTACCTATGACTACATTCACCCAGGACCATCCAGGCGTATGCATTCTCTCGGCATCGTAGGGTGTTTCTAACTGAAATACGTATGTTAGAAATGTGACCAGCCTCAGTGAAATGTATACAACCGATTGATTAGTCTGCCGTAGTGAGACCCTAAGAGAATGAAAACAGTCATTCCTTATGAATCAGTTTCCAAGGACTAACAATGACCCTGTGGCGCTCCGAGTCGGAATCAACATGCGAATATATTCAAGATCCTCTAGGGTTAGTACTGGCCCTGGGCGAGGGTCAGATGCATCAGACGGCAGCACGTCACAGGTCTAGCTATGTAACCTGGTAATGACGTGACTATGATACAATGTCAGTGAATTTGTCTAGAATCCTAGGAAGCACGTACTGCCAATGATAGATGTGACAGCTTGAAGCATGAGTAAATCTTTCGAGGACTTGCTCCCGAACATGCACGCGTTTGGGAGTCCGAACAGGATATTTGGTGGTGGGTGCCGCACGCGATAACGTCTAAACTTGGATTATACAATTCTGAAGCTTTCTAGCTGCATGATAACGGATGAGGAAGTAGTTGGCCGCAAGTAATAAGATACTGGATCGTCGGATCGACGTAATGCCACATAGGTAAGGACGAAATGGTTGGTTCCATGGAAGTAATCGAGGTGAGGTGGTTTCACCTGAGCTACTTACATATACAAACGACGTTATACCTCCAATACCTGTACTCAAGGAACGAGATAACATCATGTAGATCATCGTAAAGATTAGTGATGACCGTCGGCGCAATAGACAATGAGCCAGAAGCAAGTCTAGCAACCAGCGTGCTTTATCGTTGCATGAGGATTGATGCTCGATGACATAGGTTCTGGAGTGGTGAATGGCGCGGAGATAGCAGCCTGTGACTGTGCTTGCGAAGATGCGGCTGGGCCTGAGGCACGCCGCTGGATTGCTATGTGATATTGCTATCGGGAAGGGCGTGAGGTATTTGCAGTAGGGTTTCTCGGAGTTCTCTCTTGATAAAGCGTTTCATGAAGATTTCGAACATACGTGAAGAAGAAAGTGAAGCCAGGCGGAATTGAACGTTCGAAAGGGAGGAGAGGAACATACACGTTTGCTCTTGGTGTAAGGACCGTCAAATACTGGTGAGCGAGGTCGATATCTACACCGCTTGGTCTGTCAGAGAAATAGTTGGTTATGAAAGTGTCGCGTACAACGAATGACGACTTGTCACTCTGGTCCAAAAGTTCGTCGAGGCCAACTTCTTTTAATGTCGCAACGACATCCGAAGTGTATGCCAGTGCGTTGTGGTCATTGCCGGCAACAACTAGTAATTTCCATCGGGCGAAAAAGGACGCGCAGGACACTATCAGTGAGGAGTGGACTGATGAGCTGGTTGTTGTCGAAATTCCATAATGTTCAAGTTATGCTATCATAGGATGTGCTTCAAGTTCAAGAGGCTCGATGTCATGCGCATCTTGCCAAATGCACACTGTCACCGGTCTATTGCCTGATCTGCTTACGATATCGCGAACCACGTGCCACGTCCTTTTATATCACGACGTCTGACATCATGTTGGTCTCTTATTTATAACTACGTGCTCACCTGTATAACGCTCAAAAGAATCATACCTTCATCCTTGTCAATCTTGTTCGATTCGTCTCAGTGTTACTTGCCGTCTTCCCGGCGAGTTTCCAGTAATGCAACTTGAACTTTACGGCTGCACGCTTACTCTGGATAGTACACAGTGAAATGACTGCATATGGAAGGTCCCATTCCCGCTACTCGATGCAATATCTATCCAAACCCGGCGCAGTACATTTGAGCCCCGAAGCTCCGCTGAACTCTGGTCTGGCGGCGCAGTCTCCTGAGCGTGCATGCGATGAATCGAAGACTCTCGCATCGCTGCGGCAGTTGATTGGATCTATTGTCAGCCAAGCTAGAGACAGGCGATGATCGAAAACACAGTTCAAGTATTATATATCAGTTCTCAACAGGGAGTTGGTAGGTACACAGTCCAAACATATGTGTTGGGTGGAACGATTCTAACACTATAAAACCCACTCTGTAAACCCCCAATTGGTAGTACGGTCAGGCAACATCTTGAGTTCGCTCGCATAGACTATGCCAACATATGCAAGATGATCATCCTTGCGCATCTTCCACTCACAGCCATCATCATGTACCACAACCGCTAAAGTCCTCCCACTTTGTCCTGGTATTGTGCTGTGCACACGAGAACCTCATAAACGTTATATCCCAGGTAAGCACCATTAGCGCCACCTGTAGATGCACGACAGATGAAGCCAAGCCAACCATTTTTCTCGACGCATTCCCATTTTTGTGATGCAGCGCCTTCCCAATAACGGATGCACACAGATGAGCCGTCGACAGTGACTGCTACTTCGGCACCTTTCACACTCAGGCAAGGATTGTCTTGATCAGAGTATGGGTGAATCGCATAGGTTTTTCCGGGTATGGGGGTCACGGTTTTATAAAGGTCCATCTCTAAGCAAAGATGAGTATGTTAGATGCTTCCGAGCCTGCGAAGGTACATACTGAGTAAGACAATAGCGGTATCAAATAGAGCAGTGATAGTAGGCTATGTGATTGCCTATCTGTGACAGGAATCAATAGGGCATGAATAAACAATGAACGTCAAGCAATGGGGTACACACAGAAACTTATCGGTATGAAAGCGTTGTTCCATCCATTGCCTCAAAAGCTTCGCTATATAACGGCTTTCTTCATGCTTTCCCAATGGAGCATCGCCAACTGGGGGGTAAAATGATCCTGCCATGACCAAATTTTCGTCTATCGCCTGATCTGCTTATGATAGCATACTTACTCTCATGAAATGACTGCGTGCGGAAGGTCCCATTCCCGCTACTCGATGCAATATCTATCCAAACCCGTCGCAGTCTCCTAAGCATGTATAGGATGAATTAAAGACTCTCGCATTGCAGTTCATTGGATCTATTGTCAGCCAAGCTAGAGACAGGTACAAAACGATGATTTGAAAACACGGTCGAAAGTACTATACATCAGTTCTCAACAGGGAGTTGGTAGGTACACAGTCCAAACATAGGTATTGGGTGGAACGATTCTAACACTATCAAACCCACTCTGTAAACCCCCACTTGGTAGTACGGTCACGCAACATCTTGAGTTCGTTCGCATTGACCATGCCGACATATGCAAGATGATCATCCTTGCGCATCTGCCATGCACAGCCATCATCATGTAACACAACAGAAAAGTCCTCCCACTTGTCCTGGTTTTGTGCGGTGCACACGAGAACCTCATAAACGTTAAATCCCAGGTAAGCACCAGTAGGGCTAGCTGTGGATGCACGACAGATGAAGCCAAGCCAACCATTTTTCTCGACGCATTCCCATTTTTGGAATGTAGTGCCTTCCCAAAGACGGATGCACACATTTGAGCCCTCGACAGTGACTGCTACATCGGCGCCGTTCCCACTAGCATGCTCTTTATCAGAGTATGGGTGAATCGCATAGGTTCTTCCGGGTATGGGGGTCACGGTTTTAAAAAGCTGCATCACTAAGCAAAGATGAGTATGTCAGATGCTTCCGAGCCTGCGAGGTACGTACTGGCGGTATCAAACAGAGCAGTGATAGTAGGCTGTGTGATTGGCTATCTGTGACAGGAATGAATAAACAATCGACGTCAAGCAATGGGGTACATACAGAGACTTATCGATATGAAAGTGTTGTTCCATCCATCGCCTCAAAAGCCTCGCTATATAACGGCTTTCTTCATGCCTTCCCAATGGAGCATCGCCAACTTGGGGGTAAAACGGTCCCCTCCCCATGACCAAAATTTCACAAGCAGTACACGTATTCGGCCTTGCTGGCTGAGCCCGAGACGTACTAACCGCCATTCTTCGGCATAGCACCAGCGAGAAACTGTGACAGAATGGGTCGAAGTGGAGCAGATATCCGTCACCTCGTGCACTTGAATCATTGGGCCATGCCATCATGATTGCATCGAAATAATATTATATATTCAATGCATCGTGCACTTGATGTGATGGTGATGAGTCTCATGCACTGCCAGATACTGATCCTGATTAATGGATGAATACTTAGTATACAACGCCATCCAAAGCCTGTAACATACCAGGAGCCCAGTGGTTTCTGATTGTACCAGACAGCATTGTGTTTAAACTCCTATCCTGAAATAGCGAGATCCGTTAGTTGGGCAAAGAAGCACCATGAAAGCCCAGCTGGAGCAAAGAAGACAAGAAGTTTGGAACACCATATCAGTGAACCTTAGTTTAAGTGCTCTGATGAGCTGCGGAAAAGACCCATGGAACTCCTTCAGTTAACGTAGTCTGATAGGCTGCCACCTCGTATCCATATAACTCAAGTCTGAGGAGCAAAAATCTCAACATCGCGCGCGATGTTAGTAGTACTCACCAGCTAAAACTTTGGTAGATATGACGAGGGTAGATCACATCGAGGTAGTAGTAAACGGGACAGTCCAAGTAATCACCAATTGCTTATGTAACAGATGTAGTTATTATTCTGCCATCGTTCACGCGTTCACGTGTCTACTATGAATTATCGTCCGTCTCGTCTTGTACTAATGAACGTTTGATATGGTGATCATTCAACGATTAATGGTATTATCTTTGACAAATATTATAAAAGCTTCCAATACATCTAGTCGAGGAATGTACGAGATTTCGGGTTATACGCGCAAGCGTGATACGATCTTTTGCCTATCAAATCTCCCTGGGCCCTACATCGCTCTCCTTGATGGCAGCTCAGCATTACATTTGCAGAGAGTGATCCAGGCCACCCCAGAACAGACCGATGTCTGGGGATCTATGTTTCTCGAATGAGCGGCACTAACATCCTTGCCACAGAAGGGCTAAGAAGACTTCTCTCTCGGTAGAAAGAAGCACCGTCGCAGGATACAAAACAGAACAATGGTAGGGAAGTTAGCAGAATCTACTGTCCCGTGAGTTAGCAGATCAGAGCATGATAAATATGCAAGACCGTACACAACCTGGACATATCAATGAATTTAAGATCCTTCCAACCATCGAGATACACTATCACGGCTAGCCATTATCGAAGAAACACTACCTTTTCCTCCGGCTGTGAAGCATTCCAGGAGACTTCATGAATGACGCCCAACCCAACACGTTGCATCAAACCTCATTCTGACTGACCGCCATCACATGCAAGACGCATTCATGGTAATACCCGAGACTCTGTTCGTCGTACACGCCACGCGTACCAGTACGGGAAAGAACGATGAACTCGAGAGACGGTGAAGGCGTAGGGTCCAATGGAAGGACCGCAGTGCCAACCCAAATGGGAGGGGAAGATGCGGTGGAGAGAATATTGAAGAGACCGTGGTGGAGACACGCACTCGAATCATCATTTTCTTCGCTACCTCGCCATGCAATGCTAAAGTGGCTCGAGGTCGTGCGGAAAATGAGGGTGCCTGGTGCTAGCGGTCGACGTATGTCTAGCGTCAGCTCCGTTGGATCTAAAATCCTTGATGGGGGGGAATATGCCAACTTCTCTTCCTCTGTCATGGGAATCGAAACAATCCGGGAAACCCGGGAAACATGAAGCAGCACTGTAGCACCACTATCGTCCACAATGTACCAAGAATCGACAAACGTTTCTACCACCGACGGTTCGCCGCTACCGTTGACGATACCCAAATACCGATGCTCTGACATGTAGTCAACAGCACCACGCCATGCAGCCCATGTCCAAGAAGGCGGAAGTAAACTGCCTCCATCAGGGAACGAACGACGAGCGCGAGGTGTGTGTGGATCGTGTTGCCAGAGAAGCGCGTGATGCAGATCCGTCAACATCATTCCACAGTGAAAGACTCTAACGGGATCACCGAGCTTGAAGCCTATTGTCAGAGCATTTGTCACTCCAGTGATAGCATCAATGATATCTGATTCCACGGTGAGATTGCGTCGTGTACACTCCCTGACGGCCCACATGTAAGTCCCAAAGGGGTTCGCCTGAGGGAAGTATTCTCCACGTGAATTCCGAAGAAAGTTGTGAGAGTGGCCCTTGCTTTCAGCGACGATGTCTTCGCAGAAAACATCACGCCGGCACTGGAAATAGACCTGATGTTCAGTGAAGTATATCTGTCTGCGGGAGAGCGCGCTCTCTTGATAGGTCCAACAACGCGTATTCCATACGGACGAAGCAAGAGCCTCCGCAAGTCTTGGAGGTCCCACACAGAGATGAAATCCTTGAACAACCTCAATATGCTGTTTTAGTGTTCTAGTTCGTGGCCGGCATCCTGGGATAGGGGCTCGAGCCGATGCGCCGCCAGCGGCCACTATCGTGAGATAAGAAAGGCCGTAAACTAAATCCATAGATTTTATCTGAGTGATTTTGTCCTGCAAACAATCTTGAATGATGCATAGAGCGTCGATCCATAGGTATCGGAGACCAAGTTGTCGAACGAATAGAATAGAATCAGTTATGGTCTCCGGAAAGGTTGCCGAGTTCAACCCGCCAGGTGTGGAGCGCTTCGCTATATTATCCGTCGTCGTCCGATACTCTGTGCTGACGACTCCCCATACGTAACTGAGGGCAATATAACGACAGCTAGAAGGTGCAGGAACCAGGGTCATCGAGACCACGTCCACCAGTCTCACATAGTTTGGTAGGTTCTTATCCTCTCCGTCGTCCATGCTCCACACATTATGACAATCATCCCCATGGTTCTCCCGACACAGCTTAATCCACTTCTTTACCAGATCGATGTCCACAGTGTTCTTCAGCCTGCGACAATGAAGATCGGTTGGCCTCCCGAACTTGAAAGCGTCTTCTTGCATAAGGAAGATGCTAAGCGAACCTGCTGTGGCCCTTGAAGCAGGATATCTCTCCCAAAAGTCCGTTAGGCCATCCATATCGATGTGGAGACGGTAGCAACGGAATGTGGGTGGGGGGTAAAAGGGTCCCCGAAGACAACCGCAAGGCATCGAGAACAGCCGACATTGAATCCCTGAGAGATCGAAGTCAGGGAAATTGTCCAACATCCATGTTCGACGGACGTGAAAGGATATGAGGCGGCAAAAATTGCATTGGTACGATTTTTGTAAGATGGACGAAAGTGAATCGAGTGGGATTTCTTGTGTCTCTGGGATACCATCAAAGAAGATACGGTAAAAATCCAAATTTTGACAGACAGAACATAGTGATGCATTGTTGTCAGTATGATCTCTCTGTTAATCTTCAATTAGTCCGCTGCGGTGGCAAAGGAGTTCCTCACCTGAAGTTTAGTTCGTATTTGGTCTGGGTTTAGTTCGGTATTCCCATCGGACGGGGCATTTGCTTTCAGTTTGAACCTCAGGACGACCAATAGCCAGATGACCAAAACTTCTAGAGCAACCCCTGCAATAATTCCAACAAGAGCCGAGACATGTGTGGAGACCGGGCTAAGAGTGTCAAGAACGCCAAAAGATGGTACTGTAGGCCCTTCGTGGTTACCTGAGAAGTGCCTGAACGATGAATGTGTAAAAAAAAAAATGATGAAAGCAGGATACCCACCTGACAGAGTTGCACTATAGAAGGTCATGTGATGTGCGATGAATTTGGTTTGACTCCTCGCGGTTGCAGCAAGACGAGGAGACGTAGATGAGGCTGTAAAATCATGAGCGCTAATACAAAGGTGCAGCAGCCGAGTCCAATGTTGCCATTTTGCTTATTTCCTTCACGTGACACCTGATGATAGCGCGAACTTGGTACTATCACTCTAATTATGTTCGGTTCCACGGCTATGTTCCGCCCCGGACGACCAGCGTTGACATAAAACCTCTTCACTTCCCCAAATTTCTGGTCTTAGAATCTGAAGCTTTTGCAGTATGTTGGCCTTAACATCTGGTAGACTTGTTACAGCGCACAAGCTACGCAGCTACTTCCGACCCATACTCACCAGTCAAAGGTCGCGCCAAATCTCAACGTACAACGTTGATATAGCAGGGCTCACGGAAGAGCAAGCTGAGGTATGTCGAGTATTGTACTCAACTACAGCTCAGCAGTATAACTTCTCAGTTCCGCAATGCAGTGGCCGAGTTTGCCCAACGGGAGCTCGCCCCGCGTGCTGCACAAATCGACAAGAGCAACAACTTCCCTTCAGTGGGTACATTCAGTTTTTTTGACCTTTTCATATTCAAGCGTATCGTCAGGACATTTGGGAGAAGCTTGGTGACATGGGTTTGCTTGGTATCACCGTCTCGTCAAAGTACGGTGGTTTGGATCTTGGATACTTTCACCACACTTTGGCAATGGAAGAGCTTTCCCGTGCTTCTGGCTCTGTTGCGCTGTCATACGGCGCGCATTCGAACCTTTGTGTGAACCAAATCCATCGCCATGGCACTGAAGCTCAAAAGCAGAAATACCTTCCTGACTTGATCGCTGGGAAGAAAATAGGCAGTTTGGCTATGAGTGAACCTGGGAGCGGGCAAGTCGATTGATTCATAATGTATCAATTTGACGACTTACTTTCAATGGATCAGGAGTGACGTAGTCAGCATGAGTTTGAGGGCAGATAAAATAGACGGTGGTTGGAAGCTGAATGGAAACAAGTTCTGGTAATAGTTTCATCGTATCACCCGTGTAATGTTCTAACAGTCCCGTAGGATCACCAATGGACCAACGGCATCAACACTAGTCGTTTACGCCAAAACTGCTCCTGAAAGAGGTTCCAAGGGCATTACCGCGTTCATTATCGAGAAAACATTCGAAGGATTTTCCACGCACCAGAAGCTTGATAAATTCGGAATGAGAGGGAGTGATACTTGCGAACTTGTCTTCGATAACTGCAAAGTCCCAGAAGGTTTGCTTTCATGCACTCAACGGTAGACAACTCATCAACTTTTGCTACTTCTAAGAGAATGTTCTTGGTCAGGTCAACAAAGGCGCGGGGGTCTTAATGTCTGGGCTTGACCTTGAACGTCTTGTCCTGAGTGGCGGTCCCTTGGGGTAGGGTTATTTTATTAAACTCCTGGGACTATTTACTCAACATTACCTCCTGAAGTTTGGCACAAGCTGCATTCGATTATGCAGTGGAATATGTCCATGATCGCAAGCAGTTTGGACAACCTGTGGGAACATTTCAATTAATGCAGGGTAGGTTTACCAGGCTTCATGATCGACACAACGTCTAATGAAGATTTTCCAGGCAAGATTGCGGATATGTATACAAGTATTAATGCAAGCCGCGCGTATGTCTATGCTGTTGCAAGAGCTTGTGACCGTGGTCAGATCAGTCGTCGAGTAAGTAAGACCGGGAATCCAAACATTGTTGGTTCCTTATTTTATAACGCTAGGACTGTGCTGGTGCCATCCTCTACTCTACCGAGAAAGCCATAGAGGTTGCACTGGAAGGCATGCAATGCCTTGGCGGTAACGGATACATAAATGGTTCGAATTATCTGTGATTTCGTGATGGCTATTACTCACATTAAAGTAGATTATCCTATGGGTCGGATTTTACGCGATTCTAGGTTGTATGCAGTGGGCGCAGGGACGCAAGAGATAAGGAGGATGCTGATAGGTCGGGAGTTCAATGAGCAGTTCAAATCGTCATGAGACCCTAGTGTTTCTCCAAGCTGCTTTCAGACAGTAGTCCGAAGCATCCCTGCTCCGGAAAATACCATGTATGAGTAGTCATGACAGGCGTGCACAAGATTTTTGGATGATAGCATTGTATCGCATTGAATTTGTATATATCTCAGCTTGTAGTGTGCAGGGCACGACCTGAGTCACTGAGGCAGAAATTGGTCGAAGTCGCTGTGAATATATGCATGTTTCATACAATTATGTCTGTCAAGAGTAGCTAGGAGATAGTTTGGACTTTGAATGTTCCCTTGGTAATATTCAAATCCTTGCGATTGCAGTGGATATTCTCATGCTCGAATGGTTGATCAAGGCTATAGTATTGTTACATGGGTATATTCCTGGTGGGTATAGGGACATGTGGCTAGTTCCAAAATAAATGACGCATAAATGGAGCACACTGGTGCTAGAGGATATATACAGATGAAATGTCATGCGGAGAAATGTGGAGAATATGGTAATGAAACTGAACAAGAAACATAAAGCAATCCAAGAGCAATCGCTCAGCATTCAAGACATAATCAGCAAAAGAAATGTAGGTAACAGACGTATCAAATGGGACAGAGGTTGGATTAAAGGCCGGGGGCATCTATCGTTTTGTCAGCTAGGGTAGGAGACGGTGGTGTGGAGTAGATCTATTGAGAAAAATCGAAATCATCCTCATCTGGGGTGGAGGAGGATGGCTCTGAAAATAGGCCCGAGAGTGAATCATCATCGAGGATGACGGCAAAGAGGGTGAGAGGCGAGCAGCAGTTTTGTTGAAAATCGACAATGAAAAGTTACTCGCGATGATTGGTGTAGCATGATCAGATGGTGGTTGTGTTGGTTGAGGTTGAGGTGCAGATGGGGTAATAGTAGAGCAAATCTGCTCCGCGGTACCCTGGAAGGCCTGTACTGGAGACGATGTGCAGCGTAAGTTTAAATTTTCTTCAATTAAGTGTTAATCTTACCAGAGGCTGTGGCGGCGGTTGTTGGGCCAACGAGCTCGATGCAGGGCCTGATAAAGGCAATGCAGCTGCGAACGTGTTGTTCCCAGACGCTCGAAAGCTTGTCTGAGCACTTGCCAGAGCCTTCGCCTGGTTTTTAACGCACTTCGTAGAGCCTTGATGCCTTTTCAACGCATCCGGGCGCGAGAGACTACAAGAATCAACATCTCTACCTCATGGTCACGTTCAAAACAAGAGGATTACTCACATCCGATGCGTCCTCGCGTACTTTACGTGTCTGTGCACGCTGACTTCCAGCATCAGAGGGGCGCGTGCGCATGCCTGCTTGAGACATTTCGCATTCCCCCATTCAGCTCTAAAGCTGTGTGTTGCGTGAAAGATGAATTGGAGTTCGGGGTAGGCATGTTACAATGAGTACCGTTGCTGTTCATGACGATGGAGAGTGTTTCGGTGGCGGTACTACTAGGCCCTAGCGCGTAACAGAAGAGATGTAAGGTAGATAAGAGTGAGTGCTCGAGTCAGTTTGTCTGGAAGACAGTGGTGAGGAGAAGAGGAGAGAGACAAGTACTGAGCTTTTAAATGCTTGGCTTCCGTTTCAAGCCCTTTATGCTTACCTTTCCCTTTCACTCTGTGGACCACAGCGTGTTGCCCTAGCAAAGCAAGGTATACAAAGGAAGTGCATCCGCAGACCGTATATTTCTCAACGGATAATGGTACAACACGCAGGCCACTCGGATCTTTCCCTGCATGACAGTGGAAAGCTCAAAGATACAAAGCAGAAACATCACGTCACGGTCCAACAATGTAGCACGTGAACGAGCACGTGCCTGCGATTGCCAGTCCAACGCACTTCACAGTCTTCACTCCACTCAGGCTGTTGCCGACCAGTTCGTACAACTCGAACGATTGGTTCCGGTTATGTGCCGCATCAAGGCTATATATAGTATTGTTACATAGGGTATAATATTCCTGGTGGGTATAGGAACTCGTGTCTAGTCCAAAATAAATGACGAATAAGTGAAGCACGCTGGTACTGTATGATCCGATGAACACAGGGAGTATAGACAAATGAAATGTCATGCGAGTAAATGTGAAGAAAAGTCTAAATCATCCCATCTGGGGCGGGGGATGATGGCTCTGAAAATAAGCCAGATAGTGAATCATCATCCTTTGCATCCTCAGACAGGGAAAGAGGTGACGGCAAAGCGGGAGCAGCAGTCTTGTTGAACATCGACAATGACAGGTCTCCCGCGATGACAGGTATAGTGTGGCCAGACAGCGGCTGCATGGGTTGTGCTTTGGGTGCAGATGCGGGGATAGGAGAGCAAATCTGCTCCATGGTACCCCGGAAGGCCTGTACTGGAGGTGCGACAGCCGGCTGCTGCTGCACAGAGGTTGGTTTGAACGGGGCGGGGAGAGCTGGAGCTTCCGTCGAGCTTGGCTCAGTTCGTGTGGCCCGCACACTGGATTTTTGGGTCACCGAGCTCCATGCAGGAACTTGAACTCCGAAATCGAATTGCTGCTGAGGCATCGCGACCGAGGCCGTAGCGCCAAACGTGCTACCCCCAACAGTCTTTGCCTGGTTTTTGATGCACTTCGTGGAGCCTTGATGCCTCTTCAGTGCATCCGGGCGCGAGAGGCTATAAGAATCAACATCTCAATCCCATGGTCACGTTCTACATAAGAGGATGACTCACACGAAGCCACATGTCGGGCATGGACAACCGGATTCGAGTCTCTCAGAATCTTTCCGGTGCGTCTTTGCGTACTTCACATGTTGATGTACGCTGACCTCCAGCATTGTAGGGGCACTTGCACATGCCTCCTTGAGACATTTCCATTTCGCATTTCCCTTGTCGTCCGGCTGCGCGGGTGCCTGATGAAGCAGCCGTCAATCGGATGGCAAAAAAAACTAGATAAATAAAATCGACTCACGAAATCGGGATCGTCTTGAGGTCGGAAACGTTTAGGCGCTGTCGTGTTACCATCATCAACTGCCTTCCTCTTCGACCTCCGCGTTGAACCCCCCTCCACTGTGGCTACAGAAGGTACTTGCGGTATTGGTGCAGCATTCGGCAACACCTGCTCCTCTTGCTGAAGCGGGACCTGCACGGCAGGTGCAGGGGGGGCTTGCATGAGAGGAGCTTGGGTTCCGAAGTAGCCGCCGTAATAATTTGGTATGGGTAAGTTGTGGCCGTAAGCTGGCAATGGATACATGTAACCTTGAGGGATGGGAGGCGGAGGAAGTCTGGGATTCCATGTCTGAGCCAGACCTGGAGGTTGATATCTCGCAGGTATCCCCGCCGCCTCATTTGCCATGCCTCTGAGCGCATCAAGAGATGGCCCAGGAACGTTCTGTGTGGGGAGTGTGCCGTTCGGGTTGAAAGCTGTATATCGCGAAGATGAGTTTGAGTTTGGAGTAGGCATGTTAAAACAAGTACCGTTGCTGTTCATGACGATGGAGAGTGTTTCGGTGGCGGTAGGCCCTAGCGCGTAACAGAAGAAAAGGTAGATAAGAGTGAGTACTCGAGTTAGATGGCGAAAGTTTGTCTGGAAGACAGTAGTGAGGAAGAGAGATACAAGTACTGAGCCTTTAAATGCTGAGCTTCCGCTTTGCACATTTCAAGCAACTTATGCTTACCTTTCCCTTTCACTCCGTGGACCACAGCGTGTTGCCCCATCAAAGCAAGGTATACAAAGGAAGTGCATCCACAGACCGTATATTTTGTCAACGGATAATAGCACATCACGCGGGGCACCCGGACTTTTCCCTGCACGACAGTGGAAAGCTTAATTAGTCGGATTGTCGTCCTCCATAAGTCCAAATATTTTAGGACAAACATGCAACAGCTCATTTGTTTCAACATTGAACGCGACGCGATGCGTCAGAATTTCAGATTGGGCTGCGCCTGTTCATGGAATTTTTTCGTGCATAGGGACTCCTCGTTTTCCTCAGATGGTTTCAGCACCAAACGCGACGCGACGCGCTGCATCAGAATTTCAGATTTGGCTGCGCCTGTTCATGGAATTTCTTCTTGCATAGGGACTCGTCGTTTTCCTCAGGCAGCTATTGACATCGAACATTGTATACTTGATATTTGAATTAAAAATCTATCAACACGAACACATCAGACAGGGGTCGCATGCTCAACGATACAAACAAGAAACTTCACGTCCAACAATGTGGCACGTGAACGAGCACGTGTCTGCGATTGCCAGATCGAACCCACATCCAACACTTCACTCCACTGTTGCCGAGCAGTTTGTCATCATTGCGCATTTAGAAAGTAGTTGTGACTCACTGCCACTAGATCACATCACATCAGAGAAGGGTCTCGCCTATGTAATGATCAGCATTATTGATAATCCTCATTTAAAAATGCAAACAGTAAACGTGGCAGTAACGGACGACTTACCCAAAGCAGAACGGACCAATGAGCACCCCACCGTCACGGTCTGGCGTACACTCTCAGCATCTGCAAGCGCAGGGTTAACCTCCTGCATGCGATAGACCAAATCAGATCACATCAATGCGAGAGGTAAGACACATACCATTAAGTCAAACGCGACGAGCAACCCAGTCTCGTGAATCGCCTCGCAGATGTAGTGTCCTTCACGGAAGGTGAGCCCACCGCGCACCTGCAGAATTTTGGTCAGTTCTGCTCATTGACCCGGCATTTGATTTGACTTGAAATTGTTTTGTCTAAGAGTACAATGCTCATCTGCCCGTTATGTGCTTGGACATTTCTGCCACAGGTCAAAACGCCCATGTTTCCAAGGGCCATGCGCACTACAAAGCGTCTATCAAGCCAACTTCATAGGTGACGTCTTTTTTTGAGAGCCCCTTCAGGGCCAGGGTGCACAGAGAATGGTAGGCACATTCTCGCACCTTCAAGAAGCAAAAAAAAATTCTTTACTTTAGCACGTAGTGTCACCAAAAATGCTCAGATGGCACGGCCGACTTCATCTCACTCAAAAAATAGTATCAAGATACTGAAATACTCACTGGTGTTCCCGTGCTAGGCGCAACGCTCGGGTCGAGTGCGTCGACATCAAAGCTCAGGTGAATAGGACGGTCTCTTTGTGGGTTGACATGGTCGAGCGCCATTTCGACCACCTTACCAATGCCGTAGCTAGGTGAAGTAGAATAAGCATGAGCGCTCTTCTGTCCACCAGATCCCAAACTTACCGATCGACTTCGTGCATGCTGAAGGCCTTGATGCTGTGTTTCCTCAATATTTCCTTTTCGCCCTTGTCCACGTCCCGCAAACCGATGTATACGAGACGCTCAGCAGGGAGGTGAGAGACCCAGTCAAACTTTGCAAGGACTGAGTCTGGAGACGGAGCAGGGGGGTTGAGCTTGAGGAGAAAGGAGAGGGGCATGCCGTGAATGTTTCCGCTATCGGTAGAGTGGATTGTATTGATATCCGCGTGAGCATCTATCCAGATGACACAAGCTTGATCATATGCTCTGTGGATGGGATGTCAGAACATTATCTCGTTTAAACAGATATGCTCACCTCAGGGTTCCTGAGATAGTGCCCATGGCTAAGGAATGGTCTCCGCCAAGGGTGACGGCGAGGTGACCCATCTCTGCATGAGCCTGTACTGCAGATGCGACACTCTCGCAGACCTGTGCAACGAGCAGAGGGCTTCTGAGCCTTGCAATAGATGCGTCTAATGCCGTTTTAACAGCTGCATCACTGGTGCCATTAGGTTGGATGTCATTGGGTGGGGTAGAAATATCCTCGAATTGGTGGTGCCCATCGAAAACGACTCGCCATCCAAGTTGTTCGACTTGGTCGATGAGTCCTTCCTGGACGAGGTGGATAGGACCTTTATCTACGCCAAGTTTTGACTGAGAGAAAAAGTGAGTGAGTGAGTAAAAAGGGACTGTTGAGAGGACTGACCTGACCGCCGCTATAGCCGGTGCCGTAAGATTGACGTAACACAAGCGCAGCCGATACTGGAATGCTCACCTAAACGGACATCCTACTATCTGAAAAAACGAAGAGTGAGTACAGGTGTATTATAACCGAAGATATTTTTAATAGAATTCACGTACTGCCACGGTCTTTGGACTCGGCAAGAATTTGTTAGAAGGGATTGACGACATGCTAAGGGAAAGTCGAAAGGTCAGGAGATAAAGCGGTAGTGGTAAGATGGGCGTATGAGACTGAGGGAATCCTGTGAAGTAAAGTAAAAAAAACCATATATCATTGCTTAGCCGATCAGTGATCACAAGGCTAGCCTGGTAGTAAGATCCGATGGTGCTGCATGGCGGTATTTTCCGGATGGATATAAACTACGGTCTAGTACGTACGTAATGCTCTTGTTATCAGACTACCTCAGGTATGGAGCGATTGCAGTGGGGCCTCCGTTTGCTGTGTTCTGCTGCAGTGGTGACTATTATTGGAATTGGCACAGGTTAATTGATAATTTTGCTGATATTGGCATGCCAGCAGGTATAAATAAATAAATATAAAGTACGAGTGCGCCAGACGCCTTGGTCAATCCATTAATATTATTCTGCCATTGGTTCCCTTTTCAACTGCCCTCTGCCCTTCCTCTGATTCCATTACACCAGAAGCATGTCAAAATCCTCCACTAGACCCAACAGTGCCTACCCTTCACGTAGCGGCACTCCATCCTTAAGAGACGTCGTATGTTCATTGGATTTCCCTCCTCCTTCCATTATCTCTAACCATGCACGTTCACCTCCACCTCCCCCGTCTCCCTTCTTCCAAATCTATCTCTAATCAGGTCCATGGTGTTATGAAGATATTTCATCATGAGAAAGAATCGGAAGCTCACCAAGTACATTTATTTCCCAAGACTCTATATATCTCCATCCCCTAATTCTTTCCAGATATTCCGTCAACAAGTAGGACATCAGCCAAAACCAGCCCTAGGCCTTCCTCAGACTATCAACCCCGTATGTTTTACCTTCCTATGCATCACGTGACTTGACGCATCATTTAGGATGAAGAAACCGTCCCTGGTATCGAGCACCCTGGCAGTACCGGTGTCATTTACTGTTCAGATCGTGCCATTGCAAACGGTTTCAACTATGCTAATTCTCACGAATGGGCAAACTTGGGTCAGGGCGCTCCAGAAGTAGGCCCTATCCCGAATGCCCCGCCCCGCCCAGAGAATATTCCTTTACCTGTCGATTCTTTGGAGTATGCCCCCACAACCGGTGTCAAAGGTCAACCTTTTGTAATTCATCAACGCCATAACCGCTAATCCTATCGTACAACCAGCCCTTCGTGAAGCAGTAGCGAACCTCTACAACGATACTTACCGTAGAGGCAAAGCAAGTCAGTACACATTTGAAAACGTCTGCATCGTCCCCGGTGGACGTGCGGGGCTTTCCCGTGTCGCCGCTGTCATTGGCGACGTTTATTGTGTACGCCTCCCTTATCCAGTTTCTTTGTCTCCTCACCAAGCTCCACGCATATAGTCATATCAGGTTCCAGACTATACCGCATATGACCAAGTTCTAAGTGCATTTAAGCGACTCGTACCTGTTCCCACTGCGTACGTGTTCTTATCCTTCCTTGCCTATATCAAACCGACCGAATCCTTGGATTGATTCAGATTGGATCCCAAGGTAACCATGCTCCATAAAACGTACATCACAAATTACTAAATGGACTCTTTTGCATAGCATAAATACCGTCTTGATATCGAACAAACCAAGGTTTGTCCCCGACGAAACTCAAATAAAACACACCCTGATTGATTGCGCTAACAGAAAGATATTCTCACTCAAGGCCTTGCCGTCGTCATTGCTTCGAACCCGAGGAATCCGACGGGGCAGGTTATCGCGTGCGTGTTCCATTATCTTTCTCTACTTTTTCACAGCTGATACTTGTTAATTAAAGTGGCAAAGACCTCAAAGAACTCGTTTCGCTCAGCCGGGAGAACACAACAATCATTCTTGATGAGGCATGAGCCTTCCCCTCAGCTACCTCTCACCCATTACTGACTGATAAAATCTCGCAGTTCTACTCCTGGTACATCTACCCCGACAACGAAAAAGACATCGGAAAGAGTGTCTCCTCTGCCGAGTATGTCGAGGATGTAAATAGCGATGCTGTAGTTATCATTGACGGGTTGACAAAGGTGCGTTTTTGACACACCTTCACTATGCCTTTTTTTCTCAGTCTTATTCTATGGCAGAATTGGCGCCTACCAGGTTGGCGTGTCTGCTGGGTCATCGGACCCAAGAATCTCATCACCGCACTTTCGCAATCGGGTTCGTTCCTTGATGGGGGCGCGAATCATCCGTGAGTGCCCCCCTGTTCCCTCATTTCTCTAACATTCATCGAACCCTTGTACAGCATGCAGCTTGCAGCCCTCCCGCTCCTTGAGCCGGCGCGTGTCAAGACAGAGAAGGTGGGCCGATTATTTGATGTATCCAAGGAACAAACTGACGTGAAATAGATCGCACTTCAAAGACACTTCAAAGCCAAGCGGGACCACGTGCTGAAGCGCTTGCACGCGCTCCATTTGGACGTGGACGTTCCTCCCAACGCGACGTTTTACATTTGGTTGAACTTGGAGAAGTTGCCTGCACCGCTTAACAATGGTTTGGTGAGTAATTGTTGTATACGATCCTCGCCTCCCCTGTCTTCGGACAAGCGTTGATTCTTACTCTATGTCAGACATTCTTTGAAGAGCTCCTGAAAGAGCAAACGATCGTGATCCCGGGTATCTTCTTCGACATCAACCCGGCGCACCGTAGAAACTTGTTCAACAGCCCGTGTCATCACTACGTGCGGTTGTCGTTTGGGCCGCCTATAGAGGATCTGGACAAGGGTGAGTTTATTGTTACTTTGACATCACACTTGGTTCTTTTGTTCCTCCGTCTGCTTACGCCTGAGAGCGTTCTTGTTGCTTTCATCCGTCTGTGTTCTCCATGAATACTGACATCAGCTTGCTCACAGGTATTGACGCCATCGGTCGGGTGATGGCTAATGCAAGACTGGGGGGCACGAAGAAGATGGGACACAGCTATAAGAAGAGCATAGAGAGCAGCTCTGGGATCAACATCTAAACCGCGATAGACTTGTTCCCCGTCCTCCCACCGGCTAGTATTGGAATCGTTAGATATGACTGAGAATGGAATGGCAAAATGGTTTGGACAGTATATTTATTCATAGAACACGTCGGTTTGTTGTTCGTATCATCCTCAGTAGGCTAGCTATGTCGACCGATCATTTACGGTTTAGACTTGTATAGATGTATATAGTGACGCAGCTCAGAATACCATGTGTCATGGACCTAGACAAGCCCTAGAGACGGCAAAGTTGAGCGCAAGGTTGGAGTAATGACATCATGGACAACACACGGATCCCTTAGTGGGTGGAGAGAACAAGGTTGTCAATTTACCATAGGCCTGCACTATCGAGGATAATGCACGCCGAGTAGGTCGCAGCCCAACCGATTTATGCAGATCAGGGAACAATAAAACAATACCTCGATGAATGACTTCGATCGATGACCACGAAAGCACAAAATGTCATATTCAGTACCCTACAGCAGTGAACGCTGACAACTGAAGATCACATCGACGGGTCAAAAGACGCGAACGCGGTTTTGAATGCCTTTACATCTGCTTTATCCTCTTCCTCGGGAAGCATACACGCCTTCCAGTCCACCCTATCAGGAATGCCTAGTATGTCGGTTAAGACTTGCCTGTAAACGATACCGGAACTCCATCAGCGATTGCAAAAATACAAGAGCATAATCAAAGACGACGGAAATAGGGCAACATAAACAGGGATAAGAACAAGCAACGCGGGGGCCAAACTCCATTCCCGCGATAAAAGAGGACAAGGAAATCATCACAAGCCACCCACCTGCCAAACTGCACTCCAAACGGCGCATGTTCCTCGATCAGATGGACCAACGTCCTCCCATCGGGCAGGTCCACTCTGAAATAGCTTCTACCCCTCCCGCCTGATAGTTCTGAACTTTGACAATCTTCCAATGTGCCATCGAAATTGATTCCCTGGGATTTAAACGCCTGTTCTACCTTCCCCGCGAGCGAAGTAGGTACAGGGACGGCTTGTACGTGTGCATGCCCTCCTTTTGTGCTCAGACGTCCGACTTCGAAGAATACGGCGCTTGCGTTGTAGGTAGCGTAGAGTGCACGGAGAGAAGACTTGTATCTATAGAGTAGTTGTCGGATTTAGAGTTGGTAGAAAAGGAAAGGGAGAACTAATTACGTACTTATCAGTCTCTTCTACGATTGGAGATGCGATGTCAGCAGGAATGGTGTTATACGTTGGGTGATGCGCAATAGGTACGATGAGGACGTGGCCTCCACCTGGGACAGTACTGATACTGCTATTATTTCCGACGACGTTGGATTGCGTAGGAATGATTTGACCCTTTGGAAGCGTCACGTAGCATTCATTTCCGATGGAGACTATGAGATGTTTTCTGTGAGAGTGGGGATTAACGGGCAACAAAAAGGTAAGGGAAGAAGAGCGTACGCGAGGTTGGGATTGGATAGACAGAACCAACATTCGTCGGCTGTAGGCCATAAGTACCACGAATCACATTTCAAATAACTATACTCACGTCCAATCTCCTTGATCTGATCTCTCTTCCCTCTCCTCTCCCCACGCTGCCCTGCATTAGCAACCGGGCAATCCTCAATGTAATGCTCCTCGCTCGCGCATGCACGGCACACATACCCCGGGCGTGGTTTTCGCCCACCTGTGTCGCCTACAGCATGGCGCGTAGGGCAGTCACGTACAAGATGCCCGGGCGTATTACATATACGGCACACGTACCCTTCAGGAGGCTTCTGGCGTTCGGGGCAAGAGGTAATGAAGTGCTGTTGACAGGAGGTTAGCGCTGGTTGTGATGAACTAAGAGAGAGGAACCTCGGTAGATTCACATCTCCGACATTTGTACCCTGGCGGCGGCTTGCCTTCTTCGCCTTGTGGTGCATCTACTTTGATTTAGATGGGATGCCCTGAATGAGGTTGAGTACTCACTTGTTCGTGGACGCTTGCCGTGCTGGGGAACGTTTCCCCATATGAAATTCTCTGTTGATTCGAATGTTTCGAGTGTCCGTTTTTGGGGTCGGGGAGCTAATTCAGTGAAAGGATTTTTGGTGGCGTTTGTGGGTCGGGATGGGACGGGGTTTGACGGGGAAGGTGGGGTGATTGAAAATGCGTAAAACCACTGTTCGAACATGGTGAGATTTATTTCAATGATTTGATGTCATGACGGAAGTTTCAACTTACCCTTGGCTTCTTACCACCCGTAGCTTCAGCACCGAATGCACCAAGACTTACGAACCTGGAAACCCTTCCTGCTTCATCATCCCACACGAAGGGCTCCCGCTCCCAAAACTGTGGCGGCCGGCCACCCAAAGCAGCAAAATGATATCTGGGTCTGACCTTCCTAATTACCTCATCCAGGGGCATGGCACCCTCAGATGAGAGCTCTGGATAGGGTAAAGGAGCTGAGGAGTGCTGTGTGATGCATGCAGGCCAGTTGTTTGTGATGAGGATGTCGACAAGCTGCGAAGGAGAAGAGGCGTTCAAAATAGAGGTAAGGGATGTATACGTTTGGTTCTTGGATTGGGATTTTGAGGATGACTTAGCGAGAGTGTTGGAGAGGAGGCGTTCGACGGTGTGGGTGGAGAAAAAGGGGGATGCGAACCCCTAGAATATGATGCTTAGCGTTTACTTTGAAGAAAATAGGACCAGCACGCACAGGGGGGGCCTCCGCGGTGGTGTAGATGCCTGGGTTATATATGCCACCTAGACAAGCTATCCGAAGACCATGAGCGGTCGTCATAATCCCTGATTTATCTGGCAACTCGGTCAATCTCACACCACAAAAAAGTATGATGTAACACAAAACTCACTCAGCAAAAATACGTTCTTGCATAGCTCTCCACTGGTCTCGGCATATTTTTCTATCACAGAATCGGGTAGAGGATTCTCTCCTTGCATGATGTAACACTTCAAAGGGACTGAGAACAGAAAAGTTCAGTCAAAGTATAGCACAGCATGAGACGTGTTCCTGCCTTCAATGTCACCGTTCAAAAGTTGCTCGGTTTCATCTGCTTCATCACCCAAAGTCCCTGGTTCTTTCAAGGGGCCAAAGAAGTCACCGATGCAGAGCACACAGTCAAATTTACCATGCTTCGCGTCGATGGCTTTAATTTTCACAAAAAGGTCACGTATAGACCCTACTGCGGAGCCTACCGTGAGTCTGTGGAAGTGGTCATTGGTTTTATAGGTCGTTTATGGCTAAAAGCCTACATTTTCACAGGTGAAGCACTTGACGCTGTGGGGACAGTGGAGGACGCCATGAACTCTCCTTGGCACGTGATCGTCCTTCAAAACCGTTACTTTACTTCCGCCGGAATGCCCCATAGTATTATAGCATGCCACTGGTCTTTCACCTCGACAGAGCTAGATCTACCCATTGCATGCTAAAACAAAAGCAACGTTTGGTGCCAATTCCCATTTGCCCGTTGAACGTTGAACTGCGTTTGTATTCTAAACTTATCACTGCCGCATGCGCGCACCGGTGCACTCCTTGTATTTTTTTGCTGCCCTTCCCGGCTTCGAATCTGAGTCAGTTGATGCAGTGATGAATACGATGATCCTCCTTCAAAGTAAATTACTGTGCCTGTTTCGGAGATGTCGATGCATCATCAAACGTGTGGAGTGTCCTGGACGGTCTGAACGGTCTGGATCTAGCCGTACCAGGTTCGAGGCTGTAATGAATCTGCTATGACCAGATTGTCATGCCTGCCATCAGATTGAAAAAAAAAAAAAAAGGTTTGGAAACTGCACAACTGCAATTGCAGTACAACTAATAAATGTATCCAATAAAATCAATGTTGGACACCGCCTTGAACGAAAGGTACGCCCACGACACGGCAAATAGGACGTCCAGACACAGAAACACATACACTCCGATCATTTCTTCTCATAATCTTTGGAAAGGTCAATCTCTCCCTTCAAATGTGTATTTGTAATCTTCGCTTGTCTCTGTCGCGGTGCCGAGCGCTTTCCCTTCTTCTTCACATTCGACGGTGCTTTCGGGATCGGCGTCTCTTCCGCTGTAGCCTGAAGCCCCTCTGCATCGTATCTATCAAGCACCAAACAAGAAAATAAAAATAGGAGACACGTACCAGCATGCAGCGCCTTCAACAAATCAACATCATTCGGCACCTTCAGCGAATGCCACAAATCAAAGAATTCTGTCCAAAACAAAAAATCAGCGCAATGTATCCCACAATACAAAACTCACCTTTCTCAACATGCTTCCCCCCACTCTCATCATCCGGCTTGATCTCATTCCAAAACACCATCCGCAACTGACCATCCTTCACGGTCCTCGTAACAAGCACCTCTCCCTCCTTCTCCAGCTCCTCGATAGCCTGTGGGGCCTCCTTCCAAGACTCCTTAAGCGCACGCACAGGTATCCCACCGCCTTTCCTCGTTTGTCGCTGGATCTCTGTCAGGAGGGCTGCTTTGTTCCGAAAGCTAAATTCATGCTGTGTCGCATCAATCAGGAGTCAAGAAAAGAGCTGGCGAGATAAACGTACCCGATACGAATATAAATCAGTCTTTGGATCCCAAATAATCCTATCATGCGACTTGAATTTTTCAAGTAAGACTTCGTCAGTCTCTAGAGGTGTGTTTGTGACAATTGCAATATCTTGCAGACGCATGGGGTTATGTGTCGACTACGTACATCCAAAAACCAATCTCAATGAGTAAAAAGGGAAAAGAAACATGATACGTACCTTGAGGTGATCAATGGCATATACCAGTTGTGTATTCACATTCGTACCCGTTCCCGTATCCGCCGGTTGTGAATACACAATATCTACAGGGAGTGAAAGAAATCATCATATGCAAGTAGTAAAACGTACTCGTCTTTGGCCGTTTCTTCTTCGTGCTAGGCATGGATGTCGATTCTGCGGTTATAGGCGCGGGTGTAGGTGTAGAAATAGAGGCACTGGGAGAGGAGTTGAGCGGTGCAGGTTGGGAATGCCATGAAGTATAGTCTTGACGATGGAGGACGCGTTTAAATGAATCGGCATCTTTACCTAGGGACATGGTGGAGGAAGAGAAGTCGAAAGTGCTTTCTGAGTCCTGACTTCTTTGACTCTTGTTACCCTGGGCCACGTGATCTGGATATTTTAGAACATTGTCTACATCATTATCAATTTGCGTTCCGTTGCTCGCGTCGTCGAGCGCGCTTTTTTCGACACATACTCGAAAAGTCGACGTCTATTCATCCCATGCGTGGTAGCTTTAATCGGCATACTAAGCGACGGAGTACGGGGGGATTGGTCTTGAGTATTACCTCATTTTCGAACTGATCAAGGGCTCCCAAGTTGGAACAAGCAACTCGTTTGTTGAATGAGCGCTTGGCTAAAGTGATGTTGCCTGTTCTGTTCGGGATGAATGGCATTGTTCCATACGGACGTAAATCTCGTCTTCTCAAGTGCCTTACTTCATGGATATAGAAGGGGCCGCACCGCGTCTATATATTTTCTTGTCGTACCTTTGCCAACCAGTCGGAAGTTTCTTAGTGCGGCGAACTCGGGATACTTGGCGTGTCACTCACTGGCACACCTGCCGCGGCCTGTCATCTCGCAGGAACGGTCATCGACGGGCTGGATTCTGTATTTAAAGCGCCAGTTCGTTGAAGTTGACTCCTCCCTCCAGCAGTTGTGTCGGGAGATCTGCATGTCCAGGTCAATTTTCTCCGTTCTCTGAACCATATATTGATTTTGTCCCTAGACTAGAAGCATGGTATTTTTTTCAATCACCTGCATTCTTTTGTCACTGCTAGTCGCGTCGCTATCCCATGCATCCCCTGTTTCACGGGAGTTCTCGAGCTCGGGACTATCACTTCCATCGCTAGACTCCAAAAGTTGGCTGTGCCGTCTCGTCCACACGACACGGGCTCAAAAACTTTGCCTACGAGAAGAGTCGACTGCAATATCCGTTAATACCCCCCTGGGCGCCGCGCAGGGTGTAGTCAATGTCTCGGGTGTTAGCAGGTTTGCTGCGAAGTATGCTTCCGCAAAACGCTGGTCCCCGTCTACTGTTGTAACTGCATGGGCACTCCCGTACGTGAACCACATCACGACTCATTTACTTCCGATCACATACATTGTATCGACAGCAATGGTTCTACGAATGTTTCGGCGCTGCCGCTCATGTGCCCGCAACCATTTGTGGATAACTCCACGTTTACCGAGGATTGCATGTCGATGATTCTTCATGTTCCTACCACCTTACATGCCGACAGCTGTGTGCCCACTTTGATGTGGTATGCATATAATTATCATTTTTCGGTGATCGTGACCATCATATATCTTCCTAGGGTTCATGGAGGTTCCTTTATGGTCGGATCCGCCACAAATCCTGGCCTAGATGGATCCGCACTGGCACTTGCCACCGATTCGATCGTTGCGGTCATTCAATACCGCCTGGGAGCTGTAAGTGCTTTCACTGTAATCACTTCATCTCACTGTTAGCTCATCTGGGTTCATTTAAGCTTGGCTTCGTTGCTCCCAACAATCAGACTAACCTTGGTCTGGGAGATGTTGTAAATGCTCTCAAATTTTTGACGACTGTGCTTCCTAGCTTCGGCGGTGACCCGAGCAAGATCACTGTGGCCGGTCAAAGCAGTGGTGCGAATTTGATTCGTGCCCTTCTTGCTGTGCCTTCTGCACAGTCACTATTTCAATCTGCGATTTTGCAATCTGACCCTATGGTGAGTGGTGTGCATATCACCGGGAGGAACGTGGGACTCATTACTTTGTCAGGACTATGGCTTCCTGTCATCATTTGATCAGGTTCAACTTCAGCAGTTTTTCGTGTCAAATCTTGGCTGTACTGCGACCGACTTAGCATGTCTAAATGCTTTAACCGCGGATAATATCGTCAATGGTGCCGGTCTTTGGCAATTCAACAGCTCTGTTTCCGTCGTTCCAGCCGCGACACAAGCGGCGCCAATGCGTGTTGTAGATGACGGCACCTTTATCACTTCGACCTTAGATTCAACTTCGCCATTCCCCCGGGTTTCCAAGCCCATCTTGCTTTCTAATGTTCTTCACGAGGGAGGCTATACAATTTACCGCTCATTTTCTAGCCCCGTACCCGAAACTGAGTACGTTGCTATTGTCAACGCCTCGTTCGGCGAGACACGCTACGAGACCCTCGTGGGCTCGCAAAGCTATGCCGTAGAGACTGCTCAAAATGATGACTACCGTCCTCAGCTGCAAGTGCTCGCCACAGATTCGATCTGGCAATGTGCGACATGGACTTTCGCGCGAAATTGGGTTTCTAATGGTGGCACTGCATACGTCGGATTGTACTCCCTTGGCGCTAGCTACCCCGGTAACTCCGCTGTCTCTTTCTGCACCGAGCCGGGCGTTGTTTGTCATCAAGATGATATCGAGATAGTTGTAAGTAAATTCTTGCTATGTTACATTCTTTACGGCTCATGTTTTGTACTAGTTTGGCACTGCTCTTGATCCTGACTCGGCCCAGTCAGCGCTGATTATTGAAATGCAAGCCCGTTACAAGTCTTTCTTGTATAGCGGGAATCCAAACGCTGATGATTCATCATTTGCAAATTGGGAAGCGGCTGGCGCATCTGACGTCAATGCCATTATGCTCGGTAGCACCGGCGATGCTCCTGTTGGCGCTTGCACACCATCTTTTTGGGGTCAAAGTGTCGCATACGATTATCAGGTATTCGATATCTAGAACGCCCGTATGAAAGTTCATGATCTGATGTCGTCTCCCGGATACTGGATTCGTGTTCTTATGTTCATCTCCACGCTTAATGTTCTTCACGGGGTCTCCAGGTGCATAATGAATTTTGGGTTCTGTTTATTCTTCTTTATTGTCCAAATTGCTTTAATTGCTTTAAATGTCATACTTTGTAGCCCTTACTCTGTCGTTCTCCCCACTAAACGCGACTGTAGCCCAAATAACTTTCTCTAAATACACCGTTCTCGATATCAATAGGAGTTGAATAGGAGATATGAATAATTGTATTGGAACCGATTGACGACGGTCGTGAGGGTATGCCGACATCAAGTCCTTATAGTTTGGGTATATCTTCTTCGACCGGGCATTGAGTGAACAAGTCGAAGTTGCGCTGCAAGTTCATCTGAGAGAACGGCTATGTGAGCAATTAGACCAACGTAGGCTTATCAGAAATGTGGGGAATGCGATGCCGTACCACGCCAGAATTCCGCTCCACTACCACGCGGTGTAACCGACCCTTTGGACCACCTCTCAATTCATCGCCCTCGTAGACGAAAGCTTCATTGACTCCGTCATTAATACGGAACAACTTTGGATTGATTACCATCCGTCCGAATGTAGCTCTAGACAACATCTGAACTGTGTTTCTCTGGCTCTCGGTACAGGACGATCCAGTAAGAATGAGGCGAAGCGTTTCTAGAATGTAATACTGGGGTGGGAAAAAGCTGATTTTCCCAGTCCTGAATTCCTCTATGGCTGATTCTGGACGCAAAAATCGCGTTCGAATGATTTCTTGTCCCCCATCAGGAGTCGGAAGGTGTTCTTCTCTACCTGGATACAGCCCATTCGATGTAGAATCCCCAAGGAACGCGACAAAGAAGTGTGTACGGAATCGCCTGCCTAGATGTCAGATATAGTTAAGGGATAAAGGGAAAAAATCCTGCTCGCCTAGTTGATGACGGTGGTGTCACCCATGTAGTGAACGGCAGCAGAGCGCCTACATCGGCTCTTAGGTTGTTGTTTGTAAGAAACGTTGAGAACGTCATTTGTCCTCCATGGACAGCTTCTCTAGCCTGAGTGAAGTCGATATCGAGTAATCTGCTCGGAGTATCCGGCAAAGCCAGCAGCAATCCAGCTTCTTCAAAGGTTTCTCTGATAGCAGTCCATTTTATGAACGTATCCTGCTCAGCATCAAAATTTCCCCCGGGAAAAACCTCCAATTCCAGATGTCTTTGAACAGGGACTGCAAAAGAGTGATTCTGCTCACGTATTGGCCAGCGAATGACCTAGCCTGTGGGTTGCGCTGAACAAGGAGTACTTCGTTGTGACTGTTGACTAGAATCAGACTTGCTGAAAGACGAGGTTCTGTAGGCTTTGGACTTTCACTGTCCGTCATCTTGATTGAAAAGTCAGAGGAGAAACTCGGAACCGTGACTGAGAAACTTCTCGGCGAAAGCGATATGTTGCTGTGTGTTCTCAGGCTAATATGTATCCACACGTCAATAACCACAACCAACCGCGGTGGTGAACTCACTCTAGCAGTTGATGACTAGGCGGTCTGTACTTTGAAAAAAGTAGAGTGCAAGTCCTCGACAATGACATGATATGCATCCTACTGGTCTAATTTGGCTCCGGTATCCGGTGCAGTGTTCATTAGATCCGCCGGTTAACTGGGAAAACAAATACTTCCGTACTTTTATTCGCCACAACCTACCAGACTTCGTCCTTGGGCTGGCTTACCACCCGCTTCCACAGGTCACGGCCCAAGCCATATTTAATTCGAAATCGCGTCCATATCAATTTGGGCAGTGCAAGTATGGCTACCATGTTAGAGGTACGCTTGGTCTGAGCTAATGTCATCGGTGGCACTTACTCGAATATACAACTTGAAGGATGAAATAATTCCTGAAACAAAGATTCCGCTCACCTTCAAATGGTCAGGACGCGAGTACAAGGTAGATCTCCTTGGATCAGATAGGTAAGCTGCGGAACCGAATTGCTGCGAACTAAGATCCACTGTATTAATTCCGCTTGTCCAGAGTTTACGACCTCAAGACTTCGCTGATGAGTTTGACAAAGGTTCCGCCAGAGAGACAGAAAATATTAGGTCTAGTGAAAGGAAAACTACCCCCAGATCAAGAGAGAATGTCAGTGTCCGCGATTTCCTGCATGATTTTTTCTCTGAACCGTATGATCGTAGTGCAGATCTACGAATCGCAGGAAAATCATTCACACTCATTGGAACCCCTGAAGGTGACGAGATTAAAGACCCCTCAAGTGAGCCCGCGATCTTTCAAACCTTTAGTGCTTGTACTAACATACGGTCAGAGTTGGAATTCCTCCCCGACGTTGTCAACGATCTTGATGTAGATTTTACCGACAACCCAACTGCCGCTGCGACATATAAAAATGACCAGCGAAACATTCGCAAAGTCAAAGAGGCAACTGAGAAACTTCAGATCAATATCATTCATCCTCTGCGAGATGGCAAACGTTTGCTCGTGCTGGACATTGATTACAGTAAGCCAATCTTTCTCGAGTGTTTTCACTTTCTGAGAATAAACCTCGTGCAGCCATTTTGGACACCAAACCACTAACGTCTGGCTCATTACCTCCTGCGGAATGTGCGAGGCCTGGCCTCCATGAATTTCTAGAGGCCATATACCCTTACTACGACATCTGCATCTGGTGAGATCCATTTACCTCACGAGTACAACCTCTCACAACCAATCAGGTCTCAAACTAGCTGGATATGGCTTGAGGCGAAGCTCGTAGAACTTGGCATGGTTGGATCTACCAGGAATTATCAGGTTTTATTTGTGCTTTCATGATGGCAGGTCACGGCTGACATCAACTCCAGATTTCATTCGGTACGACTATGACTATGCAACTTTGATTTTCGCATATCTGATTGAAAATACGCAGTCCTCGATAAAACTTGCATGTTCACCGTCTTTACAGAACGAAATGGTCAACCATACGCACACCACGTCAAGGCACTGCAAATTATTTGGAATCACTTTCCCCAGTTGTTAGCATATTCTGATTTGGACAATCGAGCGTGCCTTAACTCCCCTCTTTAGTTCAGCGAAGAATAGTATTCACATAGATGACCTGGTAAGAGGAAGGTGTGACCCGTCTCCATCATCTCTAATTCTGTCGTAGAGTCGAAATTTTGCCTTGAATCCAAACGAAGGACTAAAAATCCATGCCTTCAAAAACGCTCATACAGAACAGGCTCAAGCTGACCGGGAGCTTCACAAATTAGCCAGGTACTTGGTACATATTGCTGCTGTGGAAGATTTCAGGACGTTGCGTCACAAGGCATGTGTCTCGTGTTTGTTGCTCGACTGTGAATTTTCTCATTGCTCAACATTTTTAAAGGCCTGGAAGCATGAGCTAAGGCGACTCACGCAATCGTGACGAAGACGCACTCCATCTCATGGTCCTATTCATACCAAGGCACCTTCAATACATGAATCAAGCCTACATAGAGGGACAATTGTTGTGTTGTAATTGTTGTACACGATTCTTGTAAAATAACTACTATTTTGTAACAAAACCGTGCTATATATGTACAAGATTTTTATAGTGTTATTGATATATTAGCGCCGCGTTCCGCCATGACAAATTCTTCAGTCTGAGGCCGGGGTCTCATTCCAGTGAACTACCCTTCTGCACTGCAGTTCAGGAAATCATTTGCGGTGGCTTGGTACGTCTATGCTCGTACTATGCGTGTCATATCATTCATGGGTACTTTTTCTTTCGCATTTCTAGGCTCAGCTTTACTCTCAGTACATGCTTGGAGTTGATCTACGATGGGATCGACTTCGTTGGGCATATGAGTTCGACGTTGCGATGCGAACTAAGAGAGCATCTGACTTGAGCGGCCTCAGCCGAGAGGAGAAGGAGAAGGCCAAGTGTTCCTTTGAACCAGGCGAAATCGCTCACGTTGATGGTGGCGGTGGAATCACGGCTGCCTTCTACGAATTCTTGGATCGGGAAAACTTTCCTCTGACGCCAATGGAACAGCGATACATGCGCGTTCTTAACGACAGCGCTCCCGATATTAGCAAATACTGTCTCGTCCTCCAACGTGTAAGTGCAGACACATTCATTGTGTGCTACATCGCGTCTTTCGGTGGTGTTGTACACGGCACCGGCCTGTCTCCAATAACTCGGTTTTTTTCCATGGCTATGGGCGATACACCTCCATGGCCTCCCAATTCAAGGCCTCTGCACGTGATTCCGAGATGGATTGGATCTGGCTTCATATTTGGTGTTCCAGTGGTCAGGAAGAATCTGTCGAAGACTACTCATTCCCGTGCTTCTCTTGCCCACGGAGAACTGCATAGGGTAAGACATTTTATTGCAGAAAGGCTTAAGGCATGTTCAGTCACTTGTTTGGTTTGACTGTGTGGAATGAAGTATTTTCACAGCTCTTCCAGCAAGCCCATAAAGAATTGCGCGCAAAAGAGCGTGATTGGCATAAATTCCGCAAGAAAACTGGTCTAAAAATTGATAGCTATGTGGATCCCGTGAGGCTGGACGTGAATCACCCAGACGGGTTAGCCTCCGACCCTGTGATACCCAGCGAAGTGCCCGTCCCCGGCGACCCCACGGAATGCTCAAACTTCAGAAACATGCTTCGGATGAAGCGTAACGTTAAAGGCAAGGTGAAATTGACCTCTGTTAGGATGAAGGATTGTGACACGAGTCTGTTTTCAGTGCCTTTTCTCCACAGACGTCGTTTCTTGGATATTCCACCGAGCAATCACCTAGGCTGGTTACTAAAATGGAAACGACAAGATATTACATATTCACAACTCTACCTCAAACGCTTCACACCTCGACACTCATATTATCCTGTGCTCCGACACCTTCCACTCCCCTTTCGGTATGTGAGACCTTGAGGACTGTAGATCACCACGCACTGCGATAAATAGACCTCCCGATGGAGTCTACTCGGTTTAACTTAGTTAGTCAAGTTCACTTAATATTGGGATTTTTCTGATTCTACATGTTAGTTGATATTGAAGGAATATGTTGATCTTAAAAGCCTTGAGGGTTGTCCAGTCCTGCATTCGACTTCGCTAAGATAGATCACTCAGGATATACAGCTGACTATTGCACGATTATGATTACATTGTGAAGAAAAAGCATATGTTGATATCAACATACTTCTGAGGTTGTAACACTGTTCACGACGAGATCGAACGTCATCACCGAGGACGGCAGTACTAGGGACGTCCCTAAACATGAATCTGCATAAACGGCTTGGTCACATACCAGGTTTCGTAGCAACCAGAGCAGGAAGAGAAGCATTCGAGGGTCGCAGTATATCACTGGTCGCGTCGAATTGCCAGTGGTTGTTGTTCGCAACTTCAGACAAGGACGGCAGTTCAGCAAGCATAGTAGAGAGTTAGTCATTGAGCTCACTTGCAAGTACCTCCTTTCGTCCCAGCCCAAGTAATTTCTGAGCTTCCGTAACATGGAGGCACGCGAATGCTCGCGAAACAAGCGTGAAGGTATTCTTGCGGAACGCATCTGAAGACAAATTCGATACGACAAAATCCTAATTAAGTGTGCACATACCGAGGAAGTCGTTAACTAGTAGACCAACAGTTTTCCCCAACCTTGAATCAGGGAAGTCACTCTGCTGCGACATCTGGAACAGCTCTTGGGCCCGAGCGTAAGTATTTTCATACTTTCGTTCCAAAGCGGATGCTAAGAGTACTGCGAGTGCATGCGACAGGGGATGCGAGGACACACTTTCAGGCAACCGTGCAAGGGCATGTTGAGCAGGTGTCCTGGAACAAGTGTTACAAAGGGGTGTAGTCAGGGGATGAGTCTTACACACAAATCATCCAGCACCATATAAGCCAGTACCAATGGGGCAATCAAAAGCAGTCTGGTGTGACTTTTGTCATTTGAACCCTGTTACAGGGCATGGTTATCGAGATGCCGAGATGTATATGAGGGGTATATCAAGAACTGCTCACGTTCAAGTCGTGATGTTCAGCGATATTAGTGATGCCAACGAAATTCCTTTGCTCGGCCAAATTAGATAACTGGGGAAAAACTTGCTGGTAGATATCTTGGACAGCAGAAAGTTGTTGGGAAGGTTCCGGGCTGCCTGAGCTATTAGGTGATGTGGTCACGCCAGTGGGATCCGAGGATTCCGCTGAGGAAGCAATGATAGAATCTCGAGCTTCGTCACGAAGCTCTGTTGCGCTCATGGGAGGAGGTGTGGGTGGTGCTTGAGCCATGTATTGAGTACTTAGCTTCAACTTCGAGATTGTCAATATCAATATTAATGCTGAGCGCTGATATCGAGATATATGCTTGCTTACTAAGCAATCAGTACTACTTAGTGGCTGTGAACCCCATTCGCAACACTAAAACTACATAGTCTCCTGTGGCCAATAGAAGGGAGACAACCATTCCTTCTGTAGTGCTACAAACATGGATGTGCTCGACGAGGAGGTTGAATCTATCTTATATATTGCAAGAGAAATCTCAGGTAGGTCCAAGTTGCGCGAACCTCACCAGCAAGCCTTTCATCAGCACACATAGTCTACAAGATTCCCCATCTGAAGGCTAACGAGGGACATCGTGCTAACGATTGGGGAGACCTTGCGCAACCGCTATGGAAGGGCAGGCTGCGCATCGTCGAAAAGTCGAGTGGTGCAGCGCTGATGTTTGAAGATGCTCAGACGGGTAAGCATTGTCAACTTCTTACTGCGTACAAGTAGACGATTAATGCAACTACAGGTGAATGTACGTTTCAACATGAACAATGAATATTGTAGCATCCTGATGTAGAGTTAGTATTTGCCCGCGCACCTTATGACGCTCTTAAACCATGCGTGGAATCCGTCCTTGATTCATCCCGATATTTTGTAATCAGGGTAGAGGATACTGGCAAGAAGGCTTATATTGGGATGGGATTCGCTGAACGAACAGATAGCTTTGATTTTAGTGAGCGCTCTCCTTACAGTCTCCTTACTGTCTTAACATACGCTCTCAGACGTTGCATTGCAAGATTATACCAAGTGCGTCTAACAAACGCTGACATTTCTCTTACTCACTTAGAGCACACTCATGTTTAGACGTTTTAAATCTGCTTTGAATCCTCCTAGCCCCGATGATGAAGCCCCTTCTCATATTGCGGTAGGTCCAAAGAAGGACTACTCCTTGAAGGAAGGCCAGACGTTTTCTATATCCATCCCGGGAAAAACTAGTAAATTATTAACACCTGGGACCAGTTTACTAGGTTCCTCCACCCAAAGTACCGGTAGTTCAGGGGGAGGGGTACCGCTATTACCGCCCCCACCTTCATCAGGAAGAAAGAAATGATCATATTATTTATATTCCGAAGTATTTTGGCATTTTTTTGTATCTTCTTTTCTCCATGAAGACTGGGTTCAACAAAATACAAAAATCATACATGCTCAAAATCAATGTTCAGATTTCGGCGGAAGCCTCTACATGTGTGCTTGTAACAATACCTGTCGTGATACGTGGGAGGTGGTTTACCTGTATCCTTTACTTGCCTACTACGAATCACAGTTTCGGGTCTTGTCATTGATGGATTAATACCACGCGGTCAAAGGTTCTGGCTATGAACTCGAGTAATACTTGAGCTGATTTTTTAATCATAATACTCTCAGGAGGATATAGACATACAACCATCTTGCAGCGCACCCGGGCCAATTACGTAGTTTCTTAAGAATAGTCTATTCAGCTTAGTTTTTCTGGAGGATGCCCATCCGCATCTCATCCAAGTGAAAGTGTCGCCTCTAGTAGGTTTCCTGTCATTCCCATCGGAAGCATCGTGAATGACACTGGCAGGACCAGCAGTGGTGGAGAAGATCCATGTTAGCCAATTGTTAGGGAATGCAAACGGTCGCCCGGTGACAGTGTGAAACGGCCATATGCACATTTAAAGATAAGAATTAAGTCAATGGGTAGCAAACACAGATCGCTTGAAAAGACGTGGGATTGTGATATGAATTCAACAATGGGACAAAAAAAAAAGAAAGGATGATCAGTGCGAAGTACCAATAGGCTGCGAGAACTGGTGGCCTAGTGGAGTATGAGCGACGGTCACTATGGAGTCACCAGCCGAGAAGTGCACGTCTGACTGTGTCAAGCCGTGTCGCCACGATATTACACCGCTCTTCAGGGCGCCGGTCGATCCCACTGGTGAACGCATGTCTCGGATATTGATGATAGGTTGATGAACTTCGGTAGCCTAATTGTTAGATTGCCTCGCAATAGGCCGAATTTGTAGGCAAACGTCGGTCCGTAAGTGTGGTTTGATTTAATGGTGCCGTCTTGAAAGTTTCAATATAAGCGAATTGGTAGCTTGTTGTCAAATCACCGTGCGGTGGTGTTAAAACTTTAAAGCTTTAACTCACGAACGACTCTCACCGTTGAGCAACAGATCAGGGCCCCGTTGTCTTATGTAAGAAACTCTCGCACGTGACCTCATTAGACCTGCTGACAACTCAATTCGTTCACGGTGCTCAGAGTTGCTTGCTCTTCGCCATTTCACAACAGCGAGCATTACGACTAACTTCTTGTTCTCCTTCTTATTCAGGTTCTCCTATCTGATTAACGAGAGAAGTTCGCATCCAGGATGTTATCTAGAGTCACCCCCAGTGTAATAGGAAAAGCTACTTTCAAAAACTCCATAGGACGGGCTGCCGTCTGCGCTCGCAGAGGTTTTGTGCAACCTTCTAATGCAGACCGTGCACGCATCGTCGAAGATATGCACTTCAAGCTCGAGGTTCCCAGTCGTGAGAACAGCGTGTCACAAAAGACTCGCCCCATATACCTCGATATGCAGGTAAGGCCATGCAATTAGATACTATTCGGTGTATTGACAAGGTCCAGGCCACCACTCCCGTAGATCCGCGTGCTCTCGATGCTATGCTACCATACCTAACAGATCAGTACGGTAATCCACATAGTCGAACTCATGCATATGGATGGGAAGCGGAGCAGGCTGTTGAGGTTGCACGCAAGGTAAGTCTGCCGGATTTACGTGCGTGAAAATGCCCCTATAACATCTCTCAGCATGTGGCGGAACTTATTGGAGCTGAGGCCAAGGATATCGTTTTCACTTCTGGTGCTACCGAGACCAACAATATGGCCATTAAGGGCGTCGCACGGTTCAATAAAGACAAGAAAAGACATGTTATCACGACACAAACGGTGGGTTGAGCCGCTTAATTTCATGACCAATGTTGATCGTCCCTGCAGGAGCACAAGTGTGTTTTGGATTCTTGCAGGAAACTCAGTGAAGAAGGCTTCGAAATAACCTATCTTCCTGTCGAGTCTAATGGCGTAGTCAACCTTGAAACTCTCGAGGCCGCCATCCGCCCTGACACTTCCCTCGTTTCCATCATGACAGTAAATAACGAGACCGGTGTCATCCAACCCATGAAGGAAATTGGTGCTATTGTGCGAAAGTATCGTGGCGTACACCTTCACACCGACGCGGCGCAGGCCGTGGGAAAAATACCTATCGATGTTAATGAAGCCAACATTGACTTGATGAGCATCTCAGGGCATAAACTCTATGGCCCAAAGGGTATAGGAGCTGCTTATGTTCGCCGGCGACCGCGCGTGCGATTGGAACCGATCTTGAGTGGAGGAGGCCAAGAGCGTGGGCTGCGCAGCGGTACGTTGCCCACGGCGCTGGTGGTTGGCATGGGCGAAGCAGCACGTATAGCAAAGCTAGAGATGGCGGTGAGTTTCTTGTTCTTTGCACAACTCATGATGAAATTCGCACATGCGTTTGAAGTGGCACTTGAATCAAGTGGCGTGATGCTCTAGGCTTACGGCCGTATGAGCCGCTAGCTTGGTGACGATTCCTGTGCAGGGGTACTGATTAACTTACTGTCTATCATTCCGCCTCTCGTTCCGAATCTGATGCATATTCCAGAGGGACCACGCACGGATCAAGCAGTTGTCGGATAGGTTAATCCAGGGCATCAATTCCCAAGTCGAGCATGTGGTCCGAAATGGAGATGTCAATGGATACCCAGGATGTGTAAACCTTTCGTTCTCGTATGTTGAAGGCGAAAGTCTTCTCATGGCCTTGAAAGTAAGCATAGCGACACGTCTCTGATGAGAGAAATTTTCATGTCTACGTTGCAGGATATCGCTTTGTCTTCTGGTAGTGCTTGTACATCTGCGTCTCTAGAACCTTCATACGTTCTTCGGGCTCTTGGTATGTTTTCTTCGTGCGTGATCTTGTCGTAGTACCTGACAGTCACCTAGGAGCGGCAGAGGATATGGCACATTCCTCCTTACGCTTTGGCATCGGTCGTTTCACCACAGAAGCGGAAATTGATTTCGTGGTAAATCATATTGTTCGCGTTGTCACCAGACTTCGTGATATGAGGTACGGTCTCGTGTATATGTCACTGCTTTTTGCTGTGCTAATCGCCTCCTTCAGTCCGTTGTGGGAGATGGTGCAGGAAGGCATCGACATCAACTCGATTAACTGGTCTCAACATTAATTTATACTTCTGTGATCGCGGCGCAACATTTTGCTTAGCTGTCGTTGACATATTTGAAGATTGTTTTGCCTATAATTTTATGTACAACAATACATACTTATGAAGGACTTTCGAAGGATATTATTGGCGGTATCCGAGGTCTTGTCGATGATGCCCAAATTCTTGGCAAACAACCGAATATAATGGCGAGTTGAATCTCCGCCATAACTGTACTCTTTCACTTTCAACCACCATGGCAAGACGTTTGTACCTTGGCAGTATGAAGATTTTTTCTTGTCAGATCTTGGCATAAACAATTCTAATCATCGTTTGCATTGCACAGGACTTCCCCCTGATGCCCGTTCTGACGACGTGGCTAAGTTTTTCGATGGCTATGGCCGCATCATTGACTGTCGTGTCATGACCGGTTCGTCGGACAAGAGGCGCGCGCCAAATGCGGAACTTACTGGACCTCCATCAGGATTCGGTTTTGTCGAGTTTGAGAGCTCAAAGGTGGATCCACCATGTATCAGGGTGATCAGTATACCAAACTTTTATAGGATGCGGAGGACGCTGTACATCATTTCAATGGCAAGCCATTCATGGGAGCCAAGTTCGTATCGTAATCACCCGCAACATCTTTCATATTGGTTCTTATACTTCTTGTTTTAGCATCGTCGTCGAATTCGCCAAAGAAAGTCGCCCTCGTCGGGATGTCTATGAGAGCGACCGTGGCTACGGGTATATTTGTTGACTTACCAAGTTAATGCTGTGCCTTTTCCCTGACGAATTATATTTTTCTTTAGGGCTGCTCGCTCCCGTAGGCCTCCAGGTATTCGCCTGATTGTCTCCGGTATTTCTCGCGACACTAGCTGGCAGGTATGATATTCTTTCGGTTTGCACCATTGGACAATGTTCGCGGAGCATATGGCGCTTCTGTATTCTGGAGATCGATCCTGCTGGTCATTTTGGAACCTGGAAGGGACCGCCTGTATCTCGTTAATGTTCACTTTCGCCGGATTTGTCCAACCCCAACATCGAACCTGACCATACACTCACCCAGGACTTGAAAGATTTCGGACGCGAGGCTGGTAGCGTGTCGTTTGCTGACATTGATCGCGATAACGCTGGTCAGGGGTACGTGACTTAAATTTGATGCGTTGTCCTGAGCTGACAGTCTCTTAGTATACTTGAGTACCTATCGCGAGATGATGCAGACCGTGCCGTCAAGGATTTGGACGGTAAAGACCTGCGCGGTAGACCTGTTCGCGTTGCCTACGACGATGCCGTAAGTTTGATGGCTTGGTTCTTTTGCACCGGGCCTTACCTGTTCTGTCAGCGCGGTGGACCTGATAACTACAGGCGCGAGGATCGTCGTGAGGAACGTCCTCGAGGTGACGACCGATACAAAGAAGAACGCTACTACAGGGATGATCGTGCATCCTATCGCCGCGAGCGATCTCGCTCGCCTCCTCGTCGCAATGATTACGAAGATCGTCGCCCCAGGTCTCCACCTCCGCCGCGGAGGGAACTTGATGAGAGAAAACCTGCAGGGTACGATGATTACCGACGGGGAGGTTATGATGATGACCGCAGAGCCCCTGATTATTATTATGACCGCCGCAGGGACGATGACCGGCGACGTGAAGATCGCGGTGGCAGACGCGACGAGAAAGACGATCGGTACGACGACAGGGCGATGAGGCACGCAAATGGCGATGGTGGATGGGCGCGTTAAAGGATATAGCCGCTGGATATTTTGCACTTGGCCGAGGGGCACCCCATCCGTTATTGGTTTTCCCCTCTCTTATGATGGTCATGGTCTCCTCGAGCTTGGCGTTGGCGTATGTTGGGTCGAACCGGAGAACTGTTTTTTTTTGTCTTACAGAGGTCATTTCCCTCTTGGTCCATATGTCGAACGATTAGGTGAAGGCGTCCCGAATTTGGCGTGGAACCTGTACTTTCAAGCATCAGCTGAAGGTTGGCTGAAGGATAACCAAGGCAGCGCGTGAGAATTAACGTGGGCGTCATCTTTCGTATCGGTGGCGTTGAACCACGGAAACTTGGAAACGGTGACGGAATTAAAGAAGACTTCGTGTGCATACTACCCTCGGTACCTAGGACTGTCTGTCTTGAATTTGCCCACCAATGTGATTGTGTCCTTCATTCGTGGCACTTGAGTGCACGGTGATTGACGTTTTCCACATGGCAGACTTACGTCTTCAGGTGTGTCACTTTACTCACATCTTTTCCTAGGGACACCTATTAGTATTCATGTATAAATATAAGTGTAATCAAGGTTCAGTTTGCCGCGATGTGTACGACAATATGTGAATTATTCTCTATTCCCCACCATCCTAATTCTTGATCATCGTTCCCCAGAAGAGCTAGTGTGTCATCGCCCATTCTCAACCATACACAAATATTATCACGGTTCCTCGGATTTTTCCTTGCTCCCAGAGCTTTCATCAATCTGAGCCGGAAAAGCCCTAGTTTCATCGTAGAAAGCACGCGCAGCGAAGTAGATACGATGAGCCCCCCTTCCATTTCCGGGATGAAGAGGCCCCTAGGAGGCTCAGAGCATTGGTGAACTTTCACCTCTGTGGGTAAAGTTCAAAAGGCGGTGAAGCGACCATCCAAGTAAGGACCTACCGATCAAATATTGACTCAGTCTACCGTCGCGATCAGCTGTTGACTCGGCAGGTCTACCGTGTTCTGGTACATAGCAAAAAGGTTTGATAAATATAATAATGACTTAGTGGAGTCAAGACACTGACTCATGCATAGCCTCTTCCATTGCGGGTGTTCCTTCATTTTGTCTTCATCATGCCCAGGCATAGTCTTCGCAACGAAAGAAAGATAAAACAATTCACTATCTGATCGTTCCTTCGTCGAGATCTTGATGACAAAGGAAATTAAACTCTAGGCACCGCAGCGGACCTATGCTCACCGCAGTTGCGTCAAGGACCCGCAAGGACGGGATCTTTGCTATGATTTGCTGCCTGGAGGAACGAGAGAGGTCATTAGCTGCAAACAATGAGTATGTATTTCCTCGGAGATGACGACGATCTTGCGCTGACCCTCAGACAGTGGATTTTTGGCGAGACTCAATGTTTCGAGATCGGGACACCACTCATATAATCGGTCAATATCGTGCGAATTATGGAGTTTGTTATTGGAAAGAGAGAGGATTTTGAGTCCTTGTAAATGTGACGGACGAGATTCACGAGAAGGAATCGTTTCGATACCGTTAGATGAAAGTACGAGTCGTCGTAACCTGCGGTACCATATTAGCTTATTGAACAACCCCACAAACACTGAACATACGAGGTGCACGGCTCCAGTGCCTCGCTGATATGTTGCCAATCATCCAGCTTGTTGCTATCGAAATTGAGGATCTCGATACGGCTCAATACTGTAGAGATCTTCGCATGTGATAGGGAAGTAAGCCCATTGTATCCGAGTTCTGCTATGCGAAGCTGAGGCATGCGTATGGCTATGCTTGTAAACTCTTCCCAGGAAACCCAGGTCCCGTTGAGCTGGAGCTCTGAGAGTCGCAGCCAAGCCGATGCAGGCAAGTGAGATGTGGGCGGCGTCAGCCGGTTGCGACTATTTGTAGTGTCAGTGTATTAAAAGAGGAAGGCTCAATGCTTACTTGAGCGCTAGCCGCTCGAGTTGATGCAGTTCAGTGGTTATCATCGCCACAACGTCCCAACTGGACACAAGCGTTGCAGAAAGATCCAGGCCGCGGATGTCTTGATCTCATCAATCGCACGATATTTGTAGAAAGACGCACTGGCTTACTAGGGCATGTCGACAGAATTTCCCCGCGGTTGTTCCCGGTAGAAACCATTTCATTATCGAGGCTCGCTTCGCGCAGTCGCTCCAGATTTGAGAATTTGCCTCGGATCTTGTCCAGGTCTACAGCTTCCACCTGTATGGAACCATTTGAAGAGCCCAGAACGATTTTCTCCTGCGACGCAGTGCCATGCACAGCTTCTACATACTTGTTTTTCAATGCTTGTAAAAATGGATACCCATAGCAAACGGAAGAGGATGGGCGAATAAAGGATCCGCTGTGAGGGACTCTTGTGATCACTGAGCGATAAGCATAGTTGTAATATCCTTGATCTTACCGACAGTCAAAATATCGTCTCCCATCCTTTATGCCATCATGTTTCCCGCGAGTTGAGTCGTCCCATTCAACGCCAAGCCAAGGACCAGTGGTGCCTTCAAGCGGTCCAACGTACTTGACAGTGCCGAAATGACCTGATGGATGGTATATTCTTGAACCTGTCGTAGGAAGCACATGATGCATCGGTCAAAGTAGTCCGATGGTAGAAAGTGCTTCCGAGTCACAAGCAACATACAGCAGTCATTGAACGATTGTGTCAAATGATCACGTAAGCATCGCCTTGGGTCCTGCCAACTACACGGTACTCCGAAAATCCCAAAAAAGTTGTGGGTCGCAGGCTCTCCAACGGTCTCCTTTAGTTATACACCTGGTTCTGAGTATGCTGGCTACTGCTCTCACAAGAATGTCGCGTAACGGTATATCAGCAGCTCTTGCTAGGACAAGTGCAGTGGCTGCTCACATGTCCACCAGCACTCAGGCAACACCACTAGAGCAAGTAAGTTCTTTGCAAGTGTTTTTTCTCACCAGTCCCTTGAGAATTGTCCTCACATACAGTCTGTGCTCTTTGAGTCGAATGGCGCAACACGCACTTATGTCTTGAACCGAGCAAGCAAACTGAACGCTCTCAATGGTGATATGCTCAAGTTAATGAGACCTCAGCTAGAGGTAAGAATGCTGTCATATGAAAGTGCAGGTCCTTACGAAATTTCCCTGTACTCTAGCAATGGTCAAAATCCGACCTGTGCAAGATTGTCGTTGGGACGGGTCTCGGCCGTGCATTTTGTGCAGGCGGTGATATTGCAAGTGCGTTTCAGCGTTCAAATCCACGTGGATACTTGCTGATTACTTCGCACAGCTGTACTACAGCATTCACTGCATGATGCTACTCGTTCAAAGGCTATAGAATTCTTCAAAGACGAGTGAGTCATTGAATCATGCTCCGGACCGCTTGAATTACTTATCCTTTAGATTTGAAATGAACTATATCTTGTCTGCGTTACCGAAGCCATACGTAACCATCTTGGACGGCATCACAAGTTGGTGTTTTCGTTCTGCACAGCTTGCATAGCGTTGACTCATCAACAGTGGGCGGGGGGGTCGGACTTGCCATTAGTGCTCCTTTTCGAGTTGCAACGGAGAAGACAGTATTTGCTATGCCAGAAACCAAGATAGGTTACTGCCCTGACGTCGGAGCAAGCTTCTTTTTGTCCAGGATCGACGGTGAAATTGGCACATATCTCGCCCTTACGTCAGAAGCTCTTGTTGGCAGGGAAGTTTTGTGAGTAGGAACATATTTTCTCCCGATAGGACCGTGGGCTTATGGTTTTGGTAGTGAACTAGGCCTTGCTACCCACTTCGTGTCGTCAAGAACAGTACCCAACTTATTGACTCGTTTATCTGATTTGGAGGATCCTACTTCCGCTATGATCGATGAGACCATCGAGGACCATTACGCAAAACGCCTCCCAGACGAACCGGTTGGAAAACTGACCGGTCGTACGCGCCAAGCTCTTGATATGGCATTCCGACATGATACAGTTGAGGAGATTGTGGAAGATCTCACTAAGTTAGCCTTGACTTCCGATGACTCGATTGCCAAATGGGCCTCGGGAACACTGGAGACCTTACATTTGCGGAGTCCGACTAGTCTCAAAGTGGCACTAGAAGCGATCCGACGCGGGAAGAAGATGACGCTCCTCCAGGCCCTTCAAATGGAGATGGGTATTGCCACTGCTTACTGTGTAAGTTTAAAAATGACATTTATGCTGTACGATCTGTATAACTTGGAAAATGCAGAGCGGCGCGAGTACAGATTTCACTACAGGAATAACGGCGGTCCTGGTTGAAAAAACTAAAGCTCGCCCTGCTTGGTCTCCTGATCAGCTCGATAAAGTCTCGGACGCAATAGTGGGGCGATTTTTCGAGACAGAATCAAGTTATCTCTGCGACGTACCTACTTTGACAGCGCCGGACTTCCTTTCGAATGGCAAGCAAAATCCGATGAAATTCGCTTTGCCAAGTGAAGCCAGCATCTTGGAAATTGTCAAGTCCAAGGCCGGCAAAGGTCCTATCTCCCTCTCTGACCTACTAGCCCATTTTGATGACCTTTACTCGGGTAAGCAAGGTGTTGGAGAGAAGGTGGTGGAAGTAGTGAAACGCAGTTGTGATGTCATTGGTAATCAAGGTTCGGAGGTGGTTAATTGCAAAGAGCGATTGTAGTCTGTCTGCTCCCGGCACATCCTCGATATCATAATTTGCTTATCATGCTGTATGTTTCGCACGCGCGCAGCCGTCACCACGTCGTCCACAACCCGGCGGACCGGAACTGCAGCTAACTCTTGAGGGGGGCGATGATTGTTTGAACCTTGTGCTTCATCCCTAAGGAGAAAAGTGTAGTCAACATTGATGTTTGACGTTGCGCGACGCGCAGCTTTTCATTATACTGCACGGCCACTACGCTAACTCGAACCCAAGTTGCCCAAAATTGTGATGAAACAATAGAACCAAACTAACTAGACATACGTGTTCAATGTCGCACGATATGATAGCTGCGAGACTCCACAGGACAGCTAAGTGAAAAAAAAATAATCTCAAGATTATTTTGAGGACCTTCTTATGCTGTGTTGTGACTCGAGATGCGCTTCCGAGAATTGCTGGGACGTCCACAACGAACAAGTAATAATGCCAGCGTTCACACAGCAAGTTATCACACATCTCTCACTTGAGCTGAGACTCCGATATGGTTAAGTTTTACCGGAAACTGTTCACAGCAACAAAGAGTACTCGGACATAGAATACAGGTACTTTGGACACGGAGTTCCTACAGACTCGAAGCAATACATGGTTACTGGTTCATTTCATTGTGACTCGAGTTTGTAAAACGAACATTGCTAGATCTCTCCATCACAGGTCAGTGCCTTAGATCCAGGCTGTGAAGATCAGCATTGGAAACACAACATCTCACCAGCGCTCGATGCGTGCCAACAGGCAATACCCTTATGTGTAAGGCATGTGTTTCCTCACCCAAAGGGGATCATAAAGATGGGTGACACTCATGGGATCAATGTCAAAGGTTCCTGAGTAAGATCTTACCAATTGGCCAGACTCGACAACGAATTACAAGGAGTTCACAGGACTGAGAGTGGCACCGAGAATGATCGGGGTTTCGTGCCAACACCCCGCAAGTTTCGGTCAACTCCTGCCTCGCATGAAGCTCCGTTAGTTCTCACAGAGGCATACGCGCCCAGTGATGCCGTTTGGGCAATATCGGCGCTGCCGATGCACACACATCAGTGCAAGCACTGTGACTAGGTAACCCTCAAATCTCGATGATATGATCTAATCGAGGACACGCATTGGTAGTTCATGTATAAAAGGTCTCCGGGTCCTCTGCCTCGAATCATAATAAATTACAAGCCTGCGAGTCATTCTCTATCATTCCACTCGCAATGTATCCAATCGATCTATTATCCCCATCCCATCTCTTCACCAATGTCCTATCCGTCCTCAACTCCGTCCAGCTTCTTAGCAGGAAAGAGGCACCAGGAGCACAACCAACCCCAGCGGATTTTGAAGTTAATCTTCAAACAAATACAGGGTTTCTCCCTGAGAAACCCATCCCACGGCTTCCCGAAGCTTACAGCGCATGGGAGGATGCGCTTACACGAGCTCAGGAAGTGCTGATACTCGGGGAAAACATAACACAGGACAACACAAAGAGCCGAGCTGACGGTGAACTTTGGAGATCACAAATGCGAAAGGTCAGTAAATTTGACATGCGAGGGTGGAACAACGACTTACGTTCTACATAGCTTCCCGTGATTAGCATCGATGATCTAAAAACAGACAAGCAATTGTTACGTCGCGCTCACAAAGTGCTCGCCTTTCTTGTACATTTCTATGTCCATTCCATACCGGATCAGACGGCCGGTTCGGTACTTATTCCCAGATCCCTGGCGACTCCATTGCTTGAAGTATCGGACGTCTTGCGGATGGCGCCGGTACTTACATTCGCCGACACCGTCCTATGGAACTGGGATCTCATTAACCCAGAGCTTCCTGTCACGATAGAAAACATGCGTTTCGGCGTTGAGCTCTTCTCAGGGACAGAGGACGAGCGCAATTTTTGGTTCGGAAACGCAAAAGTTGAGATGTTGGGTGTAGAGATGCTTCACCTCTTCAACGAGTACCACAGTCTCCCCAATGTTTCCGACTTCGCGTCCGTCTGCAAAATCAATCGCCTCTTGACCCGCCTTGTGGCAATTGTCAACCGGGTTGAAGAAACCTTGTTATCCATGCGAGATCTTGTAGATCCCTCCACATTTTACTGGCAAGTGCGGCCTTGGTTCAATGGAAGTGCTAGCGGATCATCTAGCCCAACATGGATTTTTGAAGACGGTCCGGACTCTTCCACACTCGACCTCAGCGGACCATCAGCTGGCCAAAGTAGTGTCATGCATGCACTTGACATCTTCCTAGATGTCGACTTCAAACTGCAGCAGCGTCGGTATCCAGCCCCCTCAGAATCAAATAAACGATCGGATCTTGGTTTCATGGAGAGAATGCGACGGTACATGCCCGGGGCACACAGAGATTATCTCCACCATCTTGCCAACTCCTCGCGTCCTCTCCGGGAACTCGCCAAAAGCACACCTGCTGTGAAAGAGTCATATAATGCAGTTGCGTCGGCAGTTAGAAAGTTCCGGGACTCGCACATACGCATCGCATGCCTATATGTCGTCTCCATGGCACGATCAACGGCAATACCAGTCGGATGCCCCGTATTTGCGATGATGCAGAGGATGGAGCGACAACAGAAGAAAACAGGACACTCCACTGGCACGGGTGGTAATGAATTGTCGCTATTGCTGAAGTCCACCCGCGATGCTACAGCACGTGCTGCTCTAAAGATCTGAAGGAGGGAATGGCATGGCATGGACAGAAAGCACTTACTTTATCATAATAACCACCACTATATCGCAGCCCACAACCATATTGTCCGCGGAGAGGTATTTATTGACCGAGATACTTATTTTGTGTAGCCCTAGACGCGTTTTGAACATGATACACCCACATTGTAATACTTTACCCAGATTCACATATTTATTATACCGATACAAATAGCAGAAAAGCAGTCATCGTTTGAGAATGACTTGCTGTAGTTTTCTTGACAAGCAATCTTTTTCGACCAAGGGATTAGAAAGCAGGGTTAACGTTTTGCCAAGACCAACTGATTTCAAAGCATTTGCATAGTTGGAAAGCCGGATACCCGCTGAATGCGCGTCCGAAATGGTTGAGAGTCGCTATGAGTCATATATCGAATCACGCCAAGCTGGACTGGGGAAGTACAATTTGATTGATTTCGTAGAATCAGAACGAATAGTCTCAGCATTGAGCTGGCCCTGAGAGTATTCTGTTCTGAAATGAGTTGACGTTGAGAACACCGGGACCCGCATGGCAAGAGTGGGGAGCGGAAAGATGTCAAAATCGCTGAAACGACGGCGATACGTTGTGCACGGAAGGTCCAGATTGTGATTTGATATTCGATGAAACCCGGAAGGAAGTTTGGGTGACCGGCGGGTATCATGATGGCACTGGGGAAAAAAGAGATTACACGAAATAAGAATGTGGCGAGAAGCACAAGCACAAGCGCTGGAGATTCGCACCAAATGTTTGCGACATTCTGAACAGAAGGAGAAATGAAAATGCAAAAGACACATGATGACATGTTCTCATGGGGATCTGGAGAACATTCTCATTTGTGGGGTTCGTTATTTGACCAAGGCTTCATAGGCACGTCAGACCATAGCCAGAAAAAAATCGCCATTAACGCACATACAGAGCCTGTTTTACCCGAAGCTCGCGGATATTCCTCTGACTTTCGATGTAGGACCGGCTATGGGTACTATTATATGCGGCAACTTGAACAACGTAGCTTCGTAATGGACGACGTCGATGTGAACGTGGTGGACAATAACTTAAAATTTTGTGTTCAGTTGAACCTGTAGTATCTGATAATCGATATTCCCACCATATCGTGTGCAAATACGTCAGTGATGGTGCTGGCGATTCAATTGCGGTACTTTTACATGTCTTTCCTACTTCTCACCGGTTCTGTGCGCGGCAAGCAGATTGCGAATTTTAACGTCTGCGAAATCGTTGTTAGGCCTATAAATCCGACCGTAAATCGCCTAGTCAATCGCACAAAGTTCTTTTCGACAAGCGATCCATGATGCTATACAAACGCTTAAAGTGATATCTATATACCGGTCCGAAGGAAAAATCTAAGCCTAGTACGGGAAACTGTAGCTCAGGCCTCGGCTGACCTAGTCTGTTATCTCTGAGGAGTGATTCAAAAAGAATGCTTGCTTGGAGAGTTCATCCATTCATCATTCAATGGTTGCTTCAATGATGGCGATTGCAAAATCTGATTACGTGATGAACGCGTTCGCAAACTAATGTCAACAAACACTTTGAGGGGCGCGTCACGGTCTTCTGCTCTTTCATCGCGCTTTCTTTTCAATTTGTTATCATGTCTCAACTCTCAGCAGGAATATGTCGCCGTCTCAACGAGGCTCCTCAGGAGGAGATAGACCAGCTTTCTTCTGGGCATACCGTGCAGCTGCTTTCCATCAAGAAAGTCGCCCCGACAACTAGCTCGACGACTGCTACCGACAGGTTTCGCATCATCATTTCTGATGGCGTCCATTTCGTCCAGGCAATGTTAGCTACTCAGCTGAACGATCTTGTAGCAAATGGAGACATAAACAAAAATACTGTGGTGATCATTGACAAGTTAGCCTGCAATTTTGTGCAGGACAAAAGGTGAGCAGCTTTCGATGTCATTTCTACCCCCTTTTTTACTATCTTATCTAGATTGATCATTATTCTTGACCTCCACGTTGTATCACGAAATGAAGAGAAAATCGGGAGTCCTACTGCCCCTCCTTCTACCCAAGACGCGCCTGCGCCTGCTGTTCTAGAGGCTGCAACCTCTTCCGTTGCTTCGCCAGCTACCTCTTCGTCTACTGGTCAGGCGAAGCAGCCTCAGCCTCGCACTGGCCCATCCGGCAGAGGGGGCAGGTCAGTGTACCCCATCGAAGGACTTAGTCCTTACCAGAACAATTGGACCATCAAAGCTCGAGTTACTCAAAAGTCTGATATACGGACTTGGTCAAATCAGCGTGGAGAAGGGAAACTTTTCAATGTCACACTAATGGACGAATCCGGCGAGATTCGGGGCACTGGCTTTAATACAGTCGTCGACGAACTATACGAAAAGTTCGAGGAAGGAAAAGTCTATTACATCTCCAAAGCACGAGTGAATCTTGCAAAGAAGAAATTTTCGAATCTTCAGAACGACTATGAGCTGAGTCTGGAGAAGAACACCGAAGTTGAAGAGGTACATACCATCACACTACCACCCAAATACTGGACTCATGATTCTATCAGTGCCTTGAGACAACCAGTGTGCCTCAGATGAAGTATAACTTCGTGGAATTGTCTTCATTGGAAAAATTAGAAAAGGATAATACTTGTGGTGGGTGCTTTACAGTTATGTCGTTCTTTTTCACATGTAGTCCATCACTACCAGATGTCATTGGAGTCGTCAAAGAAGTTGGCCCCCTCAGCGAAATCACATCAAAGGCGACGAACAGGACGGTAAGCCGTATGATGAACCCGTTATCCGAGGATTTTAATTTGGTTAAAGATTCCGAAACGCGACTTGACCATCGTCGACACGTCGCAATATTCTGTTCGCCTGACCTTGTGGGGAAAACAAGCAGAGCAGTTTTCAGCTGACGATCTTCCAGTCGTTGCATTCAAAGGCGTTAAAGTCGGTGACTTTGGAGGTGTGAACTCTTTTTCTCGTTTTAATTGGAACTCACCCCACCAAAGGTCGCACTCTCTCCATGGTCAGCTCAAGTATAATGACAATATCGCCTGATATTGATGAGGCGCATTTGCTGCGGGGATGGTACGACGGTATCGGCACTGAAAAGAATTTCCAGTCGCACACGAGTGGTTCATCTGGTGCATCCTTTGGTGGTTTCAACCGCAATGAGATGCGGCATCTTAGTGACGTCAAAGAGTCACAACTTGGCATGTCCGATAAGGCAGATTTCTTTTCCACTCGCGCCACTATTATGCACATCAAGAGCGAAAATATTTCTTATCCTGCCTGTCCCACTCAAGGTTGCAGCAAAAAGGTGGTTGATTTAGGTAGTGGCTGGAGGTGTGAAAAATGCGACAAAACTTTTGAGCGACCGGAATACCGGTATGCTCATTTGCTTGGTCCTTCGAACCCAAATCTAAATTTGATTATCAGATATATCATGTCAATGGCAGTGGCCGATTGGTCCGGTCAGGCGTGGTTGCAGGGTTTCAATGAGGCTGGTCTGGCTGTCTTTGGGAAAACCGCAGATGAAGTCCATGAAATCAAGGTCAATAACACATCTCGCGGAACTTTTCTTGATGTTTACAATCACATGATAGGAGCGCAACGAAGCAGAGTACAACGCCCTCATGGCCCAGGCCAGTGGCGTCACGTTCAACTTTAGTTGCCGTGCAAAGCAGGACACGTACAATGTGAGTGTCTTCTATCTATTACAGGTTTGAAATAACGAATGGCATAGGATCAAACGCGTGTCCGTTACGGGATATCGAGAATCACTTCTCTCGACTATCTCGAGGAAGCCAAACATCTGGTGAACCTTCTCAAATCTTCATGGGCCCAGTGATTCTTTCGTCGATATGTTTAGTTGGTGTATATTAAGCTTTGTCTACTTTTACCTGCCCGTTGTGATAAATACTGTAACATTTACATTTCTGTTATCTTTTACAGAGTCCGAGTAGCGAAGTAGTTGAAATGAAAACGTTCTTACGGGGCCCGAGTAGCCAAGTAACTGAAATGAAAACGCTGTTATCTTTTATTGGGCCTGAGTAAATACTTCACATAAATAGTCAAGGGGGATCCAAAGGATAATGATATACTCTCCTAAACACATGCCAGATCACACCGAACCCTTCGAGAACGGTGTCAACCGTCTGTTGTGCGATCGGGGGTAAATCAAATTTCAGTGGCCAGGAAAAGGGTAATGTGTCGATAAGAGAAATTGAATTTTCATCTGGAGGTGAACTCGGTGTGGGTGCGGGTGTCACTTTTTCCGTAGCAATTCCCAATGAAATTTGTGATGGAGGCGGGGAAACCGGGGATCGGAAGGCGGTGTGTACACTAGAGCCCCCCATCACTGACGTTATCGTTGAGTATGATGGTGATGGCATTGTTGAGGCTGTAGTATAGTCAACCGAAGGCTTTGTATGCGGAGGCGCATGGATAGTCGTAGTAATGAACACCGTCTCGATCGACGCCTGAGAATGATGATCGCGCCAAACTAGATCATCATCGAGTGGCGTACGCCGATCGAGGGAGTGCCTCATATGCCTGAATTCGGCTCCGAGGTTGAGTACCACCATGAGAACAAGAAGAGCGGGCGCTGTCCATAGCAAAAATTGAAGTAATTTCCCCAGAAACCGGACGCTGATGTGAAAACGGTGAACGTGTGGTTGGGTCCTCAAGGAAAGTGTGGGGGTGAACATTTCTTCCAATATGTAATGGACCAATCTGTTGCCCTGTTGAGATGCATGTTGGTAAGCAAGATTGGAGCGTAGAAGATGTGCGTCTAGGCCTATAATACAAAAGTGAGTCAATATCGAGATAGGGATATCCACTGTTCTTACCTGTTGAGGCTTCCACGTTCACTTCGAGTTTGCCAACAGGTATTGTAAATGTGGGCAGCAGTATGCCCACGTACCCGTCATCTTTGCCTTTGCCTTTTCCTCTGCTAAAGCCATCGGTGGGGGTCTTGACTAAATAGTCAATCTGAACGTCTCCAAGGAGATCACCCACGTACACCCTGGCCCAGGCAACCCAATTCTTGCTCCCTAACTTATCCAGAGAGGATGACAAGTCGACAATTGACCCCTCCGCGTGCTTGGTGGCTGAGCTTATTTCAAAGCGGACAGGCATGCCGTCGATGCTCACGCTTGCGATTTCCACAGAACAGTCAATACGCGATGCGTCACCTGCGAGTCCAAATTCCATCCAATCTGTCTCCATTTCATATGGAGCTGGATGGTTTACCCGAACACCATATACGTTTGTAGATGTCGCCTGATCAAAACGCAAGGGTGTCACAACGACCGTGACGGAGGGGATCATGAGGGGACCATCCCTTTTTCTTCTCGAGAGGGTGCCAAACATCGGAGGGAGAGACACACCAGTTGCTACACGGTTCATCCCAGTCGGCGTGCGTGGCCGACTGGGAGGGCGTCTTAAATTTTCAAGGGTATCATCTGCTGCGGAATGTCTTGTTGGGATAAGCGATCTCGCTATAGAGCGTAGAGCAATACGTCCTCCATCAGATCCACAACGTGACAATCCTCCACGCTGCAGAACAGTCCTGCGTGTCTGTGCATCACGGATGTCGCCTGATATATTGTATACCTCCACTGTTGCAGCTTCACATTCATTACGGATGATTGTCGCGATTGTTTCTGTATCTGCAGCGAGCACAGAGAATCGGGGCAAGACTATGGGGATGGGATCTGGTTCTCCGTCTGTGCTTGAATTCGAACCCCCATTGAAAGCACGCGGACGGGATATGACGAGGATTGTGCCAGTGATGTTAAATGTGAAGACGTTCTTTGATGGAGGGAGTATATCATTCATGTTGATGTGAATGGTCAATGATGTTGGGGGATGAGGAACGCTTTGTACATCGGAGTTCGCGCGGCTACGTCCTTCTAACGTCAGGGGCATCGAGCTGATGGATGACAGAGTGCCCGAGGGTGTTAGAGAAGTCGGGGAACCTTCGAAAGAGTAGTCTGGGACTTGTTCTCCTGGTAGCGGCGCACGCAATAAGGACGAGGTCGAGCCGGCTGAGGAATTAGAGCCGTTTCGTGTTGCTAGCATAGGTGCTTGGAGCCGAGAATTTGGATAGGATTCCAAAGGTGATGATTCAGAAATTTCTAACGAGGCTTGCCTCGAGACCGGTGTTGACGGGGGGTTGACGTCAAAACCCGTATAACCTGCACCTCCTGTGACAGTCCAGGTCGGCTCTTCTGCAGGTGCCCAAATGACGTCGGATCCTCGCGCCTCCAGCCCTACATCCATACCAAGCATTGTGGCCACGCCGGGAAACCAAACACCCTTTGCCGTTCCCTTGTATTCCAGCTTCATTAAGATGCCCTCCCTTCCGCTCGCGGGATCACTGTCCTTTCCAAGAACATGACATGTCATTTCACCCTTCACCTCTTTCACTCCTACGCGCCTCCGGCCATCTTTGCTGTCCATAGTCTTCATAGGCGCTGCCCAACGAACACGAAAACGATCTGCAGATGGGAACGTTCCAAGGATAGCAATACCGCCAGAGGCTCTGTCCGTGTAAGTGGAAGAGTCAGACGACTCATCATCCGCCATGTCTGCGTAAGACCCTGATCGTGAAGGTCGAGTCGTGGTTCGTGTGACGTGAGGCTCAGACGTAAGCTCCCATGCGCCAGGATCCTCTTCTGCAGAAGAAAGAGAGGCAAATGAGGAGGATGTCGTCGTAGAGCTTGGAGGGAAAATGCGAAGCTTGACATTATTAGACAAGCAACGCGGAAGGGGGATGGATATCTGTATTTATGCAGCACTTGTGAGATAAAAAATTAGGCCATGGTAAAAACGACGTACAAGGAAAGGAGCCTTCGGGGGACGACAGACATATGGGACCCAGAGATCTAAACCAGCCATGAAATGCATGTTGTTACGCTCTCCTATGGAGCTTCGTCGCATTTTTGCGGCAGAGAATGTAGAAACCCTGATCGCACTGTCTTCACCAAATCTTGGTGGAAATTCTTTGGGCAGGACGTATGAAATGTTGTACCCGCTGACAAGGATGTGACCAGTGTACTTGTCGTCCAGAGGCGGGATTGTAGTGTGAGATGTCGATGTAGAAGAGGATGCACGAGAGGCCGGACTCATGCTAGACGTTGGTAGACCAAAAACAGAGAGATAAGATTTTTGAGAGCGGGCCGGTAGATTGAGAGCGCGTGCAGTGTTGTTCAGTAGTGGTGAGGTTGTAGAGGAAAAATTGTAAGGAACAGAGTTGCTGTCGGTTGGATGAACTTCCGAGCTCAACATCTTCAGGTTTCCCTCTGTGATGGTGATGGTAAATGGGAGGAAAGGAAAACTAAGAATGAACTCTTACCAGGAAATAATGGTAATGTAGAGCCAGGAGAAACAGCATCCATAGGTATTGAGAGCTATTGATGATCTTTAGCTCATTCGTTTTAGTTGACTGCGATAAACAACACATACCTTGAGATACATCTTAATGGCAATGCCATCTTGACCCTGCTTCGCTTTACCCTCGATGGAAAGACGTGTCACAACGTTTAACTTTGGTTGCTGCTGGGCAGTTGTCGTGAATGTGTAAGACGATGCATTCGCTGAGAGTGGTGGACTGATTGTACGCGCATGTCGCGATTGCGCAGGTGCATACATTGAATTCGCGTGTCTATCTGGTCAAATGACGCGCTATGATGGTGGATGCTTGGCGTGTTTTGATATCACTATCGTAAAGCCTAGGAAGCGGAAAAGTGGACCAAAGACGGGTTCTGCTGGCTTATATAGCGCGCAAAAGAGGCCTGCAAGCCGTTTTTGTTGCTGTGCAAACAAAAAGTGGTCGGTCGGCAGGAAAGGCGCGTTTAGTTTATTTGCCACAAACGCGTTGCCGGTTATACATAAAAAAGGCATCAAACTCAGTGACCGTAACCCAACAACCACTTTTTGGGACGGCACTTGCATGGGCAAGCTTGGCCTCGCAGCCTCAACTCATGATCAAGGTTCCGTCATTCTTATACTGACTGTTATGTAGAATCCCTTATTCGTAACTCTCCTCTCTGCAGCTAGCGCTGGCTTGTCACTTCCGCTCGGAACGCGGGTCACTGGAAACCCGACAAGCACATTCTGGCAACCTTGTGCCTGCAGACTATGTAGTCACCTGGCCATGCATCGATGATGGCCAGAAGTTGGAACAGATGCAACAAAATAAACAAGGAATCTCCGTGAATCCATAGCAGAACTCTAGGACGGCTCACGATGCCACAGTGTTCGATGGAGCTTCATTCTGATTATACCCACTCTTATACTGTGAAATTACTCAAATGCATGAGCAAGGCCCCCGTGGTACGCACCCGTCCATCTTGATTACTGCAAGTAACTTACTGGTTTGTTGCTTACGGTGACTACTGCAAGGTGTCGTCGGCAGCTTGCCTCATAGACGGGCTTCCCTGTTCAAGGCTTCAAGCTAGTGTAAATGCACACCGCTATAAGGCAAGTTGGGTTCTTTCTTGATTACTTTCACAATTTGGTGGTATGTGGCCTGGACGTGCACCAAAGCTTTGTCCGCCACTTGCGTTTCCACCATCACTTGCAATAAATTTGTTAAATTAGACACAATTCTGCTTGATATATTTCCGCGTTGTATGGCTGATCTCGTATCTACCACTAGGAAAGGTAGCAATGTCATAATATTCCTGATCTGCCAGTTCAATGCCTGTATGAAACTTCACAATCAGTGAGTTAATAACGTTATGCAGCACAGAGATTAGCCAAATGAGGTTGGAACATATGAGATACACTAGTGCTGTTGCTCTAGTAGAGCAAAGCAAGATATTTCACCTTTATTCCTACCAACGGTCCCTTTCTAGTACTCAAATGCCTGGTGCCTACTCTGTCGCAAAGAGGAAGCAGTTAGCTCGTGCTGAGCAAAAGAACGTTGATTCTGATGGTGGGAGCGAGCAACTTCGACCTCATCAATCAACGTTCGAGTCAACGTTCAACTGTTATCGTTTGCATTATACCATTTTTAGGTCCGACTCAAGCGAGGGTAAGCAGTGATAAAGGCCATATTTTTGATGCATTCACCACTCTACAATACACTATCCGATGGTCTTAAGATTTCAATACATACAGCAGTGGATGTAATAGAAAGTAATGGCCAAAGAAAAAAGGATTGTTGTGAGACGTGCTTAAAGTTTTGTCGACGCAAGTGACCGTGGATTACTGCACTCTTAAGAATGTGATGGCATGCAGTAAGGTCCGTCTTTATCAGTCTCATTGAAACACATAATTTATGTCATCAAAAATTAGTGAAACAAGTAACCAAGAGCATCATAATATGTATCCAATGGGAGATAAAAATCGTAACCGATCGTCGTCAGTAGTGCGTACGTGATCATAAAGTGAGAGCATGTCGTGACATTCAGGTGAGTGTCAGTATCCGAATAGCCGCTTCGCGAAAAAGCTCACTTAGACAGGAATAGCGTCATGTTGTTCTGCAGCCTCCTGTGCCACTTGCGCCCAATCCTTCTCGCGCACACCGCACTCGATTGTCAGTGCTAGCTTGTTGAAGTTTATCAGGGTCAGTCCGTGAGATTGGCGGACGCGCGACTCCCAGCCATCTGGAAGCTGTTCATGAAGAAGGAAACTGTGCAGGTCATCTACACGACCTCCCATGGTTGAGAGTAACAGCGAAGCACTGACATGACGGTAAGTATTGCGTTTGGAGACGGACGATTAGATCGAATACTTTGCGCAACCAAATAACTTGTGGAAAGTTTTAAGCTTAAATTCCTTGTTTACTGCACGCGACACTGCACGACGCTTGCCGAGCAACTTGGAGAGATCCTTGATGATAACAACATCATTGCCGTCCTTGTCCTTGCCGGAAGCTGCCGAAAGTAGCTCCTCGATGTAAGGTACGTGCTTCGTCGATTGGTCTGATTGGAAAGCAGCATCGAGGCCTGAAAACAAGTTATTCGACATACAAGAATAATCTCATCAAATTGCTCACGTAAGAGAGATGCGTCGTGTTCAATACCATTGTGCACGTCGAGTTCTTCTAAATCAAGAGTACCGTTGCTGAAGCTTTTGTTAAGCATGCGAGCAGCATAATGAGCAACAAATGAGGATAAAGTAGAACTGATGTTGTAGGTTCCCATGACATGGCGATCAAGGTCGACGAATGATATGTCACGACCACTGCGCGAGATGATGCCTACATTTTCACGCCGTCAAGCCGAGGCCCATCACAAAAGGTTGCAGAATCACTTACCATGGTTGGCTAGCGCATTGAGTCCGGGACACGAGCAGCGGGAGTCGCCTTTCTGGGGAGGCCTAAACTCGGGCCAGTGCCCTCCGTGGCCTGGGTGGCCCTCGGGAGTGACATTGCCGATGCGACGCTTCCTCTCTACGAGGTTGAGAAGTGTGAGGATGACATCCCAAGACATGGTTCCAGCATCATAAAAAAAGTTGGACACTTTGGAGAAAAAACCCATTTTACGTCCTGAGCGTCAATGATAAGTCTTCAGATCGAAGGCGTGGATGGGGATGAAGGAGTAAACACACCTCGCTTGATTTAAGTATAAGAGAACCGAATAAATTTCGGCACCAAAGACTTGGATCCATGGCAGCGCAACCGGCGACCCGGAATATGAATGGGGGACATAAGCTTGCGCCGTGCAAAAGGGTTATATTATTGAATGGGTCTAAACAAATTGTGGAGTGGTAGTGCGCTGATAACATTCCGAAGTAGATGATCCCCGCTGCAGTGATTTACGTAATTTATTCCGGGATGCATACATATAACGCTTACTGGTACGATCATTCCGTCAGTGTTTTTTATGCCTTTGTCATAAACAGCCTCTCGTTCAACCACTCCTGGCCCTTCAAATTTCAAGCCTGCACTAATATAGGTCTAAAATGGCTTAGTACCAGTCAGTGGCGAAAACTTGAGTTAAAGTTCTCGAACTCAACTTGAAATTACCATCTGATGGCGGCTCCAAAAGAAACTTGGCAAAAAGTTGAGTACCATGGCTCCGAGCTAGCTCGGTTGCGAACAAAAAGTCCCAAATTTCTTGGAAGATGCCGAAATGGCGACGCAAGAGAGAAGCCTTTCAAGGCACGTTTATATATTTTTTCCGACAATGAAATATACTCTTGTAGAGCCGCTCTACGCCCGTATACATGTGATAGTCGTCAGTTGACCTCCTTGATGCTAGCAAAGGGCGAATGCAGTTGCTACTTGATTCGCGCTGGATCAATGAATGTACGGTGATATCAGGAACGGTAGGTGGAAGGCGAAGGCGAATCATGAAGCGCACGACGAGACCTTGTAAAGGTAACAATCGGAGTTTACAGATACGTTGATCCTTCAAGAATTTTGAAGCAATCTTCACAGCAAGAATTCGAGAAAGGATCAGTGGGAGCACACAAGAAGATAAACAATACGTCCGATAAGACTTGTTGTACTACTGTTATTGGGCGATGCACGATTTGTTGGCCACGGCGAAGGGTATTGAGCTCGACAGAGGTAGGTGTTGATAACGTTAATCGAGATTTTTTAAAGCAGGAAAAGCGGATAGAGCCAACGGTGCATGCGTGTCGTACACAGGTCCAGGGGAGTAAGTTGGTTGGGGATGCGGGAGATGGTTTGATACGAACAGGACGACAGTCAAATTCAAAAACCCAACTTCTAGCACATACAGTTGTTCTGTTCAGAAAATCTTGATCGATCACGGAATTGTACTGGTAAATGTAGAAAGTGAGAGGTGCAACGAAGAAGGAGTATGCATAGTAGAGGGTCACGGCTTGAATCATGTGACTCCACGTCACAGCAGGCAAGTATTAAAGGAGTCAAACCAGCGTCGTCTCCTCACACGTTATGGAACCTCCTACTCCAATTCCATTTAGATTTAGCAACCTTCCAACTGACCTCGCCTTAATAATTTTCGAGCATGCGGCACAACCAACCTTTGCTGAATATGCCACCTACACGCGAGACCCATACTCATCCGCCCTTTCACTATGCCCCGCTTGCTTGGAGCATGAGAAGTTTGACGTTATTAGGTGATTTCTCTCGTCGATGGTGGCCCTTCGTAGAGTCTGTCCATGGACGTTCTTTCCTGGCTTCCGTCCAACACCTCACCCTACTCTTTGCTGTATCCTTCAAAAGATGCCCGCCCTTCCAGTGCAAATGTATCAGCGAAGCTGCATTTAATTAACCTACAAGCTGCCTATGTGCATTACGCGCGGTTCTTTCCAAGGACTGCAAACATTCTCGCTGGGCATTTCGCACATCAAACTCCCGTTCGCTCAATGTACCCCTAAGGATGCATGGGTGATGCTGTTCACGTTCCCTCCTTCTGTGCTGCCGGACCCTTCACCAGAGGAAATAGAGCCGTATATTGGAGCGGAGTTTGTTCCACGTGTTCCATTTCCGCTGAAGCTGTTCGTTTTTCGCGGGTTGCAAAAGTATTGAGGATATGTCAGACGGATTAATAGATATCGTAATGGTGCTCACACACTAAGCCCCCAACTCCTCTTTCGTACTTTCTTCAACATTCAACTTCGTTCTACACTAATAATTAGGACATTGCCCAAGACGTCACCCGCACTCGATGTGATGCCAACTCTGAGCTAACTTCCGAATCAGTGCATTGGGCGGTCCATATGGTAATGGATGCTCGCGGCAAAATGTGTACCCTGGGACTCTGAACATGCTGATACAATTGATTGTGAGTACAAAGCCAGCGCAGAAAACCGGAGCAAGCAGAGATCGAGGGGGAGGCTTTCCAGAAGCCGGTATTGGGTGTCATAGTAGGATCATGGACGGCAGGTCAAAACAGTTTGATCCGGACATCATCTGAGATCTTCAGGGAGGAGTCGATGAATGTCGAGAAATCTACATACAGGTAGAAGAGGATCAGCAGTGGGAGCACACAAGAAGCTGAATAATATGTCCGATCAGGCTCATTGTACCACTATTATTGGGTAATACACGATTTATTGGCCATGGCGAAGGGTATTAAGCTCAACAAAGGTAGATATCGATAACGTTCATTGTGATTTTTAGAGCAGGAAAAGTGGATAGAACCAACGGTGCGTGGGTGAGTGAGTTGTTCGGAGATGCGGGAGATGGTTTGATATGAGTGTGTGATCCGGGACGACGGTCAAATTCAAAAAACCAATCACAACTTCCAGCGCATACACAGGCCCATTTGATAGAAGACAGTTGTTCTGTTCAAGAAATCTTGATCGCTCGCGGATTTGTACTATCCGCGTCCACTGGTGAATGTAGAAAGTGAAATGTGCAACGAAGAAAGACCAAGAAACGAAGGAGAGGCGCCTGTTGTAAATGGACAAGATTTACATGATCTCTCCCAGCTTCAGCCACACCGAGGGAACCTGACAGTTCGAAGGTTCCACCCGTCCAGCCCGGAACTTCGCTTGTCCCATCTTGCACATCTGCGAAAGTGACGACCAAAGCAACGTTTAAATTGAGCTGGATAAAGGAAATTGCAGCAGAGGAAAACTATACACTATTCAAAATGCGAAGACTCAGGATGCAGCTGCTCTGTCTCTCGCTAAAATCTCTTCTACACGCTTCACCTTATGATCGTTGCCATCACCCACGGGAGTGTCTCGATCTACGCGTGTACCAATGCGGATGTCTGTGGCAACTCGAGGGGCACCTCTGGCGTGGACTGCAGTATGGCAATCATGTATGGCTTGAGACACTTCGCTCCAAGGCCCCTCTAGCAAGACTATTCAGCAAGAGAGAAAGGGATGATGACCTCTTGCTACAAACCAAGATTAGTGCCGTACCCGCTGAAACATGTGTTCGTTATCAGAAGTTTGACATATCGTAAATAAATAATCTTACTGCATCTAAAGCGAGATTAGTTAGATTGAATATGATAACCCACCCTCACCTTGAACGTCAACCCTGATTTTTCCAATACTCTCTGGCAGTCTGCGATATATTCTGCGACCTGAAACGCGTTTACTTTAGACGATGATCCCCTATTTCCTGTGGACATACGGATGATTCTCCTGTTCCCATCGGGATGAGACAGAAATCTGAACGGATAGTAAGGTTCTGGGGTAACGGAAGTTACAAAAACTAAACCTGCTACAGCATAAAGATCACTGGGCATGTTGGGCGTTAGTGTCAAAGTCGAAATGCCCCTTTTTCTTATAAGTACGAGCTTCGGAGAGTGCCGAACGCTTGGTTTGGGAATAAATATGAAAATAACGTTTATGGGTTGCGCAGCGCTCAGAGTAGAGCCATAAGATGCCTTCAGCCGCGCTGCAATCAAGGATCAAAGCTTTCGAGGCTCTCGCTGACCAGCGTCCTTCTCAAACGACGACAAAACCTTCGTTTGTCGTTTTAAAAACCAAATATCCTCCTTCACCTAATACTAACCTACTGGAATCACCCATCTCACCTACCTCAGACTCAATCCAACCAATTGTTCCATTTACGCCACCAAAGTCTTTGAGCAGGTCACCCTCACCGTCGCCTCCAAATCTCGGTCGTAGAACGTCATTAATTGACCTAAAAGACTGGGTTGTAGATGATGGACCAAACGGAGCACCGTCTGGTGTCTCACACTATAATGGTAGACATCTCAAAGGCTTTCCAGATCTCAGAAGGACACCCCCACAAGTTCCCCATAAACCTGCTGCTGCTCGTTCAGCACCGATGTCTTCAGCACCACTCATTAACTTGGAATCCCCTCCCAAGTCACGCCCGCCCCTCCCACCACGCAAACCTTCATATGCATCAACAGACTCTTCACCTTCAATTTCCAATTCTGCTATCTCTGACAGCAGCGCCACTCTACGACCCCCAGGGCGCTCAGATTCTCTCACCGTAGAGCATACTTACCCTCCACCCCGTCCACATGCTTTTGGCTCAGCCCGCGTAAGCCACGCGCCCGCTTCTTCCATTTCGTCATTTCATTCCGTATCGCTTTCTTCTGATGGAAGCGACCTGAAACCCGTGAGCTTAGGAGTGTCCGTGCAGTCATCGTTTGTGGATAACGATGGCAGCGTGGACGGGGACATCGTGAGCATCGCTGACTCATTTGAGAATGTGTCTGTGACTTCCGCGATAAGTCCCACCACCAACATCCCTTTTGATTGGGGCAAGGCCGTTAGCAATGGCGACGGCACGCCTAGGCATGAACCTCCAAAACTACCTCAGCGACCGAGTACACAAGTGCCCTTGTCGCCCCCCGTTTCGAGATCAGTATCAACATCGTCATCCATAACACCCACGACTCGCCGACCCCGACTCCCACCTCCACCGCCTCAGTCACGTACTAAACCTTCTTCCCGCACATCACCCGCATCCACTTCCGCATCCACCTCCGATCGCTCGTCCATATTAAGCAACACAACCACCTCCTCCCTAACGAGCATAAGTACCACAAGCATAAGCACCCGAAACAGTGGGCAGTTGGTACATAAAGCCTCATTACTTCTGCGACCCACGCCAGTTCCGCCTGCCGCACGGACACGCTATGAAGCCTTGTTCGTTGCGACTGTGATCAATCGACGGAAAGTTGCCAAGAAAGCCAAGCTAAAGTCCCCACCATCATCCACATTGACAGTAAAGAAAAGCAGACAAGCTGCTGGCTGGAGAGGGCTTTCAGTCGACCTAATCACCAACCCAGAGGATCATCCCATACTGCCCTTGAAAGAGACAGAAAACGACGATGACGACGATACAGATCTAGTTCCAGTTGGACCTGAAGAGAGACTAGGTGGCCGAATAGTGAAGCTTGTCTGGAGCGCTTCAAAGCTTGACCGTAGCAAACTCCGAGACATATGGTATGCATTGCAGTCCAATTTAATGCACCCACCTCATTCATTCTTCACTACAGGAACGACTGTGATCCGTCCTCGACTGGCCTTCTTGACCGTGAAGCATTCGTTAAGGGAATGTGGAGAATCGATGAAGAGCTCCGGAGAGCCCAACTGACTAGACGGGCATCTGCGCTCAGCGCCGCTTCGTCGCAACGCATTCCCCACCGCCCGAAGAGCAATCCAAGATTGTTATTGCAATAGTAGGACGTGCTTCGCCTATACCCCTGCATGCCCTCCCATACCCATGGACTATGTCAAGACTATGTAATAAGTTATCTCTTACGCAACTATACAGTATACTCACAATATAATTGCTCGCGCTGGACACATACGCTTTGTGAACTTTTAACTTGTTTGTGGATGCCCGCAAGCGGAGCATCAAAGCAGTGGAGCCTTGAATATCGAATTCTGTTATCGGCGGCCTTCGTTTTTCCAAGATTAAATACAGGGAAGCCTGGACTCACGTCTAATTCGGAAACAAGCCGCATCTAATAAGATTAAGCTTCCATGCCAGTCTACAACTCGGTTGTGGTACTGCCAGCGCAATGCCAACGGTTGCAGGAGGAGGTCACCAACAGAGTGGTATCATAAACACTATAAAGTGCAATCGGCAGACAAAATTTGACCCTCTGCTGCTGGTGCACGAAACTTCGCATATCATAATCATATTGGTTCTCCTCGGTCGGGTCCTAGGTGGCTAAGGGTTGCTGATCACTTCACCCAAGAACGCTACGATGGGGTACTTCAGCTCAGAAACTGAATATACAAGTCCCTGAGGGAGACAATGCAAAGTACCTAAGTTGCAAATCATTCATACAACAAGCAACCCCTCCCGCCCAACTCAACAATTTTTGCGCACCCCACCCCAACACCGTACCGAATAATTCGAGATATCATAAGAACGAAAAACAAAACGTAGTAGAAAGATGTGCTCGCTGAAACGTCGCTGCGAGATGCGAGGTATCAAAATAAATAAAAGTTAAACATGTGGTGCTACCTGCGTCAAATCATTAAGGACAGTATTGCAATGATCGTCGAAAGACATACACTGGCTCGAACCCGCGATCCAGCTCACGAATGATATCAAAGTCAATAACGTCTCCCATCAGAAACCAAACTGCTGGTACGCCCAGCGTTCCTCCAGTCCGGCTGATTAGATGCGACGAGTCGATCTAGGCATTCCTGGGGAACCATGCCTTGTTCACCACGCCCATTCGCACAGAGTGCCCACGCGTCGTCATACTGAGCAAGCACACGAATACGCTCGCCCGCTGTGACTGAGAGCTCGTCAGGAAGCGTAGGGATAAACACGCGGTTGACAACTGCCTCAGTGGCAGTCGTTGCAGCAGGGGCAGGTGGAGAATACGAGTGGGCTTCTACTGCTGTGCGTGCCATGGCAACAGCAGAGTCTCCGGGGCTTAGAGAGGGTGGTGGTGGTGCTTGGGAATACATGTTCATCGGATTGTTATACGAAGCGGGAGGCGGGGCTGGGCCCGCATACCCCGTGAATGGACTCTGCATCCTCTGGATTGGAGGCTGCAGGGGGGTCTGATATTGCGAGTGTCCATGTGCTTCAAAAGGTGACATTGGTGAATTCCTCAGCGAAGCAGGTTTTTCAGAGAAATCATCAACGGGAGCTGCAGGAAGCGGCTTGGTCTCGTTGAAGATATTACCAGCGGGCCAAGAGAGGCGACGGTTCTGCCTGCGACGGAGATACGTCTTCCGAATGATGAATATGACCAGAGCCAGGGCGACAACTACGGAGGCCGCAATTATACCACCAAGTGCGCCGCTAGAGAGTGTCTGGCTTGACGCGCTACTGACATTGTTGATAGCTGTAGAGGATGCGCTTGAAGTGGTAGTAACGATCACCACAGATTGAGACGTGGTATGCGAAGGACTAGTAGTTAGTCCCGTGCCCGTGTCAACGGGGCCGTTCGTGGGCACGGTGGCTGAGGGTGAAATGAGAGTGGAGTGCAAAGAAGCTGAAGACGTCAACGTCTGCGAGGAGGCAGAAGAACTCGTAGGTACAGATGACTGTGAAGAACTAGTCTTCGCTGTCGAGCTCACTGCAACAGGTGTGGTAGATGTCGTAGAAGTGGTTGTGAGGGTAGCACTTTGACTAGTGGTGGTAGTAGAGTTTGTGGTAGCATCTTTGGCAAACACGAGAGGAGACGCATATGGGTCGTTTACAGGCTGGACGTGACCTAGCCGTTTCGCGTGCCGCACCCGCTCAGCAGGCATGCGTCGAAATTCGGAGTGCATATTGATACAGGCGGTTTAGGTAAACTGAATGGTAGGAGCGCTGAACGATAACAGCTTGAATTTTGTAAGGAATGTGGGTGGAATCCTCAAGGGAGACCTGCCACGATGAAGATGGCAAAGAGAGAGAAGGACAACTGGCTGGCGCTACGTAGTAGATGGTTACCCGTGGGCCGTCACGACCACAGGACGGACAGTCACAACACGTTGTCAACGACATCAATAAGCGTCGACAATAGATTTTGGAGTCATGATTCGGAGAAATAAATAAATAAATGCACCATCCATGCAAATCGCGAAGCAAACTGCGAATAGGATACATAGAATAACAGCGATAAAATACAAGTGCCTAGAAATCGGACGCCTTTTCCAGTTGTTGTCGTTTCCGCGACCCACCACTGCAACGAGACCAAGAATAAAACAAGTTAGTGTACCATCAGCAGCAGTGCAACGCCCTACTCACACGTCAGTGTCAAGCCCTCGTTTTTTCCCAGACTTTGCCTCATCCAAGAATTTATCCAGACCGAAGACATCTCCCGTATCCTTCTCAAATTGTACAGGTCCCTCACGAACTTCTTGATCCTCTGCTCCCTCGAACCCAACACGGGCCTTCCCAAGACCAAATCGGTCGTTGTCGAGAGCCTTGCCGATACCCTCCTCGGTCCCACCACCGAATGAGTCGTCGTTGCCTTCTGGGATATTACCCCTAGCCTTGTATATCGCCGCTGCCGCTGTCGAGCCGTGGAACAACGGCCGATCGTACAAATTGTAATTGTCTTCATCTGCAAACGAACCACTGAGCGACTCCTGGTTAAATAGCCTTGAATCCAGCATGCTCTCTTTCGACATAGTCGGCTTGGCAAGACCGAGCGCGATTTTCTCCGATATATCACGATTTTGTTGCCGTGCAAGCATCTTTGCGCGCTGCTCGGCACCCATGTTCGACATTCGCATGTCACGTTCGCGTTCACGACGTTTCTCGGCACGCATTTCGTCACGGAGCTTGCGAGCTTCCTGTTCTTCGGAATCTTCTGGTTCAGCGTCTGATGCGGAAGATTCACTGCCGCTGCCATAGCCAGCGAGAGTTGACGTGACCGCCGCCCGAGATTCTGCTGTTGGTCGGGAAGGTGCGACACCACTGCGTTCTTGGCGGGCGCGTTGTGCAAGCATGCGGAGGTTTTCCTCTTTAGATTCTTTCTCTTTCTGTGCAAGTTTCTGCTGCATAAGTGCACGCTGCCGAACTTCTTCACGGGCATGTCTGTCTGCGACGAACAATGCTTCTGAGAACTTGGCGAAATTGTCGTTAATGTGAACCTGTAAAATCAAACATAAAATAAAATAAGCCTGAAATCAAGAGAGACAGCACTACTGACATCTTGAAGACCCCGACCATCTGCGGCCAACCGTTTGTCGAGTGGGATAGTAAAACCTTTGTTGTTCTTCCAATTGGATATACACGGTGGGATCATCCACTCCTTCTGCTCTGCTGCCGTCGCCTTCCTTGGTGGACTCCGCAGTACAGGAGGGGGTGGACTAGGGGGTCCCCTGGGAATCTTCTTGTGCTTGAACCTCGGCGGCTCCATCGGATCTTCCACAACCTCTGACATTTTAATAATCCTCTGCTTAAGCGCACCATTGTCCCCTCCGTTCTGCTGGCCGGGTGTGTATCGGATATATGTCGTCTTCCCCTGCGCATCCGGGACATGCTTCGGTTGTGCAGCCTTGATTTTCCCGGAAACAAGTTGTTCAAGAGCGGCCCGGGTTTTATCCGCAGTGGCTTGAACCTCCTCCTCAGAAGGACGCTCCATCGTCCGCTGTTCATCCGTGAGGTCTTTTCGATGAGCAATGGGGACAAGGTCTTTGAATTGGGACTGAATATATTTGCCAGAACGTTGGCCTTGGTGGGCAATAACGTCATAACGAACGTTGCCTTCGCTATCGACTTGAAGAGCAAGGGTATTGCCTGCGGCCGTCTTCAGGTGTCGATTCAGTAAACCGGTGCAGAAGCATGAAAAAAACACTCACCTTCTTCCGCCCGAGGTCTAATGGATATTGTGCAACATGACATTCGGGATATGACCCACCATCCCCTGCATAAAAGCTTAGGAGGCACATAATCATGGGATAAAGATGTATACGCACCGAAGTCCTCAGATTTTACCGGCTTCCATCCCACTCGTTGGCCGTATGGCGGTATTAGTGTGCGACTGATCACAGATTGAGATGGAGCAGGCTGGGGAACTTCTTCTTCGTCGTCTGAAATAACTGGTGCATGCGTAGGTAGTGGAAGTAGACTGCACAGAAATGTCAGCATCATTGACTATCATTCATAAATTGACTTACGCAGCGAGGGCAGCCATGGCAGAGATGATCGTTTAATTGAATTGCTTATGGTCACTCCTCTAGACTTTTGTTTACCATTATTTGTGGCGGCGGGTGCAGCAGTATTTTTTTTGGTTCTGACAGACTATAGCACGGCTCGATACATAGCTACACAGCAGTAGCACGGGCATGAGCTCGCAAAATGTGGATTCTGTGCCAAAACCTAGTCAAGTGCAAAAGTCCGGCGTAAGAACAGTTTTCGAATACACTGGAATTCCACCATCCTGGTTCGACAAGCGTCCCAAACTTCCATCCCGGAACTGGCTCATCTTCCTCTCGGTGACCACCTCTATCGTCGCATACTACGCTTATGACCGCAGAGAATGTAGACGTATTCGTGCAGATTATTCTTCACGCGTTGAACATCTTGCCAAGGAACCACTAGGTACCACAGACCTGCCACGCAAGGTCACCGTATATGGCGCGAAATGGCCCGGAGACGAGGACCACGATAAAAGCTTGAGGTTCTTCAGGAAGTACGTCAAGGTGCGCACTATAAATTTGAAATTGAAATACGCTCACCATGTTTATCTGTAGCCGATTCTTGTAGCAGCTGCCGTTGACTATGAGATGATTTCGGGGCGCCGAAGTGGTGACCTCGCCAACCGCATTACGGACGAGATTAAGACTCGTCGACGTGTTGACGCCGGTCTCGAGCCTTCATCCCAGAGTCCAATACTTTTGCCCAACCAACCAACTCTTGAGCAAAAACGCAAGCGAGAACTCGAGGGTGGCATTGTCCTTGTCGGCCGCCACACATTGAAGGAGTTCATGTCGGGGCTCAAACGCGGTTGGACGGAGAGCATGGATCGCGTTGATAGAGAAGACTTGCTCGCACAGGAGCTGGCGTCGGATGGCCGATTTGACGAGCCAGAGGAACCTGTTGTAGATCCTGAAGTGGTAGATGGGGAGCCCTTACCAACCCGTTCGCGCCTTCTACCTTCGCAGAACACGGTAGTATTCTCTCCTTTCCAGATGTCTTCTTCAAGTCCATCAAAATCTATACAACCTACTTCAAACATTCCTGCACATTTAGACACACCGCCATCGACTATACCTACCCTGCCAACACTTCTTCTCGTCCCCTTCACAAATCATATTGGCTTCAGCCAGGTTCCTAATATGTTGTGGGGATTCTTCAATGAGCGGCATAAAGTCCGCGCTGGTTCTGAAGCAGCTTACTCTCTGATAATGAGTCGCATGCGACCATTTGCAGCACCCCACACGACTGTTGCTACTTCAGACATTCAGGAATCGCAGTCGGGCGGGCATCAAGGGGGAGACCTTGATTTCGATCTTCCCGCAGAATCGTATTACGTGGGTGCTTATACGCCGTCTGAAACGGAAAAGGCACGCAAAACGTACTACGACGCATTGCCCGCTAAGCTAGCAACTGCACGCGCATTAGCACGAGGTACCCGAGCCCCTACGAAGGAGGAAAATAGTCATCCCCCACCAACAGAAGTAGAGCTCCGTGCGGAACGATTGAAGAAGGAGATGAGATGGCGTGGCGATGAGGCTGGTTGGGACATCGTGAAACCCGGTCAACCTGTGCAATGGGACGAACGATTTGCCGACGCCCTGCAGGTTTTTGACGAGCCTCAAGCAGACGACGCATAACCCAGGAGTTGACTGTCATCCACTCAATTGACCCCATACAAATAATCTTACAGCAAGTACCTATACGTTATAAAGTTCAACCCACCGCACATGACAATTCATTATTATACAATGTCAACTGCACCACTGTCCAACCAGCTTTCAAATTCAGCAAGGACATCAACAGCGGCCGTGTCGTTGGTTTTCATCTCTCGGTTCGTTTGCTGATTCCCAAGCGCAGGGTTGGCAAAGTTTGAGGTTCGCCTGAGGGAGACTGGAGGAGGAGGGTAAGGTCGGTTGGTAGTGTTGCTTTGTATGCCAGATTGTGGCTGGGATCTACTAGGTTGGAGACATTGTGACGCAGTAGCCTGAAGCTCCGCGCTAGAACGTGTGATTTTTGTGGTCCGAATGTGCGTCCTAGTTTTCTCTCCATCCTCGCAGAGAGAAGGTTCCACTGCTTGATGAGGCTCTGGCAGGATGTCAAAGTAGGATTCATCAAAGAAGTCATCAGAGGGCTGTTGCAGAGGGGCCTTGAACGGTGATTGGATGCCGACGTCAACATTGAGGGATTCTGCAAGATAGAGCGAATGGCGATCCGTGGACTGGACAGCAACATCGTCCTTCTAGAATGACTGGAGTCAGTTGATGAACAGCATTTTTGACGTTTTACCTCTGCAGCCAGTAGGGCATAGGGGGAGCCGAAGAGCTTCAGGCCGGATTTGAAGTGTTTCGGATGACGGCCGTCATTCGCTAATTCCTGTCTCGGGGAGTAAGGTCTGTATGGCGTGTTATCGCTCTTGAGACGCTTCCGAGGGGTTGAGTTATTGGGAGGTAGAGAGTCGCATGCCCGTTTGCGAGTGGGGGAGGGAGTCTTGGAGAGAGCATCCATCGTGGTGTCGTCATCTCGAACTAGCGCATCAATCTCTGAGCTCGAGTGATCCTTCGAACGAACATCCTTTCCTTCGCACAGAAGCTCATAGATATTCGCAAGGTCGTTATCTGACTGCGAGTCGCTAAGTAAGTCCTTAGAGGAGGGCGGTGACTGTGAGCACTTCAAGGTAACGAGCTCGATATCGAAGTTTGGGACCAGTTTTCGTTTCCTTGACAAAGGCGCTGGGGCATCTTGTTTCAGCCGTTGACCTTCAGAGAGCCCCAACTTTCGATTAGCATCAGCACCTGTATGAAGCGAGTTACGTTGCTCAAGAACCAGGTCGCGTTTGGTTGTCTTTTGTCGCTTGGGAATTGGGACGTCGCCCAGCGGAGTGGTAGCTTGACTTTTGCATGATAGGTCGATGGAGGAGTCGTGAGCTTTCTTTGCACTCAGCAGATGGACAGGTTTTGTGTTCTTTCTTGGGACGCGAGAAGGTCCTGTGAGCCCGTCACGGCAACTATCACGCACTTCTCGTCAGCAGGAAACTGCAGGATGATTCTAGGCAAAAAAAATCTAGACGCCTCCGGGTCAAAACTCACCAAAAGTGACGGCAGGCAGATTTATCTTTGCAGGTATGATTACAGCTATGATTTTTATGTCGACATTCAGTAACCCAATAACAAGAGAATCGACTCACTCATATTTCCCGTCTGAGCGTTTTTTAGGCGGTGCGTCGTTCCGCACGGGCGTATTGGTCATACTCGGATCATTCCCCTTCACTGTAGGACGTGAGATAGAAATCATTGTCTTCTCTTTGTGATGGTTAGTATTATTTCGTGTCGATGTGCTGCTTTGGAGCGGGCTACGGGGTCGAGTAAGATCTTTAACGGGGAGGTTCAATTCGTCCTCGTCATCAGGTCCCATATCCCAAAAGTCGGCAACATCTTCAAGCCCTTCTAAATCCATTTCCTTCGAGAGGTGAGTCCATATAATGCTATCTGCATTTTGCTTACCAAAGAAGTCATTGGGCGGGTATTAAGTGTTGGATATTTATTTGTGGGTAAGGAAGGCTTGAAGCTTTCAGTTACGGTAACCCCAGCGATCTTCTCCTAATTGTATGAATTAGCCAATATTCCCAGATGTTGATACTCCCTGCTGACTGAAGAGATCGAGACGTTGATGGTCTGACTCGGTCTGGTAAGCTGCGCGTTGATTATGAAGGATTTTCCTTCCCTCAGCACCCTCGTCCTAGCGCATTAACATCAGTGGCGAACCACGTTAATGGTATAGAACTCACGAAATGCGGCGAAAGTCGATGAAAACGAAGTCGGAGGTCATGGTAAAAAGAGTTGTCATATCGAATCCGCCTCTCTTATGTTTCTTGGACCCCGTAGAAGCTCTCTTGTCCATGAGAAGACCACATTCAATGGAAAGTTCGACATCTACTGGTGATTTCCCATCGCTAGGCGAAACCTTCACTTCCGTCAAGGTGAGGAAGTACCTCGGTAGCTCGTTAGCAGCCAACAAAACTTCAGACCCAAAGGGGGATCTGCGGCTCAGGAGCTAGCCGGAAGTTAGCTTGTTATAGTGTTGCTAAGTCACGAGGGGTCACCTCTTCGAGTCTCAATGGGCTGGTACTTAGTAACTTGGGAATTGAGGATATGTGATTCTCGGCCAATATCTACTCATGCTTGCGCTTGTAGCCCGATCAAAAAGAGTAATTTCAGATCCCTACCTTGATTCTGCAGGACCGATGTGAGTCGAGCACGTGGGAAAGCAAAGTAATCCACTGACGATTTTTCGCCGATATATTCTAGTTGTTTCAGGACAATCGGTCGATCTTCCCATGCCTTGGCATGAAGACAACGCACTCTGGGCAATTCTCTTCAGCCATCTACAAATCCGAATAACAGAAAACGTACAATTCCAGCCCGTGCTTCACTTGCGCTCCGTTCTTCTTTATGATGGCAACTTCCGCAACCGCTGGGGTATTCAGGTGAAGAATTAATTCAACTTTAGAGAGGAGAATTTACCCATGGCAATCCGGCCAACATGACGAAAAACTGAGAACGCCTCGAGGCATGGCTGGCTTTCCCCGCTTCTGAATTCAGCACTATTTAAGGACAAACCGCCTAAAACCGCCTTCAAAAACGTCATTTGAAGTACAGGCAGATGAGAGTACAACAGCTACCTGTATAAGCAAGAATACTTTGTCACTCGTGCCTTGAATTTTTTTGACTGCAAACCGAACGTCATTATGGCGCCTGATTTTCTCGTATACCTAAAAATGATGGACCTCAGTACAAACATTCATGCTTCACATTCCTTACCTGTTTTTCACCACTTCGCAATTTAAGGTCGGATAATCTGTAGAAAACAGTTCGTGCTGCGAGGTCAACCTAGCTGTTAAAACTTACTCCTCCGAAGCGGATATCATCTCAAGCTGTCATCATTTTTCCATTAGATCATCGCTGATGAATGCCCATCAGCTTACAATCTCGCGTAAAGATGCAGTTGGAGAGAGGTCCAAGATTGCTTTCATCTGTCCAAGATCAGACGTGCTGTTAAATGACGCGAAAATCTTACCGTTCCATGACGAATGTAGAACTTCATAGGCTGTCAGCTTGTGTGACACACAGAGCAGAGAAAACGCCTCACCCTGCTCATGATATCGCCGAATTCAGTAGAACTCAGCTCTCCATTGCTCGGAGAATAGGTTACCAACTCGGTTTCCCGCAGCTGCTCGATGCTGTCCATCACAATGCTGTCCACCTTGTCCTGCCAAGACTGGCGGTCATCTTTTCCGATATTATAGTGCTGTGGATTCTTTTGTATGCGACGATACAGGAACGAGCGGAGAAGCCACTCCTGAGCGGTCTTGACGTCAGTAATAGTTCCCAAACCAATCTCAGAGTTTAGGTGCTCGGTCAAATTTGTGTGCAGACTACTCTCCAGAGGTGTGGTCCCCTGAATGAGATCGCGATATTTCCTCTCGAGTTCAGTTTCACATAAAATGACAGCAACTCCTTCAGTGTCTGAGCGCAGGAAGATCAACGTCAACTGAAATAAATGCAGAGTGGAAAACCGGTACCAAATTGTGGGCGACCCTATCATTGCAACATCAGAACCAACTGATAAATAGGTTGTAGATTGAGTGTTGCACGCACCGCTCGTCCCATCATCTGCATAATGTCGAGATCCGAGTACTCTTTCGATTCACCATTTTGATATAGTTTAACGCCTTTTATGACAACCAGATGGGCAGCTGAAACATAGGATCAGTATCGCGAAGGACTACCAACGGATAGCACCTTACGCAAGTTAACTCCGACCGCTAAAGTCTTTGCGTGACTTTAGTAACACTCAATAGAGAAGAAAATATATCCTAGTATTCACCGACGTAGCCAAAAGAACTCTTAGTACTTTACGCAGATACAGGTCTTCGATGGTCTTCCTGTCGTCGATAGTGAGTCCAGCGTGATGCACGCCGATTCCCAAAGCAGCCAGAGCTACAAGTGATGAGTACCAGTGACAGTAATTCCTAATTACCACGTAATGCTCACGAGCGAGATCTTTGTCGTGAAAAGTCTGATCAATTCTAACCATCTATGAATATATTGTCCACTTTAGTATCTTATCACGCACTGCAAAGGCATGCTCCACGGGAGCGGCTTTTTCGCCTTCATGGTTTCTTCATATTCTTTAGCCAATTGCCTGGCGGTTGTGATGGTCCCTACAGAATATCTGGTAGTAGTAGGGATGACCAGTAATCGCGATGTCATACCTTTTCTTGTCGGACAGAACACGAGGATTGGTTTGTCAACGGCGTGTTGTTGTAAAACGGCGAATAGGCGGGCATCAAGGGTATGCGCATATGCGAAGTCATTCTGACCTTTTGGCTTGATCACGCCATAGATAAACCGAGTGAGTCTACAGGGCCGATATTCGTCACCAAACTGTATTGCCCATTAGCGTAAGCTACGCATAAAATCAAGCGAGCCTCGACTTGATTACCTGAAATATTTGACCAGGATGATCGCTAGACGCATGTTTGCTCCCAATCCAGCTTGCGACATCTTCGATGTTCGGGACTGTTGCTGATACTAGAAGGAATCTAACATTGGATCCTCTTGCCTTCATACGAGAGACAACGACTTCTAGGGTGCTGCCACGAGATTCGTTCAGGATATGAACCTGGCCAACCCTTGAATGCTTCTAGCGGAACATCTCAACATCAGACTCACCTCGTCCACAAGAAAAAGTTTGATCTGAGATAATATACGACTATGGTCATCCCTGGAATGAGTGTGAGTGTATGCTACTGTCACAACGAAGACGCTTGACCAATTCCTAGTGAGACTGTCCCACTTCTCGGCCTGAGATAATGTCAGTGGTATTATCAAATATCAGCAGACTAGAAACATGCTGTAGTAACACTTTTGTGGATCGAGTTACATATCAGAAATCATCAAACACTGCGATGACTTAACTTACATGATTCTAGCATTCTTAGCATCGCCCCACACGCCCTTGCCGAAGACTACAGTGTCACCCGTGAGCTCACAAGCTAAATCTTAGAATGAGTGTCATATCTGAATTATAATGCATTACATACTGGGTATCCCGAGACTGCCAAATTTGGTGGTCCACTCCTTGTATTTTTCCGTGCAGAGGGCCTGTATTGACACGTAAAACGGCTTCAAAGGGATGCAAAAGCAACACAATTTTACCTTAGTTGGGGCGACATAGACGCATTTAGCGGCTTCGTTTGTGCGATCGTTGACCATGCGGATAATGCTCAATTCAAAGATAACAGTCTTTCCACTTCCAGTGGGCGCTACACGCTAGCTAAGCCCCAAGCACGTCGAGAAGAATGACCATTCCTACCGCTGATGACCTGCATGCCTGTTTAGAGACATCTCAAGTGATAAGAATAACGCACCATATTCTCATTTGAGTAAAGTACCTAAGAAAGATCAAGTCTGAAGAAATCTGAACGAAGCTTCATAAAGCTTACTGCATCAAAGCATGTCGACTGAACAGCGTTGAAAACCCCGAACTTGAACATGCTGCGAAACATATCCGCTGTCCCATCAAGTCAAGGTTAAAAACTAGGAAAGTGGGCGGCAGGAAATAACCCTACGAAGTTCGGAAACAGGGCGCAATCGCACTGATTGGTGTTTCTGTTGCGTATGACCACCAGGCCTATGATTAAACACGGTGTCGTAATTAGACCCGAAGTTGTTTGTAGTTTTATCCGAATTTCTATAGTGTGTTTCTCCATAATACTGATGCGGGTGGTCTAAGATGGTTACCATGTTGATTAGAACCAAGGACAACGACAGATATGACAAGACTGACGAATACTCTGCGAAGCATCATAGTGGGCCTGACTCTGGACTTGCATGCCAGTATAATCGACAGGGCTTGGAGTGTATTCAGGAGTAATGCTTTCATAGTCTTCCAGATAAGGTTGTGCAGCACCTGAGTGAAATGCATGGCTAGCTGGTGGATGACTTGCAAAGGCGCGAGCACGGTCGTTGAAGCGTTCCGGTGGAGATGGAGAAGAGTCTATATATATATATATCATCCTCAAAGAATATTCGCGCGCATACACCCACCAAAATCGTCCTCAGACCTGGCAAAATCATCGTAATAGTGTTGGTGCTGTCTGTGGTGTGATACGACATCAGCGTAAGTACCGTTAATTTGAAGGGATTTCATGGCATACTGCAAGGGAGGCATTCCAGATCTCTGGTGTCTCAGAGACCATCTGCGAGGTTGTTGCATTAAGCCGATAGTGATATCAATGTTGATGGGTAAGTAGCAAGAAAGCGACGCGTGATATGTCACGGACGCGACTGCACGTGAGGACAGAAATCAAATCTAGTCACGTTTGTCACACAACACTTTGTCTCGAACGTTGTACTTATCTCATAGACGTGTTTATAGAACTCTTCTCTATTCAATACCCCTGTCTTTTTCTCAATGGCTGATCGTCAAATTGCGAGCAAGATTGAGGAGTACATCGAAAAGTTAGCCGTAATGTTTCTTCCGTTACGATGCACTCATGTGGCTAATTTCGACGTGTAGGATCCACTATTCTGATCGTTACTCTGATGACCTATACGAATACCGTCATGTCATCCTACCGAAACCACTACTCAAACTTGTTCCAAAAGAATTCTTTGACGACAAAGTAGGCACCCTTCGTCTACTATCGGAAGCGGAGTGGAGAGGGATCGGCATTACTCAGAGCCTCGGCTGGGAGCACTATGAGGTACATGGCAAGTAGAATTTTTAAATGAAGTCAAAGATGTTATCCACTGACAAAAAGCAATCAGCCCCAGAGCCTCATGTCCTTCTTTTCCGTCGTGCGAAGAACTATGCAGCCCCCCCGCAACCGCAACCTATTCTGGCTGCGAGACAAGCCAATGCGAGAAAGAAGTAGCGTGCTGTTCCACTTGGCTCCGGCATTTCGTCCTTTCGCTTGTCTTGCATCGCTTTCTTTGCAGCTTCTTCAGTATTATCCAGTGCGTTTCCGATACATTGTATCCATTGTCTGCAGTGGCATTTCCGGGCTTATAACCGTTGTGGTGCTTCCTCTCAAACCATCAAGTAGTCTCACTTAGCACGCTATTTAGGTTTACCAATGAGGCTACGAGCGTGCGTATACTGTGGTATACGGCACTTTCAGAGCTCTCTATCACCTTGTGTAATTCATCATCAATCAACTTAATAGCGGGAAACCGAGGTGACTCGAAACTACGGTTACTACTTTGGTGACTCGGTAAACTCGGCAGTTTCATGAATGATGGGATTCCACATCCTCATTCTTTAAACACTGCAAGGTCGGTCTTTTTGATTCATGTCACTAGACTGGCGCCATGACCCTCAGTACCAATGGTCGACGTACGTACAGCTTTGAGCACTTTCTTTAAACGATCATCCTGACAAGCTCCAGTGTCTATCAAGTCAGTCAGTCACCATCAATATTCAGGCATCTTTCGTCGGAAGCCTGGGAAGGTTGTCATTGAAAATGATCTTGTACACTCCCCTCTCCCCGATGTGCAAGATTGCAGCCAGAATAGGTAAAATTCATGCCAAACATACTTCAATGGCCCAAAGCACAACATTCACATCTGAGAAACCTCCCGCAGTGGGAGACTCATCACCTGAAGCACCGTAAAGTAGCAATACACATTAGTACATGAAAACAAAGTACAAGAGCAACATCGATGACATCTAAAGCTTGGCGAAGGGCAGGTCTCCCCATTCCACCAAGGGCTGCGGAGCCTCTGTAACTTTAAGAGATGATTTGAAGTCTTTAACGTTTTCAACGAAAGTCACCCCTGCAGTCCGAACGTCGAGCACTTCATCATCATCTGGGTACTGCATCATCAACCCGGGTATTGTCTTCATCAACTCCTGATAATTGTCGAACCCGCTAAGCGCGTCTTGCCAGTATTTTGCAAACTGCGTCGCAAAGGGATTCTCGTCAGCCATTTCCTCTTTCCACCCTGAAGGGTCGACAAGTGTGGTTTCAGCTCTGACCAAAGCTTCGAAAGCCTTGACAGCGGTGGCGCTGATTCGCGGTGGCCGTGGCTTTCGGGACTGTAATTGGACGGAGAGTTTAGACCTTTTAGCACCCAAGGGATGGACGCGAGAGATAAACAGTTCTAGGACATCGTCCTTGGTGACGTCTGTCAGCAAGTTCGAATCATTGTAGCCTAGATCCTTGTTAGGTGGAAGCAGCGGAAAAGGAAAACAAATGAAACACACGTCTTAGGAAGTCCAGGTACCCAGAATCGATATGCTCCCAAAAAATCGCGCGTTCCTTCTTCAAGTCCTTGATGACTTCAGTCCACTTTTGCTGTAGGCCAGTTTTGAACTGCTCGAAGTCCACGGGTTCCATATCTTCGATCTTACTCCTCATGGTGTCCAGGAATGCTTCCACTCTCTGCTCCAAGTATGCAGGGTTCCGTTCACTTTGCACTACCAACCGTAGCCCCAAAAGCGATGCTCCAGATAGTTGCAGTTCTGAACAAAAGACAATATAACCAAGTTGTTCCTTTGTCCGAAGGATGTCGAAAGCCGGCTCCGACATCATGTGTATGAGGAGCAAGGTAGTCGTACGCAGGCGGGCATCGGTAGAACTTCCGAGTTGAAGATAATAAGTTAGAGATGAATTGGAATCGTTGGGGTTGGGTATATGGGACTTCCAGGTAAAATTGGAGCCTATTAAAGCAAAGGTTAAGCGCGCCCTCGCCATATGATGGGCTGAACATGCCTTCTGGCAGGATGAGCACGCGTTGAGCGGTCTCGTCCGCCGATATTGGGGAAGTATTTAAGATGTTCTCCGCCATCTCTGATAAACCAATGGCTTCCTAAACTCATGATTGATTACAATCGACTCGGTTGCCAGCAGGGAAAAATGCTTACGTCTTTGTGCATGTTGCCGGTTACCAACATCTCAATGCTCAGGCGCGCTAAAAAGTCGTCGATGTGTCTCTGCAACTCAACCTCCGTGATGCCTATCATAGTTGAGGTGTTAAATTAGTTCTCTTCAAAATGTTGATATCATAGCTACTCACTAGAGATCTCCTGCAGCTTTTCGGCAATAGTCCAAGTGTTATGAGTGAGCATGTATTGTGTATAATAGTCTGATAATCGGTAACCCTGATCCATGAAGAAGTTTTCCCAATCGCGCTTAACCTAATTGACCATAGTAAGCCAACTTGTATCGGAGAAACATAACACGAAGCAATAACCTTTTCTTTGAAGACTGCTAATCTGTCCTCGCGGACTCTTAGATTTCTCACAGTCTCCAAAACGCGGCAAGCAAGGACAGGCAACTTTTCGTTGTACCCATCTAGAGTGATCATCAGCCCGAGGTGGTGCGAGCCACTGTGAAAGACAAGTCCGGCAAGTTCTGCGTCATATGCAAATTCTTGTAGCGAATCATTTACAAGATCAGCAAAAAGCCTGGATCAAACTTATCGTCAGATCAAATAGGTAGGTTGCAAAGCAGCTCACCGTGTCATAGTTTCGGCGCGCGGAGACGAGCCTGCAACCGGACTATATTGATAATCAGTCCGCAGCCCCAGAATTCTGGTGATCCAAAGTACATACCTACGAAGTTCTAATACGAGCGACGCCTTTGGAAGCCAGAATTGGTCATCTTTCTTGTGCCACACGGACCCCATTGGCGTCTGTTTGATAAGGTGAGGACGTTTAGCCGGCTGTAGTGACCAACCGTGGTCAGAGTCGGGGACATCGGTATGTGTAGCTATAGCATACCTCAGCGACGTCACGTTTCTCCACTTCTAAGTTAGTGGGTATAAATTCATTCGGGCCTGGGAGGTACAGTTCCATAATATCATTGGGTCCCTCAGCCTAAGTCACCGGTTTGTCGATGAGTCTGATGAATACCGCAATGGAACCTGACTTGCCTGTTCAACAAACGATGGGTCCCACCGCTCTACTCTGTACCCCGTACCGTACCATTTCTCGTGCTCCCAGTGTTCATTCTTTGAAATGCGCTCGAGTTCCTCTTTCTTCGCCATGAGCACTGCCCTGCCCTTTGTGATACGCATATCTTCCAATATTTCACGAACTTCTTGCTCTGCATCTTCAGAATTCCATTCACATGGGACGACTGCCCCGCGAAGTAATAATTCAGGGGGGACATGCTTGCCCAACCTCTCGGAAAGTGAAACCGCATAGCCCTCCGCATTCTCTTTCGTGGCAAATTGAAATCTCGTGAGCGCAATTTTGACAAGCTCCGATTGGTACCACTTCGGGAATGTAGAGGACCGCAGGAGGGAAAGGTATTTGTATGTCGCAAGGGCCACCAATTGGTAGTTCTCAAAACCGAGCTTGGTCAAATGAATGGTGAATTTGAACATTTCGAAGCCTCGTGCGAGGGATTGAGGACCCGAGTTGAGCGATGTCACCCATCCCTTGTTTTTGAGGTACGAAAAAAGCGAACCAGGACCTTCATGACCAGCAAAGTGTGAGATAAAATGTGCAGGCTTGTACCGCCAAAGCGGCGACTGCCATACTAGAGGAAACGAGATCTCAATAGCGTGGAAAGCCTTGACAGTCTGGACGGAAACTAAAGTCTAATAGGATATATCAGCAAATCAAATCGCCAGCAATAAGACATGAACTTACCCCCATTTCGTTCAGACCAAAAGGATGGTCGGGAATTACGGGTAGTGGATCTTGCTCTCGGTTCTTGATAGGTGTAAACAAGGTCGAGACCATGTCAGCCAACGAATCGAGCGGTTCTACAGTCGATGTGACAAAGTATTCACTCGCAACAGAAACAGCAACGTACCTTTCCCAACAACACAAAGTCGCATTCTGCCTGCACAATATTCTCTATTCCACCACTCGACTAACCGTCTGCGTGTCTCACGCCCAACGACACCGCCATCTGGTTCATTCTCGCTGTTCGCAGATATATTGGACGGGACTGGCGATGGAATACGGGAAGGGAAAGGTGAGGACGCTAAACTGTCATTAGATGATACTGGTGATGCTGGCGCGCTCCCATCCACAGCGGTGTGCGTCCCATTCTTTATCTCATTTCCGTTTAGCTTACTCGCCGCTTTGAATGTTCTCCCGGCGGCACTTAGCGTTTGGCGATTACCACTGCCAAACTTGCTCCACGGATGAGCTTCCTTGGTGAGATGTTTGTTAACCTGGAAAATGCGCCATGCATCCATCTGATGGTTCTTGGAATGCTCCGAGTCAACTGCATTCATCTCCCGCGTGGTACATGAGGGCGCGAAGAGAGGGCAGTGGAAAAACGCAGAAAAACGCGCTAACGCTCCAGGGAGTGTAGAGGTCGCAACACGGAAAAAGTAGTTGGTGTTTGCCGGTGCCGTATAGGCATTTGACTGGCCATTGTTCTTAGAAAGGTACTGAATTCAGAGCAAGTCAGTTAAATGTCGAAGGGCAATCTATGACACACACTTCGGAGTACTCGTTTTCTTTCGGAAATTGTTCAGTACCCTATGAGAAATATTGTTCAGCCATCAGCCAGTACTTGTGACAAGAGATGTCCATACCATGAATAACAAGTGCTCGCAAAAGTGGGCAAGGCCGGGGATATCATCCTATGAAGCTTTCCATTAGTAAGTATTCCGATCTCTGTCACTCACAACAAGAAGAGATACTAAAACTAGTATACTTTCGTAGTCATGCTTCAGACTGCAGATACAGAATACGATGTCTTCGATCCTGTGAGAAATGCACTCACTGGGTCCGACAAGTGACCAACTGCCACGTCTAAGCTTGCTGCGGCGATATCGGCCTTGGAATCTTGGATCAACAAAGCTGAGAGGCCATTTTCGAGCTTGATCAACCTGTACTCCCGCTCGTCAAGTTGGGACTTCTCTATCGGTTTGGTGAAAAAAGTATAAGCAGGGACATTGGCGTGGT